ATTTTTATTACAATATAGTTTTAATAATGGTAAATGCTTTGGAAAGATATTATTATTATAAAAAAATACATTAATTTTAATCAAAAATATTTATTACAATTTTAAATTATAGTAAGATAATTCCCAAAAAAAATCCTGTAAATTTTTATTTTTGTATTGATTTATTTTTAAAGCTTTTGTTAATATTATAAATTGTATCTAAAGTTTTTTACATAAAAGTTTAATGGTTCCACACATCTTAAAAGTTTTTAGATATTTGGGATTTTTCATATTTGTTTCTTATACGGTCAATATATAAAATTTCATATGTTAAATTTTTATATAAATAAATACAGTAAAAAATTCAATAAATGGATTGTTTTCTTAAGACCTGTGTTATTTAAATTGTATGATTAGGGTTATTTGAATTTTTTTCATTTATAACTTTTTTAGTTAAATTTTTCCATAATTTTTTTAATACATTTCATAATTTGTAGGTTATGAATCCTCAAGTGGACCCGGTGGCTATGGCTTTAGTGGAACGGGACACGGATTCGATGGTCAAAGATATGGGAGTCACTATCCCCAACCGCCCAGCGGCCATGGAGGAGGATACGAAGGGGAATATGGGCACAGTGGACCTGGAGGACATGGAGGTGGAGGTCACGGAAGTATAGGCCACAGTGGAGGAGGGGGAGGATACGGAATACTGCATGGAGGAGGAGATCATGTTAGACTTTTTTAATAGATTTTCTATATACTTTTTTTGATGTTTATTCTTTTTTCAGAGCTTGTATTTGAAGAAGCTTCTGATACCTTTAGCTGGGATAGCTATACTGGGAGCTGCAGCTGCTTTATCGACGAATCCAGTACTTTTGCAGCTGGGTGTGGTGAATGGTAAAAGAAGAAGAAGACGTCATATAAGGGACAACTATGTCTACCCTTCGCCACCGAACATAAGGCCAAATATACAAAGAAGAGATGTTTAAATGAATTTTTAAATTATATTTTTATATATTTCATAATGATTTTTATTAATTATCGTAACTCAAAAATATTTTTTCTCCACAAAACTGTTTTTTAAAGTTTTTAGAAACAGCAATTCTCTTAACATATTTTTTGTATATATCTGGCCACACTTCCGATGTTTATTTAAAACCCAAATTTAGTTGTCTGGTAAAACTCTTGAACCTCCAACTTATCTAATAATTGGGCTTTTAGTGTTTAAAAATAACACTAAAGTATTTTGAAATACCACAACACATTGTGCATGAAGATTGAAATATTCAAATAAACATCCACTGGAAAAACAAATGCAAATAGAATTAATCTATACGTGTATTTGTGAATTTGTTTTTGTATTGGGATCTCTGGTGCAACTAGTTGAACTGATAAAATAAATAAAATGTGGGACCTAAATGTTCTCGTCACTGTGACTACAAAAAGGTTAGTAAAAATAAGGTCATTTTTTAAAATTACAAGAATGGCTGAATTAAACCTATTTTTTACTGTGTATCTACATGTTTAACCATTTAAATACAAACGACACTTAACTTCTAAATTAACACTGATTTATATCTTTGAAAGCACAATTGGATTCATTATCATCTCAATGTAGAAGCGGAAACGCTGGACATGTTAATAATTAGGTAGGTACCTTAACAATTTGTGTCACTTTTTTGTCAACCGAATAAAAGTTACTACCGCTTTTTAAAACGTTTAACATTTTTTTAAGTTGGAAGCGACGGTGAATGGATTGCATAATTTTTTCAAAATATCAGACGCATTGATGAAAATATTTTTAGAATGGTGCACCATGAAGCTAGAGCAGTTCCTGTTTTCGTGTATTAAAACTAATTTACATAAATATCTTTACACTTGTTCATTCTAGTTTTTGTACCCTGTTCGTATGAAGGAAACTTAATCTACCCTAACATCCCACTATAGCAGCCAGACAACAGAACTAGTCCACCCACCTATAAAATGCAGTCAGTACGCTGTAACACGGTTTGCAATTTTAAAAATATAACTAACTGAATAAGTAATGTGGAATTAGGTTTAAAAGTTTGTTCTATATACAGGACAGAAGCAGATAAATAATTATCACCCAAAAATTTTTTTTCTTAGCTAATTCCTATTACAGTAATTTGATAATCATAAAAAATATAGAATTTTAAAAATTAATTTTATTTTATTTTAATATTTAATAAATTCTCTCGGTAGCGTAAAAGGTATAATAGCTGTGTCAAGATTTACGAATATAACAAAATTCCTTGACATTAATTATCTTGTTATGAAACCACTAGTGCACTACAGTATATTTTTTAGTGTAAAATTCATAGCATTATTTTGAAAATTAAAAAATTTTCACCTCGTGTATGTACTTTTAATTTACTTTAAATACTTGAATATAACCTAAAAATCATACAGGACCGTGCTAGAAGCAGATGTTAGATTCATTCGTAATTCTTGACACATCACGCGATTTTTTCAATCTTGCGTTTCAAAAACTGTTTGAGAAACGTTGAAAAAATTGTTTCAACCCCATTGTTGAGCGCAGCATAGAAATACTTTTAAGTATAATGATATAATAACAATTTAATAACTATTTCCTATGTAAATTTAATGGGAACCTCATTAATTAAATTAAAAAATAGTTTAGCTAAATTAAAGAAACTGTTATTTCGTTATTAGGTATTTAATATTGAATTGAATTGCTAATTTGTGTAAAGGGGGTCAAATTTAACCTCTGCATTATCTTCTATATTTTCTCCATTTCGCTTATGGTGTAATTTTGTAGAACCCATATTAACCTACCTTATAATTTAAATAAATTTCAAAGGTAAACGATTAATCCAATCACAATCACCAGTAACACACACTAAACATTAATTTTGTACCTTTATTTATCAAAATTAAAAACAATTAAAAACACTACACCTAAAATACTAAAACTAAAAACTTAATATTTTTTATCTAGACGAAGGCATTTCCGTACCGTAACTTTGTGTGAGTAACCTGCAACGTGTTGGTGTTAAACAGTCGGCCGGGTACTGGTTTTCTTCTTGGTTGCAGTCTCCCGCAAGATCCGAAAGACACCTTTTCCTCTCTCGGACGATTCGATGACCTCTTCGTCGTCGCCCATGGGCTGCCGCTGCTTCCCGGTTATGGCTATAACCCTAGGTAGATACTCCTCACAATTAACAATTGTTTTTAATTAAAATCAAGCCAATTTCAGCTTCAGTTTTTGATAACTTTATTTACAAAAATAACTACTGTTTCAACCAACCATGAAAGAGTTATTATTGATATAATCAGTACCTAATGCCGGAAAAAATCAACAAATTATTTAAAAGCCTTTATTACCAACTTTGTGACAAGTATTCGACGTCCAAATAAATTAATATTACCTTTTAATTCAGGATGTTTTATCATATAAAATCTATAGTCGTTAAACGATATAACAGTTCCAGATTGACTGTATTTGAAAATGTTTAAAATTTTGTTTATTTTTGCTTGTGGTTTGGTCGCGACAAATGCGGTACGTTTGGTTAAATAAATTTAATAATAGTATTTAGTAAAAAATAAATAATCTAATAATTTTAGATCTCTAAAGAATTTTTGGATAATTTTGTGAGTAAGATGATGGATATTGGCCAAAAATGTATGGTGGAGACTAAGGCTAATAGTGGTAAGTTTTTCTTGGCCGTTAAATATAATTAATTTAATTTTTTGTGTCTAAATGAAGAAATGTAGGTAAGTTCTACATTTGACTTTCAAGTGAAGGGCAAGGGTATTGAGTGTGGAACCGTAATACAAATAGGTTGTAAAAAGATAAAAAATAAATAAATTTGTTTTTTGCTATACTGTATTTAAAAATATCCTGTATATTAAGTTTGTTACATTGTGTGTAATTGTGTCTACAATATAGTGTACAGTGTAGAATACAAACAACAATTTGTTATTATGTTTTAGATGATGTTGCCAAACTTATGGATCATCAAATTCCCGATACGCATGAAGGAAAATGTATGATTTTTTGTTTTCACAAAGCTTTTGGAGTAGTAAGTCCATTTTTGAAATTTGCATTCCTAAAAGTAAGTTTTTTTCAATAAACTTTGTATTTCTGTATTATATTTTTATTCCAGCTAATATAGATGCTGATCCTTGCATAACCACTGCTACTTTGGGAGGTTGTGCTTCAGAAGTTGGAAAATCGGTAATTTTCGATTTGTTGTAATGTAATCAAGTTTTGGTCTAAAACATTATTTTTGTTTTCAGCTAGGAATAACTCCAAATATGTCCGAATATGTTCGAACTTTAAAATAGTCTCGATAAAAATGTATTTATTATGAAATAAATGTAAATTGATAAAAATACGTTTTATTTATTATTTATAAAAAATGCACTCTAAAAAACAATGATCTATCTATCAACCTGCTAGCAAGGTTAATCGTCAATTTTAATTGTTAAACAATACCTAAAAAATACAATTATTAAATTTTTTAATTGGTCCATAGTAAATAATGATTTTTTTTACGGCCTATATATAGGCTAAAAAGCACCTAAACCGAATGGTCTAATTAATTTTTAAGTAACTAGAACATACTCAATCACCTTAGTAACGAGTGTTGACGACATTAAAGTTTAAATGATAGACCGAAGTTTTATTGAATTGCATTTTTAAATTTGTATTTTGTATATTTATAAACGAATTATACAAAAATAAGCAACTATTAACCAACAAAACACTGTTTTCGATAATTATTTTTAAAAATGCAAATGATAACTTACTTGCATTTTACTATTTCAACCATCCGTGAAAGAGTTAATAATAGATTACAGATGCGAATTCTATATAAAAATAAGCAAATTATTTTAATTGGGGAAACAAAAGCTCTTATTAGCAATTTTGTAATAAGTTTTGGCCGTTTAAATGAACGTTCATTAAAAACCTCGACCTTCGATTATCAGGATGTTTTTTTATATAAAATAGAGGATTGTTAAATGATCTAACAGTTCCAGATCGGCTGCAAATTGATAAGTTATTAAAGTGTTTGTGAAAATGTTGAAAAATTTTGTGGTTTTTGCCTGTGTTCTGGTGGCAGCAAATGCTGTACGTTTATAAAAATATATTACAGTGATGAGTGATAAATAAAAATGTATTTTAGGTTTCTAAGGAGTTTATGGAAAAGATGATGAGTAAGATGATGGATGTTGGGCAAAAATGTATGGTGGAGACTAAGGCCAGTAGTGGTAAGTTTTTTGTGAAACCTTGTATATACAATATATATTATGAACTTGTTTTGTTTTTAGATGATATTGCCAAACTTCTAGCCCATCAAATACCCGATACCAATGAAGGAAAGTGTATGATTTTCTGTTTCCACAAAGCCTTTGGTGTGGTAAGTGTCTTATAAGTAGCTTATTTCCTTATACGTATGCGAATAAGCTATTTATAAAACCTGGGACATTCGGTATAATCACAAATAAATGCAAATTTAACTTTTTAAATTATTTTCAAGCAAACCCCTGATGGAGCCTTAAGCCTTGAGGGAGCGATTGCCTCCTTGGATCCAATCAAAGCCGATGACATGGAATTGTATGAAAAGGTTAAGTCTGTTTTTGAAACTTGCATCCCCAAAAGTAAGTTTTTTTATTTTAAATATAGTCTTCCTTTTATAATATTGTTTTGTTGTAGCTGCTGTCGATGCTGATCCTTGCATCACAGCTGCTACATTGGGAGAATGTGCTTCAGATGTTGGAAAATCTGTAAGTTACTAATTTTTTAATTATTAGTGGTGTAATATTTATTTTTTTAGCTGGGAATATCTCCAGATATGTTCGAAGTTTAAAGAATGTATTTAAAATGGATCTTGGTAAATGAAATAAACCTAAATGTATTTATTATAAAATAAATTTATTGTTCTATATTTTGTCTTTTATTGAATATACAGTTTGTTTCTTGACATTTTAAAACTTGTTTGTATTGATTTTTAAAATTTAATGGCAATTGCCAATGTTAACATTGCGTACTTATAAATTGTTTGATTTATTCCAAATAATCATGACTACAAACATCAAACAATATTTAAAAAATGTCAAATTCTAAGTAAATCTGTGGAAGGCTATTTATTTTACATCAGATTTGACAGGGGGTCCCTGTCAGGAGGTAATAAAACCATAGATTAAATCTATGAAGAAAAACTAAACAAATATTAACAATAAATTTAATGTTATGACTTGCATTTTTTAAGCATTCTCCAAACACACTTAGTGAGTATGAATCACTAAAACAGTAATTGTGATAATAAATTGTTGCCAAACGCATGCGCGTTAAAGATATAGCTAGCTATAGCTATAGCTATAATTTTCAAATAATTTTTCATTCAGCCTCTATTGAAAATCCGATTTTTAGTATAATAAAATAAAGCTAACTTCAGCCCGTGACTAAAAACCTGTTGCTAAGTTCAGCCTGTGACTAAAGCACCATAAAGACATAGCTTGTCAATGTGTATTTAAAAGGTGAGAGTATACTCTGAACGCTGAACTTAGCAACAGGTTTTTAGTCACGAGATGAAGTTAGCTTTATTTTATTATACTAAAAATTCTATAGAAAAAATTTGTTTGAGATTGTTATTATTCGTAAAGCTGAAATATACTATTTCACCACTAGAATCTAAAATGTAATTCCATTCAAATAAACTTACCCAATATTTATATTCATAATTTACCAACATAGTTAACAGATATAATAATTAAATTAATTAAAGTTATCAATAATCACAACCATAATATATTATTAATAACTACATACCTACTGTTAAAAACAACAGAAGACCTGGGGTTCTAACATACACTTTATACAATTTTTAACCACTGATTAAATTACAAAATCCATTTTAATTAATCCTTATCCGATGTGTATTTAAAATCCAATGTTCAACTGCTAGGAGTAATTAAGCGCATAATTTTAGGTAGGTGTGTAATTATGTTTTTTGATGGTTATTTGTTGTCCCCCTCTTAAAATGTCTTTTATAATAAAGTTTTGTTAAAACAATGTTTTTATTTTTAATTTAAAATTCAGGTTATATATATTATGTATCAAGTTTTATAAACCCCATTTTGGTTTTATTAGGCATTAAGGGGCTTTTATTTTGTTCAAAGAGTTTTTTTCTTAACTACACAAAAATATCTCAGTTTCAAACTCTTTACAAGGTTAAGATTTGAATAATAACATTAATGGCAAATTCAAAATTTTGTACCAACGCAATTAATTTAAAAATATGCCCATAAATATTTCAAGTAATAAATATGACCAAATATCAATTAAATTAATTAAGTTTTAAAACATGTCATCAATACTTGATATTTAAAATCCAAACTTGTTATTAAATGTTTTGGCCCCAGTATGTATTTAAAATCATAATATTAGGTTACAAAGGGGTAATTAACCTGCATGAAATTTTTAATTAACGGGAAATTATTTTTTTATATTGATTAATTTATTGTCCCCAGAGTAATTTTTTCGTATATAAAGATGGAAATATAAGTACAAAATTCTCATACAGAAAGAAATCATCATGAAATATTTTATTGTTGTGGCTTGCCTTTTTGCCGCTGCAAATGCAGTAAGTATTGTTAAGTTAATTGAAGATTATAAAGCATACTAAAGCTCTATTTTAGGTTTCAAACGAATTCATGGCTGATTTCGTAGGTAAAATACGAAACTTTGGTGGAAAATGTGTTGGTGAAGTAAACGCCCAACCAGGTAAAACATTTGAAACATTTTGAAACATTTTAAACAAGAAAATTTTATTGTTTTTTTTAGGTGATATCGATACTCTGTTGGCCCATAAAGTACCAGAATCCCACGAAGGAAAATGCCTATTGTTCTGCATCCACAAGAACTTTGGAGTGCAAAAGGACGACGGAGGTATCAGTTTGGAGGGAGGTATAAAATTTTTAGAACCTCTAAGAGCCGACGATCCAGTCATGTACGATAACGTTAGGAAAATTGCAGTGGTGTGCGCCACAAAAGGTAAATTATTCTTAAAAAATAATAATAATAATATTAATTTTTTCTTCTTTGATATACGAGTAGTTCTACCAGATGGTGATCCATGCCAGACAGCTGTTAATATTAATTTGTGTTTGGTCGAACAAGGAAAACTTGTAAGATTTATTTATTTATTTATTTATTTCGGTATATTCTTTATCATTTTGTTTTTTATTATAGGTTGGTATTACAAGTGAATTGTTCGAGATTTAAACTTTAACCTAAAGTGGTGAATGCGAGTTAATATTTGTAGTTTTGTTTAATGTACTAATAAAATCAATGTTCTAAATATACCTATATAATGTTTTTTTTTATTTCCTATATTCAAAATGTTCCTTTAATTTTATAGATCGATTTATTTAAAGTAATAAATTAACAAAAATATAAAAAGGAAGAGTGGTTCTATCTATCGCGTTTAGCAAAGAAAATGTGACAAAAATGACAAAACTCGCAAACTTAATTTTGAATTTTAAACAACAAAAATAAAGTACAAGCCAAAATTATAAAACATTTCATAATGATTTCAGTAATTTTTTACTAACAATTCAATTTTTTATATACCTAAACAACTACTACTAATTAATTTACCAACATGAATTATTACCCCATAATTACAAATTGTCACAAATTAATTACATCTGCCAGTTAAACATTATAATTTATAAATTTAAAATTATTAAAGAAGAATTTTATTTGTTAAACATTTGACATCTGACAATAAAGCCTGTAACTAAAATGACCAAAAGCCACTGCTGCAAACTTCAGCCCGTGACTAAAACGCCATAAAATCACTGTCACTGTTGGAAAATACACACCTAGTGGTTATGTTCTTATTTATATTTTCGTAAATACTTTATTCGTAAGTATTGACACGACTGTTATACCAATAGTATTGCAAAATCCGATTGCGTAAAGCATAAACTTTGCATTTTGCGAACTGAAGAACGATTGGACCTTGATAAATTTAAATAAACTTAAGGTGTAATTAAGCCTAATCAATTTTCAATTACGAGGTAATTATTCTTCTCGGTAGATTAATTTGCGTGTCCCCAGTGTTGATTTTTTTGGTATATAAAGTTCTGAAAAAATGGAATTGGCAGTACAGTTCTTGATTATTTATTAAAACAGTAAGAAGTCAACATGAAATATTTAATTATTTTGGCTTGCCTTTTTGCCGCTACCAATGCGGTAAGTATACTTAACAAAAGTTGTTGTTTGAAATTTACTATAAAAAAACTTTTATGTTTAGGTTTCAAAAGAATTCATGGCTGATTTCGTTGGTAAAGTAAGAACTTTGGGAGACAAATGCGTCGGTGAAGTAAAGGCTCAACCAGGTAAAATTTGTGAAAATTTTCAGAAAAACCAATATTTTATTATTTTTTTAAGGTGATATCGACACTCTGTTGGCCCATAAGGTGCCTGAAACCCACGAAGGAAAATGCTTACTGTTCTGCATCCACAAGAACTTCGGCATCCAAAAAGACGACGGCGGTTGGAGTTTGGAGGGAGGTTTGCAATTCATAGAACCCCTAAAAGCCGACGACCCAGCTATGTTTGAAGACTTAAGAAAAGTCGGTGTCACCTGCTCAACCAAAGGTACGGTAACTTAAAACAATGCAAGTAAACATTCACAATTATTTTTTTTAGTTGAAAAGGATGCTGATCCTTGTATAACCGCTGTCAATATTGCAATGTGTTTGGTCCAGGAAGGAAAAGCTGTACGTTTATATTTTAAGTTTGATGTGTTTTTATTGATTATAATTTGTTTTTATGTTATAGTTTGGCATTACCAGCGAATTGTTCGAAATCTAAGAGGTTGGGAAGAAATTATGATTGTAATAATAATTGTAGTTTTGATTAAATATATCAATAAAACCCTATTAAAATTATTTGATGTTTTTTAATTTTATATATTATTAAATGTCCCACCACTACATGAAGAAAATTTTATTTTCTTTACCTTATTTCGTTCTTTCTCCTCCAGTCAGGATTGGTTGTTAGAAGCAAATGGTTTATCTTAATATTTGCTCCTTGTTTTAGCAACAATTTTTAGTATAATTCATAACACAAACAACTCTTAATTAAAAAAAACTTAAGAATGGATATTAAATCTACGTAATTGGACAAACTTCTTTCCTAACAGTATCGTTTACACGTCTTTGAAAAAATTAAATTATTTTCAATTCTATTTGTACATTTTTCATCATGGACTTGAGAGCAATCTTCTCCATTGAAGTTGTTTGTTCTATTGACACAGAACTCTCAAAATTGTTTCCAAACGTTGTTTTGATTTCATGGTTTTCTATTTTGAAAAGCTAAGTCGTTGATTTCCCATAGCAACTTAAACTAAAATATTGATTTCATTGAGAATGGATGACAAATAGCTATTATGTCTAGAGTCATCAATTGACATGCTGTCATGTTTTTACATATATCGAAAAAGATATCGATATATTTTTAAATAGGTATATCGGTTTAAAAATAGTTATTTGTTTTACAAGTGATGAAAAGCGACTTTTTCATGCGAGTTTTTAAGTTGCCCACGAGGCCGTTAGGCCGAGTGTGCATTAACACGAGCTTGAAGAAAGCTTTTCTCCCAAGTAGGTATAACACAATTTTTTTTCTGCGACCCTTTTATTTTTTATTATTTTTAAATACAAAACAAAATAACCTAAAAACTTTTTTGACAGCTGAATGTCAAACGATGCTGTCAATTTCTTTTCACACAGACCTGTCACTTTTCACACAGAAATGTCACTTTACACTCGTGTTTTGCGTTGCCAATGAAAAGATTCATTTTCTAAGCAACGATGCCATCATGAAAAGTGACTTTTACATAGTGGTCGTAGAAAAACTATTTTTCTTAATCAAAAATATTACATTAATAATAATAATAATAATAATAAAATTAGAATATCTAACACAAGTCAAAACAGAACATTAAATACAATTGTGGAAAAGATAAAAATACAATTATAAGAATCAGTTTGTTAATAAAATAAATAATAAAATCAGTGTATATAGGAACAATAAAAATAATAATAAAAGTAAAAAAAATATTTGGTAAATTCAGGTTCCACTTCCAAAAATATGACTCGTGTGATGAAAATATATCGATAATTTTTCACAATTTTTTAGTCATGGTAGTTAAACTGTAAGTAATTTTTAACTAAAAAATAATAGCGAAAAATAAAACTATTGTTATTATATTTTTGATCAAATTCGAATACCAAACCTAGTATCCTTAATTACTTTAACTGCATGGCTTTACTGTATTATCGGAAGTTGATTCATTAATAAAAAAATAATTCCAAATAAACAAAACACTAATATTTTGCAAATCGTAATATCCCTGAACTTGACTAACCTAATCCATTTCTAATAATATATCATGTAAACTTGCACACAATTGTCAAGGATCATAGTGTATGATTAGTAAATAATTAACAGTGCTAAGGACTATAATTTATTTATTTAACGTTTGTTTTAATTAAAAAATACATTAGTTTTATTGTTTTTATTTATTATAAAAGCTTGTACATTAAAAATTAATGCATACTTGAGTTTAGATAAACAAGAACACAAGTACTATATATTTTTTGGTAAAATGAGGGGGTTAGTACTTTTTATTTCTATGGTGGTAGCAACTAGTGCAGTAAGTAAAATAGTTCTACCTATTTTCAATTTTTTTTATATTCCTTAAAAATTTCAGTTATCGCAAAAATTCGTAGAAGATTTTATGGATAAATTACAAGAGGTTGGTGAGAAATGCTCTGAAGAAGTTGGTGCCACTGATGGTAAAAAATACATGTAATGCTATGGTAAAATTTTTTAAATAAATCGTTTTAGATGATATAGCTGCTTTGATAGCCCACACTATACCTGAATCACATACTGGAAAATGTTTGGTATTTTGTTTCAACAAAGCTTTCCATTTGGTACGATACCTTCTAAGCATGAAGTCTTAAAGTTTGTGCTAGTACAAAAAATATACTATTTCTTTTAGCAAAAAGAGGATGGCAGCTCTGACCTGAAAGGATCGATGCAATCCTTGGAACCCCTTAAGGCTGACGACAAGGAAATGTACGATAAGGTTCTCAAGATTTTCATAACGTGTGGTACCAAAGGTGCGTCACCAAAGCAATTTTTTTTGTTTTCTAATATTTTATTTTTTTTAGTTAAACAAGATCCCGATCCATGTATAACTGCGGCAAATATGGGACAATGCGCTGCCGATGAAGGAAAAGCTGTATGATATTTTTATATTTTATATTTTAAAAATATTTTCACTAAAATATTTTTTTTAGATGGGATTATCAGCTGACGTCTTTGAAATTTAATAAAATTAATCACGATTATTATTTTTTTAATTACGAAATATGTGAATAAATGATATAAAACCATTATTTTACTATTTGTTTTACCCCTATTTAAACTAAACCATAATTGACTACACTTTAAATATTGTTAATTTTAACTAGATTTTATTTTAATCCATGGATTAAGTTTACAAACATTTGTAATCCATTAACTAATTGAATAAGTACTTTATAATTATAACAAACATTTTGTAGATTTAATAACAAAACCCTATGTCAATCTCTCTAAAAATGAATTACTCAAAAATGACTAATTTAATAGTTATTAGTGGCTGCTTTTTTACTTGTACCATGGTTAACCATGGAATACCATGGTATACCAAAATTTAACATTTTTCCCTGAATCCGAAAATACCGTCCTAAATTATAAAAGTGGAGCAGTTTTTGAGATATAGTCATTGACTATTAGTCAATTCCATATTAAATGGAAAATTGACTATAGTCATATATATATATCAAAAACGGTTCTGGGATACCCTGGTATTCCATGGTTAACCATGGTACAAGTGAAAAAGCAGCCACTAATAACTATTAAATTAGTCATTTTTCACACGTTACGAATTGGAATAAAGTAAGCAGAAACATAAGTTGCAGCTACAAACTCATGTTAACAAATCTGATTTTTATAACAGCGTACAGTTCCAGGGGTATTGTAAATTATAAGGAGAAAAGATATAAAAAACTACGATTTTTAAGCTTCTCTTTGCATTTTTTGGTAACAGTGCCCTCTTAACCATTGTTATTATAATGGTCTAGAAAAATTAAAACAGAATAAAGTAAACAAAAACGTATTCAAAACGTAGTCACTTCTCAGTCTTATACTTATATTACGACATAAATGACTATTTTGCAAATAATATTACAAAAACATCATCCTTTTTGGACAAACCAAACTTAAAACTCTATTACTGAAACTGGGCATTAATTTAATACGAATTTACAATATCCAAGTTCATAGTTTGTCGCAACATCATTAGCAAAATTTAATTATTAACTTGCTTTAACTTAATTATAACGAATATTTTCTATTAGTTACAGTGAATGATTTGCAAAGTTGGTATTTAAATACTATGTCCTAGGAAAATTAACGCAGTTTTGTATACATTTTCGTTACTATAGTCTTGGTACGCCAAAAATGATACAGTTTGTTATTTTTCTTTGTGTGCTAGTTTCAGCTAATGCGGTTAGTATTTAAATATTTTAATTTTAATTATTTTATTACATAATAATAGTGAAAGAATGTTTTTAAAGTCCATAAAGGCTGATCAAATAGTTCGTACTTTGATTGAAGCTTCATTATCTTTATCGACTTAGTATTGTGTAAGATTCTATGATCAAAAGTGTCAATTCAATTAAAATGGATATCATAGTTTTGCAAATAGTAAAATCCGCTAATTTTAAATTTAATTTAACAGTTTTCAAAAGAAGTGGCAGACCTATTTATGACAAAAATGGATCAGGTCGGAGAGGCTTGCATAAAGGAAACAAAAGCTAGCCCAGGTAATATTTTTTTAAGTTTACTCAGTGCACTGCAGTGGTTATTTATATTAAATTTTGTATAATTTTTTGAAGATGATATAATCGAGTTATTAAACTATAAAGTCCCTACCACCCAGGAAGGAAAGTGTATGCTATTTTGCATTAATAAGGCTTTTAACTTGGTATGTTTAAAAATTTACTAAAAAGTTTAAATAAATTAAAATTATTAAAATTTCAGCAAAATGATGACGGATCGGCCAATAAAGATGACATTTTTAAATTTGTAGATAGGTTATCTGAACTTCATCCACATGTTCATCAGCAATACAGAACCATAGTTGAAGAATGTTTAAACAATGGTACTTTATCAAATATTTTAATGTTCGTATATGTAGAGAATTATTTTTTATTTTAGATTCTATCAAAGACGAAGATCCTTGTGTCTTTGCAGCTAACTTTGTCAGATGTTGTGAAGAAAAATTGGATTAAAAACAGTTCGATAATACCTATATTAATTAAATAAACGTTATATGAATACAAAAAGCATATCATTTAACTGGGTTTTACTATTTTATTTTTAACGCCAAAAAATAAAAGTATCTTAATCTTGATTTTTTAATATCTTTTAGAGCTGTTAACACCCACAAAAAAAACAATTTACTTTTCAATAAATTTATTCAATATAAAACACTCTTGAATTTTATACATTATCTATTATCTTAAATTATGCATGAATTGTATACATTATCTATTTTCTTAAAATATGCCCACTATTTTTTTAAAACTTTTTAACTTAATTTTTTTATATATTTTAACTACGTTTTAATCGGCAAACAATTTTTTTTTATTTCTTCATAAAAACTATTTAAACTTGAACACGCCTGAATCTACTTTTATATTGTGATTTTGCTAAAGTTAAATTATGAAAATAATGAAAAAAATGTGTGTACATTTTTTTTATTTGCAATTATATACGGTGTACTTTAAATTTATAGAAAAAAACTTGTTTATTAAATGTTAAATTTGACTACAATAGTTAATGGATTCTTGTATTAAACCTAGATGAAGCTGTTGAAATTTTGCTACATATACCGGTAAGTATATGTTTTGCTAGCTACGTGATAATAAATTAAATATATTCAGCAAATATAATCCAGTAGGTGCCGTTCAGGCCGGCGAACAATAAGGGGAATCCCCATCTAGAAAATCTATCAATGTTGATGGCTCTATTTCGTGCTTTCTGGGCTGCATTGGGGGGCGGAGGGGTTTTGGGGGTGCCGCTGAGCAGCAGCGAGTTCTCCTTCGACGACGGCATGTTGAAGATGTTGTCCACTTTTTTCGGGGGCGGCTGGGGCGGTTGGGGCGGCTTGGGAAGATCCGAGTCGCCCAGAACAATGTTCACCAGGCAGTATTCCATCAGAGCCATAAATACAAATCTACAAAAGTTTTTTTCACAAATTGGGAAGTTCAAAACGTAACTTTCTTACATGGTACAAACAGACATAAAAGCATCTACAGCCTTTAAATACGAAACCGGCGGCAGTGCTGCCTGACTCTTGGCATGCTGGGTGGATAAGGTTAGAAGGGACGTAACTCCCAAAGTCACTCTAGCAGGGGCTGCCTCTGGTTTTATCCAAAATGAGACCCACTGCAAACACATTAGTCAATTAGTTCAAGTTCAATACTAGAATAAAAATGAATTAGCTAAATTAGTTTAATTTCCAAAAAAAACTGATCTGTAGACCTTTACTCACCGACATTATTACTATGAGACATGTTGGAATATAAGTGTGGAAAAGGTAGTACCCCAATCTCCTTTTTAGTTGAAAAACTACCTCCAAACAGGTGAAGTTGCCTATTAATTAAGAAAATTTAGTAAAAAAAGTGGTTTTAAAAGATCTACAAAGTTTAACCAACATTCTATTTATTGTTGAAATCAAACTATATTTTTTTGAGGATTTTGATGGGCTGAATTCGAATACGATATTAAAATTGCTCCATAACGTCAGGTAAAAAAAGTGCAAAAAAAAGAGGTTGAATTCGGATTCAGCACGTCAAAACCGGAAATTAATATTAAAGAGAAAAAACGAACGAAATTTTAACCTGTCGAATATACTTGTGTACAGTCAGCAGTGTGGTTTTTTATCAAGGCTAGCTGGGGTAGTTCAATGTTTTCGTCCACCACCAAGGGTACATCTGGGTCCCATTGAAAAACCATGTCCTCGGTCGTATGTGAAACTAAAATTGTTTTAAACTGTATTTAAAACAAATAGATTTCAATAAAATACAAAATCGTATTATTGTTATTGTGTTTATAGATATTTAATTGATAGGTAATTTTCATTATGAAAAGTAAATTTCAAATAAATTGGAAACTTCCTTATAAACAAGTTATACAATCCAAGTACTAATTAATTGTATGTATACCTATAGGTACATTTAAATTCGTAAAAATACCAATTAATAAATAAATTTATTGGTTCGCAAAAATATCTTTCCAAACCTTAATAATATGAATATTAAATAGCAAACCTGATTTTTTTTTAATTTAATAAATAACTGAAACTCGATTTTTTTTTGGTGTATACATTATTTTTTATTTAAATTATTAAGAGATCCTTTTTTATAAAATACAAAAATTTATTTTATCCACTTAACAAGCTTTATATTTTCCTTACGACTCTAAAAAGTTCTTATTACAATTGTATTAATAGTATTACTATACTTACGACTCTCCATTTGTAGTTTACATTCCTGCGTATCATGTGGATATATCATAAAATTCATGGCACAGGAAAGCCTTAACGTTAACCTACAAATAAAAATATAACCGTAAACCTAAAACGCAAAAAGAAATAACCACCAAAACGTACTTAACCATGTAGAGTATAGTTTTATCCTTGTAAAGCCACATGTAATGGTTTGGAATCGTCATCGTTTGAAAGGTGACGGATTTAGCGTTTTTAAAGAAGGAATCAGGTCGCCACATGTTCTTCAACCAATCAACTTCGAGAAGACGGTACTCTGACGTCATATTTTCTGGCAGGCGCAACCTGTGATCCTTCCAGGTTTGAGCAAAGAAGATATCCGCCGCATATGTCTAAAATATTACATAAATAAAAGTTTTTAAACAGTTTATGGAACGCTGTTTTATTTTTTTTTAGGAATTATTCTTCAGATAACACTTGAGTAATATTTTCAATTAAATAAAAATTAGATTAAATAATATCATTGGAGACATTTAAAAAGTTAATTTAATTTTTATGCCAAGCTGATTTTTAAATTTAGTAATTTTCTTATCAACTTTGTATACAGGGTGGTCCAGGTTATAGTAGCAATAATTCACCATTCGATAGTCCATCGAAAAATAAGTCAACATGCATGGTAATTTTTTTCTCCAAAACCCCTCCTAAGGGAGATACAGCCCTTCAAAGTTGAGTTTTAAAATTTTTATTTTTGCCATAACTTTCAGGAAATAAAAGCGTTTTTGACCAAATTTGGTACAAGTACTTATGAAATAGGTACTCGTTACCTGACGTAAGTAACTTTTGTCAAAATTGTCCAGTGACGTAGATACAGGGGGGTTGTTTCACTTTTTCCACCCCATTTTTTACGCCACTGGATATTGGTTTAAATTGACCCATTTTTCTAATTCCTTGTTCAATTTTGAGAAAAAAAGCCACTCTTGTCAAATTTTGATTTAAGGCTTTGTTTACGAGATAATTGAGTTTAAAAAAAACATACAGTACTGCAAAGTTCAGTTTTAAATATCTTTTTTTTGTCATAACTCTAACTCTAAGATCGCTAAAGCGTTTTTTACCAACTTTGATACATGTACTTAGTAAATAGATACTCGTTACTTGACCCAAGTAACTTTTGTAAAAATTGTCCATTGGCGTAGATACAGGGGTTGTTTCACTTTTTCCGCTCAGGATTTCACTGATGTGATTGTGTCACCAATACGTTGTGTACATTCTCAAAGACCTTGCGATGTGGCTGTCGTTTATTGGGAAAACGCCTTTGATATTCTTGAACTGCTTGCAACGCGTTCCCATCACAAAATCCATAAATGAAGTGAATATCGGCGTATTCTTGGTTCGTGAATCGAAAAGGCATATTTATGATTACAGGATACTTGTATTAACTCTAAAATATCTTAACAGACTGTAAAAAATAATAGAAAACCTTTATTAACACTCTGACAGCTATTTCAGTTGTTTAAGACTGACAGTTCATACTAGAGTGGGGCCGCCCTAATTTTATTGGATAAAGCGTATCAGGCCACTTGATAATTTTAAATAAAAATACGTCAAGTGTTGATTACCTATTTTAAATACCTATACCAAATTTAATCAAATATTCTTAAACGATATGAGAGTTATAACAAAAAGATAAATCTTAAAATTGAATTTTGAAGGGCTTTATGTCTAGTTTTGAAGAAAATAAAACAATGCATGTCGAGTTATTTTTCAGTGAAATCCTGGGCGGAAAAAGTGAAACTGTGTACGCCAATGGACAATTTTGACAAAAGTTACTTGGGTCAAGTAACGAGTATCTACTTCATAAGTACTTGTATCAAAGTTGGTGAAAAACGCTTTAGCGATCTTAGAGTTAGAGTTATGACAAAAAAAGATATTTAAAACTGAACTTTGCAGTACTGTATGTTTTTTTTTAAACTCAATTATCTCGTAAACAAAGCCTTAAATAAAAATTTGACAAGAGTGGCTTTTTTTCTCAAAATTGAACAAGGAATTAGAAAATTAGGTCAATTTAAACAAATATCCAGTGGCGTAAAAAATGGGGTGGAAAAAGTGAAACAACCCCCCTGTATCTACGTCACTGGACAATAGGGTGATGCAAAAAAATTTTTTTTTTGAATTCTATGCGAGACCACTCGGGTTTTCAAAGAGTATCAAGAAAATAAAAATCTGTAAAAATTTTAGAGAAATCAATTAAAATTTAGAGGTCGCTCAACGCAATTGTTTAATTTAGAAAAATCACGCATCTCAAATGCATTGCTCTAAACAAGTAGGCATATTTCATACAAATTTGAATGAAAATGGTTGAATTTTTTTTTGGTGGACTCTTAATGATTATTCTAATAAATAATGTTGTCCCGATTTCAAAAAATTGTTCATAATATTTAAAAAATATATATTAATTAGCAAATATAGCTTAGTTAACAAATAATTCATTCAATTTTTTTTTTGTTTCAAAATCTGTAAAAACATTGTTAATAGGTCTACAAGCAATTATTCATTCACAAAAACACTCGCCCCCATCGTTAAATATGAGAAAAAAAATAATATTTTAATTAACTACACTTCGCGTCAAATTTAACGCACCACTAAAAGTTTGTCACATTTTCAAAGTTGATTTTCTCGCTAACCGTCAAACCGAATTTAGTGATTTTTATAAAAAATTGTAGGGTTATTCTTCGGTAATAATGCGTTTATTAAAATATTTTTTTAAATTAACATTTTGAGTATATACAGGGTGCACGAGTGATAATAAGTTTTTTCCAGGAAATTTAAGACGCCCTGTGGATTGTACCAGCTATAACAGCATATGTATCTTATAATCAAACTATAGCCACATCTTCTCTTAACATTTTGTTTTTTGATTCACCGCGTTATCTTTATTTTTAAATGAAATATACAGTTAAAGATTAAAGAACTCCAGTTTAATACAAAAATGTAAAAAGAACGATTGTAACAATAACAACAAAAATATTAACAAAATCAATAAAACCAACATTAAAGAATATCAATATCGCGTATTTCTGCCTCTACTTCCAATTACGGCTTCACATCGACGGCTTACACTCGAAACCAGATGTCTAATCTCGTCTTGATCAATGACATTTCATATTTCTCGTAGCATATTTGCTACGTCATCAAGGGAGGCATTTCTTAGTCGTCTACCCATATTATCCCACAAATGCTCGATGGTGTTGAGATCCGGACTATTTGCAGGCCAGTCTAAAGTTTTAACATCCACCTCATGTAAGTACTCTTGCACTATATAGCATTATCCTGCATCAGTAAAAAATTATTACCGGGCGAAAGGGACAACATGTTCAAATAAAATGTCCTCGATATATCGTACACTATTCATGATTTTTAATCTTTAAATGTATATTTTATTTAAAAATAAAGATAACCCGGTGAATAAAAATACAAAATGTTAAGAGAACATGGGGCTATAGTTTGATTATGAGACATATGCTGTTATAGCTGGTACAACCAACAGGGCGTTTCAAATTTCCGGAAAAAAAACTAATTATTACACTTGCACCCTATATATACTCAAAATGTTAATTTAAAAAAATATTTTAATAAACGCATTATTACCGAAAAAAACACCTACAATTTATTATAAAAATTACTAAATTCGGTTTGACGGTTCACAGTGGTCCTCGACTAGCCATGGGTTGTATGAAAATGGCGCCAAAAAATGATTTCGGATTTTGATAGGTATATCTATAAGCATTGCAAAAATTCATCAAGTAAAATCGTAGCTGATCATTAACTTATTTTATGGATGTAACAATTTCGCATTTTTACATAGCCTTTAGATTCCTACAATTTTAAAAAAGTACTTTTTATTTTTACAGTGAAAAAGGTTATTGACCAAAACAAATTCACATATACTCAATATTTGTTACAAATGTCTAGAGGAGAACTCAACAACACCTTTTTTTAACTGGATTTGATAGCAAGGATCTTGTAAGAGATTTATTTTATATCGGTTCCAGTACTTAACAAACTCTCTATGAATAGATTCTCCTGCTTGCTCTGACCATAAACCAAGTCCACCTTCTTGAAGAAACTGCAAAGATTGAGTAATATATTCCAAAATGACGTGCAATTTAAAAGACTTTGAAAGCCCAGCTCTCTAAAAATGAATTAGTCAAAAATGACTAATTTAGTTATTAGTGGCTTTTTTTACTTGAACCATGGTTAACCATGAAATCCCAAAATTTAACAACCAATTCTTATGTAAAATTGTCTCCTGAATCCGAAAATGTCTTCAAAAGTTAAAAAAGTAGAACAGTTTTTGAGATATAGTCAATTTTCCATTTAATATGAAATTGACTATATCTCAAAAACTGCTAAACTTTCATAATTTTTGACGGTATTTTCGGATTCAGGGAACAATTTTACATAATAATTGGCTTTTAAATTTTGGGATACATGGCGACAAGTATTGCAGATGGAAATTGAAATTGGGAACTTAGGATTCTGTAATTAAAAATTTCGACGATTTTGTATTACCCATAATAATTTTCTGCCCACATGCTGTTATGCTCATGGTTGCTTACAATTTCAATAGGGTTCATTTTATCATAAAAGTAACAATAAAACCGACAAAAATTATTAGATTTGTGTTTTAAGGCAAACAGTAACTGACAACCCTAGACCAAACCTAGGCTGACAACTGACAAGTTAATCAAATATTTCAGTGTCAACTTATCAATGAACCTATATGTCAACTTTTGTGACCTCCAATTATTGAAATTAATCTAAAACAATGTAAACATAAATAAAAGTATCACAAAAACAAATTTTTATGATCAGCTATGATTTGACTTGCAGCGTTTTTGTAACCTTGATATACATGCCTACTAATATCTGAACCTATTTTTTGGCGCCATTTTCATAAAACCCATGGCTAGTCGAGGACCACTGTGGGTTATATATGTATAATACATTGTATATACTCAAAACTTAAATTTAAAAGAATTTTTTAATAAAGGCATCATAACCAAAGAATAAACCTCAATTTTAAAACAAAAATTACCAAATTCGGTTTGACGGTTCGCGAGAAAATCAACTTTGAAAATGTGACAAACTTTAGTGGTGCGTTAAATTTGACGCGAAGTGTAGTTAATTAAAATATTATTTTTTTTCTCATATTTAACGATGGGGGCGAGTGTTTTTGTGAATGAATAATTGCTTGTAGACCTATTAACAATGTTTTTACAGATTTTGAAACAAAAAAAAAAATTGAATGAATTATTTGTTAACTAAGCTATATTTGCTAATTAATATATATTTTTTAAATATTATGAACAATTTTTTGAAATCGGGACAACATTATTTATTAGAATAATCATTAAGAGTCCACCAAAAAAAAATTCAACCATTTTCATTCAAATTTGTATGAAATATGCCTACTTGTTTATTGCAATGCATTTGAGATGCGTGATTTTTCTAAATTAAACAATTGCGTTGAGCGACCTCTAAATTTTAATTGATTTCTCTCAAATTTTTACAGATTTTTATTTTATTGATACTCTTTGAAAACCCGAGTGGTCTCGCATAGAATTCAAAAAAAAATTTTTTTTGCATCACCCTACTGGACAATTTTGACAAAAGTTACTTACGTCAGGTAACAAGTACCTATTTCATAAGTACTTGTACCAAATTTGGTCAAAAACGCTTTTATTTCCTGAGAGTTATGACAAAAAAAAGATTTTTAAAACTCAACTTTGAAGGGCTGTATCTCCCTTAGGAGGGGTTTTGGAGAAAAAAATTACCATGCATGTCGACTTATTTTTCGATGGACTATCGAATGGTGAATTATTGCTACTATAACCTGGACCACCCTGTATATTCTTAATGTTTAAAGATGATAAGAATTAAAGGAGGAATGGTAAATATTTTAGGATTTTAGGCGTAAGGGAGGAAGTAGCACTTTTTCTCTCATTCCCACCACTTACCTCCATTTTGTAACCTTGGTTGTAACCATATATATACTGTCAGTGACAGATACCTAACCTCGACTCTACGTCATGTGTCGAAAAATTCAAAATGGAGGTAAGTGGTGGAAATGAAAGAGGTAATCCTGAAATTTTAAAACAAAAAATTATTTTTTTACCATGGATCCTTCATCAATACTGTCCAAGCCCATGACAGTAACATGAAAATAAACTTTGGTGGGATTCCCATCTACCTTTGGCGGGCGCATTTTATCGTACTTGGCTGGATCTTCCGGCAGGATGTCTCTTATGTTGAGTCCGGTCCTAAAAGTACAAAGAAAAACAGTGGTGTCACTTACTTTCTACGAGCTGTAACAACGTACGCAATCTCGTCTGACGGTGGCAGATCCGCTTTTTTCTCCGCAAATTGTTCATGATAATAATCTAATGGGCATAAGCTGTAAAGAAATTGTTTTTTGTGAATAAATTTGGCTGTTTTGATTTCGAGAAAGAGAGACAATTTCTTTATTGCTTTATTTACATCAAAATAATTCGTGCATGATTTGGTAAATGCTTTGAGGGAGAGCTATATTTTTTTCATTTTTATAATATGTAATTGTCAAAATAAAACGATTAATAAAATAGACCTTAAAGATAGCCGGTATACTTGATAAGTTTGAAAAATGTGTTAATATGTAAACTTAATTGTTGTACTTACGAAATTTCTCCATCTATTGGATCATATAGTAGTAGAAATAGAAACATGAAAATTAGGTTTGTTGAATTTCTTACTTGGGATATATTTATGTGGTCCATTTTTCTGGAAAAATATTTAATTTTTATTTTATTTATTTATTAAAATCAAGCTTATTTATCAATTTTAATATCAAGTTTTCTTTTGTAAAAATATATTGTTCCCGGGGATATATTTATGTGGTCCATTTTTCTGGAAAAATATTTAATTTTTATTTTATTTATTTATTAAAATCAAGCTTATTTATCAATTTTAATATCAAGTTTACTTTTGTAAAAATATATTGTTCCCGGCGCATTCGCCATTTTTGCAAAAATTTAAAACCACATTTTTTAAATAAATATATTAAACAACGACATTTTTTGTGTGGGGATGTAAATTTAAAAAGAATCGTTGAATCTCTATCAATTTTAGCCATATGTAGTATTTTATGTAACGCATATGGTTTACAATCAAGGGCAATAAAATGTGTGTATACATAGTATAATCCACAAGATTTTATCAAACGGCAACAATCTAAAAATTGTTTTTTTATAATTATTATAATAATTTATATTATAACACTGTGGAATAAATTGATGAACAAAACCTATATTTGATTTGTCTGTGTTATATGTTACCCCCCACTTAAAACGTTTCTGCAAATTTAGATTCTAAAATTTTTTTAAATTTTACTCAACCACCAAAAACTGACTAATTGTGATTTTCTTGTCTTCAATGTTTTGTTTTTAAACTTACTATATATAAATAAATTCAACATTAGTAGATGATAGCTATAGAAATTGTAAAATCTTAACCTAATTCTTTCTATAAAAGTAGGGATTGTAATAATTTTAACAAAGACAAACATTTTACCGAAAGTTTTGTATAGATACTATGCAATTTTGTACAGAGCTGCAATGTGATGTGGTTAGCTGTAAAAAGGCGCGTGGATACACAGTAAAAAATATTTGTTAATTTTAACCAAATATTAACCAGATTTCATGTTAATCCAGGTCCATACTGTATGTTAAGATTACAACCAACTGTAATAACAAACGCTTTTGTAGATCCAGTATAAATGAACACAAAAATAACACACAATTCTGAAATCATCAAATTATAAAGAAATTTGCTACAATATAATTATCAGTGCTACTACCACACTAACGTATGTATTTCGTAACTTTAGCATCTTTTTTGGGATACTTCGCACTTTGCACACTCGTTAAATAGGAATAAGGACTCCGAATATCAATAATATCAGATTTCTGGTAATATATTATAAACACTCTGGACAGTTGTTACGAACACGTTACGAATTAGAATTAAGTAAGCAGAAACATAAGTTGCAGACGCTGAAGTCAGTTGAACTTGTTGATGCGTATTGTCAGTGGGAAATGTTTTGATTGAATGACTAAAACATTGGGTACTTTTTTAACAAAATAATCTGTTAACTTTAAAATTAACAAAATTGCATATTACGTTTACAAAACTTTTGGTAAAATATTTTATTTTGTTAAAATAATCACAAACCCAGGTTTTCTACAAAAAATTTGTTGAAATTTTGCAAAATAAAATTTACAAATGTTTATATATTTATTTAAATAGAGTTCAATTGCCAAGAAATAATTTTCAATAGCTGTCAACTTACTCATTAAAGTATATTCACTAAAAATCACAAATTGGCTAAAGTCATGATTGTCTACTAGAACAAAACACTGAAAAAAATCCTTAAGAAGAACATGAGCAAACAGGCTTGCATGACGCGTGGGTGGAAATGAAGTCTGTTAAAAATCTTGGGGCAAACTGGAAGCTGAAGTGTTCATCCGGTCTTCTTATGTCCTCTTGATGGCACTTGGCGCCCCACCACGCGTGGGGCCGTCACCGGGCCTCGAGCATCATCAACTTTCCAATCAAACGCTTTGCGCAGCCAGCTGCACCCGATAACGAGGCAAAATATCTCCACTTGACGAAGGCTTAGGTGGATGCGACATTCGGAAGCGACTTCTTTCCTGCCTTACAGACATCAAAGCAACCCGTGGATTTCTAGGCTAATGGATCGTTGAAGGCTGGCATTCAAAGACGCAGGATAACGAGCAAGTCAGTACACCTGAAGGGTTGCTTCACGTGCAGATATTGGCGGCACATGGGCGCACTGCCCTTCAAAAAAAATTATTTTCAATTTCTCAATCCCTCTCGGTTTGCGTTCCCGTTTCATTACCATTTCCATTGGAAAAAATCTAAAAATGTCAAAGTAAAAAAGTCAAAACATTTTGTATATTTTTACAAACCTTTTTCTAGACCCAGCATTTGTAGGAAATTGGGAACTTAAACGAAAAGAATTTTGAAAAAAAATGTTGCTTTATTAATCAATTTCCTAAACAAAAAAATTAACACATTTCTACAGAAACACCATTCTGAAATCATCAAATTATAAAGAAATTTGGTAGGGTAAACCACATAGTTATTGGAATATTATTTATTTAAGATTTAAAGATTTTAGTTTTTTTCTTATAAAAATATAAAAGGGTAGTTTGTTTGTTTAAACTTTATTTACGTTTACTTTAAAATAAGAATATTTGAATTTTTAATAATAGTTTTATAAAAACATGCAAAAAACATTTTATATAGGACATGGACCATAGTTATTGGACAAACAATTTGTATATAAACATAACAACTTTACATCAAATAACATAAATTGTTAAATATTTTTCAAAGATAAATTGCTGTTCGATAATAGAAATTTGCATTTTTTACCAACCAGTAATTGGACACTGGCCATTTTACTGTTTGTTTTCAGAATTAAAATTAAAGTGACAATCTTTAAACCATGAGGAACACTTTTATACTACACACAGATTTGTACACTTTTTAGAAATATTTTTTATAGTAATTTAAACAACGCCTTGCTCTTAACAAAAATCTTACCACCAAAGTAACGTGCGAACTTTTTTGTCGTATATTGGACCCAAAATTGTATAATTGTATACAGCCTCATCTAATGATTTCACTTTAAGGTAACTACATATTTATAGAACTCTTGTTTTTACAGTATTAATGTTAATTGAGGAGTGATTTTTCAAAAGGCCTTATTTCCATTTTTACTTGAATGTAATTTTTTGACAAAATCCCAAAGGTATGGTTAAAAGGCATATATTAACGGCGAAATATAACAGCAGGTCTGAAGTATTATTAAATATTCATCAGAATTTTTTTTTAAATAATCTATATTGCCCTAACCTATACAGGTTATAGTTATTTTTTTGAAAAATTGTTGCAAATGGAAATACGACCTTTTGAAAAATCACTCCTCAATTGTCCGATAACTGTTTACTTTACCCTACAATATAATCAGTACTACCACAACACTAATGTAGTTCGTAACTTTAACGCACTTCACTGTATCCCCTATGTAAAATTGTCCGCTGAATCCGAAAATGTCGTCAAAAGTTATAAAAGTAGAATAGTTTTTAAAATATCGTCAATTTTCCATTTATTATGGATTTGACTTATTCTCAAAACTGGTCTACAAAATTTTATGCTGCTTGAAAACTATTAGGGGAATTTTCTGAAACCTGTGAAATTTGTATTATTTATTATTAACAAAAAAGCCCCCGAACTCTTGTGGAATTAACAGTAAAAAATCTGAAATGAAAAATATTTTTTAATTTTTTTTGTTTTTATTTATGTTATTATTATTATTATTTTATTTAGATGTATCCTTTTACGGGCGCCAATGCGTATGAACTACTTCAATTGAAAAACCAATGCTAAATTTAAGTGTGCCTTAAATACGTAGCTTTTAACTTTATTCAGTCAAGCACTCAAACACTCAGTTAATGCTTGAAACGAATGTGTCGCGAAAAAAACACACTTGAAGCTGAAAACTAAGTAAAAATTCCGAAGAAATAATTAAAATTAATTTCTATTAGTGGTTAAAGCGTAGGTTCTTAACTTGAGGCTGAATACATGCAAGTGGTTAAAGCGTAGGTTCTTAACTTGAGGCTGAATACATGCAAAATAGGTCAAAAATTATTTACTGTTATAAAAAATGCATTAACGTTTGAATGCTAGTTTTTACCTATTTAAATTTGTTACTACTTTTTGTCTTCATTAAATATGTCAGTTTTTACTCAGAAATTTAATATTTGTGTAGCGGCATTACCTCCACTACTCAGGCAAACAAACACTGTAAAAACAGGCAAAAGTATAAAATATTTTAATTACAATTACGTGATAAAATGTACGGATTGTCGAGGCTCACATTTAATCCTACCGACAATAAAATAATCCCACAACCAAACTTCACAATACCATAAACATTTCCTTATCCTTCGAAGAATTTCTAGCCTTATTAATATCCAAAATCCCAGAAATTTGGAAAGCCCTTGCATTAGCTCCAAATTTCAGGTCGACGTACAAGAGCACGTAACGGCCGAACTACCTGTATCTAAAATATAAAACCTAGTCCTATCACTCAGAACTCAGAACAGTTCCACCATCCGGTCGACATCATTCAGTTAAGTTCCAAACTAGCGGGCCTCGACATCCAACTTAAACGCTGTTGTAAGTTACACTACTATTTTCATTGTAAATAAATAACGTACTACGATCAACACAAGTGTTTAAATTCACACACAAAATACCTCACTACAACCCCCGCATTTGAAATAAAAAAGTTGATGTAACTTCCGGTTAAACCGGAAGTCTGATTTTGTTCAAAATATTTAACAAAAAATAGACTTAAATTAAATTAAATAAACGCTTCAAAAATATCAAATCGATCTTTTTCGGTTTCCCAGAAACTTCCAATTGACCACGAATGTGAAATGCCCTGTATATTTATTATGTTATTTTTGTATTACAAATGTCATTCTGTTTTAATATTTATTTACCACAAAAACTATCGACTTAAATTGTATTTTTTTGCCAGATTTTCTGTTAAAAGTTGAAAGTGTGACGATTCTGTTTAGGTCAAAATAAGAGGTATTTTAAGTAGCGCAGGGCCCTGATCTGCACCACTCAAAAAATGCTGTCGCGGTATTCGTGCTCAAGTGGCCGCTAATAATCCCAAGGATCTGATGACTGCGTCCCCTTTTTAAATTTAGAATTCTTCATGCAGAACGATTTTAAACGTTAATTGGACTGGAAACAAGTTTTAATTTTAGTTGCAAGCAATTTTTTAAGACACAACGAGGATTGCTATCCCCATAAACAATCATCGTTTTAGAGGAAGAAAACATAACTTAAAATGATAAATAATGACAGGAACAAAAATTGACAGCAGTGTCACAATGTCTTCCAAATATTTTACATATTATATATAGGTATATATAAATATATATGCATATATTTAAAATAAAAATGTAATATTTGAAAAAAATCTTTAGGACATAAAAAATGTTTTGCATAAAATGGCGAATGCGCCGAAAAATATTGGAATTAAAGTTTTCGATTTTTATTCCTTGATGAATTGAAAAATCTAAAAAAATATATGTTATACATTCTTAAAATGCCAAATTAGTTATTAAACATTTCAATATCTTCGAATAGGTACTCTAACACTGTATTTTAAAAATGGCGAATGCGCCGGTGTTAATGCTTTTTATAAATTTGCTCATTAATAATTTACAGAATGTTTCAAACATGTCACACTACATCGCGTGATGCAGTATTTCAGTTTTTCTTAAATAGTAAAATAATCGTGATTATTTTTAGTATACCCATAAAAATTACCATTGTATTTTGATGAGTCATTTTTGTGTTATAAATAGGCTTTATCTACTCCTAGGATCCTATTGCAAATTAAATTTTTTCCGTATAAAATGATATTTATAACAGGAATAATTAACTCATTATTTAGGTTGTTAGCACAGACCAATAGGTAGGTCTGTGGTTGTTAGTTATCAGTTTCACATTTATTTCAAATAGAACATATTTTTACATTTTTAAATTCTACATAAAGAAACCTTGTCAATTCTTAAACATTTTTAAAAAAAATAAAAAATATTAGTTTCAATAATTTGCTCCAATTTTCAATTTTTTTTCAAAAAAATAATTTTGGCCAATATTTTCCCATCTGGATTGATTTATTTTCATCTCTCTTACTAATGCACAGCCACTAATTTCTTACGCCAGAATTATGGTTCCTTTTACGATTTTCGAATTTCGCATTTAAATACTTAATTTCAGGGCTGGCAAATATCATGATATTTAAATAAATATCAAAATATCTGATATAAATCAAAATTTTTATATTTATTCTTTTTTTACTATTTTCTGCTTAGAAAATTAAAGATATACCTATGTTTAAAATTCAAAATTACTTAATTTAATATAATTTTAAAATTTTATAAACATGTAAATTTGTATTTTAATTCTATTCTATTCAAGGAAAGTTGCTATCACAATAACAAGTTTTTTTAGTACCTACTAGTATGTATATATAGAAGTTATACAATTATATAATATATTATATAATTTTTCTTTTAAAACTAAAAACAAAAAGTTGAAAGGTAGAAAAAAATGCTGGCTAGAAACAAGTAAGTTTAGGATGAAATCAGTCTTGCTAATGGTAGATCCAGATCCGAATCTGAATCTTCATTTTCATAAATGCAACAGAAACATTTAGAAAATCCGTCTACAAATTTGTAGAGGGATTTTCTAAATGTTTCTGTTGCTCCAGCCAAACCCAATTAAGATCACGTTCCTTTAAATGGCCTCTGTTGAGCAAATATTTAAAATACTAGTTTTCCATACATTTATACTTACTGATGAATAGAATTTCAGAAGAAATATTTATCACTGATATCAGCCAGCCTTGCTTGATTTACCTGAAATACTTAAATAAAACAACAGTTCCAATGTAAAAATGGATTTATTTTTCTAAATTATTAGTTAAAAGTTGCTGCAGCTTTTGAATAATAATGATTAAATTACAGGCCCTAGATAATTATAAAACATTGTCGTAATCCAAAAATAATTTCTAGACCGAATTGTTAATTAAAAAAACTCCAAGGTCTATTCTTGCCGATCCGCGTGCAACTGAGTGGCACCCAATCTAGAAGGATCCTGACTGGGATAGTGCACAGTTTGCTTCGTGACAGTCTCACTGGTGGCCGTACTGGTGCTCGCGCTGGCCGCAGGACTAACAAAATTGGGAATCTGCGCAGGGTTGAAGAAAAACGAGGGAATCGGGGGCGGTCCGAAAAGCGGCGGCACCATGAGCGAAGCCGGCGGCGGCATATTCGGCAACGGAATGTGCCCCGGCTCCAAGTTGAAGAAGTTGTTGCTCAACTCCGGAAGGGCGCCCGGGAGACCGGGCACAGGTTCGTACGCGTCCGAGATGTGGCCCACGATGGAGGGGCCCGACCGCCCCTGCGAACGGCCCCATTTTATGGTCAGCCGTCTGCCGCCCAGTATGAGTTTGTTGAAGGTTTTCTCGGCCGCTGCTTCGGCAGCCGAACGAGTTGTGTACTGCACAAAGGCGCATTGCTGTTTAGGCACCAAGCTCACCGAACGGATTTCGCCATATTGGTAGAAATGGTCCCTGAATATGATTCATTATTATCAGAAAATTTAAACTCAAAACAACTGATAGTCAAAAAATATGTTATATATAAAATACAACTGTAAAACTTTAAGCTTAAAATATTGATTCAGTTCAAATATTTTATTCTACAAAATTTTCGGTTTAAATTTGTTAAGTACCTAAGTGGATTAAAAATGTATCAACTATCATTTAAATGACTCTTTACAAATTCAAAACAAAACTTTTTTAAATTTTTAATACAAATTTTAACTTTACATTTAAATGCAAGTCGATAATTTTTAATTTACAAAGTGTAAACGTAGCTTTAGGGATTTTGGACAAAAAACAATATTTAAATTGTTAAAAAAAAATGCTTTTTTCATAGTGTGTATGGTAAATTGTAGTGTAAAGGTTAAAAAATAAGTACAAATTAAAAATAAGTAAACAAATAAAATTTCTACTTACAATGTCAAGTTTTAAAATCATTATATACCTGAAAAATTTGTTAAAAACTCTATGTTTGTGTACTATAATTATTTATATACTTATTTTATCCTATATTTAAAAAAAATTTTAAACTTGACATTGAAAGCAGAAATTTTATTTGTTTACTTATTTTTAATAACCATATATTTTAACAACAAAATTTAATATTTAATATTTAATATTCTAACCTGTACAACTTAACCAAAAATTTAAAAAAATTTTAACTACACTGCGCGTCAAAATTAACGCATAACAAGTTACAAAAATTCCAACTCTAAAACGCCTTTACCAATGTTTATAAAATTTGGTAAAAAATAACTTATATATCAGTTTACGTGTCTGAGGGTTTTTCGAGAAAATATCCTTAACGCCCTTTTATTTAATAATAAAAAACGCTCAAAAAAAAAACTTTTATGGGGAAATTTTTTTAAGTAAATAAAAAATATGCTGTGAAAGACCGTATACCCTGAAAATTTTGTACAAATCAAAGAAACATTAACAAAAATACAGCGCTACAAAGTCGTCAAAAATGATCACTTTTCAGCAAAATAATCAAAAAGGGGTCATTTTTACCGAGTTTGAAGCGATGTATCTTCGTTACATTTCGTTTGATTTGTACAAAATCTTCAGGGTGTACTAACAAAAATACTGTCTTTAACAGCATATTTTTTATTTAGTTACGTTTTTTTATTATTAAATAAAAGGGCTTTAAATTTTCTCGAAAAACCCTCGAACACGTAAACTGAGATATAAGTTGAAGTATTCTTATACAAAATTTCATAAAGATTGATAAAGGCGTTTTAGAGTTAGAATTTTTTTACTTAATATGGGTTAATTTTGACGGGCAGTGTATTATATTAAATACCTATTTTTTGGTAGGTATTTTAAAACCCCGAAACTAGTGGTAAATAAAAATTATTAACCAAGCATATTTAAATTCAAAAAATTCAATATTCAAACCTTGTCAAAAATGGACTACAAAAACCTAATGAAACCAAATTTTTAAGTTGGGAAAATTTTAAAGCATTACATTTTTAAATTAAAAAATTATTTAATAAATGTTAAAACGGCGTGCCAAATATTTATTAGAAACAGTAAAAAAAAAATTTTAAAGTTATATAGTCGCACTTCATCAATGCGATATAATGGCGTCAGCATTACCAACTTTGAATTGTAAAGTTACTGCCGTTACATTTTTTGCTTTTTTAAGGCGTAATTCTGACGTTGTCAACAGATTTATTATTTTTTTAGAATGTTAAGTATAAGATAACTCACCTGATATCTTGTTCCGTCAATGTTCCCAGATTACCGATGTACAAGGTGGTGATGGTTTTATCTTCGGGGGGCGGCAGCGCAGGCATGGCCGCCGCCCTTTTCAGCAGCTTATCGGCGACGGGATCGTTGATGCCGTAGTAACGATCCTTGATGTTCTGATCGGCCAGGGGATCGTCAGGATCGGTGGGTTTCTCGTGCCTGTAGGGGCACTCTTCCCCCCTTCTGCACTCGCCTTTCACCCAAAACGAGCAAACGTGCGGCCTGTTGCGCTTGTAGTACGGCGCCGTCCTGGCCAACCGCATCAGCAGGTCGTTGGGTTCGTTCAGTTTGGCGTTCATGGAACCCGGGTCAGTTCTTGAAAGCTGAAATCATAGAAATATATCAAGGGAACTAACAAATGTGTAAAGCTTACCTCTCTTTCTTGATTTTGGATGTAATATTCCTTGTTGACGTCGCTTTTGGGAAGGTCGTCCTTCATTTTTAATGCTGCATCTCTGACTTGTATAGGAAGACCGTATTCAAGATCTAAAAGACACGTTTGGCACACGTTTTTAAGTTTCGCGCATGTCTGGCAAACTTCAGTTTTCTTGAAGCGCATTCTTGCACCTGGACACCATCTGAATACAGTGAAAGGTCTCAAGCAAATTTTACATTCTTTTCCATACTTTTCTTTAGTCTGAAATACACTATTGTTGTTAGCAGGGTAGGTATATAAATATTAAAATATCGGATATAGGTATATCCGATATATATCAACATTTTGATATTTTTTTTATTTATTTCATTTTAAGTTTTGGTCAAAAATTATTATTAACTAGAATTGTTTTATTTAGAAAAGTAAATAAAACAAAAAATAATTTTTTAACAAAAAAAAAGGATAACATTTTAATTAAAAAAAAATTAATTAAAGGTTCATCATCATATCTTTTTTCTTTGGCATTTTTATTTATTTCTTTTAAGGTTTGGTAAAAAATTAAATATATTTGCCAGAATAAAAATGTTTTAATAAATTTATTTAAAAAAGTAAACAAGGCACTTATAAAACAAAAAATAAATTTTTAACAAAAAAAAGAATAACATTAAATTTTAATTAAAAAAAAATTATTATTATTATTATATCCTTTTATCACTGCAATTATAACAAAGCCCTAGCTAGATTAAGAAATTCTTAATAAGAATATAAAACTTACACAATAAAACGACGATTTCGCTGCCAGTATACAATTGTGACAATTTAGACAATACGCAGGATTAAACGAACTAATTAAAAGAATTTTAAATTTTAAAAAAACACATTTTTAAATTATTAACTGTAAATTTTGTGTTTAATAAAACCTACAAATATTTATTAAATTCATAGAATGGAAATAATTACTCTAAATTGAAGGCAGTAGTAGCGCCATCTATTAAGAAAATTATATACTTTTTAAAAATGTTATAATAGCGTTGAGTGAAGAAGTCAATGATAATAGATTACCTTTGAAAAAAAGCTGTTAAATATTTAGTTGTAACAGTTTTATAAATATCATTAATATACATACATCATTGCTTATAAATATCAATATATATCGCGATAAATATCATGATATATATCAGTCAAACCCCAATTTTTAGTCAGTAAGAAATTTATGTGGAATACATAATTTTCTAAAACACATCAGCAAGGTCTGACTAATATAATAGCACTGACCACAAACAGTGGGACCCAAGAAAAAATCAGCTAGACTAAAAGGGTGATGGGGGAGTAATAAGATGTACTGAATTTGTAAAACGCTTGCATTCACTTCGACCGGTGAAGGTGGTTAATGGTTAACACACATAACCCAATTTTTTTAATGTTGACTGTTTTCCAACATCTTAGTAAAAAAACACTACTATATTAGTTTCAGCATTAGATTTAATATAGAAAAACACAATATTTACCATTCTGATGTAAGGATTGTCTCCCAAACATGTTTGACACAGAATTGGAAAATCCTAAAAATAAGCAATTCATTAAAAACCTTGCAAATATAACAACAAAATATCTTTATAACTCACAGCGTCCTCCCAATTTTGTCGATTATAAGTGTTTGTAGTTTTTGAGGTAGCCATTTCTTAACAATTAATTAATAAAACTTTTGGAGAAATTAGTAACCTCAACAAGCTTTCATTTAGTAAATAACTGTCAATTATCAGTGATGCCAATACCTGCGTTGCCAACCAAAAAACACCAACAAATGTTTGACAACCAAATATAATAAAAAATATAATATTTTTAAATACCTATTTATATTAGAACAATATCTAATACATAAAAGTATTTAAAAAAAACAAAACGGTTTAGGTACCTACTAAAAAAAGTAAAAAATTTAAGTAGGTAACGCCATCTTTTCGAAAAAAGCTGAACCAAGTAACGCTACCAACAATTTTGCAAATTTAGTTCAGTTATATATTGGTGATGGCGCTACTAACAATATATTGTAGGTAGGCAATTATTTTAGATTTTAGTATATGTGGGTTGCCTACCTACAAAATTTTATTATCAGCGCCATCTATCCCAGGATTGCTGAACTAACAGTAATTGTTAAACTTAGTTCAGTAATCTTTGGATAGATAGCGCTGCTAATAAAATTTTGTAGGTAGGCAACCAGAATATACTAGATTATAAAATAATTGCCTACCTACAAAAGCAATAAATTTATGTTTTATTATTATTTGAACTTCATATTTTGAAGATTTTTTTAAAATTTAATAAAACTCCAGCTAGCTATTGTTTTAAAATTATGTTATAAAATAGTTTATTCAACTATTTTGTATATTCAAAATCAATAAATATTGGTTTTTAAGAACTACCTATATGAAATGAACAGGTTATGTTTACAATTATTTTTTAAATCAAAAATGCGTATAATTCAAAAAATTTAGTGATTTTCCATCACGAAATTGAAAGTTAAACAAGAAAACAACAAAATGTATGATTATGACATAGATAATGATCCAGGAAATACATATTTGGGATTATCAGGTAAAAAAATAATTCATAATACCTATAAAAACCAATACAAATAAAGCTATGTTATAGCAAAGCAATGGCGTGGAATTTTCAAATTCTGCGGAGGAATATTTGTGTTTATTTTCACACTGGCTATAATAATATACGTCTATTTTGGCTCAACAGAACACATATCCGTAGTGTATATCGAGAATAATAAACCTGCATTGTTCACCACTGAGAAAGAGTTTTTAAGCTTTGCTTTGGACACTAGCTTGATAGCACGGGGTTTAGATCTATACAACTTTACGTAAATATATGTTTTTTTAAATTTTTAATTACTTTAAATCATCAGAATTTCACAAGTCAATTGAATATTAAACCTACAACTATATTACTATTAATTGTAGAAGTCCTAAGTTTATAAAAATGTTAAAACATTTGGAGCCAGCTTATTTTCGGATAGGGGGGACAGAGCAGGATAGATTACACTTCAATCCTCATAAAGTTCCATTAAATTTGCAAGAATATGAAGTTCAACAAGATGGGGACCATTGTGCTTATGATGAGGCTATGTGTATTATACATGTAGCAAGTAGACCTAATTTTACCATGACTGGTTAGAAAAATACATTTTATAAATTAATGGATTTAATTACATGTTGAGTTAATTTTGTACAGGTAGTGACTGGTTACTTATAAATAATATAGCGAGAAAAGCGAATTTAAAGCTGATTTTTGGCTTAAATTCACTGATAAGAAAGACAGATGGATCCTGGGATTCAAAAAATGCACAAAAACTTATTCTTTTCTCGAAAAACAACCGTTTTAATGTTAACTGGGAATTAGGAAATGGTAAGCTTCTAGAATGATACAAAACAAAAATATTATAATGCTAAGTATATATTTTTAGAACCCAATGCATTTTATCATCAATTTTTCTACAGCGTAAATGCGACACAGATGGCTAAAGATTTTGCAAAGTTGAAAAATATTTTGAATGGATATAAAATGTATAAAAAATCTTTGCTACTCGGTCCAGATGTAACCAGACCTAGAAAAAATCACCAGGAAAGCATGAAATATTTGAATGAATTTTTGGGAAACAAAGATTCAGATGTTGTGGATGCTATAACATGGCACCAGTAAGTGATTTTTGTTTATTTATTAACAAAAAGCAAACATTTTCCTCTAGATACTATTTAGATGGTCACAATGCAAACCCAAACGAATTTTTGGACACAGAAATCCTAGACCTGCTTTCAGAAGAAATAGACACTATTAAAAAAATTCGTGAAGATTCAGGTGTTGAGCACAAACAAATCTGGTTGGGTAGGTACTAATAAACTGATTATTTTTGTCCAGAGGACTGAGACTTTGTTTGAGAAAAAAATATAAATTAAAATGGCAACTTTCAAAAATATCATAGAATTTGACTGAATTAATTGTTTATGTATTTTTTTTTTAATTTTTTTGTTTTTAGTCATTTTTAAATACTTTTTTTTGGTTGGGTAAAAAGAATTTACATAAATCACAGAAACGTTTTTAGTGGAACTGAATACATGTTTGTGTATTTAAAAAAAAATATTCCAGAGATATTTTTTTGTTGTTTTTAGTAATTTTTTAAACATTTTTTTTAATTCAGAAATTTTTTTGGTTGGGTAAAATTTTTTTACATAAAACACAGAAACGTTTTTATAAAACTATAGTTACATAGTTACATATATGTATTTTAAAAAAAAATTATTCAAGAGATTTTTTTTTTTTTAATTTTTGTTTTTAGTCAATTTTTAAACATTTTTTTAAATCACAGAAACATTTTTAGTGGGACTTTGCTTTTAAATTATCGACCTTTTTTTATTTAAAAATTACAATACAATTCCAAAAAAACTTTAAAATTTTTTAAAATACAGAGATAAAAAGGTTTATGTAATAAAAAAAATATTTTTTTGAAAAAAGTGTAAAAACACCTTGTATATAAATTTTGATATAGTATTAATTTACTTAGGTGAGACGTCCTCAGCTTACGGTGGTGGCGCTAGTGGCATGTCCGATAAATATATAGCACTTTTCATGTGGGCAGATAAGCTGGGTATATCTGCCAAAAAGGGAATCAGTGTGGTCATAAGGCAGTCAATTTTCGAAGGTCATTACGCTTTGCTTGACGATGATTTCGATCCAAATCCGGTAAAATTAGTTTTTTTCTTTTACTTTCCAAAGAAAATGGCCTCTATAGGGAGCAACAAGCCAATCAGAGCTCTTCTACTTACATTTAATGATTTCTAAAAAATCAGCTTGGATAAATTTAAAGAAATGTGTTTTATTTTTTTATTTAAGGATTGGTGGTTTAGTGTTTTATATAAACAATTAGTCAGTCCAGTTGTGGTTCAATCGAAAATAGTGACTGATAGTAATATAAGGCTGTACACACACTGTACTTTGCCTGGGGGAAATTATAATAAAGGGTCACTTACAGGTACTATTATTTGGTTTAAAATTTAAACCATATGCATAATATTAATCTTTTTAGTTTTTGGAATGAATATAGGACACCTAGATCAGAAAATCAGAATTGAAGGCATTAATGATAATGAAAACACAGTATATGTGTATGAGCTTTCTACAAATTTTATATTTTCACAGTAAGCACATTTTATTTGTAAAATTCCAGGTTTAATTATAAAAAAAATAACAACGAATTCCTTAAGAAATTCTTAAAAAATTATTACTTAGCCTTTGAACTTTAATTCACACCCAATAAATAATAGTTTATTCAATTATTATTAAACCATCCATGATTTTTTATCTACATATGTGACTTTTTTGAGATTTTAAAATATTAGCACCCCATTCTGATTTTATTTGTGATTGTGTTTTTTGCAGTCCTGACAATTACCTATATTGTTTTTATATTTTAGGTACATATTATTGAACGACTATGTGCTAAATTTGACTGATGGTTTCAATTTGCCCACTTTCAAACCAAACATATTAAAGTTAAGGCCATTTCTCACAATAAAACCCTTTACTGTGGTATTTTTTGTTGTTCCCAATGCCGAAGTACAAGCCTGTTCAGATTTATAGAAAAACATCTTTTTAAAATTTTACATTTTTAATGAATATAGTGTGTATTTATTTGTATATTTGTTTTTTTAAGGCTGTATTATTTTATAATAAATATTTTTAACAAACATGTCGTTTTATACTTTACTTTCTATAAAAAATGATATCTATATAAAGCAATAAACCAATCAGAGCCCAACAATCTCCACAGCCTTCTATAGGTGTTCTTAAAACAAATAAAACACAAATAATTCCTTTAACTTTATATTTACGTTGTTTCTTTACAAAATATCTATACATGCTATATTAATTATCATTAATGTATATAAAAAATACAAATCGTCCTGTTCCTTTAAATATTTTAGGGTTAGGTTTGCTTATCGATGTTTCATATCATGGTTTGTACTATTTATTTTTTTCATTTTTGAAAAACAAACTCATCGTTTTATTTCTATAAGTATCACCTCTATTAAATCACAATTTTATTGTATATGTTAAAGATAGAAAAGCACTAGACACTGGAAGCATTTTTACAAAATGTTTTCAAGGTGTAAAAGTAAAATATCTCAGAATTTTGGAAAATTAAGGGTTTATAAATATTGTAAGGAATGAAGAATTGTTGACTAGATTTTGTTATATACACGGTGTCTTAAAAATTTTGTTTTATATACGGGGTGTTTCAAACATAACGCACTACTTGGCGTTTAAGTGTAAAAAACTTGGCAACGTTGTATTTTCAAAACCAAATGCCATTTTAAGACCTTACTTAAGAGTTATATTATTTTTTCGAATAAGGAAATAAAAATCTGAGATATTTATTGTATATGTTAAATATTTTGTATAATATATATTGCCACTCTGAATTATAATAATTGTGCTGCAAATATATTTTTTGAATTTTTTGTCCTGTTTTGGAATGTTGAAAATTTGCAGTATTTTAAAAACAAATCAAGGAAAAGTGTATATATATAAAATAGTATAAAAATTGCACAAATTCTTCCATTAAAAAAAATTTCCCTTTAAATTGGCACTATTATAATATTAAATTTAATTCCTATGATTATGAAAATCTTATTCTTAATATTTTATACTCACTATTAGTTGTTTGATATATCATATGTCTTTTCAAAAAAATCTACCCAAGGAACAAAGAAAAATTCTCATAACGCAGAGTGCCTAAAAACACCCTGTAAGTATACAAATAAACTAAACAATTTTGTATATATAGTAAATTAAAAACCCGAGAAAATGTAACAAAATTGATCACACAGGCATTTAAAAAGTACCTAACTTCAAAAAAAATTAACTAAATGCTCAAAAAATAATATTTCAACAAAAATAAACACTTTTTTCATTTTACATCGAGTTGCTAGAATCCCCAGGAAAATGTAAAATGTGATCCCCAAAGGAAGGAGTTGAAGAGGCTCTACTAGCCGAACTAAAACTGCTAGAACTCAAGTCTTCAATATCTTTATAAACTCCATCTGTAGTTGATTGTTCACCACCTAAAAAAAATTTAATATTTGAATTGTCTTGCTTCATATTGCAAAATTTTGCGGGGTATTATAAAAACACTAATTATTTTATGAGATCGTTTTATTTGGTTCTACAAAAACAATACATTAAGTCGATATTTACAAGATTTATTTGTACAGGTGTAAAAAAATTAACAAAAAATGGCGACATTAAAAAAAATAAAAACATGAATAAATTAAATTTTATAACGCTTAAAAACATCAATACATTTATCGAAATTTTTTTAATTTATTAATATAAGGCTTTTTTAAAATTTAAAAAAAAAAATATAACAAAAAAAATAATTTTATAAATTGTTGTTAAGTATGTAGGTAGGGTTAATATTGTTTACAGCTAATAAGTTGTCATGAAACAATAAAAATAATAACAGAGAATGATCTTAAGTTAAAAGTTACTGTAAAATCAATAAATAAATTATTTACAATTAAAATTAAATGTGGTACCATAGGCAAGATCATTAATATAATACAAGAAAAAATATTAACTTTAAGTATTTCAAATGATATGTAATCAATCATTGTATTTTTGCTTTTTAAAATTACCATTTAAACCAAATAAAAAAACTAAAAAATTACATTATGTAGCAAGGGTTTAGCCAGGGGAGGCAGGGAGGAGCAACCCCCTGGCAGCAAAACTAATAGTCTTACAAAATTTTAAAAAATATTGCAACAGTGTTGTAATTTTTTTTAATAGCCAATTTTCTGTTTTTTGATTAAATTGAAAAAAATGCTTTTTTGGAGTTTTTGGGTATCCTGAAAACAAAAAAATATCCCCTCATGAAAAAATTCTGGCTACGCCCTTGTTATGCAGGGTTTTGAGAAAATAGTTTTTAGGATTTTTTTTAATATGTAGTTTTTTACAATGTTGCCATTTATAGTTTGTAGTATATTGTCCCAATTATCACATAATTTTACAATCTTACAGAGCATTTTAAAGATTAAAAGTTTTTAGCTAATTTAAATTATTTTTTGAAAAAAATGGGACGATTTGAAGGAATGGTAATAGTGCTATGAAAATAAATTGTAAAGATTAGTAATTTTTGATTGGTACAACACTTTTTACAGTGTCGCCATTTTTAAGGGTTACATTTAGGTGATAGCAACTCGTGTTTAAAAATTCCGGAAAAATTGGGTCAACGGGAAAAAAATTTAAGACATTTTTTCTGAACTTTCTAGAACGAATTAAAAATTGAAAAAAAGATATGAAATGCCTTATTAAGTAAAAAATTAAGCATATTTTTATATATGACATAAAAAATTCTCCTTTTAATAAAATATGTTTTTTTACATTTTCCAATAAAATAGATAATTTTTCCCAAAAAAGAATTTTTCCGGAGCCCGAGAAAAAAGGAAGAAAACAGTTTTTTTACCAATTTTTTCGATGTCTTAAAACGCTAATGGCAACGTTGTATTAACTACCCTCAATCTGTTTTTAATATTTTTTTTTGGATGGAGTTTTTGTGTATGTATTTTTTAAACTTAATAAAAATAAGTGTTAATATTAAAGCTAAGATTTTTAATGTGGGATTTTTTAGTTTTAATTTTTTTTATTAGTTTTAATTGATAAAAATTCACGCTTTTAAATAAAACTATAATAATAAAGTCACGCCAAATTGTCATACCCTGCATAATTTAATTTAAACGTTGTCAAAATACATACTTATAATACTAAGTACGAATAAATATAGCTAGGCTACGTTTAATAAATATCCAAGGATCGCTCCAGGAAAAAAACACTTTAAATGTTTTTTCCTCGGAACGACCCTTGTTCAAAGTCCGCGCACGGCCTTCAAAAGCCGCGCGTACAACCCGACAACGCCGCACCTAATCACGCGCAGCATGACGACAAACTTCAACACGAAAGAATCGTCGAGAATCGGCGGAGATCCGGCAACGCGGCGTTATTTCCGCTTCTTCTTGAGCTTGCGTTTGGATGCGCGCGACAGTTGCGCAGTGGTTTTCAGCGTTGCCGCGTCCTCGTCGTTGCCGCTCGAGCCTTGAGGCAGCGTGGTGGGGGAATCGTCGCTGCTCTCGGTCGTTTCCGTGGGGGAGATTTTTTCGTCGTCAGAAGATTTACTGTCGATCTTCAGCGAGTTGGTCGAGGTTATCAGGGAGTCGACTTGGGGGGTTTCCTCCTCTATGTTGATGAGATTTTCTTCGGAGAAATGCTCCACAAAGTTCAGGATCTTCTCTTGTTCAGAGGAGTCGATTAAAATTTTCTCCGGCTCGGTTTTGCACGACGCCACGCTGCTCCAAGACCTTTTGGCGGGCGCTGGCAGCGATATTTCCACACTGCAATCCTCCAAAGTCTTCTCGAGATTTTCCTTGTTGACGTTCGCGATTTTCACACCCAATTTAGCCTTCGGTTTGCGCGTTTTCTTCGAAAAACTCTTCTCCTCCACAAGATGCTCCTCAGGGTTCACAAACACGTCCACATCCTTCCTACTCTTACTATCCTTATTGTTCTTGTTGAAGGAAGAATCAACATCCTCGAAAATATTAGTCGAATCTTCCAGCAAAGGAAACTCTTTTTTGAGGTCTTCTTCAAACAGTTTATCGTCCAAAGGTTCAGGTATTGGTATCTCCATTAACTGCTCTGCAAAGGTGGGTTCAGGGAGATCAAATGGGTCGGAAAAATCGCAAATAAATTTCTTCTCGATTCTAGGTTCTTTAACTTCCTTAGTAATTGTTTTGGCTTCCTTGTGTTCTTTAATAGTAGTTTTAGATTCCTTGGGGATGCTTTTAGACTCCTTGGGAGGTTTTTCCGCCTTTCTGGGAGCCGGTTTTGGCGACGATTCCCTCGACTTGATCTTCTTAACGTTCTTCTCGCTCCTGCTCAAAATTTTCACCGTAACCTCGGTATTGCTGTCCAAATTCTTGGTGACAATGTTATCCGGGCTGTGCGTCTTGACCATGTCGGTGTAGTGCACCGGTTTGGGCGTTACGACAGGCCTGAAAAGGGCTTCGTCGCAGTTCTCCAAAATAACCGCTTCTTCGTTTTGGATCGCTTCCGATTCGTCCTCCGATTGCACGGTTACGACGGTGCCGAGTGGGTTGACGACTTTGGCAACACTGGGAGGTTTCATCATCGAAACAATCACGCAACGGCCACCTGAACAGAAAAAGCCAATGGCAGGTATTACTCGATTTTCTCGTGATCAAGGGAAAATCATGCGCATGCTGTTTTGTCTTGCAGTGCGATTTAGATATTGAGTTAGTTAAAGCTGTTTTGCGAGGAAGATTAAGGAAATTTAATTTTAAAAAAATATATATTAATTTCCATAATTTCCCTTCAAGTTGCCACTAAGTATTTTGTATTTATAAAATCTACCAAAGTTGTGGAAATATACGAAAAAATAAAAATATAATACACAAAAAACTAAGCTAATTTAAGTAGGTATTATATTGATCAAAACATAAAGTGGCATCAGTGCATTATTGAACATTAATAAATAAAATAAAAAAAGTCAAACAAAAGTTAGTCATCCACCATTGGCTATTTCTGGTCTTTTTTAGCCTAATAATAAACACCACCAACCAATAGGAACAGAAGCACTTAACTTATTAATATAAGAAAAAAAACGAAAAAATTGACCGATATAACAAAGATAGTATTATGTAATTAATGTAATAAATTAAAATGGGTAGTTCATAAAGAAGCACCTGAAACTCTATTTCTAAAATCTAAAGACTAAAAATAATTTATAATAACCTTTATCCTACCAAAAAGTACGCCACTGATTGACTAGATTATGTTATGGTTGGTAACAACCAGCGTGTCCAGATTCTGTCAAAAGAGTTGCCAAATTTTGTTTAATTACTTGTTTAATTACTTTTATTACTTTAATTTGATTACAAAAATGACAAATCAACAATTCAAATGAAGGTAAATTTAAACAAAATCTGGTAACTTTTATGACAGAATCTAGTGCATTTCTTTCAAATTTTAGGTTATTTGCTCAAATTGTAAATATCTTAACTAAGGGATTTATTTACACAAATTTAATGTTTAAAGTTTAACCTGTAGTATTAATAGTAACAGAAAAAAAAACGATGAAAAAATTAATTTCATCTGAGTATTAATAGTTTAAAACAAAAAGAAAAAAACCGATGAAAAAAATAATTTTGTGGTTAATTTTTTTTTAAACTGTTTCAAAATGTACTTCAAACGGTTCAGCTTAACTTACTTTTTAAATTTTGGAAAAAAGTTCTTTATTTTGAATTTTAAAGCAAAGGATTTATTTGTTAGATTTGAAATCATTCAAATTAAAAATTATTGTTTTGATTTTTTTTTCATGGACACCTTGTATATTTAAGTTTAAGCATTTTTGAAATTATCAAGTTTTACTTTAAAAACAGTTGTTTTAAGAATCTTGGAACATATTTAGGACATTTCAAAGAGTTTTAAGGATTTTTAAAAAGTTTCTAAACAGAAATAAAAACACCTATAATACGAAAAAACTAAAGACTGAACTTGGTGCAAAATAACACACAGCAACAAATCGCAAAAATAATCTTCAACTCACCACTTTCCTTGGTGAAAGGAGATTCTATCATTGCGTCGGCCAAATCTTCCCGCAACTGGACTTCGCAGGGGCCCCCAGGCTCCTCGAAAACCTTCTGGTAGTTGTCCAGTAGGGATTGCTCACAGCTGTTGGCGGAACTGGACTCTATGAGGACCGCGTTGGCTTTTGTTATGGGCATGTTTACGGGTTTCGAGCGTCGTAAATCGATTGGCAGGGCTTCAGCCATCAAGGTCATAGATAGAGGGGACCTAAACATTTTATAGTAACATTTAGTTTAGTAGTTACTTGTGACAGAACGTTTTTTTATATATTTTTTTTAATTTGTTTAACATTGTACATGTTTTTGCTTACAAAATCGTATAAATACACAGTCTTGCAAGCGCCAGGAACGAAAATTACCGTAAATATAAATTTTGACACGCTATGTTACCAATTTTTTATTGCGTTAATTTAATTTTATTTTGAATAAATTTTTTTATCTAAAAGCACAAAATTTGGCTGAAAAAAGATTTTAACTCACCCATTAGTTGTGGTGTACGTTTTAAACGTGAACTGAGGCCCCATCCAAAGTCTCCTATGCGGTCCAGCGTGCGTAACAATTTCAACCTGGCTCAGCCAACTGTCGTCATTATGATCTGGCCTACTCTTTTTATAAACCTTGTGAAAAAAAATACAAAAAATATGTTTACTTCATGCATTTTAAAAGTTGTTCAAAACCAAAACCAGTTAACAGTTTAAGTAGGTATATCATTTGGACACTTTTAGGACTTTTAATGCAATTTTATTACAGTTGTAGAACATTTTAACAATTTTTCGATATTTTTTTACAGTTAAACATGTTTAAAATGGTTGAAAATTTTAAGATAGTTTGAGAACATAATTGACATTTTAAAAATTGCTTTAAGAAATTCTTAAAACAGTTTTATAAAATTTTAAAAATCGTTTTAGTCAGTTTTAGGGCAATTTAAAAACAGTTTTAAGGTAGTTTTATTTTAATAAAGGTTTATAACTTTTTAAAGCAAAAGCAAACCTGTCAGGACAATTTTATGACATGTTTACTTATAACAGTTTGAAGTCATAACTGTTTAGGAACCCATTAAAAGTTTGAAACAATTTAAAGCAGTTTTAGTGATTTTTTTCATGAAAGTTTTATATTTATTTTTTATTTCTGTTCTCTGCAGTGCCGAAAGTAAAGTTTGTCAAATATCAATAAATTACAAATCATAACCTTGCGTAACCATTGTCACTTTCTACTGCTACTGAGGAGCGTTCCAATTTTACTATTGCGTCAGTACTAGGGTTACCAGATTCTGTCAATAAAATCGGGACAGTCATAACAATTTCAGAACATAAATGACATTTTAAAAATCGTTTTTTGACATTCTTTAAGATAATTTTATAATAATTGTTTGTCAGTTTTAGGACAATTTAAAAACCGTTTTAAGATAGTTTATTTTAAAATTTTTAATGCAGCTTTTAACATTTTAAAGCAAAAGCAAACCTGTCAGGACAATTTTATGACATGTTTAAAACAATTTAGGAACCCATTAAAAGTGAAAGTCATGTGCAACATCCAAAGAACTGTCAATTTAAAAAAAATCAGAAAATTTAAAAAATGTGCGATATTTCTTAAAAAATAAATGTTGCGATTAGGTAGGTACCTGGACTTCCTGCATGACGTAAGAGAGGCTGTCGTGGCTCAAGGGCAGCGGCACGTCGGTGTGGTTGTGCTGCCTTTGCAGCACCCACTGCGCTCTGGCGACGACGGCGAGATCTATCGGCGACTCGTCGCACACCTTCTCCCTGGGTATGCTGGCGCTGTGGTGCGGCTCGAGGTCGTACTGCACGAGGCATCCGTTGCACGACATCACGAACAGAGATTCCACCGGTTTGGCGGGGCTCTTGCTGGCCGGCGGGTCGCGCGGGAGCGGCGCGCTGTCGATCCAGGCGCGCGGAGGAGCGAAGCAGGTCGCGAGCCGCAGCGCGATGTTCTCCTCAGAGGAGGACGGGAGCCGCTGCCGCCCTGCTGACATTTAACAAGGAAAACGTATTTAAAACACCACCATTTGATGTCAAATATTATCAATTAAAAATTACGCATTTTTGTATAAGTGAGTTTTTTTACTTTTAGGCACAATTCACTCAAAAGATCTGTTCTATCTCGTTTTGCGCACATACTCTAACGGCGGATATTTTCATGCTGTTTACAATTTTTATGCTTCGGGTTTGTGCTGTTTATACAGATTAATAATGTGTTTCTTACAGAGGCACTTGTAATCCTTAAAAGAAAATTGACACCAAATTAACAAGCGCAAGCAGAATTTAAATAGTGCAGCCTGGCCCCCTAATAAAGATAATACAAATTTTAGTGGTGCAATTTATAATTTACCATAGTTTATCGACAAATTTCAAAATTTATTTAAAAATTATAAATATAACAGATTTTATACCATTTTAAATAAATTTTTATTTCTTTTCCTAAAATAATAAAAAAATAAAATCTATAATATTTGGATTTTTTAAATAAATTTTAAAATTTGTCAATAAACTACGGTAAATTATAAATTGCACCAATAAAAATTGCGTAGAACTTTATAGTAGTTTATAATGACACTAAATAAACAATTTGGTGCCATGTTTTAAAAAATCCACCAGCCGCCACTGGTATTCACGTTTTTAATTAAAAAAAAAATTCTATTTTTATTACGCAAAAAAGGTACTAGTCATTGTATTAAAAAAAAAGTACATTTTCTATTAGAAAAAATGTAAAAGTAACATATGGCACCAAATGTAAAAAACTGAAAAAGATTAAAAACCACTTGATTTTTTTAACATCTCTAGTTGAGTTGAGACATTTTAAAAACAGCTTTTCATCATAGTTTCAGGGCATTTTTTAAACGGTATCTAGACATATTTTAACTAAAACTGTTTTTAAATAATAAAAAACAGGTTTATTAAAGTAATAACATTTTAAAATTTATTTTAGACAGTTGAAAACATTTTAAATGTAATATTTTACCATTGAAAACACTTTTAAAGACACTTTTATAATTTTTTTTTATCAAGGTTTCATTTTAAAAACAGATGTTCAGTATTCAATTTTTGGTCAATTTTAGTTTTAGAGACATCCTTAAAACAATTGCATATTATGTTTTAAATATGGGCATTTTCATTAATTTTTAAGCATTAAATTTAATTTAAAAATTTCAAACCTGGATAAACCATTTAAAATTGACATTTTAAATATTCTTACCTTGTGGTTGTCTCTGGGGAACCACAGCCACATTCTGCGTGTACAGGGGTTGCCTGATTTGAGCCAATGGGTTGACCACTGTAGGATGCGGAAACGGTGGAAATCTCGGATTGTTGTATGGATATGTAGAATTGACCGGGATATCGAAAAGTGACACCGGACTGTTCGACCTTCCTTCGGCGGTCAAACCCGCAGATCTGTGAAACCTCGACATCTTGTTGACCACGTGGGGGGTCCCGTGCGTGCGCAAGCAGACGTTCCCTCCGTAGGGGGTGATGGGAAAAACGTGCGTTGTACCTGTGTGTGCAGAAAAAAAAATGAAAGTTGTCGTACTCTCTAAAAATGAAATAGTCAAAATTCTACTATTTGAATTAGTAGTACCAGCATTTTTTACTAATAAAATAGTCGTTTTCACTTTTAAATAGTTATTTTTTACTACGTAAATAGTTAAAGTTTGACTAATTTAAGATATTTCTGACAGTTAAAAGTAACTAATTTCTTTAATCGTTTACGGCCAACAACAGTATTATTTGAATTAAATGCATATACCTCTCCATGGTTAAATGACCCATAAAACAAATAAAGATGCAAAAAGTTTAGCTCAAAACAGTAACACAAATAATATATTAAACTTTAAAATATTTTATCTATTTTGCGTTCATAATGACTTCATTATAACACCGCTTTTGGTTCTTTAATGAGGTACTTTATTCCACCGAAAATTTTGATTTTATAGGTTGGCTACTGGTAAAATACAATTTTGAATACCTATAGGTTATAATATTTTTATGATTTGTTTTCTAGTACTTACGAGACTTTTCGTGCAATAAATTTTGTTTGACACCAAAGAAAATCCTTTTTTCTTCTTTAACAGCCGCTTATTGTAAATACTTATTGTAAATTAACGACGCCATAGCGAAAGAATGTGATAATGTTTGAAAGGTTAATGACCTTTCAAACTTCAAACTGAGATACCAACTATGTAAAGTAAAATTCGACCAAATTAAATATAAGGTATAAAATTAATTTGTTTTATGAAATGTTTGCAAAATAGATAAAATAGCATAAAGAACTCATGTCATAAGACCTTTTGTCGACAAAATGACGTCTTATGACATTAGTTCTTTAATATACTAATGAACAATATTTATTGACAAATAAAATTGATTTTTATAAGAGCGGCTGACAGCCGAATGCGTTATGAGGTTAGCTTGACAAACTTGTCAAGTGACAGACCTGAGTTCAATCCCAGGCTGGGTCAAAACTTTTTTTAAATTTAAATTTACTAATTTGACTATTTCATTCAGTGGAATTTGACTAATTATTAGTGAGTATAGTTTTCGCAATAAAAACTTGCCTCTCAGGGAACTGACTGCGGCCCATCTGGAGTCGGGGGAGAAGCACATGTCTTGGACGCGCGCGGTGGTGTCGCCCCTGTGCAGCACGTAGAGGTGGTGCACGGCCGCCAGCGCGGGCCCGGCGGGGTGGGGGTGGATGCGGAACAGGTGGAAGTCGTGGCCGCGCTTGTCGGCCGTCAGGAGGAGCAGCCCGCTGGGATCGAAGTGCATGCACACGATCGCGTCCGTGTGCGCCGCGAAGTGGGCTACGACGCTGTCCGGGAAGCCGGACTTGTCCACAAACAAGTTGCCGCTCTAAGAAGAAAGAATATTTTGAATATTCGAGTATTCCAGGGCTCCCAGCAGCCCATGTTGCGAGAAATAGTGACTTAAGAGACTAATAATAAAAAATAAACGACCAAATATAGACCAAATTATTTACCGAAATAACTATAAATTTGAATTTAAAATACATAGAGATAACTTGAAATTATAAATTTTTATTGAATTAACCAGTAACCATAACTGTTATAAAATACATAAAAAACAAAAAAAATATTAAATTCTGTAATAAATTATAAATTATAATAAAAAGAATCACATTTATATAAAAAATTGCTTTAGGGGGGACCTAGCGAACCGAAACTCTAAACGTAAACGAAACCCTAGACCAACCAGAAACAATTCAGCAATAATTTTGGCGGGCGGGTCGGGTCTGTACGGCGGGAACTTTAAATGTAAACTGCAAAGTTTTCGAATGTTTCACTTGGTTTACTGTGGTTTCGATATTTATAAAACTGTGAATATGTATATTTAAAAAATATGTTTCTTTGATAGTTGATATTAACAGAAAATATAGACAAGTCTTAAAAAAAAACTACCTGCTGGGAGCCCTGGAGTATTCGAATAGAGGTAAAAATCGATTATAAATTATTCGGATACTCGATTATTCGTAAACTCGATTTTTTTTTTAATTTTATTAAGAAGCGTCTTCTCGAATATTACAACACTTTAAATCAGTACATGTAAGGGAGGCGTAAAAAAAACTTATTTTGGAGTAATATTAACCCAATTTATTTATTTATTAAATATTTAATTACCTATATAATCCTAGCATTTTTCTAATGATTAAATAGATTCGATTTCGAAAAATTCGATTATTTGAATAATTCGAATATTCTAAATAATTTTCAAACAAGTATTCGAATTTCTAAAATTAAAAAATTCTCAGCCTTAGAATAATAATAATTATTGATAATTTAAAAAAATTTAAATTACGTTTAAAAAACTAAATCTTGAATTTAATTTTATACTATTTCTGTAAAATTATTACAAAATAATGCAAAAATGTTAAATATTTCTGTTAAATATTATTAAAATATAATTTTTTTATAATGTACAATTTTTTGTGTATTTTCTTCAAAATTATCATAATTTATAGAAAACGTCAAATAGGTACTTTAACAAAAAAATGCAAAACATTTTTAAGTAGTTTTCAATTTATAATTATAATTTTACAGAAATATTTCTGTAAAATTATTACAAAATATTGCAAAAATGTTAAATATTTCTGTTAAATATTTTTAAAATATAATTTTTTTTATAATTTACAATTTCTTGCATTTTCTACAAAATTATTATACCTAATTTAAAGAAAATGTCAAAAATTAAAAAAAAAATACAAAACATTTTTCAAGTAGTTTTCAATTATTGGTTAAAAAAAACTTGAGAACAGTACATTTACATTTACTATATTTCCCAAGCAAAACTATTACACATCTAAAAATTGTTGCTTTGGAAATAAAATAAACAAGTATCTGCAGCTAGCTAAAGTTATAGCCATGGTGAAATTTTTTATTTAGATTTTAATTTGAGCATGCTCAGAAAAGATTTGATTTTCAGGAAATATTTTAATATTTTCTCCTTTTAGCGATAAAAAACAAAATCTTATATTTCACACTTATTTTGAGTGGCTCACCTCAATATCCAAAACGGTCACAATGCCCTTTTGGCTGACATCACCTGTGCCGCCACCTTGCGGACTATTAGGGGAAATACCCGGCTTAAAAGTTTGATTTCCCGTCAAACTACTAGCGACACTTTCGCCCAGCTCTCTCAAGCCCCGCCCAAGAGATTTGGCGGCGTGCAGAACAGTGGCGGTGTAACTCTAAAAGTAAAAATAAATGTTACTCAACGTAAAACGTTGCATTTTTAAAGAGTATTCACCTGTACTCCTTCCCCTTCATTTCCCCCGCTACTCCTTTTAGTTTGGTTCAGTTTTTTTTCCGCGTAAGCCATCCATTTGGTCCCCAACGCGATAGGGTTAGGTTGCAAGCCTGGGCTCAAGTAACAAGTGGTAACTGTGAGCCTATCTTCCAGAGTAAAGGCATCAAAAACCGCTATCTTCTCCGTAAAAGTAACCACGACGGATTTCCTGTTGGCCAGCACGTCCAAAACGGGGTTTTTGAACTTTATTACTTTCACTTGCTCGCCCGTTTTTAACGAGGAAAAACCGACGGAACAGAACTGCGAACCCGAAGTGTTGGACTCGCATAGCGCTATCAGAGGGCGTTTGCCAGCAAAATTATCCTCCACATCAAGTGCGCCTGTTATGTATGGATTAGGCAACACTCTCAACACCCTCACGCTACCGTGTCTCCACGAGAAGATCTCGTTGGCTTCGCCATTCGCAGGTAACGCCCATACCTAAATAACGCCCAGTACAGTATTGCAGATGATAAAATTCTCTATATTTACAATAAAAAAACCGAGGGGTCACCCACACCTGGGAATCCCTGGACATTTTAGAGGGGGAATACCATAGGAATACATAGAAATACAATAAAATATAATGGGAATGGACGTTTTCCCTTTGGGTGGTTGACCCCTCGAAAAAAACAATGAAATAAATTCTTTTTTTTGTTTAATACATGTGTATACAGACCTGAGAGTATCTTGAATAAAAAGATACTTGAAAGTAACGGATGAATTAAGATTGAAAGATTTTAAGAAATCCTGTGCATATAGCCATGTGGTGCATGGTTAAAGAAAATTGAACATGGTTTTATAAAAATTTAATTAATCAGTGGATAAAAGATTCAAGGGATGAGTTAATCTCAGACTCTCTTAAATGAGACCCTTGATCAGTAAAGAAAATTTAAAAAATATAATGTGCTGGCCAAATAGTGTACGCTAAGGCCATTAAATCTAAAGAAGAAGACGGCGTCATAGCACCTTTATTTACAAAGTAACACTTTGCAACCGCATAACCCCAAAAAACGTACCTGTATTCCGTTGGAGTAGCCCAGAACCAAGAGCAGCGGCGGCGGGATAATTTTCTCCCCGTCGAAATCCGGACTCGAAGCCTCGTCCCACTCGATGCTCTCGAAATGAGCCCACTGGATCTGATCTTTGCTTTCCTGCGGCAGAACGTTGTAAGCGTTCGGTACGACGTCGTTGATGAATCCGGCAACGTTGTCCAGGATGGAGGGGTCAGTGACCTGTTGCGGCGTGACGACAGAGGGGCCACTGCGCAGCTCACTGCGCGTGTGGGGCGATTCCGCGGACATTTTTGTTTTTCGCTTGAACTTGGCTCGATTCTTCTCTAAAAGCTAAAGAAACAGTGTTTAAGTGGGCCATGCTTTCATTTTATTTGTGTCAAAGGCAATCCCAAATTAAGTCTTTTTTTAAACAAATCAAACAATCAACGGAACACCAACGCCCTCTTATCTAAGAAAGATTATTTTATACATGAAGTTTGGACCCCTTGTGTAGGCTCCATGGTCAAAGGCTTTGAATCAAAGCCAGATTGACGTTTCATTACGAAGTTGTCATGTATATTTTTGGTACATTCCTGTCATATTTTTTGAATTTACAAATCATAATTCAGTAATTATTAAAATTATAAAATAAAGACCAAATGAGAGAAATTAGAAATACCTAATAAAAAACAGTCCCTAACTACTAGTAATTATAAAGTTTAGTTTTAAAAAACCCGGCAACACTGTTTTTTCTCTAAGCCAAAATATAACACGTCTAGAAAAACTGTTGTTATGGAAACAAAATAAACAAAACATAAACTTTAAATTTATGACTTTGTTATTATTATTAAATTTTTATTTTTGAGACGTCCTTGAAAAATTATTTTCTTTCGTTTTATGTAAATGCCATCAAAATAAATAAAATAATATTAAATTTTAATAAGCTTTTAAGTTAGGTAGGTATAACACAAAAACTACTTCAGAAAACAAATTCAATTTTTATACTTAAAATAACCCTTACTATCGCGTCCGCCATTTTCACGACACCCTATGTAAAAACAGTATTAAAAAAAATAAAATAAAAATTTACCAAAAACAAAAGACAAATCATAAAAAATTACATACAAATATAAATAAATCTGATAAAAGTAGGTAATATAATGCTTGTGAAGTGATGACGGATTTAAAAAACATTGTATATACAATGTTCACCCCTTAACAAAAATTGTTTAGATCTTTCCATAAATTTACAAAAAAGATTGTTTTTCATAACAAAAAAATTGTGGGTACTTGGTTATATATTTTAATAATTTTCTCAATGTTTTTCTTGAAAATCGTTTTACTTTATATTTATTACAATTACAATAAAATTAATTTTATTGTCTTTCAAAATATTGTAAAAATACCTATACAGGATGTCTCATTAAAAAAATGTTTTTTTGTGAATATTCCACCAATTTGTTAATTTAACGGACTCTGTAGCTACAATAATAATATACATTGGTGAGCAGGTAACTTTATAACAGTAGACTTGTAAGCAATTAATAAAAAACGTATCAATCAATAAAAATTATTTACTCTTAAGTAGGTATTTATTGGAATAAAACCTGTTTTTTATTAAAAACAACTGATTTTATATAAGAATTTTCTAATCACGTTTGTAAACAAATGATATAAATGTCAAATTGTTAAAAAAAAAAAATAATTATAGGTATAATTTTTTAAAGGGACTGTCTACAGTTCCTACCAGTAGGAATTTTAGTCGCCGAGTCTAAAGTTCCTACTGCTAGGAACTTTAGCCACGTGGTCAAGAGTTACTACCAGTAGGAACTTGGTGTTCTGTGGTTCCCGCTCTTTGTCTATACTGTAACCTTAGAACAAGTAACAAAACCAAACGATAATTGCAAAATAAAAAAAAAAAATAATTCAAAAGTTGTCTTTGATAAAAATAATTTTTGTTTAATTAGTAAAAAAAATTTTTTTTTAATTGACCATGTTTTTAAACATAAAAGTTGATTTTTCTTGAAAACGGTCAATTTTAGAGCTTATGACAAAGAGTACCTTTTTTGTGTAGAAAACATTGGCGGATGGAATGGGCCTCTCAAAACCGTACTTTTTTCAGAAGCGTAGAAGTTGAGGAAAAAAACACCCGCAAAATTTCCACCAATTATAAGTAAAAATAAAAATTTTCTGGCACAAAACATAGCTTATTATGAGTAGAAAATGCTTACAAAAGCTGTTTTTTGTACGATAAATGGTTCCGGAGATATTCGAAAAAAACAATTTTTTTTCTAAAATTTACACACCCTCGAAAATTGTGCATTTTAGAGGGTAAGTTAATAGCGATTTTTTTCATCTTTTTGGATGAGCTATCACATCCTGAAGTCCTGCGCATATATTATGAAACATATGTATAAATATATATATATATATATATATATATATATATATATATACAGGGTGTCTCACCATCGATGGTACCTTAGAGGTTTACGGAGAACGGCTGAGGATATCAATTTGAAGATTTTATAGCAATTATTGTACAATTTAATCTACCTTTTAAAATTATTTTAAATAAAATTCCTCTTCCGGTTTAACCGGAAGCGACATCAACTTTGTTATTTCCAATGGAACACCCTGTAAATTTTTAAAAATTATTAACTCGAAAACTATTAAGTTTAGGTATAGGGAATGGTATAGCAATTTTATTAAGAATTTCATGAGGAATTTAAAAATAAAAAATTTACAGGGTGTTCCATTGGAAATAACAAAGTTGATGTCGCTTCCGGTTTAACCGGAAGAGGAATTTTATTCAAAATAATTTTAAAAGCTAAATTAAATTGTACAATAATTGCTATAAAAATTTCAAATTGATATCCTCAGCCGTCCTCTGTAAACGTCTAAGGTACCATAGCTGTTGAGACACCCTGTATATATGTATATACATATATATTTATAAATATATTTAGAAAACTAGAGATATATTTCTGGATTTCCTACCTAAATCGCAAGATACTTTAATATTTTATTTATAAATAGTTAAAAAGGATATATTTTTTATGTTTTACCATTAATTTTAAGTTACATTTTATTTTTGTTTTTACTAAATAAATGTTTGTTGTTAAATATATATCTTGAATTTAAGCCTTTTAGCAAAGATACCAAAACTATAGTTATTATAGAAATACTCTTTCTTATAAGATTAGTAAAACTTCTTTATAAAGGGTGTATCAATAAGAGCGCAAGATTTTAATTTCGCCTCAGTTTGGCAACCATGATGTCACATGATTAATGACATGACCGATTGATAGGAGACAGATGGAAGTTAGTAAATATAAAGCATTACACGATAGAACAACCCGTCCTGATTGTTAAACACTATTATCAAAATTGATTAAACATTATTGTAATAAAATAAGTCAAAGATTTTTATAAAATGTTTTTTTTGTGCAGAACAAGTAAAGATTTGAACATTATTTCCCAAATAGGCCATTTCTAATCTAAACAGGTGGTAGTAACTTTGGCGTCCATAACAGAATTTCCGACTGGTAGTAACTTTTGACTCAGTGGCTGCAGTTCCGACCAGTAGGAACTTTAGTCTTGAAGACTTAAGTTCCTACTGGTAGTAACTTTTGACTCAGTGGCTGCAGTTCCGACCAGTAGGAACTTTAGTCTTGAAGACTTAAGTTCCTACTGGTAGGAACTGTAGACAGTCCCTTTTTTAAATCATTTAATTATTTTGTTCTAATTATGTACACAATTTATAAAACATAAAAATTCAGGGCCATTCATTGCATTCAAAAAACAGGTAAATAAAAAACAAACAAAAAATGAAGGTTGAAAAATCACAAAAAATTAAACTTTTCCTTTAACGTCATTCAAGTACCTATCTGTTTCAATGCAAATTTCCCAAATCTATCTAAAAATAACGCGTTATAATATTTAGATAATCTATTTTTTCTTTCATGTATAGGTAGGTATGTAGGTATTGGGCAATTTAAAACAATGGGTGTGGGCCAAAAACTATCAAAACCCAACATTTCTTCATAATACCGTGTAAAACAATTATAAACAAAGTCAAAATAGTCAAAAGAACCAAAAATCATACTCACAATTAATATTAATTTAACATTTTCCAACCAAACTGCGTCACTTTAAAACAAAGGTCTAAACAAATAGTGACGTCATTTTCTTTGAACCCAAAAATCCTCAAATTTGAATCCCCAACTCTACCAAACACTTGCAATACTTCAAACAACGTTAAATACAGTGTTTTGTTTAATAATTAGCAATATTCAAACACAATTAGATTGTTAAACAAAAGATCCAGTTATCAATTTCACTCCAACTGTCATAACAACAGAAATCAGCTGATTGGACCAATACAACAACACCTCCACAATCACGCGCAGTTGCTATTGCGATGGCGCGAAATTCAAATGAAATACGAATTAATTAGGTTATTTATTAACGTTGCATAACCCTGAAATGTTTAAATCAATTAAATGTAGTTGATACACATAATTAAATTCATAATATAAAGTTTGTTTTAATAATTTTAATGCATAATAAGCGTGTTTACAACGGTGCGATCTGAAGAGAATATCAATAATAAGAAAAACAAACAACAGCTGATAAAGTATTAAAATCGCAGTTACTTCTTAATATGTTTTCGTATAAGTTATTATTTTTGCTATTTTTTGCGCAAAAAGTGGTTTTAAAAAAGCCCAATGTTCTTTTTATAGTCGTGGACGACTTACGACCTAATCTGGGATGTTATAATTATAAAAACGCATATACGCCAAATATCGACAAGCTTGCGAAAAGCAGTTTTGTGTTTAATAATGTTTTTGCCCAGGTTTGTATTAAATTTTATTAAATCCAGAAAGATAGCCATGATTTAACCATATACTTACCAAGTGGTAAGTATATGGATTTAACGTCATTACTGTCACTTTGACGTTTAAAATCGGCGTTGTCACGTTTATTTTCGCTACATGTTGCCGTTTCAGCAAGCTCTGTGTGCCCCGAGTAGAAATTCGTTTTTGACAAGTCGTAGGCCAGATTCGCTTAAATTGTACGACTTCTACAGTTATTGGAGAGATGTTGCGGGTAATTTTACAACGTTTCCGCAACATTTCAAAGAGAATGGGTATTATACGAAATCGGTTGGTAAAATTTTTCACCCTGGGGTTACTTCAAATTATACTGATGATTTTCCCTTGAGTTGGAGTGAAATACCGTTTCATCCGAAGAGTGAAAAATATAAAAATGCTGCTGTATGCCCCAATAAAGACGGGACATTGGGGAAAAATTTAATTTGTCCTGTTTGGGTTGATAACCAGCCTTCACAGACACTTCCTGACATGGAGTCTTTGAAAGAGGCTGTAAGCTTTATCAGTGATTACAAAAAGAACGACCCGTATTTTTTGGCTGTTGGTTTTCATAAACCCCATGTACCTTTTCGATTCCCCATTGAATATCTAAGTAATTGTACCATTTTGTTTTGTTTTTTTACTTAAATGTCATTTTTACAGAGTACCACCCTCTAGAAAAAATAGAGCTACCCCAAAATAGATGGCGGCCATCTTTGTTGCCAACAGTAGCATGGAATCCCTGGAATGATTTAAGGAGAAGGGATGATATGAAATTATTAAACATTTCTTACCCTTTTGGACCAATGCCTGATAAAATCACGAAAAAAATAATACAATCATATAATTCTGCTACAACTTACATTGATGATTTAATAGGAAAATTAATTAAACATGTTGATAAAAATACTATTACTGTTATTACAGCGGACCATGGTAAAAAAACGTAATAATATTTTAAATTTGTAGACCTTCAACGTTTTTTAGGGTGGTCAATGGGCGAACATGGTGAATTCTCAAAATTCAGCAACTTCCAAACAGCAACAAAAGTTCCTTTAATTATTAACATACCGAATTTATTACAAAATACAATTTATATTGATAATTTTGTTGAATTGGTGGACATATTCCCATCTTTAGTAGATATAACAGGAGTTTCAAAACCTTTGGAGTTATGCCCTTTTGGCACAAAAATGGAACTATGCACGGAAGGCAGAAGTTTCGTTAGGCTACTCAAAGACAAACCCATTAAAAAAGTACGTAGGTACTTTTTTCTCATTTCAGCTTTTTTTTAAGTAAAGTCGTTTTTTCGCGTAAATACCATGAAATACTATGGTTATTAAACTTAACCTTGGTTAATAGTTAAGGCATTTTTGCGTTTATAGTGCGTTCAAAAATCCTAACTATGACGTCACAAATACCAAACCATAAAACTATATCTCTGAGCTAGTTATTCAACGTGGTTAATAGTCTTTCTCTTTTTAATATATATTTTTCTCTGTTTCTATTTGTCAAAAAGTTGTTTACATTTGAAATTTAAAATATTTTAAGTAGGTAAACCGAATTTAAACTTTGTATTAAAATGGAAAACGGGGTGTTGTAAGTAAAAATAAATGAAAGGGTGCTCCATATTGTGGAATCTCCACAAGTGGAGGAATTATATGCAGGTTTCTTTTATATTCTTCCTTATTTTGTATTAAACATGTAGGAGAATTGGATAACGTGTATTGAAAAAACTAGTACCTATAGAAAAAGAATATACTAGGTATAAGAAGAGGCAAAGAAATTTATTAACACTGGTAAAAGCATAGAAATTAAATATAAATAGGTAAAAACACATTTAAAAAATTATAGGTTATGAACAAGTAAACAAATGTCAAATGTTAGAAACCTAACCATGGTTATATTAATTAACTGTGACGTCATGACTTATTTAACCGTAGTATTACATAGTATTTACGCGAAAAAACGACTTAAATTATACTTTCAGAAAACCTTATCGAAAACAGCAATTTTTACTCAATACCCTAGACCCTCCACATACCCGCAAAAAAAACCTGACAGCGACAGACCAACCCTAAAAGACATAAAAATAATGGGATATTCCATAAAAACCCCGAAATTCAGATACAGCGAATGGATAAAATTCAACCAAAACTTCACAGTGGACTGGAACACGATTTACGGCAAAGAATTATACGACATAACCATCGATCCCGAGGAAAATATGAATTTAATTGGACACCCCGAACTGAGTAACATCGAAAAAAGGTTACAAGTGAAGTTACGACTAGGTTGGAGATATGTTTAGTAATATTTTTTTGAATTTCCCGCTTTTGCGGTATAGTAGATTCCTATGATACAATAGAACAGATTCCTGTAGTGACAAATATGTCAAAATATGTCAACCCGACAACAACAATAAATAAGTTTTAAACAAAGTGTAAAATGTCGTTTTTTATTGATAAAATAAAGTTTTAAGTCGTTTTAAATTCACTTGGGAATTTTGGGGGCTGTATTAACTTAATTCCTTTGTGAAAATGTCCGATGAAAGGAGAAAAACTAATAAGCATTGCACAGGAACTGTTCCAAAAGCAAAATATCGTAATAATACGGGCTATTCAGTGAATCAGCGTGAAAGTTCGGGAAGCCTGACAAATAATCTGGTAAGTAATTGTGTTAATTCACTTTTCAGAGTAGGAAAAAGTTTGTGCTAAAAATAACCAACTAAAATTAGCAATTGAATGATTTATTTCTGGTATTTTCTATAGGCGTCAGATTTGCATCATTCTGACCATCAAAACTTCATTAGAAACCCTAGAAGAAACCCAAGGAATAATTATTTTCCAATGGACACAACGGTGGATGAAAATCAAGGTATATTTATGTTACTTTATGGCTTTCTATTAATAAGTAAGTTTATATTTTTAGCAAATGGTCAACTAACTCCAAACTCCTCGTGTGATTCAAGAAGAAACTCATCCACATTAAAATGTGATAATGTCACAAAATATCCAGACAAAAAACAAATTGAAGACAAACTTTCACAAATTCGGGAGTATTTACGTATAACATCATCCCTTATGGCCACTATGAAAAACACTGAAGAGCAGGTAAGGTTTTTTGAATAAATAATCATACATTTTAATTTCACATTCAAGTTAACAAATTTTTCATTGGGTTCACCGCAGGATGACACTGAAGTAGAAAGTGTGATTAGAATGAATAAAGATTTAAAAGATAGTGAAGCAAAGTTATTAGATATACTAGAAAGTATGGAAAGGGAGGAAAATTCAGGGGTGCAGGTGATTTTTTTGTGCAAGAAATGTTGTGTTTTTGATGTACCTACTAACAAAAAAAGCCACATTTGTATTTTTATAACAAATTATAGTCTTAATATTATTATTATTTATATTATAATAATGTTTAAGGACTATTTAATTGTCTTAAATAAAAGTATAAAAAACAATTTACCAAGGATGTTAATGACAAATAACAGTTTTGATTGTTTTACAAACTGTCATAAAATATATACAGCACAGATGGGGTTACAATTTGATTTTTCTGAAAATTTTGAACTGATTTTTTTAATAAATTTTTGGTCAGTTTTTGTTTATTTTAAAATCTCTCAAGAATTCTACACAGATTTCATTAATTTTTACTTATAAAAATGAATGATTTTTTAACGGAAATATCAAAATTTCAAATTAACTATATAAAATTGACGTTTTAATAAAACGGTTTTATTAAGAATAATATTTTCTAAGAAATGTAAAATATTTGTTTTCCTCCTTGTAACCCTATTTGTGGACAAAGTTAATGTCAGCTGCCTTATTTAGTATTTCAACTTATTAGACACACAGTGTTGCCAAGTTTAAAATTAAATGGTAAATAACAAAAACTAATTATAAACCAATATTTAAAAATACGCATTTTCAAACCACGTAATAACAGCCTCCATGAGTGATATTTTGACAGCCCTAATGTTGACCCTCATTTAAAAGCTCTGTCAAGGTCAAATTAACCGCTTTCTGGCCAAAATTCTTCCTTTTATCCGCAATTTTCGACCGAACCTCCTAAAAACACATTTTTTAGATTGTCGAAGTAAACGGCAGAGACAATGTCTCGGAACCGAGCACGAGCTCTAGAAACAACGACAATTCGGAAAGACAGGAATTCGATGCGATCAGGGAGGAACAAATGATGCTGCTGAAGCTGCAGCAAAGCGCGGAAAATAAGCTGCGAGACGCGAGACTTGCTCAAGAAAAACTACGGATGGCTCAAGGTAAGAGATACCCAATACTTTGGTGCGCGATAGTACGTCTATGTCGGCGCGATGGTTTTTTGAGGTTATCGTTGAAAGTGTACTGGGTAGAATAGTAAAATTTGGTGGGATTGCAGGGGATGCCATCAGCAATTTTGTGTGTAAATTTCCTTAATAAAGGTTGAATAGATTTTGAGATATTTAGGGTCAAAGTTTACTTAGACTAAAATGGTTTGGCAATGTAATAGATTCAAGGGGTTATCTTTGGAAATAAAACGGCTAGAATAATTAAATTTAAAGACATTGTAGAGAATATTATGATTAATACTGTGCATTAATTTCGTATTTTAATTTTTCATACTTATGAAATTTTTGTAGTAAAAGTTGCTTAACCTAAATCGCAAATTTCATCGAATTAAAGTGATTATCCTTGGAAATATATATTGTGTGTAAATTTCATATTTTTAATTTTTATGCTTTTTGAGACAAAGTTACAGAAGTATTGAAACTAGAGTTGAAAGAAATTAAGAATTTACTGGAAAGTATAGAAGTTTAAAAAATATACCTATAGAAGATTTTAAAAAATAATTATTAATTTATTCTCCACTTAAAATTTGATTTTGTGATGTCACTAGGGGAGCACAAACAGGGAGGGGGTTGATACCTATTTTAAAATAAAAATTACCAAAATAGTGTTGATTAAAGATTACACAATATGACAACATTTTATTATTTCCCTCCCATGAAAAATGCCTATAAATTTTGAAATTTTTTTTGAAACAAAATCAAAAATTTAAAATGGATTTTTTTTTATCTAAAAAAAATTAAATTATTATTTTTTAAGTATAATTTTTGTAATATGTAAAAACATACAATATTTAAAGAAAAAAATATATATATCCAAATAGAAAATTAAATATCTGTATATGGTAAAATAATAAGATTGGACTGTATAAAAATTTAAATAACTTGATTTTATGAAACAGTTAGATGCGGGTACATTTTTTTAACCCCTATTTTCAAAATCTGTCAAAATTTTTCATTTTGAATGTGTTATATCATATAACTTATAATATAAGTTCAATTTAACATATTATGTTAAATTGAACTTAATGAATACAATAATAAAACTGGATAGTGCAACTACTTTAAAATACAACATTTTATTCTGAAACGCTAAAATACAGAAGATTTATTAAAAATAGAACTTTTAAGTTAATTTAGGTTTTTAGAATATTTTGCAAATTTTGAACGATTTAATAAAATTGAAACTTTCATGAATTTTTGAGGTTTTAATAATTTTGTCATGTTTTTTAAATTATAAAAATTTAGAAAATTGTAGGTATTTAGAAAATTTTGAAAATAAGTTTTAATATTTGAAACTTTTATTTAGGAAATTTTGAAAATTTTAAAAATAACTTGTACGGAGATTTTTAAAAAATTTTGGAAATTTTAAAGATTTTAATTTTAATTATTTTTATTATAATTTTATGGAATTTTGGTAATTTCAAAATTTTTGTATTCAAATTATTATTTTTTTAAAGTATTATGTAAAAACCTATATTTGAATAAAAAAAAATGATTTATAACAAAATAGAAAATTAAATATATATGGTAAAATAATAAGAATGGCTGTATAAAAAATTGAAATGGCGTGATTTCGTGAAACGTTTTTTAACCTCTATTTTTAAAATGTGTTAAATTTTTTTTATGTTAAAGTGTGTTATATGTTAAATCCATATAAATAAATACAATAACAAAACTCGATATTGCAACTACTTTAAAATACATTTTATTCTGAAACGCTAAAATATTGAACATTTTGCTTTTATATTTTGTGAAAATAAAATATTTTCGTTAAATATTTGTTTCCTTAACTTCTCGCAGTCGGTAACGAAGTAAAAAACTCGGCCAACAAGAAGCGCGAGTGCGTGAGCGAAGAAGACTTCGACGAGGCCATCAAAGAGCTGGAGGAGCGCGCCAAAAGACTCAACGAACCGCGAGTCCCGAACTCGCAATTCCAGGACAAGTTCATACAGGACGTCGACGCGCTGCAGAGCCAAATAATGATCATGCACGACGCGAACGAAGAGAGATCGCAGCTGATTGAGGTTTTGGACAATAGAGATCAGGAGTTGAGGTCGCAACACGTCGAGTTGCAAAATAAGTTGCAGGATTTGCAAAACAAAAAGCAACAGGTTGATTTGTTGGTCGCGCAGATGCAGAGCTTCGACGGTCCGGAGGTCGAAGACGACGTGGGCGGGCAAGTGCGGAAGATAGTGTCGATGAAGGACCAGCTGAACAAGCTCAAGGACATGCTGGAAATAGTGAAAACGACCGAGAATGTCGTTCAAAACTCCAACGACTCTCAAGAAGCGAACGAGTTGGCGTGCGACGTTTGCACGAAGGCGGAAAATTTCTTGCAGAACGACTTCCGCAACGTCAAGGCCAGACCCAACCCGCAAAACGACAGCAACATGCTGCGGTACGACAACAACACCAACGAAAACAGGCAGAAGCAAGTCAACAAGAACACCAGGGAGCAGCAGAGTAGGGGGGGCAAGTCCAGGACCACCAGCATTAACGAGTTGGAGGCCAAGAAACGGGAGCTTGAAGATCTCATGGGGAAACACAAAGGTAGTAAGGATCGACATCGTTTTTGCTGTATTTTACACGTGTTTTACAGCTGGAACATCAAATTTAAACCACGACATCGGGGCTGACACGAAATCGGACTTCAGTTGCAATAACTCTATAAATGAGGGTGTATGGGTACCTTTATCGCACCTACCCAGCCAATCAATGTCCAGCAACCATCTGTCAAGGTAATAAACACTAAAAACATCTTTGCTATTTAAATTTAGTATGGGAAATATGACATATTTCCCATACCAAATTGGGAATATGGGAAATTTTAAAAATAATTTGTACGATTTTAATATTGAGTAATTTTTTTTTTCTTTTTGTAAATTTTAATGATTTTAATATTTTTATGGATTTTTGCAATTTTTTTAAATTATCACACACCTTCATTTTCTACTTGATTGGTAAAGAAAATTATGTAAATTTAAAAAAAAATATGTAATTTTTACAAAATTTGGAATTTCAAAATTTTGTATTAAAAATCACTCAAGTAATCGTTTTCTAGAATATTTTGCAAATTTTGAGTTTTAATAACTTTCATACTTTCATAATTTTTAATAATTATGTCCAATTAAAAAAATTATTTAAATTTTTTATTTTTATTAATTTGAAACTTTAATGCATTTTGGAAATAGTAAACATTTTAAGATTTTATGGAATTATGGGAAATTTGGTAATTTCAAAAATGTAATTTTTTTACTCACACACAGACACTAATTTCTTACGCCACAACGCACTACGTCACGTTTACGCGTCTTAATTCTCACTAATATCTAATATCACATCTACATGATGTACGCGTACGCTCAATATCCCATTAGAAAAAAATCGCAATTTTCTTTTTGTTCATAAACTTGACTTTTCGAAAAATACGGTTTTCAAGTCCATATTTTTTCTCACGTAAAAGAAGAAGAAAACGGTGCAACACGTACAACAAAATTGTCGTATTTTTAGCGACGAATGTCAAGACGACGTGAACGAATACTCGGAAATCCCGGAAAACCTTCACCACTTGTCGCATCATCAGCCGGCTTTTTACCCGATGCCGAACCAACCGAGGGTGGATTACCCGCCCTCGAATTACGAGGCGACCAGGCGAGTGCAGTCGGGCACGCCCGAACGCAACGTTCGGGGCAGCTCGGCCAGCACCTCCACCGTATACGCGAGGGAGAGACCGCGCACCAACAACGAGCAGCGAGGCAACAAGTCTCAGGTATTTCAACCTTTTTGTTTTATATGAACACCATAGTCGCGGCCAAATCTGCATGGGTGCACGTCATCAACGGCATATGACGTCAGAGTTAAGGTCTATTCATACGTGCATAGCGGTGCGGGCTGTTTATTAAGATGGAATTATAACATCATTGTTATAATCTTCTGCGCCAACTTATTAGGAGTTCGTTACGGGCGAATCGTGATTAAAGGCGGGTTTATACTACAATTGATAATTTAGTGGGCAATTTATTTCATAATTATTAGTTAACTCTATTGTTAATTTAATATATATTTTATTTTTTCAAATGACAATATTGATATTTAAAAGTGACGAATAACACAAAATCCCTCATTAAAACTCATGTTTTGTAGGAACTTTGTAGTATTTTTTAAGGCACAAAACACAATAATTATTAATTATAACCTTAAGAAATGGAAAGAGAAAAATTGATGGCACATGCTGTTCAATCAATCAATTTATAATTCATTATTTATTTCGTGAAAGTTAAATTTTATGAACTCTCAAGGTTTAACTTTTATGCTTATGCACTAAATTGTGAATTATGAAATAAATTAATGATATGAAGTTGTATAAACTCGCCATAAGTGATTATTAAACGTTTTAAAACGGATATTGTTGTGTACAAAGGAAAAAACACACACAGTATGTACAAAAAAGAAACATGTCAAAATAAAAAAGGAAACATTAGTAATCAAATATATCATTAAAACTCTAAGCAGGGTTCCCTCTCACCTGGAAATCCTTGAAAACCTGGAATAGTCAGGGAATCCGTTTAAGTCCAATAAAATCAGGGAAAAGTCAGGGAATTTTCAAAGTCAGCGCAAAAGTCAGGGAATTTGTTAATATTATGGTAAAAGTCAGGGAAATTTATAAAACGGCTTGTTTTCTGACCCTTTTTCGTTGAAAGTCGCCGTATTGGCAACACTGGTATCGTAAACAATTGAGGAGCGTTTATTCAAAAAGGGACATGTCCATTTTAGCGATTTTCAGAAATAAGTCAAAAGCAAAAGAATTCTGTTATTTTTGACTTGTTTCTGCAAATCGCTAAAATGGACATGTCCCTTTTTGAATAAACGCTCCTCAATTGTTTTCGTACGGCGCCGCCGTAACGGCGGTAATTATCAAGGATTTTACACAAAAAAATTTTACACACTAAAAAATCGCAAAACACTGATAAACAAACTAACAATTAACAATAATTAAAACAATTGTCATAATTAATTTTAAATTGTTAAAGTTTGTGTGCATTGCTTTGATGAATATGGTATATTTGTATAAATGTATACCAAAGAATGTTTTTTATGTTTGTACCAAAGAATCTATTTTATGTTAAACTGTTTTTATTAAAATTTTATTTTAATTTTTATTACAATATTTAATTTTTAAATAAATATTAACAAAAATAAACGCTATTTTTGACTTAACATAATTCTTATGGAACACTATTTTGGGAGATAATTGTCTTTATGTCTTTCTTTTATTTATCTGGAATTATAGGGACTTTGGTCAGGGAAAACCTGGAAAAGTCAGGGAATTTTAAATGGTTTTAAAAGAGGGAACCCTGTCTAAGGCTCTAAATTACAAATTCAATCATAGACTGTACTTTTAAACAAATTAAAATTATTTATATTATTTTATGTAGTCATCTTACAGTTAAAATTTTAATATTTTTAAAATCCCATGACAGATTTGGCCGTGACTATACAAGACTAAAAGATTATAACCTTACTTTTCGCAATTTAACATCCAGATAAACAAACAACTGCAACTCATTAAGAGCGTTTGCGAATCGATGCTGGAACAGCAAACCCCCAACAACAACAACCAGCAACAGCTGCACCAACAGCAACCCACGGTGCAGCTGCGCAACAACCTCACCCCCTCCCCTCTGTACTCGGAGCCGCGGCGCTACGCGTCCCCTCTCGCCGCGGTGACCAACGTGGCAACGGCGCCGGCGCTCGAGGCGCATCCTCCCTGGACCAACCAGCACCACCAAGAGTTGAACAACTATCAGGGTTGGCTGGCCACGAACACGCTGCAGACGCAGTCGTTCATGCTCAACACGCTCAACCAGTGTTGCCAGATGCTGTGGCTGCAGCAGCGCGAGCTGCACAGCCTGAGGAACACGGTGGCTGCGGTAAGTGCTAAATTGGCAACGTTGTTAATGAAATTTTGTTAAAAATAAAAATTTGAAAAAGTATGATCTGAGTTGAAACAAATGCAAATATTTTTTGGCATTTGCTTCAGCTCTAATATTTTTTCAAATTTCCATTTTTAACAAAAAAATATGCAAAATGTCAAACGCATTTTTTTATCAAAATAATTTGTATTTTTGAAATACTAAAATTTAATAATACAAAGCATGATATCTTATAAAATTTTAGTATATCAAAATACAAATAATTTTGATAAAAAAATGTATTTTGAGTAGAAAATTGGCAATGTTGTAAATGAGATTTTGATTTGTTTTTCTTATCCATAATTATTCGATATGTAGCAGGCTTTTTATGCTTTAATTTCGTAAAATTTAATAAAACTTAAAAAATTGTCAAAAACATTTTAAAAACTTTGCAATTTTTTTGTTAAAAATGGAAATTTAAAAGAGTATGATCTGAGTTAAAACAAATGCAAAATAATTTTGCCATTTGTTTCAGCTCTAATGATATTTTTTCAAATTTCCATTAAAAAAAAAAATATGCAAATTGAAATTTTGTATTAAAATAATTTATATTTTTAAACTAATAAAATTTAATAACATAAATGATATTTTTTCAAATTTTCTTTTTTAACCAAAAAAATATTCAAAATTTTTAAAATGTAAATTGCAATTTTTTATGAAAATAATTTGTCTTTTTGAAATAATAAAATTTAATAACATAAACATAAATATAATATGCTTTATTTTATTAAATTTTAGTATTTCAAAAAGACAAATTATTTTGATAAAAAATCAGTTTTTTGCTCCAGAAAATTTGGAAAAATTAATCTTTTGAATTAAAATATAATTAAAACACTGTTTAAGACAAAAGATGAATTTTTTCAAAATTTTTTGAAAAAATACCGTTTTTTTAAACAAGCAATTTTTCCCGAAATTTTAACTGGAAACATATTTTCTTTCAGCTTCAGGACAGGGTGGATGGCTCATCAGACACCCTCCCCCCTCTAAACAACCCAAACCCGCCGCCCCCCAATCCCTACCGCCCGCAGACCCAACCCCCTAAAATAAACCACGTCGCCGCCGCATGCTCCCTCCCCAACCTCAACCAGTACAACGCCCACCCCCAGCAGCCGCAGCAACCGCCGCCCCCTCCGCCCTCCAACCTCGACCTGACCTACGTCAACCAGGGCGGCGGCTCGGCGGCGGCGCCGCGCTTGCTAGACCCCGCGTGCGCGAATAACTCCGCTAACCTAAACTTGCATCACCACCACCACGACAACGCCGCAATGCATCCCAATAACTCCCAACCTAACAGCGTTGTTAACCATGCGCAGTTGCCAGGTCAGCTGTGGAACGGCCCGGCTCTGAACAATCAGGTGCCGCCTGGCAACAGGGCCAACAATTATTGGGACAATTTTCGCAGGTAACTGTCTTTTAATACTTTTTTTTTAGTTCGTCCAATTAATTACTATTAATACCCGTCTATTTTTGCTATTATTTTGCGTTACCTTTCTTCCCTTCTTTTCCCTTCCCCGAAACAGTTCAAATCGCAAGATACAGGTGAGTTTTTGTTTTTTAGGTTGGTAAGATTGTTTTACAAGGTTATAAATGTCAAATTTTGACGTTTAATAGCCCCCTACATTTTATTATAAAAGCTGTGTCCCGAAAATTACGCACTTACGCCATACCAACGATTAGGATTGCCAGGTTGCCATCTTGGATCATGGATATATTTAACAATAATCTAGCTTAAGTTAACATTTTTAATGGTTATATTCTAGCTTAAATTAACATTCTTAAAACAGTTATTATAACTAAAATACAACCTAAAATTAAACTTAGCTATGTTATAATATTATAGGTACTTTAAAAAACTTACAAATATAAATATTTATAATATTTGTTTTATATACCTAAAATTAGTTTAATGCATTAGTATTTGTTATAATATACCTAAGATTAATTTTGGGTTGTATTTCGACCAAACCAAATATATTATTTTTGCATCAAAATTGCAAATATATTCTTCTTTTATTAGGCTGTACATTAAATAAAAAAACAAAAGAAATATTTTATAAAAGTAGAGATCTTGATAAACTGTATTTTTTGGGCCAAAAAAACGCCATATTTGTACAAAATACAAGGCCTACTATGTCAGTTTTTAAGAATTCATATTAGCGATTTTTTAAACAAAATCTAAGCACACCACTGGATTCACCACCCCTCAAAACGACCCTTTACTAAATTTTATTGAAAAAATTTAAGTAGAAACATAAAAAAACATTGAAATAAAATTAAAATATAGTAATAGTACCATGTTACTATAAGATATTAGCAATGTAGGAGTATTATATCTATGGCTATGGTGAACAACCAAGGTTAATTGGTTATTGTGGTATGGCACGGGACATTTTTAGATCAATCAAATTACCTTAAAACATTTATTACAAATGTTGCAATTTTCAGTTTTTATCGCGCATATTTTTAGTTACTCGCGTCAAAACCTACTCTCCACGAAGAACAACGAGGTGCCGCCCTCTGGTATGGATCGCTCGAACTCGTCGAGCGACCGTACCAACCCCTTCACTCTAATGGCCCTGAGCAAAAGCAACTCCGAACACGAATCCACCAGCACTTCGCAAGAAAATACCCCTCAAAGGTACCATTTCGGAAAAACTCTCCTCCACCACAAAAATATTTTATTCGAGACTTTATTGAAAAACGCAGCCTTCCTTCATTCCGTACCATACGGGAATCTATAAACAACACTACAGTTTTCGTATTGTTCATTTTTTACGGGAGGAAGGAAGGGCAATCTATAAATCAGGCTTTAGGATGAAAGATTTGAGCTGTCTGTCAAACTTTGACATATACCTAACCTTAATTCTTTGTCATTCAAATCCCAAATTAAGTATTTTTAGTGTGGAGGATGGTACTATGCTCACACCCCCACACCTTGACATTTGAATTCAAATAATGTATGTTATCCATAGATAATAAATCACATAGAAAAACCACTATGATAAATCATAAATCATGATATTATCTCTCTGTCAGTTTAACGCTAATTTCGTCTTTTTTTCTGAAAATAAAACTATATAATGTATTATATATTTTTTGCGTCTAAAGGCCTTAATTTAGGACAGAAAATTGGACTAAATAAGCGTTAAACTGACTGAGATAATTATTTGAATTCCAAATCAAGATGTGACTTTTGGGTGTGGTTAGCAGAGCACATAATAACGCACTTTTAGACGTCTGCCGTTCAGACACAACGAAACGAACGCGGCGGCCATCCAGCCGGACGTGTTGAACGTCAACAATCACAGCCACGCGGGCAAATTCGGCGAGCATTCGGACTTGACGGCGACTGCGACGTCGGACAACCTCGACGACCTGCAGCTGAGCTTTCAGATGCTGTTGAGCAGCTACCACGACGAGGGCGGCTCGAACCACTCGAACGTGTCCGAGGAGCGGACGAGCGGCTCCGAGCGCGCCCGACTGCGCAACGAGTGGAGCGACGACCCGCAAGTCGAGACGCCGCAAAAGTAAGAAGTTTTTTGCTAAATACGCTAATTTTTCTAAATATTTTCGAAAAATTAGTCATTATCATTTAAATGCCTCTAAAATGTTTTTGAAACATTTAAGGCGCATTCATGCTCACTAAAATAAGAAATAAGATAAAAAGTTAAAACTGTGTAAAGTAATGGTTGCGTTCATGCTCATGAAAATAAGGAATAAAGATTAACAATTTTTAACTTTGGTTCTTATTCTTGCGTATAAAACTGCGCAAAGAACCAAAATGGGTCTGTGAATTATTTTGATGGGTTTTATGTGCTGGCCATGGAGCCATGGTGTTGGAAATCGCGTTGAGTGTCGCTGTCGATTGTTTACGTTTATAGCCAATATAATTGACTATAATAAAATATAATTGTGTGACAACATTTTTTATTTCTTATGTTATCAGCATGAACGATCAATCGCGGTCTTATTTCTTATTTTAAGTAAGCATGAATACGCCTTTAGATGACCCACTTTTTATATTAATACAATATTTTTCACAACATGTTTAAAACATTTTTGTAAATATGTTAGATGATACATTACCTTATATTTTATTAATGTTTCCTCAACATCACAAAAATATCTGCAAATATTTTCAAAATATTTACAGTTCATTGCATATTTTCACTAACAATTTTCATGAACCCACATAACACAAAAATATATTTAATACACTCACAGGCAAAATAATCGATTCACACAAATTTTCCATGAATTTCAATCGCAAATAACTTTTTTATTTGATGTCGGATTTAAACGAATATTAAAGAATATTGTAGATAAATTAATGGACAATCGCTCACATTTCAAAAAAAAACTAAAAAATAGACGTACGTTTATAATATACAGGTTTAAACAAAAATATGTTTTTTACCATAAGTTTAAGACACTCTGTAGATTGGCAAAACCGTATATTTTTCTAAATTAAGTTTTATTTATCAAGTCACATCTATTCTTAACAGTTTTGTTTTTGGTTCACCTCGATATATTTATTTTTGTGGAAAATGTGCAATTTCCAATATTTTTCCTGTATGAAGAACTAAGGTTGCTATGGTCCATCCATAGGCTATGGAGAATGACAGTGACAGTTTTGTTGAATCATCCCATACTTGGACATGTCATATACATCTTTCAAAAGCTATCAAATTGTTTTTTGAAAATTATTGTGTTAATTTTGAGGTGTCTTCTTACTTTTAAAAATGTCTCCGACTGACGTTGCCCTTTGTACTTTCCTTCTTGTGACGTTTAAAACACTTGCCACGTAATACTGTGACCGTCCATCCTGGATTAAATTAATGGCTCTGGCAACATCAGTCGGAGACATATCCATTTTATAAAGTAAGAAGACACCTCAAAATTTAAACATTAATTTGCAAAAAACAATTTGATAGCTTTTGAAAGCCGTGTATGACATGTCAAAGTATGGGATGATTCAACAAAACTGTCACTGTCATCCTCCGTAGGCTATGGATGGACCATAGCAACCTTAGTTCTTCATACAGGAAAAATATTGGAAATTGCAATTTTTTTAAAAAAATCCATATTTTCCACAAAAATAAATATATCAAGGTGAACCAAAAACAAAACTGTTAAGAATAGATGTGACTTGATAAATAAAACTTAATTTAGAACAATATACGGTTTTGCCACTCTACAGAGTGTCTTAAACTTATAGTAAAAAATATCTTTCTGTTTAAACCTGTATATTATAAACGTACGTCTATTTTTTAGCATTTTTTTTAAATGTGAGCGATTGTCCATTAATTTATCCACAATATTCTTTAATATTCGTTTAAATCCGACATCAAATAAACAAGTTATTTGCGATTGAAATTCATCGAAAATATGTGTGGATCGATTATTTTGCCTGTGAGTGTATTTTAGAAAAATTAGTCATTATCATTTAAATGCCTCTAAAATTTTTCTGAAACATTTAGATGACCCACCTTTAATATTTATACAATTTTTCACAACAATTTTTAAAACATTTTTGTAAATATCTTAGATGATACATTACCTTATAGTTCATTGCATATTTTCACCAACAATTTTCACGAGCAATTTTCATGAACCCACATAACCCAAAAATTTATTTAAAATATTTAATGAATATTTTTGCAAAATAACCTAAATATTTTTAAAAAATTAGTCATTATCATTTAATTGCTTTTACAACATTTTTTATATTTATGTATACAATATTTTTTCACAGCATATTTAAAAAAAATTGTAAATATTTTAGATGATACATCACAAAAATATCTGCAAATATCAAAAATATTTACAGTTTATTTCCTATTTTCACTAACAATTTTCATGAGCAATTTTCATGAACCCATATAACCCAAAAATATATTTCAAATAGTTACCTAATGAATATTTTTTCCAAATAACCTAAATATTTTAGAAAAATTAGTCTTTATCATTTAAATGCCTCTAAAATGTATTTACAACATTTAGATCCACTTTTTATATTTATACCATATTTTTTTACAACATTTTTAAAACCTTATATTTTATTAATGTCTTCTCAACATCACAAAAATATCTGCAAATATTTTCAAAATATTTATAGTTCATTGCATATTTTCACTAACAATTTTCATGAATTCATGAAAATTGCTCATAATAATTGTTAGTGAAAATATGCAATGAACTATAATTATTTTGAAAATATTTCCAGATATTTTTGTGATGTTGAGAAAACATTAATAAAATTTAAGGTAATGTATCTAACATATTGTACTGGTACCTCAATAACTATTTTTTAATTCATAATTAAACATTTCTCAGGTCTAAATTGTTCGACGAGCTCAGAGAAAACGTTTACAAGGAAGTGGCGTCGCTCATTTCGGCCAATGAGGCGCGACCTCATTTTCTAATACAGCTGTTCAGAGATCTGCAAATGATCGGATCGGATTCGCTGCGCACCAAAATTCTGCAGTCGATACAAAACACCATCACTCATTCCTTGGTCAGTTCGCAAAATTTAAACCGACCGGTATGAATGTATACTTAAGGGGGTGTTCCGCTCGCGTAATTTGAGCGGAATACCCCCTTAAGTTGTTGCTAAAAATATTTCTTTTAGAGTACTGAATCTCACTCAATGAGTACGGAAAATAGATCTGATTTTCAACCGAATTCCGTACTGTGGACGAAACCAAGGAAAAATTCCACTCAAAGAAATCTTATAAACATGGAACACGTAGAAAATGATATTCAAACGGCTTTCAAGGGGGTTGTGCAATTTTTGAACGAAAATAACGAAAACGTTATCGATCAGGATTTTATTAATTCTTTCAAAAAAAATTTGTTAGAGTCCGAATCGTTCCAGGAGATTTTGTCCGATAGTGTTTTTCAGAAACACTTTTCGAACATTTTGAACGAAGTTTTGGGACAATACACTGGCAAAAAGTAAGTATATCATCATACAGGAAACTCCTAGACTAATTTTTCTATACCATTTTTTCGAATTTGCAAAATTGTAGGAGTTATTTAACTTCCAAAAGTAATAACCTCTGCAATTTTACGAATTCGAAAAAAAGGTAAGGGAAAATTTGTCTTGGAATTTTCAGAGCAAGGATTGGTTGTTTTTTGACGTTTAAGCGTGGCAAACTAGATGCATAGACGATTTAACACACTTTTTAGACTTTCAGATGTCAGAGTGGCTCTTCTGCAAAACCTGGGCGATTTTTTACGCGGGGAGCTTTCTTTTATTCAATTAATACAGGAAACTAGTCCGGAAAATTGCCAAGCGAACGTTTCCAACGACAATGCAAATGTTCATTTTAAGTCGCCGTTGTTCGAGCTTCAGAATAATAACAGCAACAGCCCGCAGCTTCACAATGGGGATCTGGCTGAAGCTGATCAAAGTAGAGGGGAGGAGGACGATGCCGAAGAAGAGGGGGCTGTAGGGGGGTACTTGGAGTTGCCCCACGAAAATGGAGATTTCCATATTGTGCAGGTAAAAACCGTTAAAAATCACTTTTTTCATTAATTTTTTTTAAATATTTTTTTCAGTGTATTTCCGATGAAATTGACGTTCCAACTATAGACTTTGCAAATAATGCTGAAGGATTGGACCAAGTTCCAACTAGGTTACCTACTAGTGTTAGGTCAAGGTCTACAACCCCTAATAAAGGTACCAACATTAAAAAAAAATGTATTGCCACTAAATACTTTTTTCTTTCAGATTCTAGAGATGGAGAAAATTTTTAATAATTTTAAGAAAACTGTATCTTGTGATTAAAAAGTTTTAATTTTATTAACTGTTAGGAAAAATAATAAACAAAACATATTTAAACCACAACTTGTCTTATTTCGGTGAACAAAACAACATACAAAAATATAAATATATTACAACCTAAAACTAAATTATTTCAAAAACTTATAAAGAATTTTTACTAGTCCAGTGGTACCAACTGCAGCCATGGGTCTCCCTTAAAAGTTCCTCTTCGAGCAACTCCATTTGTTGGCATTTTTTTTCATTTTTTTCGTTTTCTCGACAACAATCTTAAAATAAAAACTCTGTGCTAATAAAATATACTACTGGTGCAGGTACGTTGTTTAAAAATAATGACCCATCACGCATCTGGGTATGTCGTCGGGCATGTTATGGGTGGGCCTCCGTATTTGCTGATTACGTTGTTGAAAATTCTGGGAAGGAGGTTCGGTAGGTAATAAAGAAACTGCCTCTAAAATTTAAGATTCTAGAGTTAGATTTTACGAAATGCATTTATTATGGTTTTAGGTTGCCAAAAACTATAGTTTTTATATTTTTAGAATGATTTTGAATTAAATATGTAGCGAGAATCGTTAAAATAGTTTTGGCAAACTAAAATTAAGGTATAAACTGCATTAAATTATATGAGCGTGTAAATAAAAAGTTGGCTATGGAAGTCGAAATTCTACTGTTTTAATGTCAAATTGTGATAGTTATGAATCATTAAAACTTTATTTTTTTTATTTAGGGTAGGTACATCTTAACTTAGATAAACAAGAAAAAAATCGAAATCTTTAAAGCTTAAAAGTAATCTTAACAATAAACAATTGTTAACAAAAACGTTTGAAATACCTACATAGTTAAACATTCTATTTTTCTTTGTCTATGTTTATGACATTGAGAAATTCGTTATTTTATTTGGGTTATCCTGTATATTTATCTTTTTATGAATACAAACGCGTAAACAAAGGTGGGGGAAGGGAATTTATCACGAAATCTACCGGCTTTTATTTTAACTGATAAAACTATTTCATAAATAAACTAGATGAGAAACTCAAGCTTTTTAGTTTAGTTATACTCAATTAACAAATTTTGAAATTTCCTTAAAATAGTTGTGTTTTCGCCAATAAGTAATGTAAATAAAAAAACCGGTTTCCAGATACCACGTGGTACTAACAATACCTTTTAAATAGAGATGATCATGTAATATTGTAATGAATATACCTAAGTTATTGTTAAATAAAAACATGTAATTACCTTCTTGGCGCCTTTTTTTGAAGCTGTGTAGTTCGTCGTAATCCCACGCACGCTTCCTGCTATTATTTCTCGTTTTATTACTCTCGCATTCGAAATCCATTAACTCGCATTTTTCGTTTAGTTGCTTGGTTTTGTTTTGCTGTAAATGTGCCTGATACCCATAATAAGCGTTTGAAGACACGTTTGTCATCAAACCACGGTTCAAAACGTTAAAATCGTTTACAATCGGCAACACGTTGAAATTCAAATCTTCCCTCATGATTAATTTCGCTTAAAAATTGTTACAAACGCCCTTTGCAAACGCCAAATTTACGTTTAATGGTTATTTATTGTTGTCTAATAAGACTGCAGCGTCTATTTCTCAACTAGACGCTACGAGATTGCGTCAAGAACTAATGTTATTTTACCGCTATCCCCTTTGAAAACCGGCGAGCCCGCTTCGTTTGCCTTGCCGAAACTTTCACTTTCCCAACGTCCTAACGCACTCCAATTGTTCCGTTACACAATACTTTGTCCATTTGGTGTTATAAACGTGAAAAAATAAGCAGGAAAACACCAAAAAATATTCGAATTTGCAGTTTAAACGCTTCGTGCTCGGTCGGTAACTTCCGGCATCGACCCGAGTACTTTTCCACTGGTTCCGCCAATGGAAAGTCGCGGTTTTAAATGATTAATGTGTTAGCGTTATAATTGTGGAAAGGTTTTTGACGAATTTCGTTAAAAATAAACGCTGAAAAGTGACACAAACGCAAATATTAATCATTAGGAAATTTATGGAACCTGTTTTACCGGCTCAATGACAACATATTCATTTGTTATTGATCTTTATTATGTTATTTATTTATGTAGTCTTCGTGATTTGCATAAAAGGATAGAAAACAAATCTCCAAACAAGGACGTTTCAGAAATAAAAAGTATTTTTTATAAAACAATGAAGAGGATACCTATGCTGATTTATAACTCAAAACCTACCTGTCAGAATGTTTAATGGTATTTTTTATGCTATGGTATGTAGTGTATGCGATTTTTAAGACACCCTGTATAAAAATGTCGTTTTAAGCATCAGATTCAAAACAATAAAACAACATATTTATAAACTTTTATTACTTATAAACCTAAGAAAACAGATATTTTCTTAACAAATCACATAACAAAGGTTTACTGTTAACAAAATTATTTTCTATAGCACATCCTAAGAGTTTAGGAACATTTATCAATTCCCCTGATATAATTTTGGGAAAAACTCGCTCTTTATTAATATTTGTAGTAAACAACAACCGTTTACTTAAATATTCATCATATAATGAAATATTAGCTACTTCTATGTATTTTTCGGTATAATTTGAATACATTTTAACTGAAAATCTAAGTGATTCAGGTAGGGTAAGTTTGCTGGCTGGTGTTAGAGTTAACATAAAATGGTAACCTAAAGAATCATAAAAATCTACAATTAAGTCTTGTAATTTGTTTATGATTTCATCCTCTTTATCTAAATATGCAATAAAAACATTCAAAACTGATCCTTGTGACAAATTAAACAAATCAAAAGGTAAATTTTCGTCGTAGGGTTGATATTTTCGGCCTGTTGAGAATATTTTCAAAGGGAGTTTGTTAAAATCTACTAAATGCCTGGCAAAATAACACATGAAAGATTCTATAGAAGATCCTCCAGTTAAATGTAATCGACTTAGACTGTTGGATTTTTCATGGGGTTCATCTATGGTGAAAGTTGTTGAATCATCAAATTTTTTACCACAGCCTTCAACTATTACACTTCGGGAGAAATCTGGGCTTGAAAATTGGGTGAAATTGAGTTTGAGCAATTTTTTGCGTAGATAGTTTAAAACTGACATTTCAAATAGTGCTGGATCTTCTTTGAGATAACAATTATATGGGTTTATGTAGTGTATTGAAGTGTCTGCAATTTGTAAGTGTGATTTGTCAATTTTTTCAGGTTTTTCATGCACTTGGTGGATTATTTCTTCACTTATAGGTGTTTTATTGTGTAGTATATTTGGTAGTGACAATATTTGTAAGTTTACTGCCTCTTTGACGCTATAGTAAGAATCTTTAAGGTTGTTAAGATCACCTTTGACTATCTTTGATTTTACTTTCCATTTTTCAATTTCCTTAAGATTTGGAGTTTCTGTGTTCATTAACTTTGTTATATGTTTACCAATTTCAGACCTTGTTAGTTCCAATTTAGCCCTGTGTGCTTCCATATTTTGATAAAAATCATAGCACTCAATAACTTTATTTAAATCCAAATCCAACAACCGAGACTTTACATTGTTTATAAATTGTTCTTTATTGTTTAAAATATCATTAAAATCTATGTATGGTGATAGCACAGCAAAATGTTTTGATGCCTTATCTCCAGTAATATAAAGAGCAGATGTACTGTACTTAGCATTCTTAAACAATGGTTTTACTCTTAAAAATACTCTACTAGGCATCATGTTTACAAAGAATCCTCATCCACAGATTCTTTCTTCCTTTTATTTGGACTTTCTTCGTCTTTACTTGGTTGGGTTTCAATTTTACGTTTATCAGCTGTTTTCCAGTTACCTTTACCAGCAGCTCTCTCTGACTCCTCTATCGAGTAAGGTTCTAACTCCAAAGCCTTGAGTCTACGTTTGTGAACCTTAGTTTTAAAATGATCACTCAAAGCGGTGCTATTTATGAAATATCTGGCACAATGTATACAATAAAACTGAGCCAAACCAGGCCTATCAAAGTCCACCTCTTGTTTCAGTAGTTTCTCTGCGTTTTCAGGCTGTATATCCTTGTCAATCTATAAGAATATTGCGTAAGTTTTGACGTTTTTTAGGTTATGTTTATATTACCTCGTCCAAATCCTTGGTACGTCGCTTAGTGCACCATCCTCTTTTTAAATGCGTATCACCGAAATGTGTTTTTTTACGTCTGTAAGGGCCGGGCATTATACGAAATTATATTGGAAGAAAATGCGCAATATTGCATGTAAACACGTGTAAGATGTTTTGAAAAGGGTGAGATTTGACAGAATCAAAAAATATAATGATCTTTGCAATGTTGCGTAAGTTACGTTTTTTTACATTATAAAAGTTGTTTTTAAGGTTTTATGTCGATATTAATTCAAATTTCATTTGGTTTTTGTCAACTAAAGTGATTTTATGTATATATTATTTAAGTATTTTAATTATTATTAATTTTTTATCGTAAATTCTCGTAAAACTGGCAAATTAATAGAGCGCCATCTATAAAAAAAAGATTTTACTGGCTAAAATGGCGCCAAATTCGAATTTTAAAAAATCCATTCGTTTAGCGAATCTAAAGGGACGTTTTAAGTAGTTACTTTAAGTAACATTACAAATCAAATAAATCTCTACTTCTAGATGGTCTAAAATTAGTTTAATTTAAAAAAGAGTTTGATTACTGTTATATCTTAATAATTATGGTAATAAAATTCAAAATAAAATTTTGTAACCCTTACCTAAATGAAAAACTGGATTTGTACCTATAGTTTTTGTTCTGCTTTTACAGAACTGAGCAAAGTATCGATATGATAATTTGCATAGAGCCAAATTTTTATTAATTGTTTTTTTTTAATAAAATGGACTAATTGTTCAACTAAATTAAATAAAATTTGGTTTGTGTATTAGTTTAATGTTGAAATGACCCCTCAGAACCACAGCTAATTTGATATCTTGTTAATAAAATTTAGACTCAAATCAAAGAAAAATAATATTAAATAATATATAAATAGGTACTTAGGTACCTACCCACAATTTGTTGTGTAAATAGGGATAAACCTAATACCCATGGAGCTTACCTGTATGCTCCATGCTAATACCCATAGATTAGATAAAGTAGTTAATACCCATAGAAATAATACTATTATAGACTATAATTATTATAATACTATAATTAATAGTATTATTTCTATGCTAATCCCTAACTACATTTAAAATTGATTTTTATACAGCGCCATCTATGTCGTTTTATTTGTAGTAGGTGGGTTGTAGTTTTCTTTAAATTGGTAGTGGGGGCGGAAGGAGTGAGATGGCGACGTTGCAGCTGTCATTCGAAGGAAAATCTGTTGTCAAAGTTTGTAATTTTTTTCCGTGGTTGATAATTAAAGATGCAGCGCCGAAGCGCCGGGTAGCGTCCAGCTTAAGGATTTCAGGCGAAAACGTTGTGTTTGCTCGTGTTTTGTTTGTGTACGTCGTTCGATTGTTTGATTTGTGAATCGAGGTAGCTTCGCGCCGTTATTAACGGAGTAGGCGCCGGTCGCCATGTTGATTTGTCTATACAAGCCATCATGGGTTAGTTGATTGTTCGAGTAAGAGTGCTTGATTTTTGAGGAAAAAATAATGCATTTGGTGCGTTGAGGGAGTAAAGTACGGTGTGATTCGCGTTTAGAGCAGTTTTCGTGGTGTTGTGTTTGTGGACAATGTTCTGCGCATTTATATCGGTCATAGAGGAGCTATGTTGAGTTAGGTATAGCTGCTGGGAGTCGACTGCGAAAAGTATCTTTTAACCACCCTGATATCGGGGTCGCGCTTAACATCATGCACCGAATACGTCGCGGTTAAATCACGTGAATCACGAAAATCGCGAATCTCATACTCAAAATGGCCAAAATTCTGGACAAGGACCCGGCCACGTACTGCAAGGAACGCGACGGGTTCCTCAGGGACCTCCAACACTTTCACGAAACCAAAGGGTAAGTACCTACCGAAATATCACCCGGTACACTCGTACATACAACACAGGGTGTTCCGCCCGCAACAATCACGCGATTTACCAAGCTATTATTAAAGCACTTAACTTGATTTTGTTGTGGCTACTGAAATATTGTTTTATAGATCGTTCTTTTCTTTTGTTTTCGCTACAAACAAATTTAAACTATTTTAAGTTTACATTTTAACAACAAAATTAAGAAAACTATTAAAATATTACATATTTTAACTCTTGCCTAAAAAGCTACCATTATAGTATTTTTTACCTAACTTTGAAGTTCATATAGGTAAAACCAGTCCAGTTGGTTTTTAGCTTGTATTTGACTTATTTCTATGCAATTTTTAAATACCCCGAAAATATGTAAAAAAAATACGTTTTTAAAATTAAATTTTACTCATACTGTTTTAAAACTATTTTTATATAAAATGATGAACAATTACATATGAAAATAAAAAGTTAAAATTCCTTAATGATAACGAGGTTATTAAATATAATGATTTAAAATTTTAATTTTTTAACAAACTGTCAGAAAATAGCTGCAGATGCCTTGTTTATTTTGTTTTTAGATAACTTAAATCCTATTGTAAAACTAAATTTTCTTGAAAAGAACAAGGACCAGCTTTCAGTGTACAGAATAGTACCTAGTAGACATTTTTTTTAGAATTTAAAGTTATTTCATTAGACATCTTATCTGACATCTAACAACTGTCAAGCGGTTTTAACCTCATTTTTCCCAAATTAATGTACTAGTGCATTAGGTAACTTAATAAACGTATTAGTGTACATTAATACACTAATTAGATGAGTAGATGAACCTTATTAAGGGCTTAAAATTAAAATTTTGTGTTACAACCAGTTTTTTGTCATAGAACCCCCTTCAAGAGGTGTCCCACCCTGGGCGGACGAGAAGTGGACTTATTCCTATTATATTCAGTGGTAACAGCCGCAGGAGGATGGATTAAGGTATGTGAAATATAGTTGATAAAGTTACCTTGACAAATTTAAAATCTAAAGTCAGTGGAGTACATATTTTTTGATAAAAGAATTCTCTTAATATTTGGCGCGGTGTTTCAACTAGATCTGTTTATTGTTTTGGACTAAATACGGAAGGTACGTTACCTATAGTCGCAAGGTCAGGGTTATTACCGGTTATTACATAATACAATAAAGCTAATATTATAATTCTCTATCGAACAGCTAAATTCACCCGATCTCCCCTCTCCAAATCTCACTTTGTATGTGAGTGCATGTGTATAATATTCCGTATCGCGAGACCCGGTGCATCACGTGTATACTTTAAGTACCTTTTATCTAATCGAATGGATATTTTTCGCACCGATTCGTGCTCCAGAATGCAACCTCGCCTATACTCGTCCAACTCTCACTAAATTTCACTGAGTGTGCATGCGGATACATGTGGCAACGCTGAAGTCATACTTGAACTACATTTTGACAGTTCTGAGAATTCTCTAAGAAGCTGTAGCTAATACAGATGGATACTTTATACCTAAATTTAAAATAAAAAATAATGATTTCTTGTTGACTATGTTTTTAAGTTTTACCTTATACAAGGTTGGTTAAATTAGAGAAATTACAACTCTATTAATATGAAATTTATAAATTGGAAAAAAGCCAGCGGTTCTTAAAATATTTGATAAAAAACAAAAACCCTTCAAATCTAAAAATCGTTATAACTTTGTTATTCCTGGGAATTTTAAAACAAAGTAAAAAGGAGTCATTAATCTACATTTTTATCCAATTTATTTTCTACTACGTTTTGAGTTAGCATCACTATATTTTGTGTTTATAATAACTTATGTAGTTTGATACTTCGTTAAATTTCTTTTTTTTTATCTAACCATGTAAAATTCCAATATGGCGGCCATAGGAAAAACAAAAGATGGTGGTGCTATCTCAAAAACCAGTTGGATTAAAATGTAGCTAAAAGTGTAAAAATTAATTTTTTTCAAAATTTTCAGGAATAACGAAGTTATAATGATTTTTGGATTAAAAGGATTTTTAATTTATTTTAAATATTTTGGAACCCCTGATTTTTTTTCAATTTATAAATTTAATTTAAAAAAAATTGTTTTTACTTTTTTTACAAAATATAGATACTTAAAAAAGTAGTATCCAAAATGCAAAAATACAGGGTGTCCCATTGAAAAATGTAAAATACAGTAAAAACACACTGCGTTAATGAAAATGTATATATGTAAACCTGTTTTTGAGCATTTTCTACAATTACTTTCATTAAAAAAACATTATGCGTTTTAACTGAACTAAATTAACTAAACGATAAGAATAAAAAACATTTGCTACCCACACTTTCAACCATTTGCTATTTTATCTACAAAAAGCGTTAACTTTATTGCTTGTGCTACCCTATACAAATAATAAAACTTTATATTTAGAATTTTACAGCTTACATTTCGTACTTTCCTATAAGTATTGTGCCGAATTTTTCCCGAAATTTAAGACCACACGGGATGTAAAAATGGTAACATCTGTTTCTGAAATTTAACGTACAAAATTCTTTGTCATGAAATGTGTTCTCAAGGATATATGTATTTAAATAAATGTAGATAATTATAGGAAGTTGCCATGCCAATTTAACAAGAATTAATTACCTAATTAAGTTTTAAATTTTTAAATCGTTTTAAGAAAGTTATTTTTGTTGTAAACTATAAATCACTTTGACATTTTTTTTTAAGGAAAAAGTTATTTTCTTAAATGTCGCCAATCTTATGTCACCTTCTGTACTCTGCAGCGTTGCCAAACGTGGCGCGTCCATCCCTACTCCTTGCTTTTTGCTCGCAGCTCCCTTTAACGAAATTGTTCCGGCTTCATTCACGGCTAACCGGGATTTTTGCGTTACGTTTGTCGTGGTGCTTACGACCTCTGAATTGCGTTTGGTTACGTCTCGCAGAAATGTCGACGATCTAGGCGCCCGTGCTGGCGACGGCGACGAATTGGGTCACACGCGGCCGTGGCGCCTACCGATGCATGCGAACGCAAAATCAAAAAGGCCGCGCTACGCCTTCGCTTGTCTTATTTCCAAGCCGTCTATAGGTGCATTGCTCCTACACGGAAAAAAGCTATTCTATCTTAAAGATTAATCATCCTAGTCCAAGTATAAGTTCATCTTACCATTCCGTACGTATAGCTTTTTATTCAAGGATTGATTTATTCTTATTTATAATTTAAATTATTACTTATTTGAAGGATGAATGCAAGAACTAACCTATACTTATTTGGATATAATTTCAATGTTAGCTGCAAGGGTAAACTTATTCGTATTTCAAGAAAAACTATCATATTATTTTAAATGCAAGCACCCTCAAATAAAATATACACTGTGCTTAGTTTAAGAATAAGTATTTTTTGATACAAATATTATAATTCTTGGCGATACAATATTTACTTTTGGATTAAAAACAGAATAGAGGGAATTTTCCAAAATTTGGTCTAATCGATTAAATTATGAATAAGATTATTTCATTTAAAGTCTTTCTTAACATTTAACAGGCAAGAATGAGATCTGCTTGTTTAACAAAGATTAATATTTAGTTTAATGTTAGTTTTACCTTTGACGATATTAGGTCAATCATCTTGTTTCAACTGTACTTGATTTTAAGCTAAGAAATAAAATCTTTTTAATTTAAGGGTAGGTTTATATTTAAAAGAAATTTAATGTATTCGTAGCCTAAGCAAATAATACTTAAATCGAGTGAATTTTTTTATAAAGGTATTCTTACATTTAGAAAACATTTTTTTCTGCATGTGCATATAAAACAGTTGTTTTTAGTTTCTAAAATTAAAATACGTAGGTAATAATAAAATCAATATTGTCTTTTCACATTAAAATCAGGTTAAGGCAATTTGTGTTTCAAAAGACAGCCTTCATTAAAATACGAAGGAAATAAACATTTTATAATTACAAGTATTATACCTATAGTAAAGTTTTATTATTCAGTTCCCAGCATACGGTTGGTTATTTTATTGTTGGGAAAAATAATAAAAAATAATATTGTTGTTAAATTATTACGAAGAGAAGCAAGGAGCGTTTTAAGTATTTTGACCAGTGGAAAATAACTGAATTAGTTAAATATTAGCATTCTCTATTTTCATTGCAAAATCTTGTTTGCGAGTTGCAAATTGCAACACGAGTTCAGTCACGTGCACGAACTTTGATGCATATTTTGTTCCTATTTTTGTAGTATTATTATTGTTATACCAAACTAAGTATTTACATAGCTCGAAGTACCTATGATTGTTTATTGGATTTGCCTGACAAACTTTCTCAATTTAAGTTTTGTTATTATTAAAAGTTATGATATTTTAAATATTATTCTCTTATGAAATTCATCCAAATTTCTATCAAATTATTCGAGAAAAATTTAATTTTAGTTTTTAGGTTAAATGCTTTAAATAATGAGTTTTCAATAAAATAAAACATCCTGTTTTAAATCAAATACATATAAAGAATGAAATAAAAAGTGTCAAGTTACAACATTAACATCGCAAGAAAAATGTAAACAACATAGGTATTTTTTTCTAAATTTATTTATTTCAAAATTGTAAATTGGCTACCATGGACCCACATTGAATAAAGCAAACTAAACTTGTGAAAAATATTATTTTATGATGTGGTAAAAGCGGGTTTTCTAATGCTTTTGAGATGTTTTAATCCCGGACCATTTTATTATCAGCAGCATGCTGCAGTTTCTGAGTTTCTGTTATGGACTATCCTTGAAGATCATTAGCTTCCTTGTTTCTGCACATTTCCAATGCAAAAAGATATCCTTCAAGATATTAAAAAATTAGGTATGAGGGTCCAAGTCAAATTATTAATCTATTAATTTAATTCAAAGAACGGCGCAAACTTGTTTGAGAAGAAAATCAAGTAGCGCGTGCCACCGGCGTCGTAGGCGGCTGAGGTGGCTCTGCGTGCTAGCTAGCGCTGCACTTGGCCCACTAGGACGACGACGACGGACTATAGGTGGAAATAATCGAATGGAAGCTAAATGTAATGAGTGCCGGTCCATGCTCTGTTTTTGCAAGCGACGGAGCGCTAAAACAAGCAGGCGTGTGCCGCCTCCGATGTAGCACGTGCTAGCCAAAGTGCTTGCTTGCTTTGCTTGTGTGTGTGCGTGTATTGGACTAGGTCAGGGTCCGCTCCCGTCTGTCTCTCGTGCAGAGAGATGCACTGCCGGTTGTGCTTGCAATCAGCGGCTAAATCGCTGGACCGCACTGTTTTCGGTTTTCTACCGGTCTACGGTACGAGCACACTTTCGTAAATTTGACGTTCCGGGTGCTATACCGCCCAACTATGGAGAAACACGGGAAATTGCATTGACAACTGTCAGACGAATTTAACCTCACTTTTTACTAATTAATAATAGAGCTAACTTCAGCCCGTGACTAAAACTCCATAAAGTCAATGGGGAGCAGATAAAAAATGTTACGCGCCACTATGTAGAGCGTTTAGATAAATTTAAATAATTATAAAAATAAAAAAATTGTTATAACCTTTTGATTTACTTTCTTTAAATGCAATAATCTTATATGTACCTACATGTTTCGCTAATTTAAAGAGAAATTCATATGATTGATTGCTATGCTGAACCCAGTGAAAGTACCTAAAAGAAATGATAGTACAGGAAATTCATTTCGATTGGGTAATAAAAAAAATATCGCAATTAATTTATCGGAAATATGTCAACATCGCATAAATTTATTACTTATAAAAGATACGCATGTTTTGTTTTGTTTCTAAAATCAATTATGTAACCAATCGTTGGTTTATTAATTGTTTTTGACTGGCTTCTTTTAATTAAATTTAATGATGGGAAATTAAAAACATTTCTCAAGATCTTTTTTTGTAAAAAAAACAACGTAAAAATCCACTGTTGTCGGGTTAAAATCTAAATTTTACTGTACTTTATTATAATCATCCCGATAATTGAATCGGTGAGATTAAGTCCAACATTTTTATTTATTATTATTAAAAGTTTAAAAGGCATTTTTGTGAGAATATATATATATTATTTTACAATATGGATATTATATTTTATATTCGCACAAAATTGCATTTTGAACTAAAACTGATTCAATTATTTTATTGCTCCGTAAAACATCCAGTACATACGTATACGTAACGCAATCGTATCCACCGCAACATCGCGTGCTACACTTGCCACACGTCGACGCGGCAACGTCGCACCAGGGCCCGTGCGAACGGGTTTTCGTCGTCGCGTTTGGGTCGCTGAACCTACCGCTCTTCGACATCGAGCAGGCGATGCACACGCCGCTGCCGCTGTTGCTTGGGCTCCTGCTACCATTCCTGACGTCGGCGGACAAGAGTGCGCACCGGTGGAGCCTAAGTGTGCGCACTGAAAAAAGCGCGTATTCGGGTTCCAGACGCGATTTTAAGTCTACTTTTTCCTCAAAAAAAATTCAATTTTACTTATATTGGCAATTTGACTATAGGTTGAATCATTAACTATTAAGTAAACTGCATAAAATGGCTATGATTTAAAAAATATCCTGCAAATTTATTTGTATCATACAACACGTTTTATGTCTACAGTCAGTAATCCATACCATACCTGCTTGGCAAGAGAATAAAACAAAAACTGCTTCAAACCAGATTTGATCTAGATATTTATACCTCTTTTAGAATTTTCATCCGTGCAGAAGAGAAAACAAAGAAACGATTAATTTTAAAACACGTTAACTCCATAAAAGACAAGAGATAGTCGCCATATATAGAGAAATTAATTTAAGATCAGCAACAAAAAGAAATAACTTATTACTCCACTTAGTTCAATTGAATTATGAATGTGAGAAAATTTTAGAGAGTATTCAGAGAAAAACACAGAGAGTATTCAGAGAAAAACACAGCACTAGTACGGCATTATTAAAGGTGTCCAACGATATAGCCTCATCTTGGGACAAGGGTTGCCCCACAGCTTTGATCCTTTTAGATCAAAGCAAGGCATTTGATTTAGTAAATTTCAGCATGTTGTTTGCTAAATTGCAGTACTTAGGGTTTAAATCTGAATCGTTAAAATTCATTACAAGCTACATTACTGGACGTCAGCAAAAAGTGGTTATAAATAAAGATATATATTCCTGCCTAAAAACAACATTGTCTGGTGTACCCCAGGGAAGTATATTGGGACCTCTAATATTTTCTCTGTATACTTTTGATTTGCAGAATATTTTTTCGTCGTGCTCTGTCCACATGTATGCTGATGATTTACAACTTTATAAAGAACTAGGGCAAGATATGTCCTTGGAACACTTTTTTAATGCAACTAACCTAGATCTGAAACACTTGTTTGAATATTGTAGCAAACATGGCTTAAAATTAAATCCAGACAAATCTGTAGCTCTTTGTATTGGTCCAAAGAAAAGGCGAGAGGCAATCACTTATTATGGTCATTTGACGCTCGGATCTAATGATATTGAGTGGGTAAATCTTGCTAAAAATTTGGGAGTAATATTTGACTCTGAATTATCATTCACATTTCATGTAAATCACATTATTAAGCAATGTTTTTTTAAATTAAAAAATATGTATAAATTCAAACAAGAGCTTGACAGTGCTACTAAATTAAAACTTGTGAAAAGTCTGATACTGCCGCACATTGACTATTGTTCCGTGGTTTATTACAATTATTTAACTCAATATAACAAATTAAAATTACAACGCATTCAGAATGCTTGCATGAGATTCGTATGTTGCATACCTTATAGAGAGCATTTAACTCCATATATCTTAAATATGAACGAATTTAAAATTAATGAAAGAATGACATATTTAATCACATCGTTCCTCTATAAGTTGCTTAAATATCAGAAGCCTTTGTATCTATTTACTTTAATAGAAACACGTTCAAATACACACACAGTAAACATCAGATACAACACATTTTCAATACCAGTTCACAGAACTAGTAAATTTGAGGGAAGTTTCAGTTATTTGGCACCTTTCTACCTGAATCAAGTTTTTTCTATTTTGGGCTGTTCCTTTATACAATTTAAAAAATTATTGAAGCTATTTATATTGTCTAATCAAAGATTGAATTTAGTTTGAATTAATAATTGCTTATAGTTTTAATTTTTTTTTATCTGTTTTTTTTTTTGTAATAAATGTAGGTAATTTATATTTTGTTTAAGGACTCAATGTGTTTTTTTTTGTTGGATGTAGTGTAAGATAGCTAAGCTAACTACATCCATTTGTGTAAGAAATTGTATTTTTTTTTGCACAATAAACATTATTATTATTATTATTATTATTATTATTATTATTATTATCTAAATACAAAGATATCGATCGCGAAACAAATGAAACGGAATGCCAACTCCGATAACGGGAGCAACAGAGACGAGCAGTGTTGCCAATTTTTAGCATGTTATTAAAATATTTTTTATCATTTTTTTGGCAACATTTTCATTATAATATAAAACTACACAGAACCCTTATAAAAATAGAAATACCTGGAATCCATATTCCCCATTTCAAACTTTACATAACATCTGTTCAGCGCGGTTGTCAGATTTCACGCTGGCGGTACTAAAAATAAACATTTACGACTTGCATAAAATCGCACAAACTTATAATTTTACAATATCTTGCGTTAATAAAATATTCGATTTGTATTTAAGGTCTGGATATGTGGCAACGTTACGCGAATAAATTTCGCCAAGATTAATCATATTTCAACGCCGATTGCAGCGTTGCCGGATCGTGCGGTACCTTTCAAGGTTTATATGATTGTAAAGTTAATTGTTTTTGTGAGAGGAATTTCTTAAATATTTTGTTTAATTATTTTTATACTTTCGTCTGTATGTATGGTGGAAGTCGTTTAAAAGTCGTTCTTTTATGTAGTAGTTGTCAAGGTAACCAGTCTTTAACGTTCATTTTTTTTCAATAGCCAACTTTAATGTCGTTGAAATGTTGATAAAATGCATTAAATGCAAGGTTAGCGTCAGAAAAATATAGTTGTATGAGTCAAATGTATATTGTCGTTTTGAGTTTCTTATTTATTTTAAAATAATTATAAAAAAATTGTTTTTTCAATCATTCATGTTCATATTTAAATTGTTTGAAAATCCCTGTAAACTTTACAGTGTAAAGTTCATTTAACCACATTAGTATAATAAACAACCTGTTAATAAAAATAAAGTTTAGAACAATTTTTTAATAAAAAATGCTATTTAACCACAGTTTATTAAAAATTGTGCAAATGTGTTTCTTGTGTAATATAACACGGTCTTCTTAATATAACTTGTTTACTTGAAATTTATTTATACACATCGTTCAGCATTCTGGCTGAATGCTTTCTATATTTAAAACATATTCCCCGTTTCCGAAAAAATCCTTTATGAATTCCAATATTTAACATTTAAATTAAGGTTGTTGATTTTCAGGGTATTTGTTTCTCATATGCAATTATCGATGATTGGTATTGATTGTTAATTGTTTGTTCTAGGTCAACACAAAGAACACATGGGTGGATATTCTGTCCCATTTCAAGGTCCCGACTCATTGCGTTAACGCCAGCGTCGCGCTCAAACAAATTTATTTAAGGTAAGGGAAAAAATAAAATGTAGAAAATAGATTTTTTTTATTTTAATTTATTAATGAATTTGAGGTCCAAAATGTATAACAATTAAATATTTAATTTGTGTTTTTTGTTGTCAAATTCGTATTATCTTGCTCTTTTTGGTATTAAAGGTACCAATTTAGAATATTTTTAAATTATTAGCACTTAAAACCGTATTTAGGTATTTAGGTCGCGAATTGTTGGGAAAATAGTATATTATGTATCAAATTTAATAAACGCCATTTTAGTTGCGAATTTAATTTAGTACTTAATTATATTAGTGAATACAAAAGTTTACAAACTTTACTTAATATTACCTAAAAATTATTTAAATTAAATATTTGTATAAAGCGACATCTATACGAAAATAGAGTAACCATCACAATAAACATTTTTGACGTAATTTTCACCATTCCTACACGGGAAATGTTAAAGGTACAAAAACTTTTTGACAAAAAGAGACAGTTGCATTTATTGGAATTCCTGTTGGAATTTCTAACTTGGGAATCTATCGGTGTGAAAATCTCAAATTTTTCTGTGTAAATTAAAATGTATTCCTTAAAAATAGACTAACAATCGATATCTACTTCTAAGTATAAATGTGTTTTTATGAAAATTTGGCTAATGTAATTTGTTCGTTATTTTTTTGATGTAAATAATGTATAAAAATACAAACAGTAATGTTTTTTTTTGTAAAAAATGCTTAGATTTCCAACAAAAATATAAATTTTTTATTATTATAATTATTAGCAAAATAGGTACCCTTTAAAATTCAATAAAATAAAAAAATGATTTTTATCCTAATTTTTTTTTTAAACAATTGAGGTTATGTATTTTGCAGTTTTACACCAATTTCGTCTTATTTTCTGAAAATAATAATATATATGTACGGGGTTTGTAAAAATATACCTACGTACCTATATTATATTATTTTTAGGAAATAGAACAAAATTGGCGTTAAAGTGGCAGATTCATAACCTCAATTCTTTGGGAAAAAATCTGTCTTGAAAATGACATATTTTAAGTAACAATTTCTCAGCTTTACAAAAATATATCAAATTAAGAAAAAAAATCGCATTTTTTACTTTGAATTTTTAAGGATATTTTGTTAATTGTAATAAAAAATTAATATTAAATTTTAGTCTATTGTCAGCTACTTTTAAAACACAACTCCAACGATTAACTAGATATGTCGAAAAAGAAGGCATCAAGTTTTTATGATATTTTCATTCAACAATGGGTTAATCTTAATCCCACTATTACCTACACTGAGAAAAAAGTTCATTGCTCCCAAATATTTAAATATGGGACAAGGGTACAGTTTATTTATCCTAAATATATTTTTCTTCCCGACACATAAAGTTTTACTAAAGTATATTTATCGTTATTATTTCGACTATTTAGAGGTAATAAACAATATATTCACTATTAATAAAAGTATTAGCTACACAGTTTATTTGTCCCATTTTTTTCTCAGTGTACATAATGCGAGGGGTAAACCACCCCTGAGATTTTGTACAAATATTTCCCCTTGGGGGAATTATTTCACAAATATTGCCTTTATTTCCTATATTTTCTCGTAATTCCCGATATTGCCACATAATTCCCTAAAATGCCTTATAATTCCCTGATATTTCCCATAATTCCTCAGTAATTTCTGATATTTCCCATAATTCCTCAGCAATTTCTGATAATTCCCCAATATTGCCCGGTATTTCCTTTATTATAATTCCCCTAGTATTTCCCATATATTTCCGATATTTCCCATAATTCCTCAGTAATTCCTGATAATTCCCCAATATTGCCCGGTATTTCCTTTATTATTATTAACAAGAATATTTAAGTACTTTACCTAAGCAGTTTTATTTAAAGTATGCGTAAAGGATGCGTGGTCGAATTTTTTCTAGCATTTATATTTACTGAGATAGCCTATACGGACAACCAATTTGGGACACCCTGTACAACTATTATATGTATTCATGGTAATCTTAGATGAATACATATAATAATTGTACATATCTAGGTGCTAAGATGAGACATGTATCTAATTTCTTTAATAAAATCAATAGTAATTTAGCATTTAAAACCAACAACAATCTTAGTAAGTTTATCAAAAACAACAAAGATAAAACATCAAAATCCGGCGTTTACCAACTAACCTGCAGATACTGTCCGAAAACATAATACATATTATATAGGCCAAACGCTAACCATTTAATACAAGAGAACCACACATTTGATGATAACTTTAAAATATTACATGTCTTTGGAAATTAATAAACTAAAGAAAAAATCTGATATTGTTCTTAATGACCAAATTGAAACTAACAGCTCGCCTCTGCTAAATTTATTTTAGAGTGTATACTTGTAGTACTAAAAAATAATATTTATTAATATTATAATATTATATTAGAATCTAATAATTAGATTGGACTTTCCAAACCCTTAGTTTTTCCAAAATTATGTAAGTTTTATTAATACCTTCAGGTATAATGTTTATAACATTTTATTTTCTCAAATTACCTGCCATTGCGAATGCAGTTTGGCTAGTTTGTAAACTATCCAGCTTTTTATAAACACATTAGCCGTGATATATATATTTTATGCGATTTATGATTCAAAGATCAGCACTTGACACCTCGCTTGACACTCGATTATTGCGAAAGATATCTGAGTCGGCAGAAGGATTTCGGGGGGATTTCGTGGATTTTTAGAGCGATTTCGGAGATTTCGGCGGGATTTCGGTGATTTCGGAAGGATTTCGGGGATTTCGGAAGGATATCGGGGATTTCGGAAGGATTTCGGGGCATCGTGAATGTTCGGGTGCGTTCGTAACTTTACATGCGCAAATAATACCTCGATATTTCCTCAATATTTCCTAATAATACCCCAATATTTCCTCATAATACCTTATATTTCCCCATTTTGCATTGTATTTCCTGATATTTCCTTGTACTACCTAATATTTCCCTGCATTTCCCCGTATTACCACATAATTCCCCAGGCTGGTGACAATAATTCCTAGGTGGTTTACCCCTCGACATAATGTCAAGACATCAATATTGGAGTACACTCAGGTCATTTTGGCAATAGTCTAGTTTTGCCCAAACGGCGCAGAGTTATTATTGGTATAGAAGATGTAGATATTGTTTTTCATCAAAGTTTGACAGTATGATGAACAACTTAGCTATTGAGTCGTCCACTGATGAACAGCAATATCTCCATCTTCTACATATACCGTCTACTGCACTCAGAAAAATGTACATGCACTGATAATAAAACTAATTTTGTAAGCGATTAATAAAATAATATTATTTAACTTAAATTTAAAATTGTAATGGCTATAAAAAAATGTACCACCTAAGGTACCTTTTTTATTAAATTTTCAGTGTCTTATTGGGACAAAAACCTACGATTTGTCAAAGTAATAAGATTATTCTTATTTACAGAATAAACTTTTTTTACTGTTAATAAAATTCTTATTTACTATATGAAGCAGCAATGTTGATCTTCTACAAAAAAAATGTTCATCCAACGAAGTAATAGTTGTTATCATATTGTCATGGCAATAAGAAATGCTTTATGTTTATATTAAATCTTTGTCGAACTTAAAATGATTTTGTTAAATCTATAGTTGTGTGTGAATTGCGCTTACATAAAGTAATGTGTAGTTGCTATAGTAAAATTTGTTCATTTTACTATGGCATATTTGTCTTTTTTAAATTACTATCGTTGTAATTCAAATTAATTTTATTTCAGTTAGAAAATCTTTGTTAATAGCTTATGTTAAGTAAAATAACAAAAATATTTTATTGTTATAAAAAGACTTTTTTAATATTTACTATTGTTTTGCAATGGTAACAAAATTTTTGTTATTTCCCTTAAAAAGAGGGGGAAAGGGCCAGCGCTCTCCTTGGTGAACATAACTTATAATCCAGTCTGTGTTATAATCTTATTGATTTTACTTGTGCGAGTGAAGTGTGGTAAAATCTAGCATGATAAAAATATCAAAAAGATCACTAAGAAAATTAAAATTCCGTCGTTTTGTAACAGAAATATTTAAGATCTATTCTATAAACGAAGCAGACTTGTTTAAAAAGTGAGTTCGTTTTTTTTTTATTTTGTACTTCATATAATATGAGTTCATTTTTTTGTTATAATAAATAATTTGTTTTAATGCCTTGCAATTATTTAAAAAAAACTACCCAACACCCAACAGTAGGTTGAAAATTTGACCATTGTTACAATGAAAATAGTTTATTGAATTAACAATTAATTTGTTGTTAAATTTACATAAATTTTATTAATATAAAAAAAAAGTTTTATTTTAAACGAAAAGGGATTTGTAAAATTTACAATATTTCTATTAATAATAACTTTAGGGTTTCATTAATACTACAAAACGTTTTTGTAAACGGTATAAAACTGTTTTTTGGACAAATAATAAAAACTGTATTTATCAATGCGTTTCTGCATCTGAAAGAGTGTTATTTTTATAAACATAACGTAAATTTACTTTATAATTAATAAAAATGCTATTACTGAAAGCAGCGTTTGTAGATAAATAATTTTTATAAAAATGATCTTTTTGCCGTAACAAAAGCAATTGTTGGACGAATAGGGATCTTTACTTTATTAAGACAAACTACTTTTTTTGTTATATTTATTAAAAAATTTTCTGAGTGTGTAGACCCTTAGTGCTTTACATATTGGCCAACTCTTGAAAAGCAGTAAACATGAGTCGAAGACGTTGAGCAAGTGCGTGTTTATGAGCATTGCTCGGGGGTCAAAGACAACTGGGAAATCGGAAATCACTGGCGACGACCGTCTCCACATGCACGACGACGACGACGATACTGACCTAGCACAGCAAGCAAGCAGCGGTAACGGACGGAGAGACCAAGTCAAAAAACGTGGAGCGTGGGTGAGAGACTTTCTCCTTCGGGGCGCACCACGCGACCCGAGCCGCAATGTTTTGCAGTGCAGTGGCGGCGGAACAACGCGTGTCTCTAGACGGGGGGGACACGGAAGCGTTCCTCCCTGCTGCGGCAGCAGACTGCTTGGCGGGAGCGCGTCGCGTTTGTTATCATTCGAGAGGCAGCAGCGGCACTGGCTGGCAGTAGGCGAGGATCGCTAGAGAGGTTTTAGGCGGCGTTTGGCAAAAAACAAAAACGTATCCACCGGTCGGCCGACTACTAGCACGGAGTAAATGACTACGATGACGATAGCGAGCATTCGATTGCGGGACTCCGTGCGAGGTGGTTGCTAAACGAGCCTCCAACAATCGTCAACATTTCCTTTTGGATGTTACGTTCTCGTCATGGTTCAAGGATCCATGTTTTGGAATTTATGACAGGTTTTTAGAATCTTGGTTTTAGTACAAATTTCTATTTAGGATAACCTTTAAATCAAGGGATTTTCAAATGTCAGTAAAAATTGAGGTCAAGTTTTCAGGATTATGAACACTTTGAAAATTTGGTTTTATGAAAATTTATGTTGGATGACAACCCACTTTGACATTTAATCGAGGAACGTGTTGGTCAGTTTTTCGCCAATAGTCTGAGGGATGTAAAACCTTCGTCATCAGAATTGACCCAACGGCTCTTGCTTTGACCATGACCTCAAAAAACATCTCAAAATTGCAAATTTTAATTTGTTTTGAGGTTAGGGCCAAACCAAGACCCGTTGGTCCAATTGTGATGGCGGATTTAGAAATACCGCGTTTCTTTTACGGTGTTATTGTTGGTATCGGAACAAAACCTACTGGTACAGAATGACTATAGCCAATCCCAATACATGGCCATAGGGAATTCTTTTAGTTGTTAGGATACTTAGGATGCATTGTCGATATTATAATACGTAAAATATTTGGTCGACTGGAATCCACTTCATTGTGAAGTCAATCTTTGATCCTGTCATTATTTATTATTTTAAGTTATTTTTTGCTCCTCTGATTATGCCGAAATGATGATTATTTAGACAGCACGAGATTTTTCCCAGCGCTTTCCCAATCGTCTGTAATGACCATAAAGTTGTTCTGCGTTGTACGAAATTGAAGGTGCTCCTTAACGTATTGGAACATTGGAAAATAAAGAGGCTATTTTCAATGCCTTCGATGCAAATAGTAGGAAGAGCATAAGGGAAGTTGCTCGCGAATTTTCCGCACCTGCAGACGGAAGATGATCCCGCTAGAGTGGAATTCTGTAGTGGTTGCTGGTGATTTTGGCTCTGGGGTGCAGAACTGGTTGTTTAATTTTTACTTTAAAACATAGGCGTCCTGAAGTATGACATTCCTTTTTAAATGGTTAGTAAACACAGTCGGACAAATATTTTTAAAAGTTTTAAGACAACAATGTCCCCTTGTCTCCTCTGTGGTTATCTAACCATATCTCTAACCGCATAGGTACTGATAAAAGTAATCGCACATATTGATTCATAATTGGGAACAATTTCGAAATAAGTTCGATGAGTGGGTATCAAAAAATACCAAAAATATGATGCACAGCAGCTACCTACTGAGGTAACAAATTATTCCGTGAAAAATTAAGACATCCTCAAAAAACTGGTTCCATATCATATCTGACATCGACGGCCACTATCTAATACATACTACTACTACTACTACTTATCACCACGTAGTAAGCTCGAGTCAGTCAGTCAGTCGGCTCGACCGTCCAAGCTTGGCACCGTTCGTGGACTACCACCACGAATACAATATTAAAAGTAATGCAGATGGAAAGCCTATCCTTTCCGCATGCCTCGCGCCGCGTGTCTTTCGCCGCAGACGGCCTGGCGCCGTCCACCCGGCCCGCCAAACCAACGTTCGCTAAACATGCGTACTCTTGCCCCACTGTATATTATTACTTTTTACATCCTAGTCTGTAACAACCCGAAAGGACCAATCAAAAAGTTTGCATAACTGCTGACAGGTCTGAGGCTATAGCCTATATCTGACCTCACTTTATACTTTTAATAATTGTTATTATAAATGTTAAACAAATAAAACTGCTGGCTTAAATTTTAAGCTGGAAGACTAGCTCGCTATTTAAAACAAAATGTTTAACTAGTGTGACATAATTTATAATGTCTCAATATATGTCCTATTATGAGCTGGCCAAATAGTCTGAAATAGATAAAGGCCAAGATCTAAAGAATATCAGTCTTAAAATTGCCTTGTATAAAGTCTAAAAAAATACCTTAAATCTAAATAATACTAAATGTGAAAATCTCAATACGAAAATACAAAAGTATTACCTAAATAGTTTCTTGACGCCAACATTTTAAAAGATTATTTGAGCGTTTTTGCCTACAGTGCCCATAAAACATTCTCTTTTCTTTTAATGTAAAAAACTGCTTCTATATCCATTGTTAATCTATTTCCAAGGGATGCATTTTAATTTTCACAGAAAATTTTGAGATTTTATCGCCGGTAGATTTCCAAGCTAGAAATTCTAACGGGAATTCCAATAAATACAGCTGTCACTTTTTGTACCTTTGTAAAATTTTTTAATACTTTGTGATAATATTTTTCAATTATAGTAATAAAAAAATCAAAGGATAAAATATTTTTTTAACATAATCATAAGTTATTTTAATATTTTTTCATTTAATTAAATTTGTAAGTAAAATTGTCTAAAACCGTCTTAATGTATGTTATAAAACCGTCTTAAAAGTCTATAATAATGTCCTAAAACGTCTAAAAACTATAATGTCCATCATCACCCTCTTGGAAGTGAATAACCAAGACAAATTGTCTAAGAACCTATAGAACTTATAATGTCCTAAAACTGTTGTCATGTTTTTCCTTTTTATTTGTAGGTATTTGGACCGTTGGGAGAAGGTGCATTTTCTTGGAGAAGACGGTGAAAGAGGAAGCGACGATGATGAAGAGAGCAGGCATAAGCGCTGGTCCGCAAGAGCCCTTCATTCGGTACCTTACACATACAACTATACCCAACATAATATTGCCGGTAAGAACTCAAAAGAACAACCATTTACAAAAGTCTTATCTTCGAAATAGTTTAGTTCAAAATCATCGCATGCAACTCCACAAAACTTGATTGTACGCTTTTTCCAATCCAATCAGTCGGAATTGCCAGAAAAGAATAACTCAGCTGCATTTGCACCCCTTCTCCCCCCTTATGCCCATCATCGATTGCAATCACGTGACCTTTGTACGCCCGACGCCGTTCGTCACGACGCCTTTCCACTTGAAGCGTCGGAATTTTATGTTTGTGTGTAGGTTCACTAATCAAAACAATATGTATATTCATTAATGATTTTACTATTTGATTAATATATAATTAACTAAAATATATAGTATTGTAAACTCGTATTTACTTAAAACCATTACGTGGTGTAATAATTGTTGCGGTTTCTATATCTCCAACGACCAACAAATCAATACCATATTTTATATATTTCCATTGTTCTGTGCACAGGCGTTTGATTGGTTCGATGGTTTTGTTATTATATTTACAAAATCGGCAACGCCTATCCAGTCAAGTCGACGCTTGCAATTAAACCCCACTGTTAATATAAAAATACGTTTTTTACGCGCATCCATAATTAAAGTTCCATACGTGTGTACAGGAATCAATAATGATACAAGCGCCACCCCTCTACCGTTTTGATGTGATATTTTGGTTTTATTAGGGAAAAAAAAGTTTTTTTTCGAATTATACAGCACAATTTCAACTTTCCGAAGGTTTTTGACGCTCTGAAACCATATGCAAATTTTACAAGATTTAGGTAGATAACAATATTACCTACTTCCTACTTACTTTCTGAATTTCATTGGGGAATGTGTGATTCAGCATTTAATGCATATTCGAATGCCTATTTCAGTCACTTGCATATATTCCGGAATTTCAGAAATATTTACTCATTTCTCTTTCAAGAAATATTGATTAAATTTAAAATTTAAATATTTTATTTTTTACACGCCTAGAAGTCACATACAAAAATAAAATTTTGAATTGAAAAATCTAACAAATGCTCTCTCGAGCGATTTGGTCCATCGGGCCGCCTCCGGGGGCAGAGGGGACGATCGGCGGCGGCGTCGGTGACAATCCGATTACCACACCGTCATTATCGCCTGCCGCCGTCGATGCAGCGGCGGGAGCGGTGACGGCGGCGGCGGCGGCTAAACTTGAAAGGGGCGGGGGGATCCATAATAATGTATTGACTCGCGGCGTGTCGGGTCGAGCGCCAAAACAAACCAAGATTTGCGCGGTGGAGGCGGCGATCCGCGGCGGCGGCGGAGGCTGCACTTCTTGGCGTTTTGCTGTACGTGTGCCAGATTCGCTTATTGGGTCATTCAATCGCATGCATTTTGAGACGGCTAATAAGGAAATATGGCAACGGAGCGATGTGTTTTACATATAGAAATTTTTTTAACAATATACATTTTAAAATATTAAATTTCAAGAGTTTTACGTAATTTATATAGCCTGATTAAAATAACAAGGTATAAATGCAGATTTAAAAAAAAATATATAAATAATAATACTTAATTAAACTGAAATACCTACCTGTAAAGTTTAAACTATCAAAAATAACCTTTAAGCTTTCTTAGAATTAAAAGGGCAAGTGGATAAAGGATTTAAGTAATATTTTTAATAATAAAGGACAATACAATATATATTTTTATTTAATATTACAATAATTTTTCTTTGAATGTGTCATGTTACATTTAAATTATAAAAAAACAGACAATAATTTGGTATTGCAACTATAATATTTTTTGTACCTTATTGTTAAAAATTTTACGTCATCCACATGCCTCTTGAATTATCAAATAAAAACATCTTAAACTGTCTTGGAATCTATAGAGCCTAAAACTGTATCAAAACTGCTATAAAATGTTTAAAACTGTCTGTGCTTAAACTCTTCTAGAACCTATATTGTTCTAAAACTGTTATAACATCTCATAAAACCGCCTTGCTAGAGCCTATTGTGTTCTAAAACTGTTTAAAATAACCTTTGAACTTGGAACTGTCTTATGACCTAGGTTAAAATGTCCTAAAACTATCCTAAACACGTCAGCCTAGAACTGTATTAAAACTGACTTAAACTCTTTTAGAACCTATATAATATAGGCTATATTTTTCTAAAACTGTCTAAAATAACCTTTTAACTTGGAACTGTCTTAGGACCTAGGATACATGTCCTAAAACTATCCTAAACACTTCAGCCTAAAACTGCTTTACAATTTTTAAATCTCTGTCCTTAAACTCTTTTAGAATCTATATTGTTCTAAAACTGTCTAAAATAACCTTTGAACTTGGAAATGTCTTATGACCTAGGTTAAAATGTCCTAAAACTATCCTAAACACGTCAGCCTAGAACTGTATTAAAACTGACTTAAAATTTTTCGTCCTTAAACTTTTTTAGAACCTATATTGTTCTGAAACTGTCTAAAATAACCTTTTAACTTGGAACTGTCTTAAGACCTAGGTTACAATGTCCTAAAACTATCCTAAGCACTTCAGCCTAAAACTGCTTTAAAATTTTTAAAACTCTGTCCTTAAATTCTTTTAGAATCTATATTGTTCCAAAACTGTTATAACATTTCATAAAACCGCCTTGCTAGAGCCTATTATGTTCTAAAACTGTCTAAAATAACCTTTTAATTTGGAACTGTTTTAGAACCTAGGTAACAATGTCCTAAAACTCTTAAAACCTACCACTCTTGAAAATGTTAATTTCTTGGAGCTGTCAATATCTTAAAACTATAACGACTGATTTTGCTCTTTTTGTTTAGAATCGAACCGCGACTACAACCACATGTCGACCAACCTGTACAAGGGCTCCGATTACGACCGCCTGGCCCTATCCCTAATCTCCCCGCTGCCCAACGAACAAGACTTCGCAATAAACGTGTGCACCCTGCTGTCGAACGACGGAAAGCACACGCTGAAACTGGAAAAGCACCCTAGAATAATCAATTTCCTTCTCGGACACGCCGGAGTGTTCCATCACGAGTCCCTTCGGGAGATATTCGTGCAGAACTACTCGAAAGTGAGGAAGCACTCGGTGCACACCTTTTGGAGGGACGTGGTGGAGAGCAAGGAGTACCTGGACTTGACTTTGGAGGGCAAATTCGTGAGTAAAGTCGAGATAAAGGAGGTGGGCACGAACTTTTTGAGCGAGGATATATTGAAGCTAACCAATGTCGTCCCCATGGAGGTGGACAGCGTCAGCATTGAGGACGATTTCGATAGCGATTGCGAAATTGTGTCCACTTCTTCTGGCGGTAACAAGGTTAAGCTGAAATTGAACGATGAAGACGATCAGTTATTTTGCTTGAAGAGAAGTGTGGGTACGCAGGATTATATTGGGCAAAGGGTTGTGCAGATTGCCACGATTTTGAGGAACTTGAGTTTTATCGAGGAGAATTTGAGTGTGCTGTCGAAGAATCAGTGTTTTTTGAGGTTCATACTGTTGTGCGCTAGTTCTCAGTGGAGTTCGTTGAAGAATCTGGGCTTGGATATGTTGGGTAACCTCGCAAGTGAATTCAGTCTGAAGGATGTTTCAAACGACATACTTTCGACCGCTTTAATTAAAATCATCGTTAGAGGTTTGGAGAGCGAGGACAGGAACTTGTGTATATCATCCTTGGAGGTGCTCAATAAACTCGGCCAGAACGAGAACAACGAGGACATTCTTCTCAACACGTTGGAGTGCAGCATCTACAAGAAAGTTTGCTCTTTCCTGACGATACACGACGTCATGCTCCTGATATACACCCTCGAGTGTCTGTACTCTTTGAGCTCGTTGGGCGAGAAATCCTGCAACTTCATAGTGATAAACCACGGCGTCATAGACACCCTGGTGTCTCTGGTGACCGTCGAGGGCAAAAGTTACGGTCCCAAAGCCTGCATAGGGATGAAACTGGTGGAGACGGTGACCGGCGTGGCGACAGCGGCTCAGAATCAGCAGCAGCAGCAGCAGCAGGGGCAGCAACAGGCGCAAGGTGGCGCTGTTGCCGGTGCTTCGGGGGTCGCTGTCAGCGCAGCAACGCCCCTGGCGGCGGCGACGCCGGTTAAAGTGTCGCCGCAGCCGGCGACGCCCGTCAGACAAGTCCAGATTGCGCCGCAGAGGCTCATTGCCGTCACCCCAATGTGTAAGTACATTTTTTATTATTAGTCTTATTGAGTTTTTAATATAAAGATATTAAAAGGAAACAATCATTTGTATACGGTTTTTATATATTTGTTACTATTTTGCACTATTTTTGAATTGTTTTTTTTTTCTAAAAATGTTTTTTTTAAATATAATTTTTGCTTGTTCATGTTATTAATATTTTTTATTTATTAAATTTTTTATCTATTTAATTTTACAGTTTTGTTATAGTACATAACTCTAAGAGGGGAGGGAGTAGAATAAAATTGCAAAAATTACGATTTAACGATTTTTTAGTAAAATATTGGAGCAAATATTTTAAAATGTCAGAAACGCATTAAAGAACATCTAAAACAAATTTTGAAAGTGAAATTCATAAAAATATATATCGAAAAACCTTTTAAAATGTCAGCAAAAAATTTTAGAACCAAAACAAATTTTGAAAAGTTAAATAATGTCAAAAACATGTTGGAATTAAAGAACATACTTAGGAATGTCAAAACAAATTTTAGAATGTCAAAAAGCACTTTTAAATGTCAAAAACACTTTTTGTTAAAGGCAAACTAAAGAATGTTAAAATTATAAGAATGTGGAATATTGTCATTTTGACATTTCAGAATGTAAAAAAGCAAATTTTAGAATGTCAAAAACATATTTATTGTTAAAATAAATTTAAAAATTACAAAAACCGATAAAGAACGTCTAAAACCAATTTATAAAAATATAAAATATTGTCAAAAACCCTTTTAAAATGTCAGCAAAAAATTTAAGAACGTCAAAACAAATTTTGGAAAGTTAAATAAATTATTTGCTCCAATATTTTACTAAAAAATCGTTAAATCGTATTTTTTGCATTCCTAAGTATGTTTTTTAAATAAAACATGTTTTTGGACATTACGTCACCTGAGAATTATAGTGTTCTATCTGCATTTTCTTTTTTTTATTCAGGTTAGTCTTGTTTTAAGTCTTAAAGATGATATTGGTCTATCTATATATAATTGGGGTAGAAATTGTAAAGTTTAAGGTTTAAACTGTACAATTTCTACCCCAATTATATATAGATAGAACAATATGCATCTTTAATACTTAAAACAAGACTAACCTGAATAAAAAAAAGAAAATGCAGATAGAACACTATAATTCTCAGGTGACGTAATGTCCAAAAACATGTTTTATTTAAAAAACATACTTAGGAATGCAAAAAATACGATTTAACGATTTTTTAGTAAAATATTGGAGCAAATATTCCAGGAAACCAATACCTATAGATAGAAAAGAGACATAATTTAATATTGCTATGCCTTTTAAATAAAAATTATTTTATGTTAATTTTAAAAATGAATGTAATTTTTAATTTATTTCTTTAGGAATACTTTTTCGGTTTTATTTTTGTTTCCATTTGTTTTAATGTATTGTATTGTATCCATTTCAAGAGTTTAATAAATATATCGTCATATTCCTGCCAAAAGTCACTAACTGACATTTTGAAAAATGATGTACTTCGCTATACAAATTTACCATATATTTAATATTTAAAAGCCACTAGATGCCTAGAATAATAAAAAATGTTCGTTTTTGCATGGTTAAAAATCACTATAGTTTATAAACTGATGTAATAGATATATTTATTTGCTTATTTATTTTATCTTGAAGATCAATAATAAAATGTTAGTTAGTGACTTTTGGCAAGGATATGATTTAATAACAGTAAGCTAAGAAAAACTTTAGAACGATAAATTTCAAGAGTGAAACTAACATTTTTAGCAACTCCTTCTGTCCCCGCGGCGGCCGTGGTGCAAACCCCGACGTCGATCGCCGTCTCGTCGGCGAGCGTCGTCGCAGCCAGCTCCGTCCTGACGCCTCAGCAGGCCATCCAGCAGCAGCACGCGCACCAGCAGGCCATCCACGAGAACGAGCAGTTCGCTTTGGCGTGGCTGAGGGCGACGTACGAGCCGGCCGTCAACGGCAGGATCGACCATCAGGAGCTCTACAAGCACTACTTGAACAGCTGCTCGAAAATCGGCAGGAAGGGGGTCATATCGCCGCTGCATTTCCCCAGATGTGTCAGGTACGAACAAACTTTTATAATCGATCATTACTACGGGTTCAAAGTGTCGGAAAGATTGGGGAAAACCGTTTTTTCCCAAGACTTTTTTTGGAAATCATTCACTACTTAACATTATTTTAATTAAAAAATATCATCCTTACAAAAAAATAAATGTAAACAATAAATATATACTATCCAATTACTAAATAATGAATTAAATTACAAAATTATTATTTATTATAATTTTATTATCGTTTTTGCATTAATAAAAACATTGGGAAATTTTTTTGACAAAACCATATATCATCATTATTGTTTTTACCTCCAAAATGCGTGACTATGCAAAACAAAAAACAATTAGTTTTTAAGAATATAAAATGTTTTCAAAAACCCTTTTAAAATATCAGACAAGAAATTTTAGAATGTCAAAAACATATTTATTGTCAAAACACATTTTAAAATGTCAGAAACGCATTAAAGAACGTCTAAAACAATTTTTGAATGTGAAATTCATAAAAATATATATCGAAAAACCTTTTAAAATGTCAGCAAAAAAATTTACAATTTCAAAAAAAGTTTAGAATGTCAAAAAGCACTTTTAAATGTCAAAGACACTTTTTGTTAAAGGCAAACCAAAGAATTTGGAATATTTTCATTTTGAATGTAAAAAAACAAATTTTGGAATGTCAAAAACATATTTATTGTCATATAACATTTTAAAATGTCAGAAACGCATTAATTAAAGAACTTCTATAACAAATTTTTTAATGTGAGATGTATAAAAATATAAAATATTGTCAAAAAACCTTCCAAAATGTCAGCAAAAAGTTTTAGAACGTCAAAACAAATTTTGGAAAGTTAAATAATGTCAAAAACATGTTGGAATTAAAGAACATAGGAATGTCAAAACAAATTTTAGAATGTCAAAAAGCACTTTTAAATGTCAAAAACACTTTGTTAAAGGCAAACTAAAGAATGTCAAAATTATAATAATGTGGAATTTTGTCATTTTGACATATCAGAATGTAAAAAACCAAATTTTAGAATGTCAAAAACATATTTATTTTTAAAATAAATTTAAAAATGACAAATCGATAAAGAACGTCTAAAACAAATTTATAAAAATATAAAATATTGTCAAAAAATTTCAGCAAAAATTTTAGAACGTCAAAACAAATTTTGGAAAGTTAAATAATGTTTTATTTAAAAAACATACTTAGAAATGTCAAAACAAATTTTAGAATGTCAAAAAGCACTAATGCAATAATTTTTAATTTTATAAATCAAAGTGTTAAATAAAACGAAAGTTAAAATATTCTCGATATCAATATCCATAAAAATTTGTAAATTTTCAGAAAAATTGACTTTTGCATTTTTTCGTATGAATAAAATAAAAAAAATGCAAAAGTGAATTTTTCCCAATTTCCCAATTGTTGCGGAAAAAACTGTCGGCTCAGTTTTTCAACGTGTTATTTTTAAATTTTTGCTCGTTAGGTCTGTGTTCGGAGGAACCGTCGGACCGAACCCCATGAAGCCAGTAAACCCCTTGGACCCGCAGTACTACGACGGCATTAAGGTGCGCCCCACCCCCCTCATTATAAGTATTCCCAACTCCGCCCCCGCCCCCGCCGCCGCCCCTCCGAAATCCGGCAACCCTTTGGCGGCGGTCCGCAAGAAACCTCAAAGCATCCAACCCGCCCCCCCTCCTGCCGCTGCCTCCCCTTCGGAGACCCCCTCCGCGGACGGTTTGCCTCCCGCCTCCCCCATCCTGAAAGCGCAGCTGAGCGCCCCTCCCAAACAGCAACAGCCGGCAACGCAGCTGAAAGACGGCAACGCTGCTGCTGCTGCGAGCGATTCGAAAAGTCAGGTAAAAATTTTTTTAGTTCAGCCGACTACCCGTATCGCATTTTTTATTACCGCCTATACGGAATGTGCATACGACTATGTGTCTCTTTTTCTGTCTCCTTCATCTACACATGCTCTACTATACTTCTATTTTGCTGGGGATTCCAAAAATTATTGACATAATTTTTCACCATCAAAGTTGATAACTTTTTTAATATTCTTGGTTAAAAAAAAATTGTTTATCAACCATTTTCATTGTATATCTATTTTTAACGTAGCACTTATTTATATTAACTGACATAATCATAACATATTTATTATCAAAACACATTTTAAAATGTCGGAAACACATTTTTTAATATGGAGTTTATAAGAATATAAAATATTCTCAAAAAAACCTTTTAAAATATGTGGAATATTGTCATTTTTACATTTAAGAATGTAAAAAAAAATTTTAGAATGTCTAAAACACATTTTAAAATGTCAGCAAAAAATTTTTGAACGCCAAAACAAATTTTGAAAAGTTAAATAATGTCTAAAAACATGTTGGAATTTAAAAAAACGTACTTAGGAATGTCAAAAACATGTTTTGTTTAAATGCAAAAACTTCTTAATTATATTTTTTATAGTTTTTATGGTTTTTTTTTATTTTAATTTTCACGAAGATAGTAGAGCACATTTGCCGTCACATTCTTGGTTGTGGGACTATTTTATCGTTTATTACTATTATTATAATTTTAGAAAAAGCATAAAAAATAAACTCTAAAAAGGTAAGAGTTTAAATAACATACCACCTGGCTTTATGTGAAGTTAGCACAAAAAGTAAATAGAAAAATAGTAAAAGTATTCGGCCTAACAAAATTTTACCTGCAAAACCTACTAACAACCATATCATAGATTAACAAAAAAATAAATCCCAAATAGTTCTGGTAGTTAATAATAATAAGTAAAGGGTCTACTATTATTTTATATTACATACATATTTTTTTGACCATTAAAAAAAAATTAAGTAGTGTACCTGTTAAAATTAAAAATGTACTGTTTTGTTTTTGTTATGGATTTACAAAAACAAAACAGTCATAGTGAAGAACAAATCTATGGTCAGAACTGCATTAGTAATTTTTTGTCGTCAAGAATATGATGATTATTTTCTGATGGTGCGAACTTTTTTTAATAAAATCATTTACAGTCGTTTTACATATTTTTAAAGTTCGGGCGCGTTTTTCAGTAAACCCTCAATATAACTGAATATAACTGTCAAATAATACTAATCCAGTTCCGGCGATATACAGGGTGCACCAAGTATCACTCTATGCTTGGGTATACATTTTTTGAGTAGCTACAAGGTCTGTTAAATGAGAGAAAAGTTTTTTAATTACAAGTCTATTAAAACGGCTTTTAAAAAAATCGGCAAATAATTTGAAAAAACTAAAAAACATAAAATTGTTATAACTATATTTTCATCCAATTTTTTTTGTCTTTTTGATTTTGTGTTAGGTTAATGTGTATGTTTACATGTAAAACTTCCTTTTTTTCAAAATTCACAGGAAAGATTTTTAGTTTATTTCAAATATTTCTGTCTCTTCTTCCAATTTATAAATTCCATTTTAATAGACTTGTAACTCTAATTTAACCAACCTTGTAGCTCTAAAAAAAGTATATAAAAAATAGAAGGATACTTTGGTGCCCTGCCCCTGTACTTCACATGAAAAAATCCCCAAAAACATGTTGTCTGCATTTTCCCCTCAGGCAATGGCGCATCCGCACTTGAGCCAAGCTTTGCTAGGGACGAGCAGCGCGACGTCTACGACGACGCTGACGACGCCTACGACGACGCTGACGACGCCTTCAGTGGCGTCGGTTCAGCAACAGGTCGCGCCGAAGGAAGGTCAAAGTAGCACGTCGCTGATTAAAAGTCTTTTGGCTAATAAGGTAAACGATTGCATGTCGACGGTGAGCATGAAGACAACCGACTGCCAAAATGTAGCTCAGGTAACAATACTAATCACACATTTTTTTTTATATTTTTTTTTAGAGAAAAATAGCATGGATGATTTTTTAAGGGATAGATTTTCAAAGTTTCAATTTGAATACTCGTTAATACGCTTTTAATAACAAACCAAATAAGAATTTAAAAAGTTCTTGGATGTCAAATGTTTAACCAACAAAACTGAGGTTAAATTCGTCTGACAGTTGTCAGTAAACACTCGCTCCAGCCTTATTAAAACTCGTAACTAAAACGTCGTTTATCAATCTTGATACATAATATACTATTAAGAACATCAAAAGCAAACTAAAGAATGTCATAATCATAACAATGTAGAATATTGTCATTTGACATTTAAGAATGTAAAAAAACAAATTGTAGAATGTCAAAAACATATTTAATGTTAAAACACATTTTAACATGTCAGAAACGTCTAAAATAAATTTTTGAATATAAAATTTATAAGAATATAAAATATTGTCAAAAAATTTTATCAGCAAAAAGTTTTAGAACGTCAAAACAAATTTGAGAATGTTAAAATTTAATTATGTCAAAAAACATGTTGGGAAAAACATACTTGGGAATTTCAAAACAGATTTTAGAATGTCAAAAGCACTTTTAAATGTCGAAAACATTTTTTGTTTAAAATACAAAAACTTCTTAATTATATTATTTTATGTTTAATGTCAAAATCATAAAATCGTAAAAAAAATGTCAAAAACATTTTAAAAGTTAAAAAACACTTTGAAATGTCAAAATTATATTTTAGAACGTCGATATCATTTTTTAGAATGTCAAAATCATAATAATACAAAACACATTTTAGAAATTTAAGATACATTTAAGAATTTCAAACAAATTTTATGAGGTCAAAAAACATTTTAAAATGTCATTTGTACAATAATTTACAATTTTGTATTTTTCATTATTTCTACAACTTTTACAATCTATCCTATTTTTAGAAAGCTTGGTTTTTAACAAAAAGTTTTTAATTCGTTGTTTAACAAAATTATAAATAATTATTTAATAACATTGTATTTTTTTATTATTGCTAGATTATTTTAAATCGCCTTAAAATAGTAAAAATAAATAATCCGAAAATTACTGACTTACTAATAAGATATTTTTGCGTTTTGTACCAAGTATTGTAATAAAAATGCTTGCTTTTTTGAAATTTACTACTAACTAAATTTGTTTTTTAACCAAGCCAATAATATTCATAGTTTGCAAGAGTACCTATACGAATAAAATCAATTCATGTATGGTAGCCTAAACTAGATTTTGGATACCCAGTAACTTTTACTGTGTGAAGGGTGCTTTGCATTCTTTGCATTCTTTCTGTGGTGTGAGATACAAAAGGGTATCGGATTTTTTTCAGAATTTAGAGTAACAAAACACAATAGAGGAAGTTATTTACATTTTAACGCAATCGAACATAAAGGAACATCCTAAACACCATTTTTTGATGTTGCCAGGTGTGCTTATTAGAAAACCTCTTTTATTTTTCTTAGGTTAACAGTAATTATTATTGCTTATCATTTTATTTATTTTTACAAAAACTACATCAGGCAAAAAATATATTACCTTTAATTAATTTGAAATTTTATTTGATTGCATTTTTTAATTGTTTTCTAATGACGTTTTAAGTTTCCAGTTTGTAAATTTTATTATTTAAAACTGAGCTGACAACGCTGCAGTAATTGCTTTTATAACAGTAAGACAAGAAACGCTTTTCGTCCTTGTTTATTTAAACATCGTAGAAAGAGACAAAAGTAACCTAAGAAAGTGTGCCGGTTTCTTCTTATAATACGTCACTATTACAGTGTTGCGCGTTATTAGATTGTTTGTTTGTGTGAATTTTTCCGTGTTTTTCAGTTTTTAAATACAATTTTAAGGTGATTTTAGACAATAACCATTTTAATATGGTGAGACAGTGCCAAGTGTGTGGTAAAGTTGATGCCACAAATCCTGAACTTTCTTTTCACCGGTAAGTAAGGTTATGTTCTTATGCTTAGGTTTCAGTGGTGTAGATAAGTTTTATTATTATTATTTAGAAAATATTCTGTGTGAGGATATTACTTGCTTAGGCATATAAACATACTGCTATAACTCTAATAAAAATAATCATTCTTTTTTTAGGTTTCCTTTAAACCCAGAGAGGCGAAATTTGTGGTTTAGCCTTTTGGAATTTACACAAAATAAAAGGATACCAAAAACAGCTGATGTTTGTTCTCAACATTTTGATCCCAATGATATTTATATCAGATCAAATGGATTTAAATATTTAAAGGCGGATGCAAATCCATTGCCAGCTTCTCCACTATTTGAACCTAACTCATCAAGGTATGGCAAAAAATAATAAATAAATATTTAGTTCTCCTAGTGCATGCAAATAATATTAGTTAATTGTTATATAGTTTTTAATTAACCAATATACAGTATATTTTACTTTACATGGAAGCACCCCTGTATTTTCTTTGTTTTTGTAAGAATTGATTTGATTTTTTTATCAGTTTTACAACTCACCAAGAGGCATCTATTCATGTCCTTGAGAGAAAAAAATGTCATTAGCCTGGCCTAGTGGGATCAAGACCATGGGTCATATTGTCAATATTTTGCTTTGCGTTAGAGTTAGGTACAACAAAAAGTTATTAAGAAAAGTTTTTTAGATTGAATAGATTACCCTAAATATCGACTTTCAATTAAAAATTCCATTTTTTAATTTTTATCCCGTTAGTTACGTTTATCCATGCCACCCTTTGATTCTAAATTTAAAGTTAAAAATATAAATCAAATCATATAAAAACAAAGAAAATATAGAGGTGCTTAAAACACACTAAATTAAAAAATCAAAATTTACCCTATTACTTTCTTAATTAATTTCATTTTAATATTTTTTTAAATCTGTAACAGCCACATCACACATAAATTTATACATCAGCAATTGTACACTAAAATTATTAATTTAGTAAACAAAGAAAATGTGACGAAAGTCATTCTTTAAAATAAATTATGTAGTGTTTTTTTATTTTTAGACAAAAAAATACTTTAGTAGAAAAATCACACATTTTATAAAAAAAATCTGTTATCTGTAATGCTGTTATCTTTTTACAGCTCAGAATCCCTGGAATCCATTTTAAATGAGAACCCCAAATCTTTAGAAGTTCAAAGCACATCGTAAGTATTTTACAAGATAAAAATTTAAATTTAATCGTTGATCAATAAAGGCCTTAAAAAAATTAAATCTTTAATTTTAGATCTGCAGAACCGTATTCAGATGCAGATGGTTCTCCTAATAAACTGCTAGAAAAGATTACTTTAGGAGTAGAAGTTTCCAAGACTAGCGGAAAAGTTTATCAAGGGTGTGTAATTTCTGACTTATTTATTATTTTTAACTTTTTAATAGATCTCTAATTTAGAAGAATACAGTGTAACTTGTTTTAACTGAACAACAATATAACTAACTTTTTATTTTATCAATAACTGTAATATAAAGCATTTTGGCATGTTTGTAGGGCCCCATATGATGAAACTAATGAACAGGAAACAAGGATTGCAACACATTCAGATGATTTTGATTTAAATATTGTACCTTATTGCAAGCCAGGTACTTCACAACCTAAAGATGGACAAAAAGTTGAGTTTAAAAAGTACCAGTCATATACTACTTCAACAGCATCAGAAACAGAAGAACAGATTTTAAGTATGCTTAAAAGCAATCCCTCAGAGGTTCCAGAGTCACTTGTGGGGCCAGATTCTGTATTTAGAGGAAAACTTGCTTTGGTTAATGTTCCCAAAAAAAGGTATCTACCATATTCCTTTTTTAATATTAATAACAACTTTAATTTGCGATTTACACATTTTCACAAATAAATATATTAATTTAATAAATTTAACACTAATTTGTAAAACAATTTTAAGGAAGAGGGATGCCTATGTTGGAGATTTGAGTAGTGACGATTTTGATTCTCCTAAAAAGCGTAGAAGAAAGATTGCCTTTATTAAAAAGGTAGTTGAAGAAAAAAGAAAAAAAGTGCATGGTTTGCAAACAACAGTAAGACGCCTTAGAAAAAGGATTACTTCATTAAAGAGCCTTCTAGATTTATTTAAAAAGAAACTCTTTATATCTGAAAATTCTGAGAGCATGATTAAGGTATGGATTTAGTAGTGTTTGTAGCAACTAAAAATTTAGATTTTGTCAGCTTGTAAGTGCAGGGTCTGGAATGAAATCTGACAGTTTTCTAAATGGTATAACTTAGTTTTTAAATAAATTGATGAGTTTGAAAAAAACATATTTTTTTAATGTTAAGTGAAAATTTGTTTAGATTTCAGACAAAACTCATTTTCACCTCAGCAAATGTGTAATAAAGCAAAATTGTCGTAATAGGGCCCCAAATCGGGTAATTTGGGGCCTAATAATCACCAAATGCCTTTTCACTATTGAAGAGTAACTGTCTAGGCTGTAGTGTGTAGATTTTTTCATAATGTTTTTTCCACTTTTAAATTTTTAATTGTGAATTTTCATAATTTTTAACAATAATAAATTGACTAATTTTTGCTTTACACTCTTTTTCAATTTGTTTCATAAGATATGAAAAATGTCCGCTCTTCCTCTTTACAATAAAAAAATATGATTTCTTTTTAACTCAACAAGTTATTTCATTTACAAAACCATCAAGTTTTACTGCCGGACCCTGTACAAGCATTAGGTACTTGAAAAATTAAATACTTTTTTTGTAGGCATCTTTACCAGACCAACTTGGTGAAATTTTTGAAAGATTTTTGAAGGGACCAAGCAAACAAAAGTATACACCGGCTTTAAGATGCTTTGCGCTTACCTTGTCATTCTACTCAACTAGAGCCTACAACTTCCTTAGAACTACATTTAATCGAAGCTTGCCTCACTTGGCTACAATTTCCAAATGGTATCGGTCAGTGGATGGATCACCTGGATTTACCAAAGAAGCTTTAGCCGCCTTGAAGTCAAAGCAAAATGATTCACCTGTACCTCTCTTGTGCAATCTAGTCATGGACGAAATGTCAATTAGAAAGCAAGTGGAGTGGACAGGAAACAAGTTTGTAGGGTATGTTGATGTGGGCACCCGTCTTGAATCAGACAGTTTACCCAAAGCACGAGAAGCCTTAGTATTTATGCTCGTTTGCTTAAACGGTTCCTGGAAACTACCTATAGGATATTTTTTATTAGATGGACTAGGGGCATCTGAAAAGGCAGAATTGGTCAAAAAATGTTTACAGTTCATTGCAGAAAGTGGTGTTATAGTAACATCACTTACCTTTGATGGAGCCCCTACAAATTTAAGTATGGCAGAAAAGTTGGGAGCGAATTTCAGTGATCCGAAAAATTTAAAGACCGATTTTCCACACCCCACATTAAATTATGCTATTTTTATATATTTAGATGCCTGCCACATGGTAAAGTTGGTGCGTAATTGTTTTGGGTCTCAGGAAGGTTTAAAAGATAATAATAATGAAGATGTGAAGTGGTCATTTGTAGAAAAATTGGTAGAAAAGCAACACCTTGAAGGGCTGCATGCTGGCAATAAACTTAGAATGCGTCACATAAAGTACCAAAGGGAAAAAATGAAAGTCCGTTTAGCTACTCAGACTTTAAGCAAAAGTGCTAGTGATGCTATAAACTTTTTAAGGGAAAATATACAAGATCCAGATTTTGCAAATTCCGAAGCTACATCGGCGTTTCTTTTAAAATTTAACGATTTATTTGACATTTTGAATTCCAGGAATAGATTAAGTAAATATTTTTATAAAAAGCCGTTTTCACCTGCCACATATGATACTTTTATAAGTCATTTAAATAATATGAAAGAATATATCTTAAGTCTTACATTAAGAAGTGTACCTATTGTGAAATCAATAAGAAAAACTGGGTTTCTGGGGCTGTTAATATGTATTGAAAGTATTATTAAAATGTATAATATTTACGTTGTTGAAAAAAAATATTTAAAGTATATATTAACATACAAGTTGTCTCAAGATCACTTGGAGTTATTTTTTGGAGCCATACGTAGCAGGGGAGGGTATAATAATAATCCCAACGCAAAGCAATTTGAGGCAGCCTATAAACGTTTACTAGTTCGAAGCCAAATTTCAGCTCCAAATACTGGAAATACTTTAAATTTAGAAAGTATTACAATACTTACTTGTGGTTCTGGTAGGCTACAAAAGGATGAGGTTAAGGAAAATGGTGGATATGAAAAACTGTTAGAGTCCTTACAAAATGAAATTGAAAAGGAAGGCTACCTTATTTCAGAAGGTTGGGACTTAACACTTTATTCAAAAGATATAGTAGCGTACATATCCGGATTTGTTGTAAGAGGCATTAAAAAATGTGTTGACTGTCCTACCTGTCTTGCTCTATTAGTAACTGAGGAAAGTATTTCTGAATTACAAAAAAAAAAAACTTATGGAAGGCTTGTTAAAGCAAGCAAACTTGTTATTGAAACCTGTAGGGCAGGAGAAAAGTTTTTTAGATTTTTCCATAAAACAACAAATATTTTTAACCAAAAAATTGAAAATCTTTTACAAATATTGATAACAAAATCATTACAATTTATTCCATCTTCGGTCTACGACGATTTTGGGGATCATTTTTATGACTCTCATATTTTACTAGATGACCATGTATCAAACTTATTAAAGTCAATTTTAAAAATTTATTTTAACTTAAGAATTCACCATCTAGGAAAACAAGAGGAGGAGGTTTTAAAAATAAATAGGTTAAGAAGCATAAATACCAAAACAGTCCTATTTAGAAATGAATAAAGAAATATATTAAATAAAATTGAACTACTGTACCTATAATATTATTAAGATGTAAGAGGTGGTGTTAATTTAAATTTTAAATTACTGTAAATTTAGATTTAGAATCTACTGTAAAACTTTGCATAGACTTGTAACAACAAACAGATAGGTAGAGCAAATCCTACAATGCTTGGATTTGTTACAAGTCTACAAATATGTTTAGCTTTAGCCATATGTATTCTGCATAATTTATTATATTTATATTAAACTCTTCTACCAGCTTTTTATTAACCCATCACTTCAAAAAATCATTTAAAAATATTGTTTTTTATTATATAATTTTATATTTTTGTTGGTTGATTAAAATTTAATTTTTTGTTCTGTAACACTGGGTTTATTTTTTAATTGTATTTTTAAGTGTGCCTTATAATTTACTAAAAATCTATTGTTTACATTTTTTTAAAGCAACTACTTGCTTTTTAATAAGGAACTTAAAAATTTAAAGCAACTACTTGCTTTTTAATAAGGAACTTAAAAATATTTCCATAATGTATAAAATTTACCTTGGGATTTTAAGCTTAATTTTAAGCTTTTAGCATACTCTATTGTTTCTTGTCATATTAAGCCTAGCCTGTATAAATTAAATCTCATTTACATTTATAAATAATTTCTCATTTATAGGTATAAATAATTTTACAGAAAACCAAGAATCTATTTTTATTAAATAAAAAAATATATTTACCGACATATGGAACATATTAAAATGAAGTTAAAATTTTTTAAATGTTATTTGCGCAATCAAAAAATACTTATTTCAATCAGTGCAATATTTTTTACCCTTAAAAACCGCACGTCACTGGAGAAATCTAAACGCAAGCCACGTGACTTTATAACAGTGTTGCCATCAAAGTGTTATTTGGTTGCCATCGCGATGCATCGCTTAGAATGTGCTTAGTTCTCTGATCATAAACAAGGACGGTTTTGAACTGTTATGCTGCCTCTATTGTGTTTTGTTACTCTAAGATAGTTTGCAAGAGTACCTATACGAATAAAATCAATTCATGTATGGTAGCCTAAACTAGATTTTGGATACCCAGTAACTTTTACTGTGTGAAGGGTGCTTTGCATTCTTTGCATTCTTTCTGTGGTGTGAGATACAAAAGGGTATCGGATTTTTTTCAGAATTTAAGAAAAGCTTGGTGAACGTTTCCTTCAAAATACTACAATTTTTAGAATCGCAATATTCTGACAGTTTAAAATTAAAATTTAATGAGATGGCAACATTGTGCTAATAAAAACATGTTAGTTTGGGCTATCATACGTGAATTGTTACTATTAATTAACGTAGTTATTATTATAAAAAGAAACGAACAAATATTATTTTTATTATACCTTTGAAAATGCTAAAACAGAGATACCATGTTATATTTGGTTACATTGGCGCAGAACAAACTGTTTTTACAGGGGTATGCCGAAAAATATTTGGTTTCTTGAAAACAGAAACAAAAAATCTAACATCGTTAATCTGAACTTTAGGTCGCAGCTAGGCAACAACAGCAACGCCTTCTGGCGCAGCAAAACGCGCCTGCATCGCAAACGTCAACGCCATCTGACGGCCAAAAAGGCAACAAAACGAACGAAACCCCCAAGGCGTCGAGACTGAACGGCGCCCGGCAATTGTTCAACGACAACGACGTGGCGGACAATTCGGTGTCGTCGACGACGCAATTCACCAGCGCAATAAAAGGCAAGAAGGAGCCGCCCCAGCCGCCGCCTCCGCCATTAGCGCCGCTAAGCAACAACTTGAAGAAGGTGAAGTGCGAGAACGAGGACTCGAACAACTCTCTCTCGGTGGGGACGGTGGGGATAGGCGGGATATCGAGCACGGAGGACGGGGGGGACAACTCCCTGACGTCCTTCGAGGGTTTGCTGAACGGGGTGCCGAACGTCGACGCGCAGATGAACAACGAGGACGACGATTTGAAGGAGTTGGTGAACATAGGCGGCAACAACGAGATCCTCATGAACAAACCGTTGCGGTTGGCTGATCTGCTCGAGAAGAAGTTCGAGAAGAGTCCGCCCGTGTTGAACGGCGCGTTGGGTAAGGATAGTGATGTAAAAAAAACGATTTTTTTCAAATTTGAAAAAAAACGTTTAAACAAAACATTGTTTTTTTTCAAATTATAAAAAAACTTGCACACCGTTTTTTTTGTTTTTTCAAATTATAAAAAACAGTTTTATAATAATAATTATTAAAAAAGCGTTCGTTTTTTTGTTTTATAAAAATTTTATAGATAAAAACTATTTCAGTTAAGTTTTTGTTTTAATTTTCATAGACACTCATGTATGTTTATTTTAGAAGCAAGTTTTTATTTGGTGTTTTTATTTAAAACCCTCTGTTTTTTTTTAAAAACAACGTTTTTTTTCTGCTTACATCACTAGGTAAGGACCTGCGGTTGGGCAACAGGACCGGCTTAGATTTGGTGGAGAACCACATCGAGAAAGCGCTGAGGGACAGCGAGTGCCACACGGTGAAATCGGAGGGCATCAAAATCGACGTGGACGAGGATGTAATAGAGGAGCACGTAATCAGTATTGACGAGGACAAGAAGCTGAGCCTTAAGAGGGCCGCGACGGAGGAAATCGTGGAGTTGGAAAGCAAAAAGCCGCTGCTGAGCAACGTGAACGGCTCGAACCCCTCGAACACAGCTTCGACAGCTGCGGCGAAGCTGTTTGCCGATTTGGCTGCCGATATTTTGGAGGACGAGGACGAAGAGCAGCTTCTGCAGGAAGCCAGCGCCCCTACCATCTCTATTGACGCTTCGGGCGCCGTGCAGGTGACTCCTGCGGCGCAGCCGAGTGCGCAGCCGCACCAGCAGCTGATCGCGCCCGCGCAGCAGCAGCCGCAGAGGATCGTGGTCAGCCAGGCGCAGCTGCAGTCCACTCCGATCAAGAGCGGCCAGACTGTCATCGTTAACGCGGGCCAGCAGCGGAACCCGATGCTCATACAGCAGTCAAATCCGCAGTTTCTGCTGTCGTCGTCGGGCATTCAGGGATTACAAGGTACGAAGAAAATAATTTGTTTGAGTTAAATTACTTTGCGTACCTGGCGTTACGAAAGATGAAACGAAAAAGCGCTTGAATATTCGAACCAAATTCGTACCAATTGTATACAATGGGGTAGTTAAATTTTTTCTGACCTATACTTTTTATGGTTTTATTCAAGGGGTTTTGTAATATTAAACATTTCTGTGAAATCAGAATTTCAATTGAGTTTACCGTTTTCGAGATATTTACAAAAAATATACATTTTTATGACGTCACAAACCTCACCATGTGACCAACATTCTAAGATTTCTATTGGTTGAAAATTACCCTGTTGTCAAGTTGTCTTGTTAATGATTTCATTCGGTTATGTCAGAAAATACCCGAAGAGGTTATGTACAAATACTGTCACTGTCAGTTGAGTGAAAGATGGTCACCAAATTCATTAAGTACCTATCTTACTTATAACGAGGTATCCTATTACTGTTTGATATTTTAGAGTCCAAGATATATCTAAAAGAATATAAAGAACTAGGCATTATTCTAATGAAATGCATTTACGACAAAATATGATTATAATTATAGGTATTTACTTTATTTGTTTAAAAGCTCCAATGTTCAATGTAACCAACCATTCCACAAGATTCCTCTGCTTTGGAGTCCGTTATTAATAAATCACTTATCTAATATCAATTACTTACAAATAACATAACAATAACATTGATTTTCAATAATCTAAATTTAAAAAAAAACAACCCGAAAAAAAGAAACGTCAAAAAATCAATTCTTCTTCTTCTTCTCAACTAAAATTTTAGATCAAGTAGTTTTAAAACTAAAATATTATAACGTGGCGCCATCTATCGTGAGAATCTTAAACTAAACACCATAGAAAAAGCTGGCAACGTTGTCAATAGCCTAGTGACGTAATTAGGAGACTTTTTTTTGTAAATATCTCGAAAACGGTAAACGTAATTGAAATTCCGATTTCACAAAGATGTTTAAAATTACAAAACGCCTTGAATAAAACCATAAAAAGTATAGGTCAGAAAAAATTTAACTACCCCATTGGTACACGGAGAAAAAAATATAATAAATGATATAAGAAATATAATACTATTTATTACATTTTACGTTAAATATAGTGACAGCTAAATCTTATGATACATTTTAATATGAAAATATAATATTTTATATTAATTCGCTTTAACATACTACTTAATTTACTTCAATCATAATATGATTATAATATTTTTATTTGCTTATAAACATCAGTATTTTAATTTATATAATAATTAATTTTACTTCCTATTATATAAATTTTAATATGCATTTTTCTACGTGTAGTTAAATTTTTTTTTCTGGACTGCGGCAACGTTGCTTCATGGATAACCAATATAACCATGAAATAAAAAGTGATTGAAATTGACCGTTTTAACATTTTCCGTTGATTTTTTGAATTGCAAAACTTGAATTCCTTCAGGTCAAGTTCAGCTGGTGGCCGGTTCGACGCCTGGGCAGTACGTGCTGCAAACAAGCGGCTCTCAGGGCTACGTGGTGGCGCAGCCGCAAACGGCGGTCGTGCACGGACAGCAGCAAACGGTTTTGGTGGCGCAAACCTCGCAACAGCAAGGCACCGGCGCCAAGACCATCATCATCTTGCAACAGCAACCGAACAACGTCACGCAGCACCAAAAGGTGATGGTGACGCCGCAGGGTCAACAGGTAAGACAGACAAATCACTAAACTGTACCTTTAACTAAACAGGTAAGATTTATCCCCTGCCTCTTTCTGTTCTAATGTCCGGTTGTAAAAGTCTTTTTTGTAATTTTTATTCGTCTTTTAACGATTTTTATTTTTTTTATTATCATGTTTAACAGAATTAAAAATTTCAAAACTTATTATAAACGCAAAACACATTTTAGAATTATAAAATTCTAGTTAAATCGGACTAAATACTGTTCAAGCTTCTAATTTTTCTCAAAATGTTATTTGGTATTTTTTATCCAAAATAATAATTACATTATGGCACTTGGGACCTATAATAAGTGCAAAATGTATTCCTTCCTTCCTTCCTCCCGTAAAAGATGAAAAATAGGAAAACCGTAGTGCTGTTTATAAATTCCCGGGAGATGAAGGAAGGCAATCTAATGAAATCGGAAAGTAGAGGAAACTTTTTTCTGTTTAGGTGGTCGTAACTCAAGTTCCTAGGCCGGTGATGGCGTCGGTGTCGACGAACAACGCCGTCTCGGCGCAGCAGGGCGCCAAGACGTCGATGGTGATGGCAACGTCGAAACTGACTACGCCCGCCACCGCCAACGGCGTCGTAGTCGTGACGGAGAAGAAGGAGGAGCAGCCCAAAATACCAAAGATTGTCAGGGACTTGACCACGGCGTTCGTATGCGAGTGGGGCACATGCAACATGTAAGTGAATATCACTAAATGTATATACCTACACTGTAAATTGTTCAGTCCATGGCCAGTGTATTAGACTTGCTCACAAATTTTCTTTAATTTAGTAATTTTGCAAAATAATACAAAAAGTAATTTTATGAATAGAATCGCGTTAATAGTTATTTGTTTACCAAGGCCAAACAGTGACTTTACTGAACAAGTCTGATTTTTAAAAAATGTTAATTCGGACTCAAACCCTTTTTTGTTCGCTATTATTATTGTCCGTTTTGTGGTGGTTGGTTTCTGAAAAAATTGAGCCGAATTTTTCTAAAAATTTACAAATTTTTACGGATTTTTGCTAATCAATACTGATACTGATAATATTATGTTATTCCTATTATTTTAATTTGGTAAAATTATTCTATTCTATTCTATTTTTAAGTTGTTGACTGCTACTTTCATTAAAATGTGTGATTTTCACAAAAAAAACAGTTTTTTCCGAAAAACACAATTTTATGAAGGCCTGGAAAAAAAACCGAAAACAGTTTTTTATTATTCTTATTATTTTAATTAATTATATTCTATTCTATTTTTAAGTTGTTGATTGCTACTTTCATTAAAATGTGTAATTTTTACAAAAAAATCAGTTTTTCCCAAAAAAGAAATTTTATGAAGGCCTGGGAAAAAAACGGAAAAACAGTTTTCCCACAATTTTTCCTGTTTTATTGCAAAAATTGGTTTTTGTGAAAAATACAAGTATTTAATGCATTTTTTTACCATCCCTTTTTATAAAAAATAAAGAATATTTATAAGTGGTCTAATCAATTGGCCAGGGACTGTAAACGTTATCCTATCATGGATAACTTGGTTTTTGACATGGTAACATACTCTAAGGGGTTTATAGACTAGCAAAGGATGTTCAGTCGAAAAAAAAACAAGTTTTGTTTTTTTTAGTGATACTAAGTTTAAGTCGGCCAATCAGGTGTATTTGCACGCTTGCGAGGCGCATTGTCCGCAAGGAAACGAAGAGGTGGTTTGTCAGTGGGACCGATGCGATACGATGAAACGGAAAAGGTTTTCCTTGATGACCCACCTGAACGATAAACATTGCAATCCCGAGGTAAGATACTTTCATTAGTTTTATTTTAATTTTTTATTTGACATCACTCAATTTCTACCATGATTATTGTGAAGATTTGCGGTGTTGTCGGATTGTAAACAAAAACTAAAAAGGCAACACCGCTTTATACCGCATTATCTCTGGAAAATGCATTCTAAAACTATTAACTTTTAAGGCGATGAAACAAAATCTCGTTCGACGGAAAAAAGAGGCGCAGGGCGGCAAGGTGGAGCCGCCGGCGCCCGCCCCCACCACTCCTCATCCGGGATACGCCCCCGACGCCGCTTTGCACGCCATCAAGCGGCATGCGCTTGAATTTGTCAATCCCAAGGAACTGCAAGTAAGTCAAACTATTTTTACTTTTTGTTTTTTTTCTTATTTAGGCTTTGACAGGACTGTCAAATTTCAATGCAATAAAAACGCATTGTAGTTTTATTTAATTATAAAATTGTGATAAAATTTTCTTGAACTTAAGGTTTAAAAGTGGAGGGTGTTTTTTTAGGGATTTTAAAACTTTTGATTAAAAAAAACAGTCAAAAACTTCACAAACTCTAACGGCGGCCATTTTTACGTTGTTTGCAATTCTTGTGCTTTGGGTTTGTGTTGTTTATACAGATTAATAATCGTTTTAAACGTTGTGTTTCTTACAGAGGCACTTGTAAGCCTTAAAAGAGGCCTTAAAGTACTAAGAACAACCATTATACTCTTCTTTTGGTAAAAATAAACCTTTTTCTATCAGGGCTGTCATTAAACTGTCAATTGTCAATTTTAATTTGTGGGTTATGGTAAATTAACCTTAAAATTGAAATTTGACAGTTTGATGACAGCCCTGATAGAATAAGGTTTATTTTTACCAAAAGAGGAGTAAAACGGTTGTTCTTAGCACCTTAACACCACTTTTAAGGCTTACAATTGTCTGTAATAAACACAACGTTTAAAACGTGTTTTAATCTGTATAAACAGCTGCTCAAAACAACACAAAAATGGCCGCCGTTAGAGTCTGTGCAGACCTAGTTTTGTGGGTTGCGGTTTTAAGCATTTTCTTTCTCTGTGGTTGTAATGATGATAAATTTGAAAGGAAAGGTACTGTCAGTGACAGATACCTAACCTCAATTCAAATTGAAAGTGACATATCTAACCTCAATTCTACATCATGTGTCGAAAAATTCAAAATGCAGGTAACTTAACAAGTAAATTATTGGAACTACCTATAAATAAATATTAACAAAAATAAATACTATTTTTATTCCTCTAAAAAACACCCTGTATCTTAAGATATTTAACCAATTGCACTTATTTCATTAATTTAATAAATTCTGGTAAAATAAGGTTCTTAAGTATAAGACAATGGGGTTGGGACCTAATTAAGTTCAAAAAATTATTTATAAAATTTAAAATTCGCAAATCTGGTATTGACTTTTTTTCGTTTTTTAAAAGATTTAAATACTTTAAAGAATATTAAACATGATCTAAAAACAATGCTAAAAACAGATGTTGAATAACTATTTTATAATAGATTTGCCAATAATTGCGATTCGTAATTCTTGACAAATCTGTTATAACATTGTGACGTCACGATCTCCCTCCAAGGTTCTCAAAAATTGTTTGAAAAATCTGGGAAAAAAAATTTAATAACAAACTTGTATTTGTAGATTCTAATTGGGCAATAAAAATGCATGTCCTAACCCCATTTTGTCAGAAGAGTTTTGTGCATAATTGTACATACATTTTACCAAAAAATGTAGAATATAGTATATTTCCTTAATTTTTAGTAGGTATACTAACTTAAAACTAAAATATATATTTCATATCTTTTTATATACAGTGCGCGTCAAAATTAACGCATAATAAGTAAAAAAATCCGACTCTAAAACGCCTTCATCAATCTTTATAAAATTTTGGATAAAAATACTTTAACTTATATCTCAGTTTACGTGTTCAAGGGTTTTTCGGGGAAATATCCTTAAAGCCCTTTTATTTAATAATAAGAAACGCTGGAAAAAAACTTTTTTTTAAGTAAATTAAAAATATGATGTATGTAGATCGTATTTTTGTTAGTATACCCTGAAAATGTTGTACAAATCAAACGAACAGTAACGAGAATACAGCGCTTCAAAGTCGTCAGCAAAATATTCAAAAAGGGTTCATTTTTACCGACTTTGAAGCGCTGTATCTTCGTTACAGTTCGTTTGATTTGTACAACATTTTCAGGGTATACTAACAAAAATACGATCTTTAACAGCATAGTTTTTTTAACTTTTATAAAATCCCTATAAGTAATTTTTTGAACGTTTCTTTATTATTAAATAAAAGGGCTTTAAAATATTTTCTCGAAAAACCCTTGAAGTATTTTTATACAGGCGTTTTAGAGTAAGTTAACGCGTACTGTATATATTTATTTGAACTGGTTTTGGTGTATCTTCCTCGAAATAAAGCCAACTATTTTCTTGTTCTCTCCAAATCTTCAGACGCAAAAGTCATCAAAACACACGACCGTAATGTCGACGGTCACGACTCGTCCAGGACCGGTTCAGCCCGAACAGGTGAGGTGGCGGTACTGTGTTGCAACTTTTTCACTTTTTGAATTAACTTTACATTTCCCTCCCCCATCCACGCACAACCTCCCATGCTAGAAAAAAGTCGGAACAATTTTGTTTAGCAGCTAGTGTACTGATATGAGTTTTTGCCATATAGAATGCATATTGATCAGCTGGAAAAATTATTTTGTTACGATACTTATACACTTTTTTACATGCGCACTACGTTTTTTTGTATTTTTGGTTTTTATTTTGGTTGTGGTAGTGGTTAACTAGATTGCATGAAGTGAAATTAGAAGAATTAATTATTTTGTGTATGTTTTTCACGATTTTCCACATTGTATGTTTAATATACAAAGTTGCATGGCAATTGTTGCTATTTTATGAATATTTTCTTTTAGGATGACAATGAGGGCCCAGTGACAAAAAGTATTCGTTTAACAGCATCTCTAATTTTAAGGAATCTCGTTATATACAGCACTACTTGTAGAAGGTGATTTAAAATGTTTAAAAGTCGATCGTTTTTGACCATTCTTTCGTATTTTTAAGGTACTTAAAGGGTTATGAGTCCCATTTGGCGAACGTAGCGTTAAGTAATGTGGAGTCGTCTCGAACAATCGCCCAAATTCTCTACGACATGAACGAAAACTCGAACCACAGGTGACCGAAGAAGCAACGGGACGTTTTTGTCTATGTAACTAAAGTAAAGCCGGATAAGGACACCCAGTGAAAATTATTGTGAATAAATCTAAAAAATTGACTAATTATGTAAATTATTTTAAGTGGAAAGTGTTAAAATGTACAAATATTAGTGTTTAGGTACTAAAATGCCTAATTGTTATTTTTATATTATTTACTATTTACTAGTGTAAACCAAGCTTAAAAACTATGCAAATTTGTTTTTTTCTTCTGTTTTTTTTGGATTAAGTCTTCAAACATAGTAAATAAACATGAACGATTTTTATATATCTGTGCAATTTTTCTCTCTGTAAATAAAATCACACACTTGTTTTATCAAAAACATTGGTTGTTAAAAAAGGTAAGTTCAATAATAATTATTATTTTAATCTACTTTTTTTGTCTCTATAGTATGTTCAAATTCTAATACCAACCCAATCTTGCTGAGGTTTTGAATGTATTATACTTATTGGCTTTTACAATTTAGTGTATTATATTTTTAAATTTAATTCCACAGCCAATGTTTTTATACTGCATCTGAACAAACAAAATTCATTTCCTGGCCATCAAAACATATTCTTTGTGATAGATCTTTAACAAATGCACCATTATTTAAATAATCAGTATTAAACTTAAAAACAAGACTCATTCTTGGTGTAAATAAACAAATAAATAATTTTTTAAATGTATTTCACTTTATAGTCGGTTTTTATCAGGAATCTGACAATTTTTGACATTGGTAGCACTGTATTTTAATTTAAATTTTTTTACCGTTTTGAGAAAAATGTTAATTTTATTAGATTCCTCATACAAAATTGACTCAATAACATTTATTTAATTTCATGACATATTATCATTGCAAATGATAAAACAAATTTTAGTTGCTTTTAAGGTGGTCTTTTTAATTTTAAATATAGTTTTTGAATTGTCTTTTTACTATTGTTCATTTTTTAAACGACTGAATTTTGTGTGAATTGTAATTTTTGTATCTATAACCACCTTAAACCTGTAAAATGTTTACACCTTTAAAGAAAATAAATGCATTTAATGTAGCTATTTTTTATTTAACACAACAATATTTACATAATACCTTTTTGATCAAGCATTTTTTAATTTTCCCGCCTTAACTCGCGACGGCAACCAGTATACCACATAAGTGCATACGGGGTTGCCTATCTACTCGAAATAATTTGAGGTTAAGATTCCATGGTAAACAACATTATCAACAAAATTCGTTGTTAGATTGGTAAAAAATGACGAAAATGTGCATTATTTGTGGCTGCTCGGAGGATGAAGTCGATAAAATGTTTAATTTCCCCACAAATCCCGAAAAGTAAGCATACATTTTTTTTTGACAAACAATTGATTTTAACAATTGTATATTGTTTAAGGTGTGCTTCTTGGCAACAGTGCATGGGTTTTGCAGGCATAAAAGATGCGGGTTTTTTTATAAGGAAGAAAATTTGTTCGAGGCATTTTACACCTGATTGTTACACAGACGAGATTTCTTACACCCTTACGAAAAGCGCAGTTCCTACTTTACATCCAGCTGTGGCTTTAGTGAAAAAAGAAGTTGAGGTGGATTAAGTTTAAATAAAACTGTTTTTAGGTAGGGTTGATTATTATCATATAAGAATTGAGTGATATAGGTAGTTGATTTATCACTTCTTTTACTTTTTATCTATAGAAAGCAATAAACCAATTATAGCAAAGCACACTAGGTGTAAAGAAAATGTCATGTTCTGATTGGCTTATTGCTGCCTAGAGATAATTTGCGGCGTTACTTTCTTTAGAATTAGTTGTTGATGTTATTACTTATCTGCAGCTATTTTTCTACATATCTATTTTAAAATGTAAAAACACAGGTTCTTTATATTATAGTCTTTATTTTGAATAGGTTTGCTTATAAACTAGAAATATCAACATTTATAATTTCTTATATACACAAAAATGGAAGAAAATTTACATCAGATCTACATGCATTAATCAATTTAAAAAAATAAAGTTTTAAAACAAACTAATAAAAATCTTTGGCTTTTAATCAGATCCATACCAAATAACTGTCATGCTTATAATATTTAAAAAATATATTTTTACAAATTCAAAGTAAGAAAAACAAACGTTGTAAAATGTTGATTTTATCGTTTTTGTTTTTGCTATGTTGGCACATGTTTACTTGAGGTATGGGTGTGCTTCAGGGTCCAATGTTGAGCCCCAGTCTTGCCATTGAGATGTTTTTACGTAACCTCACTATTTCCCAGTACACGTCGTGCGCAGAACTTTTGACTAGACCCCTTTCAATGTATTTTAGATAGTTTAAAAAATCACAGACTGCTATTATCTGAAAAAATAAAAATTTGTCAGTTTAGTTTGGTTTATAAAATATATTAACTTACCCTATTTCGGCATATTTGGGATATACTAAACCAATCATCTGATTCCCCCATACTCATCCTGTAGAAACAAAGCCTTGGAACCTCCAGTAAAGAGCATTTTCTGAAAAAAAAATGTTACAATGTCGTATTTTTATCTAGGGATTCACTTACTTTGGAAACATAGCCTTGGTTCTGTCCCCTACAGCTTCTATGTGTATTGTACCAGATTCCACAGCTTTCGCAACTTTTTCCGATAATTCCTTATTTGTAAAAGTTAGACATAAATTTATGTCTTCCGAATAAATTCGTTGCAAAAATCTTTCGGTTTTTTCCAGGGTTGGTTTTTCTTTCCACTGCAAAAATTCCTTGTGAAGGACTGGGTCAACCTAAATTTGAAAAAACAGTTGTATCATGTATTTATCAAGACATTATTTTACATTTTGCTCTATTAAAGTTTTAGAGCTTATAAGCTATGCCAAAGTACTTAAAGAAAGGTCAAAGTTTATTTTAATACAGGGATACTACACAAATGTTCTTTTCTCACCTCTAGCCCCTCCTTATATTCGATTTCGCTAGAGATGTGCACGATTTCTTTGACAGGAGAGCATGGTGGGGAATTTTCCCTGCCATATTTAAGGTTGAAATGTGACGGTGACCTTCTGTGTTTCTTGGTAAAAATTGCCACACCTGAAAATACATAAAAATACAATGGTATTATTAAGGTGTATACAACAGGTTAAAGTCATGCGCTGAATTTGTGCGTATGTTACAATAATTATAATTATAGTAGGGTCAACAAATCTTGAGTACTTTGAATCTAATTTGCGTAATATTATAATGCGAAAATCGATTAAACGTATACGTAATTAGTTTACCTACAAGGTGGGTCCACCTATTAGATTTCACTTTAATATTGTTTGTTATATAATGAAATTATTTTGGCCGGGCCACACTGTAAAACAAAGGCTTGGTCAAGTTAGTTAAATTTACATAATAACGCCGAATTAATAAAAACCTATGATTACAGTGTTCTAGATAATGGTTGTTACACTTTAATGTGTTTAAAACAGTTCTAACAGTAAAATTTTAACAACTTCTTAAGTGCTTAGCTTTAATTAAAAGTAATGAGAAAAAATGTACCCATAGTGTTAAAATTTTCCAACAAACTTAAGTAGATTAAGTTTAATTTTCATTTTATTATTTATTATACAATGGTGTGAACTGTATGTCAAACAAAGGGAAATTTGTTCAGAGTAAATGTTGAAATAATTAGTTGGACAAGGTATCTTTTTTATCAGTTTGAAAAGAAAATTGTTCGTTTGAGTAATTTAGATTATTTTTAAGGATATTCATTACTAATATTTAGATATTACTTTTTTTCATATATAATAAACATTATAACCACCTGGCAACGGGATTAATGGTAAAATTGGTAACAATTTTTTAATATTAATCAATTTTTTTCTCTATAAAACTTTTATATTTACTGCAATATAAAACTAAAATTCCAAGGTCAGACCTAACGGTTTTGAATATTTAATATGAAAGTTCACCTCTAACCCACATATTAGAAATAAAATTCCAATATAGTGTTCAAAATATAACAAATTATGACTTCTATAATATTATAATTTTAGAACGTTATCTACGCCATTCCAAACATAATAAATGGCAATTGAGTTTGCTTCCAAGTTGGCTAAAAGGCTATTTGATACAAATTTCATTGGATAAGATTCTCAGTAAAATAAAATCCCATAGTATAAAATTTCTATTAGATAAAATTTCCAGTGGATAAATTCTCACTGGATAAAATTTCCATTAGATAAAATTCCCATTGGATAAAATTTCCACTGGATAAAATTTCCATTGGATAAAAATCCCATTGGATAAAATTTCCACTGGATAAAATTCCCATTGGATAAAATTCCCATTGGATAAAATTTCCATTGGATAAAATTTCCACTGGATAAAATTCCCATTGGATAAAATTCCCATTAGATAAAATTTCCACTGGATAAAATTTCCATTAGATAAAATTCCCATTGGATAAAATTTCCATTAGATAAAATTTTCATTTGATAAAATTTTCATTGGATAAAATTTCCACTGGATAAAATTTCCATTAGAAAAAATTTTCATTTGATAAAATTTTCATTGGTTAAATTTTCCATTGTTTGTTGTTAATGGTGGATAATGTTAAAAAATAAAACAGTAAACTATTTATTTTTGGCGTATTTCTACAGTAGCATTGCCAGTTTCCATGTAATTCGTTTTACCCATCCTTTTTATTCCCCTAAAGACCTAGTTTTAAATTTAGGTCATATTAACAGTGGTCACTTAAAAAATTTATAAATAATAGCAAAACACAGTATAAAGAAAATTCGCATTATAAACATTATTGTCCTTAACATTTGCATACCTATTGATTGATTTTATTACGAACTATTTTATTGAAATCAGCAAAAATCGTTTAATCTAGCACATAAAAGTGAACACATAACCCTGACACGTTGACTAGTTGGTATTGATTTTAAAATTTTAACTACGACGGATAATAAAGAAGTTTTTTTTGTTAATATTAAGTTTAAATTTGTTGATAAATGCAAATGTCAAATTTTTTAATGGAATTTGGAGACACTCAGTATAAATTGTTTCTATAACAACTGCTATTAGATGTGGAATATTATAGGTATTAATTTATAATTAAGTTATATTTAAGGGTCAAATCGGTGAGAACTTTTTTATGATAACTTGTATATTGTTTTAAATTATGTTTCAAGGAAAACTGGGAATATTCAAATACCCACCTAATAAAACAAACTGCTTAAAAATAAATTTTTTGATCAAAGTTTAACAGAATCTTCAATGAACTGAAATTAAAGAATTAATTACCTGATTCGTTATCTTTCGATATCTGCGGGTGCAAATGCGGATTGGGATGGCTGGGTGTAGATGTCAGCACCAGCGTTTTCAAGGCCGACACTTCGGCCGTCAAAACGTCAACTTTCATTTGACTTTCTTTTAGAGACTTTTCGGCAGCCGCAGCTTTTTCGTTGGCCTCTCTGACCATGTTGTGAGCCTCCTGGAACAAGAGAAAAATTTGTTTCATTTAAGTTTAAGTGGTCAATACATCTCACTATGGTTTACATTGATTTCGGATTGATAACATGTGCACATCTCACTATTGTTTAGTATGAATTTGATTATAAAGGTCTCTAGTTTTCAAATTATTGGCAATTAATGATCTAGTGGTTAAATCTAGCCATAGATTAATAACCCCTAAAATGCTGCAAATTGAAAAATGTACGGAACTACATTTTTAGTAGGTACTATAGTATTATATATAATACATGTTTTATTTTTAACACCTTTAATTTTACTTACAAATTCGTTAAAAATTTCCATCTGATCAATTTCTAATTGTAGTTCCTTTAAACTGAAACTTAAACCCTTTTCTAGTCGACGTGTCCGCTCCATTTTAATCAAATTGTGTACTGATTTCAATTAATTTATGAACAATGCTAAACGGATGTTTGGTTTTAACAGGAACTAATATAAAAAACATTTGAGTTTAAGAGAAATTGATAATTGCTTACAAATTTTTTATTATATATTGTAAAATTAGATATTTTAGCTTGTAGCATACACAGTGTTGCCAAAATTGGAAAAATAATCAAAAGAAAGAATCAAAAATATTTCTGTGTGTTAAAAATAGTATTTTGATAAAACTGCATACTGATTCAAAAATAACTTGTTTTTTTCTGAACTATTTATAAAAATTCGTTCACCCTACGTCGATACAAACAAAAACAAAACAAGTCGTGATTTAATGAAATCACGCACAAATTTAAATAACAAGAACAGCAAATACGTATAACATTCTTTGTTGTTAAATTTAAAATAAATTATTCATTTGGATTTTGCAGAGAACGCCTTATACATAAGCGATTACTTCCTAGTGTTCTATACGTTACGTATAATACGTAAGAATTTTGTTGGCAAATAAAGTTTTTAGGATGATTAATGTCGTTTACCTCGAAAATGTTACATAACCTAACAAATATAAGTATTTGTTAAACTTGAATTGAATTGAGTTGAATTCCAATCCATACTGTTTATTCCAAATACCTAAACCTTTAAAAAGTATTGAACCTATGAAATTATACATATGTATTTAAGCAAATAATGACAAATGAGCAATTAATTGATCATTAAAATAATAAAATTTCTTCGAACAACAAATTCTATTTCTGACTCACGGTCGAAGAAATAAATTATTTTGTGGAAATACCGTGACTAAGTCAATTTTCTTTTTTCTGTAATGTTTATTCATTCAATTTTTAAACGAAAATTATATTTAAATTTATGTTTGCACAAAAAAGTCCATTAGCTCATCAGTTATTTTTGAATCGCAAGTTGCAAAAATTGTACTTCTTTTGATGCATTGAGGCAAGGGTAGTTGTGCGCGCAACATGCAACGGAATTGACGTCACAGCAGGCAACGGAAGTGATAAATAAATCAATCCAACCTTCTTGATGTTGGTATCAAATGGTTTGACGAATGGGAAACGATGAGGTGGATGACAATTTTAAAAATTTCTTAAAAGTTTGCAAAATGTACAAAATCATAAAAATGTTAAAAATTTCTAAATATTTTAAAATTTACAATATTTTTAGGAATTGCAAAATATTAAAACTTTTAAATTTCCTAAATTTTCAAAAGTAAAGCTATTTAAAATCAATTATCAGTTATAGTATAAGTTTTAAAATTTATAAAAATTTTAAAATTATCACTTATTTATAAAAAAACTACTACAACTAAAATTTGCGTAATATTCTAAAATAGTCAGTTTAAAAAAATTTTATAATATATTATATATATTTTAATATATTATTATTATATGTATAATATTATCTTAAATGAACATTTTTAATATAGGTATGATGTACTATATTATACAATTACCTATACTGTATAATAGTACAATATAGTACATAATATATTAAAAATGTCCATTTGAAATATTTATATGTGAAATATTCTGAAACCTGGGTTTATGCATAATAGTTTTTTTTAATTAAAATCAATTAAAATAAATTATTATTTATTTATAAAAAAAATAAAAAATTTAATATTTTTAAAATTTACAAGTTTTAAAATTATAAAAAACTACTACGACTGAAATTCGCGTATTATAGTTTTGAAAATATATAAACATTTAAATTTAGATTTAAGATAGTAAAAATATTTTGAAACCTTGGTCTGTGACTTTGTATTTTTGCCTCCTGGGAATATCTATTATTATTTTTGGCAAGTTCCTTTAAACATATAATGAATATATAGATAAAAACTATATGTAGATTTGTTATTTACATTTAAAAACAACCTTGAATATATTTTTGATTTGAGAAAAAAATCACTTAAGTTTTATCGATATAAATATTTAGTTATGGACAAGATTCATCTAAACTGTATCGAGATATTTTTAAAAAAAATTAAAAAGTAACTTACCTGGAATAAGCTAGCTGTGAGATCTTCCAGCTCTGATTCCACGTCCTTCCTGATTCTTCCTAACCTAACTAACTCTTCATCCTTACATTTGATTTCCTGATTGGCTTCTTTCAACTCATTTTGTAGTCTCAAAACCGCTTTACCTTCGACTATACTACCCGCGAAATCCACTCTATCACCTTCACTGGAATCACTGTTACAACCGAGCGCCTTGAAATCCTCATTCGAGCTGGTTTTCTCGTACTTTTCGAACTCACTGTAAACCGAACTGTCCGAGGAGTTCCTGTGCATTATTTTGATCTTGTCGGTTATCGTGGCTATGTCCGAGTACGATCCGAACTCCGAGTACGTTTTCGACGAATCCACTTCGTCGGCGTCCAGATCAAAATCCTCGTCCGTGGTGCAGCTTTCGTCGCCTGTGGTCCCTGTGGACCCGGCCCTTTTGTGTTTGCTCATCGCGTTCAAGATGTTCTGGGCTTTCGGTACCATCAGCAGACCCTCGCTTATGGTGCCCCTCTTTGAAGGCGCGGATTCTGGGGTCATGGTATCGCTCCTCATTCGGATAATTTGTCTTTAACTCCTCTAGATGTTAGCACTCATATTCTGCAACAAAAATAAACACTACTGTACCTATACGTATACTATTTGGTTATGTTCTATATGACAGTCTAACTTTGAGTGACACCAGTTAATTATTGCTCATTAGTAGCACTTATTAGTATTAGTCACAGTGAAATTAGTAGTTTCAGCGTTTTATAATGGTAATAACATTGCTATGATTCATGAACAATGAAAATTGTCTAAGATGTTTTGTAATAAAATAAAGTCAATAAATATCTTTTTTTACAAAAGATACAATAACTTATTTTAAATATACAGGGATGTTAAAAAAAACATAAGAAATCCTAACCTACGTGAAGCTCTAATATTCAAAATGTATGATTTCTTAAAATTCTTGCATTAGTGCAAAACCACTTATATTATGTTATTACTATAGTATCTATAGATCTGGTGGCTTCCCAAAAACCCCATTCTAGACTAACAGTGAAACAACCAAAAATAAAAAATAATCATTTTCACTTTACCCATATATATATACTGTATAAAATGCGTAATTACGTAGGCTTATGCTAACACTGTGACATCACGATGTAATGTAATGTGTACCTACTAGAAAGTGTCAGAGTTCATAAATATGTACTTCATATCAGCCAAATTAAGCGTTAACTATGTTTATTGAATAATAAGGCTGTCTATAAATATACTGCACCTCAAATAGTAACATTAAATACAATATTAATAATATACAGGCTGGTCCAAAAGTATTAGGACAGAGAAATAGCGGATTCTTTAAGTCGACACAATGTATTCAAACTTGCCTCCTCAAAAAGTTGATAACAACCAAGATACAGATCTTTTTCATTAATTTCTTTTATGTCATATGTGGCGTCCTCTACCAGTAAAAACTCTGTACAAATTTGCATTTCTCGTGTCAAAAAAACACCAATCCCTAAATTTGTAATTTCGTTAAGAAATTAATGGAAAAAATTAAAAACAAAATTAAAACTTTGACACCATGTATCTTGGTTATTATCTACTTTTGGATAAGAGAGACACCCTGTATAAATCTTCAAAAATTTTATTTATTGATTTAATAAATTATTCAACACATGCAAATCATTTGGTAATAATTTTTTAATAACATCATAATTAAAATACGAAATTTTTAAATTAAATAGCTAGCAATACATTGCAAAATATAAATTATTATGACTTTAAATTAATTTTTTATAGTTTTCCCATAAAAAAAAATTACAATAATTATTATTACTAAAACATGCAATTTTAAACCGTGGTAGATGCGCAGTAAAATACTTTAGTATTTAATTATTTTTTTAATTAATTAATTTGTAAAACGTGTCTACGAATTTCATTAAAATCATGGGAAAGTCAAATGCTTTTTTGCAAAATATAAATTATTATGACTTTAAAGAAAGAAAGTACCTAGTACATATGTATAACACACAAGATATATAATTATGTGTACAGAATTTTAAATTATTATTGTAAGTAATACAGAAAATAGATTCTTTTCAATATACTTAATTTTTTAAACAAACGAAGACATCCTTCAGAAATAATTGTTATGCCATAAATTTTGATCGAAATAATATGATGTGTCCAGTATATAAATAACTTCCTTATGGTTAAACCATGACTAATACAACATATTTTATATTTAACCATTAATAAATCCACAAAGTGTCCAGTACATCTCGTAGCTGTAAAGTGTCAACTTCTTTCCGTGGTAAAAAATTATTAAAATAATTAAAATGTGCTCCAATCAAGAAGATTGCAAAAATTTGGATAACGACTGCCCTCTGGAATGTCCCGTACCGGTGAATATCGATTTATCCAATGATTTAAATGTCAACCAGGGCGGCCAACCTAATAACCCCAATGCAGAATGGTTGGAGCAAAACGTAAGTACCTACCTAATACATAATATAATAATTTACGTTTATAATATATACCTATATTATATTTCTTAAAAAAATCATAAAAAATAATAATATATTTTTAATTTATATAGCTTATTTTTGATAAAAACATTTTTATCAACAGTTGTGTGGTTTTTACGGTTTTTCTTTTGCAAGACATTTTGAGATATTTATAATTTATTCGTAAGCGGTATCTTTGTTTAATTTTTCATTCACTGTGGAGAATAAAACCCTTAAGGGGTTATTTAATAATTAATATTAGTGTTTTGTTACATTAAGAGGCAACCGATCTAACATAACATGTATTCTTAATATTGTATTATATTTTTTAGAAATCGTACGAAAATCTTGAAACGTTCGACGAAATCGATTCGTTTGAAAAGAATTACGAAGAAAACGACCTATCAAACGACATAAACGTTAATTTTACCGAAAACAAAACTTATAAACATCCAGATGCTGAAATGATATCGGCTGAAGAACTTAAAAAAATTCAGGGCCAACCTTCACAATATGAAAATTTAGAAACAATGGACTAAGTCAATTTTTTTAATCAAATATTTATATTTAGGCTTGTAATTTATTTTTTATTTTAATAAAGTAGTTTGTAGACGCATTTTGTTTTTTATTGCACAATAATTGCATTACTGTCTATAAAAGATATGCCAAAAATAGAGTAGGTTTGAAATAAACCCTTCTTATTTTTTTAACCTTGTATTTATTAATTTATTTATCCTGTTTCTATATTTATAACAATCAATTTTAAGTAGACGCGTCATTGAAATGTTTTTTACTATTTTTACCCTTGTTTTGATGTAATTTTGTTTATATTTAAATATGTATGGATTTTGAAGGGAAATAATAAAATTTAAAACTTAAATAACTAACAATCCTTCAGGAAAAAATTTGTAATAGATAATTTAATAAAATAAAAACATTAAAATATCTTTTAGGAAGTTACTAATAACTTGATAAGTTTTTTTATCTTTTGTATTTCCTAGGTCCAAATTTTAGTGGGAGATTTTTTGGAACATGTTGATAACCAGGGCCGTAGCGAGGCTGGTGCAGGCGGTGCGGTGCACCAGGGCCCCCGACCTCAAAGGGGCCCCCAAAACTAAAAGTTTTACTAAAAAATCGTAATTTTCGATATCCTATCCTATCCTAAAGTTTTGCACCGGGGCCCCTGAGTCCGTCGCTACGGCCCTGTTGATAACAATATTTTGATTGGGTTTTAAAAATTTTAAAATGTTTTAAAACAATAAATTACCCAATCAAAACGATGGGAAACAATTTAAAAATGTCGCTTAAAAAAGAAAACTTTACTATTGTTCATAAAATACATCTGACAACCATGTCATTACTTTTGACTTATGACAAGCAAATAATCTCATTTTTATATCATGTTGTTTGGCCTAATTAAATTAAAAAAATATCTTTAAAAATTAGAAAATTACTCTTAAAATTTATATTCTCACGCTTCTGAACCAGTAAATGGCGCATAAAATTAAACATCATAAAAAATTAGTCGACCAAATAATTAACTAAATTTAATGGCTTCATTATTTCTGAAAGTTTTTGCAAAACAATAAAAAATATGTTTAAAGATTTTATTGTATTGTAAATTCACTATAATTGCCAAGGTTATTATGAATTAAATTAAAATGGTGGATGGGCTTTTAAAAAAACAAAATTATTCACCGTCTTGTCTAAACAGTAACTTTTGATTTTTACGGTTGGCATTAGCATAATTATAAAGAAATTGAAACCTTCTGGGAACCTGAGATTGTTCAAGGAAAGACAAAAAAGTAAATGTTAAGTGTTAAAAGTCTTCAAAGAAATTTACAGTAGGTAGGTATGTATTTCCTGCAAAACTTGTTCTCTTGCAGCGCATTAAACACGTGCAACATTCACCTTCTATAACATTTTTCAGAAATGCAGATATTTTATTTTTTAACAATGTATCAATAATTTTATAGAACTAGAAATAAGAAGACCAGTGTATATAAAGTGTATGTTGTTTTCCAGTTAATAAAAAAAAATATAAGTCAGTGCCTTCGCCATTTTTGCAAAAACTAAACTTGACATTATTTTAATGTTATATATTAATGTTGTCCCATACAGAAAATTGGTACTGCAGTTTTTAGAAATACTTTGTATATAGGTACTTAGGTAATTTATTGAAAAACGTTAGAAATAATACGCATTGTGTAAACACATTTTGACAACTACAATAAAAAGAAAGTGAAGGTAGGTAATACAATCTAAAATAATTGTTTGCAAAATTTCCATACTTTCTTTTTAAATTATTGTGTCCATTCAAATCTGTATAAAAAACATAAACAATTCCTTATGATATTGACGTTCTGTCGTAATCATACAAAGATTAATGTTAATTTTAAAACATTGTAAATTATACGCAAAGGTTAATTTTGTAATTAAATAAGAATTAGTGGTAATTTGTTGTCACTTAGTGGGAAGTCACTAATATTGTAAATATACCTACTTACCGTTTATTAGTGTTATCAGCATACCAAAGAACTTATTGCAAATTGTTTAGTTATTAAAAATATAATATAAATCAGAACTCATCATTTGTTTTAATCAATGTTTTACAAATCAATGTTTTACAAATGTCAACTTAAACTAGATGTGATTTTTTTACGAATGTCAACTTGGGCTAGAATCTAGTTGCCAGATATAATTGCCTTAAAAATGTCAATTTAAGCCAAGTGCTTTTGACATGTGACATTAACAGTTAATTATAAATCTAATTTTTTAGATTATGACAGGTAAATAACCCAACTTACTTGTCATAAAAGTCATATGTGTGACTTTTGGGAAATTCAACTGTTTCAGAAGAAAAATTAAATTTGTTTGAAACATTTTATTTCGAAGAGAAACAAACATGTACCAAAATCGTTATCTGAAATTTTTTGAATTGATAAAATAAATTCATGATGTTTATTCATTTTAAGTCACGAAATGCAATATACATATATGCAGATAATGATTAGTTTTACAAAATGCATTGATAAGAAAATTTAACATTTAATTCCATGTCCAATTTACTCAACCCCATTTTTGAAATGTTAAAAATATTGTCAGAAAGTTTAATTGCTTAATACCTAATCAACTTACCACAATAAAGATAACTTTAAATTGTTTATTTACGTGTAAAATTTTCAAGAAACAATAACACAAACACGATATTAAAATTATTGTACACAAGTGTACTGGAGTAAGCTGTGGAATGCAAAACAATTGCTGAGCGGCCTGCTACGATCTTGCGGCAGGTTAAAACCGAACTGACAGCGCGCGCAACTCTCGGCCTGCTGGATGCTTTGCTTGGATTCTCTTTGGCCACTTTCTCGCTCGCACGCGTTTTAATGCGAGAATCTTTCCAACTGCGAGAGAGATGCGATTGGACCGGTTGCTAGGCAACGGCATAGATGATGATGTGCACTGTGAGGGGAGGGTGGGATCAAGTGTGCGCGCGGACGGGGCCTACGGGGGATATGTGGGAAGACAGGCTTAAGCCAATTTAATTATTTATTTTGAAGCATTTTAATTTTTTCTTAATTTCTGAGCCCCCTAAACATGATTCAGTTTTTATGAAAAAAATTATTTTTTCGTAAAATGCTTGATAAAATTAATTAATTATATCATACAATACAAAGAATGTGAACATGGCCTAACTAGTAAAACTTAGGCCCCTGTTTAAAGTACAGAACTAACTGTTATATCTATGAATTCTTGTGGTCAAAAGTACCTATCAAATGAAATTAAACTAATATATATTAAATCTGACATCTCCTTAAGCCCTTTATATCGATGATCAAAATTAATTCATTAAATTAGCATTTATAATTAAAAATGGTAATTTTTTTTGCTTTCAATAACCTCTAAATCTAAATAACACCAACAACAAAAAAGTAATTTGAATATGTGGGAATTCCTAAAAATGTAGGGAGAAAATTTAACAGTTTTTTCCTTGGTAAAAAAAATATTTCCAACTTTCTGAAACACTAAAAGGCAATTAGCCTTTAAAGACATGCAGGCTATTTTTTACTATAATTGATGTTTGTATATAATTTATTATTTATAAAACTGCTGTGATTATTTTCTACAGGCAATGGTCTGTGAAATCGTTCATTATTAATAAAGAGTACAAATAAAAAGCTGTTTTTACTATACATATAAGATTTGCCTACACACTTTTACCCGCATATCTACTCTCCTTATTATATTAGATATTTTAATTATAATAAAATATATGTAGGTTTAATATCATTTAGTTAAAGATATTTAAATCGTTTCGTAGAAGTAACTAAACAAAAAATTTCCGAAAAAAGATATTAAATACAATATATAAACATAGGTTTGATTAAAAATTTCGAAAAATTTTGAAAATTTTAAGAATTTTGAAAATTGTCCTACCATTTTTTTAATTCATGCCACTGTGCGAATTTGTCCAACCATTTTTTATATTTATCCCACTGTGCGAATTTTTTCCCCCTTTTTTTAAATTTTGAACTACTGTGTCTTACCATTTTTTTAAATTTATGAATATAAGGGCAGTTTTCAATTATCCAATTTTGTTCGAACTTGGGCAGTTTTCAATTACACAAAACATTAATTTTAATGAACAAAAATCAAATAATCTTTTTGAATAAAAATAATTCGAATTGATTATATATTAAATTCTCAGAACTAAGACTGCTTTTTACAATAAATTATCTATTTTTTTCACAAGAATCGTGAGTTAGTCAAGGTTATAATATATTTATCTTAATTTGGAATTGTTTTGCTAATATGTTAAAAATCGGTTAAAAACATCATGCACAAGAAAGTGTCAGATTTTTAAGAATACAATATTTTAGGACAAAAAGTTTTAGATCATAAAAATACATTTTGGAATATGTAATAAAAGTCATCCAAAATCACAGTCTGTGGCCAAAATCTATAAAACTTTGCTGTTATTAAATTTAAAAATGTTAAAAAAAATAATTATTATGTTTAGTAAAACACTTTTTAGAATCAAGTTGCAAGTTTATGGCGAAAAAAATTGCTATTTTGTTTAAAAAAAATACATTAAAATATAAAAATCCTAGTAAATAGGAATTTGTGAAAAATTAAAAAAAATATTTCATACATTTTCATTTTCAAAAAATCTATAAATCAAATGAACCAATTTGAAACTTAATAAAATCTTTTAATAATAGGTAGTAAAAAATAATCATAACTACCTACCTACATATTAAAAAAATTAACTATTTATTATTCAAGGCTGCCATAAGGTACTGGAATGTGTGTTTAACAACAATATGCACGTGATGAGTTCAATTATTTATTATTTTATTTATTTATTTACATGCACAATGGCTAAAGAAAAAGCAAAAGGTTGCAGCAAAAAATTATCTTTCAATGCAAAAGAAATAACAAAAGTTAAATTTTTCGATACAACAATAGAGATTATTTATTTTAATCAATGAGAAAACTAAAAATGTTTGAGAAGGAACATTTTTGGTTTACAGAATGTTTAGTTCTAATCCTAATCCTGTATACCTACTACCTACGCAATAATAGAATATAAAACCATTAATATTTTTTTAGCGTTCTTGAAAAGTTAATGATGATAAATGACAATCATAATACAAATTATAGTAAAATAAATACAATGTCGAAACCTTTCTCTGTTGACGGTAGTGGTAGCACTGCCTGGCACCGACGCAAACTGGGACAATTGAAATGATATACAGGGTGTCCGAAAAATTCACAGTTTCACAATGAACACGATGTAATTTGTAAATCCAGATTTACTTTTATTTAATAAAATAAATTAAATTGTGACCCTAAAAACAACAATAACATTTTCTTTAAATTGAAATTTTAAATTTTTTTGTTTTTGTTATGCTGGTGCAACTTTTATTATCGTCTGGTAAAAATAAAATAAAATAAAAATTTATTTTTAGAAAAGTATCATTGGGATCTTTCAAATAGTTTGCAGGTTATTCCCATTTGTGTTTTCACCAAAATTTTGGGTTCTAAAAGAAATAGGTAAATGTGCCATCGTTTATTTTTAGATAACCTGTATAATAGATACATTCTAATGTGAATGTCTAGTATGTAGGAAATTAGTTGTAAAATTTTTCTAATTTCTTTTGTTTGTTATATATTTCCTTTAATAACCCGAGCCTTTAAAACATTATAACAACGTTTAATCATTTTTGCCTTTATAGTAGATTAAACATAGGTAACACGTGCAATGCTTTATAAAGTGGATTTAAACGCTTTACATAGCTTAAGCGCATGCATTTTTTAACAAACAGCAATTTGCTCTGTTTATTACTATAAAGTCGCATAGCTCGCACCCAGTGACCATGCTATCTCTACGGTCACGGCACATGCGTAGTGAAAATTCAAATTCTGTTCCCAAGATAGGACATTTCATCTACATAATATACAGGGACGCCCATACAAAATTTTCCAGAACAATGTTTGTCCAATTTTAATAAGCAAAAACTACTTTTTAGTTAAAATAACATATTATTTATATTATATTTCATGTCCCAAACAAGTCATATGTCCGCCCTAAATAACATCACAAATATGACATCCCAAAATAACGTTATTTTGATATGAAAGTTACGTTTTTTTTAGGATGTCACAAAATAACGTTATTTCAATATCCAAATCACGTTATTTTAGGATGTCATATTTGTGATGTTATTTAGGGCGGACATATGACTTGTTTGTGACGTGAAAAACATGTTATTTTAACTAAAAAGTAGTTTTTGCTCCTTGGGTCCAAACCAAAATTTAAACCCAATTAAATCAAATGGTGGATGGGAAAAATGGCTGTTGATCAATGTTATAATTGGCAAAAAAATATATTATTTTCAAAATATTTTAAGACTTTTTAAAATACTCTTTCACATTAATATAAATTTTAGGAATGTTTGTAAAACCTTATACAGGATACTTTAAAAAAGATCGTGCTGATATATGTATTAAGTATTTTAATTATGTTTAATTTCTTGAATTGCAGACATTATTAAATAATTTTAGCATATTAATTGTAAAGTTCTTGGGAATTTATATTAATATTGTGGGATAGAATTGTAATTAAACTTTTAATGAGCATATCTTAGACATGGCAAAATTAAAAGATACCATTTAATCCAAACTTGAGAAAATAAAAAAAAAAATTTTATTAGTCGTGCACTAATTAGTAAGTAAGAAAGTTATTTTTCTACTCACCTTTAAAACTACCATTATCGTACATGGCACCAAGGCAGTAAACTAGATTTAACTTAATTTCGGGTGGAGTGCCCATAAAACATTCTCTTCACTTTCACTGTAAAAAACTGTTCTTGGTCCATTTTCAAAAGATACATTTCGATTTACAAATAAAAATTTGACATTGGACATTACACATTCCCAAGTTGGTTACTCTATTGTTTTATAGATGTGGCTCTATACAAATATTTAGTTTAAATAATTTTTAGATAATAAGTATATGTCGTAGAAAAAGTATAGTTTGCAACTCGTTTATAAACTCTTGTAGACACACATTTAATTAAACACTCGCCTAATTAAAATTTGTGAAATTGCGTTTATCAAACTTGATACATACTATTATTCATGTTATTTTTAACTTTTTAGTTTAGTAGGAATGCGTTTTAAATAAAAAGTGAATTTATATATATTTTTTATATAGGGATGCATACTTTTAACATTATATGGAATTTTCATCATACTTAATATTTGTACCAAATTCCAGCTGGATCGGTTGTTTGGAAGAGGGTTATAATTTGATTACAAGATTGAAGCAAAAAATCGTTTAAAAATAGAACATGCTGTGTCTAAAATTGGAGAAACCTTACCATAAAATCAAAGGTATTTTCCTTAGCCGACTCGATACAAAAATTTCCTTTGATTATTTTACCACATAAAATTAATGAAGTCGTAAAAGTCTGAAAAATTACTGGTTTATTCCAGGCACGATTTTCTTTTGTTTAACTTGCTTTCATATTAAGTTTTGTCTTGTTGGCAAAACTAATTTGCTATCTCGGCCTTCTTGGTATTTCATAGAGTCGAGTTGAATTGAAGTTTATAATTTTGTTTTGACAAGTTTCGAAAGAAGAGTAACAATATTTTGAGTTGAGTTTTTAAAGATATGTACCTAGGTTGTTTTAAGAACTTTATTTTTATAAACAACATTTAACAAACTGTTAGATCTCTCTCAAGTTATTTAAAATTGTTGCCTAATAGTAGATATTCCAAATATTAACCGTAATATTGATTGATTATAGTTTTAGAATAATAACGCATTTACTAACGGTAGATTTTTTAAAAACGTTTATTGACCTTTTTTAAATTAATTTCAAAACACTAGGTAAATTGATAAAACCTAAAATTATTAAAAGATTTAATTTGACACTAAAAAAACAAATTCATATTTTAAATTTTTTGTAGGTAGGTATTGAATAACACAGCAATATTATCTCATAATATGATGAGTATTAATTGATTGCATCGAAGGTTGGGTATTACCAACATGTTATGGGATTCCATAGGTAATTATAGTTTTTAGTTTAAAACTTTTTAATTGGAAATTATAATTAATTAAAAAAAGTAATTTAGGTATATTTACATATGCTTGAATAATGTTGAAATAGATTTTTTTGCCAAAAAACTTCACACAAAAAATAGCGAATAAGCAGTATAATTCCGAAACCTGTAGTGACCTCTCTCAGTTAAATTTAGTACTACATATAACATTCTAAGTATCAAATTTGTGATTACCAATTTTATTCGTTAGATGGATAGAGGATGTTTTTAAATAAGAACAAGTTTTTAAATTATTTTTTTAATAATAAAAGGCAGTTTTTAAGTCGCATTAGCTGTATAATTAAATAGAACTTTTAACAAAGGCTTGACCACTAATGTATCAACATCTTTTCCAAAAATAAAGTCGACATGATTAAACGAATCAAATTTTATTTGGTAGGCATCAATGGGATTTTTTAATTCGGAGTAAAGTTTTAAAACATCCTAAAACAGAAAAATTCATAAACTGAAAAAAACATTTTTTTTTAAATCTTACTGTTGGGCTGGCTAGCCAGTCGTTCTTGCCGTACATCAAAAAAGTTGGTGTTTGTATATTGCTGATGTTATAATCGGGTGGGCTTTGGGTACCATAATGTGCCATGTTGCCGCTTGTACCGTAATCGTACCGTTGAAATTTACCATCATTTTTGATTTCGTGCGCATAATGCAGAATGGTTTTTGTTGATGACCCTGCAGGGGTGTGGTGCAAAATAACCCCTAAGATATCCTAAAAATATTGCACCTGTTAATACAGGTTTGTTTTTTTGTGATTTTTTCATACTTGGTTAAATTGTTTTTTGTCAAAACCACATAGTAAAAACACGATGTTTTCACAAATTTTCTTTCCCAAATTGAAGTTTTCGCATTCTGTGGAAAGCATTTTTATGACAAAATTGTTGGGCAAAAATTGGTTCAGTCCCAAAAATTTTCTCAACCACTAAAATAAATAAAAAATGTACATTTATATTATTTTTTATTTAAAGGCTTAAAAGAAAATGCCTTTTAACAATTAAAATAAAAAAACTTACGTCTACTTTATTAACAAACGGGGACAAATATCTGATGGGCGATTTAATATGGGTCATGTACGCCACTGGAGCTAACCCAACCATCATTTTTACGGTTTTAGCTTTTTCGGGCAACAAGGATGAAAAAACGAAAAACTGAGTAGTTCCCATGGAATGACCTATATAAATTATTTCTCCCTCCATTTTGGTGACTTCGCCTACATATTTTAAAGCTGCTGGTAGATCGTATATACCCATTTCGTGAAAACTAAACAAATATTTCAATAAGCAAAAATTAATTAAAATTGAATCAATTACCTGAAATTCCAATAATTACTGGAATCGACCGGTATGGATATATGCGCTTTTGAATAGGTATTACCTCTGGAGTTACCTAGCCAAACATCGTAACCCATGTCGGCCAATATAAAACCTAAGAAAATGTTTTTTTAATATCTGTATGATATAGTATAGTATACGATAAAATACATGTATTAAAAACGTTAAAAAAACCGTGCCTAATGAGATGTTTTTGTCGGCCACCCAATCAAAACTGCTCGCCAAAAGGCCATGTTGCAAAAAAACAGGTTGGCCACCGCGTTTGCCGGACTTTGGTCCAGGTATTCTGTGTAGTGTTAGGAAATAGCCGTCGTCTGTTAGGATGGTGTGAGATTCGCTTTGGTAGCCGTATTTACGAGCAAACTGTACCTAAAAACAAAAATTGATTTTTGAATCAAATATCTATTCACAGAGAAAAACACAGTACTATTAATGCGCAGAGGTCTTAAAAATGTCTTAATTCAGAATGGGATAAAAATATTAATGTATATAAAAATATATATTTACTTAAAAGTAGTAAAATTACATATATTTATTATTTTTACATACAGTATCCAAAACTTCATCAGGATTGTAGGTGCAAGCTTTTCCAGATCGCCAAATTTTCTGTATTAAGTTACATTTGCTATATCTCGCATCATTTCCAAAAATCAAAGCCCCAAACAGAACTAATTTTAACAAAAACATCACACTTACAAGAATTAAAAGTCTTCTCCACAATTCTCTCTTGATTAATGACTTTATTTACTCAATTACTTTTGGGTAATTATAATAATTTTCTCTTATCAAAAAATTGTTTTTATTTATTATGAACTATGCCCTGTGAATCATTTAACTCGTGCAAAATTTGTGACTAAACTTGTGTAGGTAATAATTATAAAAATAACTTTCCGTCAACGTGCTGTTTGTTTACATGTAATTGCATCTATTGCGCATGGCATTTAGGGATGAGATTATAAGGGTAGAAAACAGGAGCGTACTATGAAAAATGTTTATATTATAAAAAAAAACATTTTTATTCTAAGTAAACATAAATCATTGGTATACGTAAAATAATCACCAGTTTTGCTAAAGCTATTAATTAGTAATTACTAAAATTAGATTAATTATAAGTATTACACCATATCGGTCTCCGTAAAGTTATGGATAACTTTAAGAACTTGCTTATTCACCAATTCCATGGCATCTTTACCAAAAATAAAGTCAACATGGTCGAAATTTTCATTTGGAACTCTGTACAAACCTATCAGGTTTGGAAGCTTGTGTGATAGCCTTAGCACATCCTAAAAATATAAAATTTGATTTTAGGCAAAAATTTACCACTTCAAGCCAATTTCATCAAAAACAGCCAACTTACTATGGGGCTTGTGAGTTTGTCCTTCTCTGCATACATCAGGTATATGTTGGATCTAATTTTTCCAACATCATATTTGAGCGGTGTGGATTGGTTGTATTTAATCATGTTTATTTCTTTCCCGTAGTCGTATTGTTGGAAATTGCCATTGGCATGTATTTCTTGACCATAGTGCAGAACTGTTTTGGTACTGCTACCAGCTGGGTCATGCGCAAAAGCTACTGGTAGAATATCCTATAAAAAATTGTTTGGAAAATTATTTTTTTTTTATTTTTTTATTTTTACCATGTTCATTTCTGCTTTGTTGAAACCACATATTAAGAAGAACGCGTTTTCACATATTTTTCTTTGTTCTAATAGTTGACATTCGTAGTTTAATAGGTCTAGGATTTTACCTCTCGGTAAAAATTGATTGAAACCTAGGTTTCTTAATATCCACTGAAAGAAAAAAAATATTATTTGTTGTATTTTTATGAAATTACATAAGTAACACTTTTATAATCTTACTTGTGCATCGTTGGAAAAAGGCGCCAAATACCTTATGGGCGACCTAACATGAGTCATATAAGCTGTTGGCGCTAGAGCAATCATTAATTTAACATTTTTGGCAGCTTGCGGTTTTAGAGATGAAAATACAAAAAACATAGTTGTTCCCATGGAATGACCTATATAAATTATCTCCCCTGGTCTGTTAGTATGAGTACTGACATATTGCAGAACCGCTGGAAGATCATAAGTACCCATTTCATGCCAACTGGACAAATAGAAAAAGTTAGAACGATTTTTAGTTTTTTTTTGTGGTAGTGGTATTACCTGAAATTCCAGTAAGCTGGACTTTTTATAGAATAGGTGACATGGGCTTTTGAATATGTATTACCCCTGGCATTACCTAGCCAAACATCGTAACCTTGATCAGCAAGGAAAAATGCTAAAACATAAAAAAAATATTTCCCACTTTTCCATTCCTCATAGGATACAGACCCAAGGCTTGGCCTTCATTGACCACCCAATCTGCACTGCTTCCAAGTAGCCCATGTTGCAGGAACACTGGTTGGCCGCCTCGTTTGCCGGATTTGGGTCCAGGTATCCTGTGCAAGGTCAACAGGTAACCGTCTTTTGTTTGGACGATGTGGGCCTCGCTGGGGTAGCCGTGTCTTGCAATTATTTGAGGCTATAATAAAATTTTTGTCCAATTATTTTTGAAGCTGTTTCATTTATAATTTTAGTTGGCTTTATTATAAATTAGGGAAAAGTGAGGTTAAATCAGTATAGACACTCGTTTTTATTAATCACTCGCTCGCAAGCTTCGCTCGTGCCTAGTACTTTTATGATTTATGTATAACATTTTTATAAACTGATGGACAAAATTAAAACACCACTTTTTCAAATTTCAATAAATTCGAATTAACTGGAATAACGCTTTACTTTGTAAATTCGTAGAATTGTCAATTTTTACAAATCTTTATTGAGCTTTTCGAAAGATGGTAAATAATTTTTTGGAGATGAATCACCCTGTATATATAGTTTTAAAACATAAGTAACTGTTATTTTATTGTTTTCGATGATTTCAATGCTTTTTTTACTCACTTTCCTATCGATTATAATTTAATTAAAGCCTTGAAATAATAATTATAAAATAATTGTATGTAGCATAGTCTTATGATATGTTGTAATAGCAAAATAAAATATAATATTTACAAAAATTAAAACAACAAACTTTAAATATGTCCCTATAACACTATTGATAATACATATAGGTAGGTATATTATCATAGAACAAAAATAGATAATAATAATTGGACACAAAAACTTTTTTGTATTATAAATACTATGTTTTTATATAAGTAAATATTTACCACATTCAAATAAACATCGGGATTAAGTTCACAGCTTCCATTCCTCTTTTTGTGCGGCATAATATCTTCAAAAAATTCACACTCCCTTTCTGTATCCGCACTGTACAATAATAAGTCCTTTTCAAACGCTTCAGTTTCGCCGCGCGCCATCATAAAACACGGTAACAAGAACAACACGAACTTACTGATCATTTTGCTGCTAACAATAAGGTGTCACTTGTGGTCAAAAACGTAGGTATATTAAAATTAAAAAACAGGTTTTAGCGTAAAGAAAATGTATATTGCCAGTAGCAATGAATCATCAAAAATAGCATGATAAAAAAACAATTATCCTTACAAAATGTAATTTAAATTGGCTTTGAAAAGTACGTTCAACAATAATTTACGAAATGTTTTTTATAATTGCTACATGTTGGTTAAAAATAGGTACACAATGTTTAACTTAATTATGTTACTAATTTTTAATATTGCGTTATAGGTACTTACGTATATTATTATATCAATAAATACATTTCAATTATTAAATATACTACTTTTATTAAATCTATTAATATTATAAACATAATGTATGTATTGATCTGAGAATTTAATGCAAAAATTTATTTTTAAATAAAAAACACGTAATTAGGCCAAGAAAATACACTTCTGTAATTTGAGTTGCCTAGTGGTGTTAATAAGATGACATAAAACACAGTGTTGCTAGATTGGTAATTTTGCCTACTATAATAAATCATGTTGCTTTAAAAATTTTTTATAGTTTTCTGTATTTTTACCAATAATTGTTAAAAAAAAACGATTTTGTGTAAAATATGTAATGTACCTAAATCTGGCAACGCTGCAAATGACAGTTTGTTTCCCGCTTTAAAATCATAACAAATTAGATAATTTTTGTTTTTATAGTTTTATGTTTAAAATTGCTAAATATGGTTAGAACGGGGGATGGAGGTGTTAGAAGTATGTAAATTGTTTATATAATATATATTTATAATGTTTTTTTATTTAAAACTTAAGATTAAAATTAGTAAATAAATATTTTTTTTAAATTTTAATGTTTTTTATATATGTTATAAATAAATAACAAAAATGTTATTTAAATAATTTAAACTAATTTATTTAGTACTATAAGTCTTTATTCAAAACTTTACTCTAACAATATCAACCGATCGTTTTCAAAGTGTCAGGCACACTGCCGTTAAAACTAATGTGTCTACGTAGGTCCTCATTTGTTTATCTTCTCTTGCCCTTGGTATGCTCTTAAGTACCCTTTCGCTAACACGGCCATCCTGTTATCGGAGCGTCCTCGCACCGCAATACTGACCATCATCACAAAACGGCAAACTGTTCTAATGCAATTTGTACGGTTGCAGTCTTAAGAGGTGAACCTCCTTTTGCGTCTGTGGCCGACTTGTACACACTCGTAGCATTTGCCTAGGAGTTCAGGAAACCACAGAAAACTGAACTCTACGAGCGGGGTAGAAGTTACAATTCTAAAAAATACAAAAAGGAAGAATCAACATCTCACGAGATATACAAGAACATAAACTACGTTTTTGTTATACGCTGTGGGGTTGCCAAAATATTTTTAACTCAATTATGGGGTTGCCATAATTTCAACAATAATGTGGGGTTGCCACAATATTTTCAACTCAATTATGGGGTTGCCATAATTTCAACAATAATGTGGGGTTGCCACAATATTTTCAACTCAATTATGGGGTTGCCATAATTTCAACAATAATGTGGGGTTGCCACAATATTTTCAACTCAATTATGGGGTTGCCATAATTTCAACAATAATGTGGGGTTGCCATAATTTCAACAATAACGTGGGGTTGCCACAATATTTTCAACTCAATTATGGGGTTGCCATAATTTCAACAATAATGTGGAGTTGCCACAATATTTTCAACTCAATTATGGGGTTGCCATAATTTCAACAATAATGTGGGGTTGCCACAATATTTTCAACTCAATTATGGGGTTGCCATAATTTCAACAATAATGAGGGGTTGCCACAATATTTTTAATTCAACTATTAAATTGGCATAATTTTAACTAACTGGTAGGAATGCCACAATTTTATTAACATACTCGAAATTTAAACAATAGTGTGGGGTTGCCACAATATTTTTAACTAAATTGTGGGATCTCCACAGCTCCATTTTTGTTTTAAATTGTGGGATTGCCACTAATTTTCAACTTAATTGTGGTATTGCCACTAATTTTATTACAATTGGAATACGTACTTTTATTCAGTTGATGTCCATCGTCTTAACTGATCGTGAGCGGCCACAGTAGTTCGTCGTCCTTGTTTGTGCAACACAAATCTCTCGTTGGGTAGTAGGCATCGTATTGTATATGGCCCTTTATATTTCGCTTTCAATTTTCCTCCTCCGGCTACCTGGGAATCTTCGACAGCCACAGTAGTTCGTCGTCCAACTCTGTTTGATTTAACTTAACACTGTGCGCATTTTTAACAGTTAAAATTGATGGAATGTTGACAGGGGTATGTTGTAATTCGATACCGCTTGCACTTTTCACGATTTGTAAACAAGGTCTACCTATAACGTCCCACCCGATAATTAGGTCAATGCCTTTAGGGATGGAACCATCTGGTACAACATAATAATAAATGTCTAAAGTTACAGCTGGCATAACAGTAATGACGTCACACACACCTATAGCGTACACAAGTCGTGTCCCTAATCCCGAAAAAGCTCGCACTTTTTCAATTGGTTTGATCGTACCGTTTATTGTTTTTACTGCCGAATATTTTATAATTGATACGTCGGAACCAGTATCGAATAAATAAGAAAAAGACGGCACTTTCTCACTGATTAAAATTGTTGCTATTGGGGTGGTGTTCAGGTGGCGTCATTTTTTTATAAGCAACGCTTCTTTCGGCTTGCCATGCTTAGTCCAGCAATTTTTTTCTGTATGGCCCAACCTGTTGCAGTGGTCGCAAGTCGGGGTCTTGGAACTATTCGGCCTATCCTGTTCTACTTCTTTAGATGTTCTGCTTCGGCATTCGTGTTGCAGATGTCCGTGGCGGCCACATTTAAAACATGAACGTTTTAAAATTTTGTTGGGTCTACCGCTATCTGACCCGCGTCTGTCAACGTCTGTCTCTCTCTTGTGCGCTCCATCACGCCCTGAGATCCACGACCCTTTTGGTGGCCGGCGTGCGTCAAACTCACTTAATCTTAACATAAGCTCACGTTCAGAGTCCGGCTTCTGTATGTGCAGCGATGCACGTGCTTCAGCATGGTCCAATCCGTACTCAACCATACTTAGAACCTTATTCCACGGTAATTTATCGTAGAATCGCTGTATGCTGCGAAGCTTTTGGTGTCCATAATCACACAAAGAGTCGCACTCTCTACTTCGTAGTGTCGAAGCTTTAAACGCTCGGGCACCTGGTGTCTCTTTGTCGGGAAAAGCAGTGATAAGGTCGGCACAAAAGTTTTCCCAGGATCGCCGTAAAGGTCTCCAGTTACAGCAGTACCGATAACCGCGATTCTTCAGCGCATCGCTCGCCTTCGCAATCATTAAATTATCGCTGACATCCTGTTCCTCCTTCAGTTTTGTTGCGTCCTCCAACCATTCGTTGATTGCGTATGCACTGTTATCGGGGTCATAGCTGGTGAGCTTGAATTTTATGTTGCCCTGTCCCGATGTTGACACCTGCGTCCTTTGTTCACCAGGTGAGATCAAACTTGGCGTGAGCATTCCTGACGCTTGCGCATTTGATCCGTCTTCTGTGACTAAACAGGGCGTTGGTTCTGCTGGCGCTTGCGCACTGGCTCCGTCTGTAGAGACAAAGCAGGGCGTTGGCACGGAGGACGCCGATGTCTGTAGTTTGGCGAATTTTAATAACTCCGCAATCTGTAGCTGTTGCGAAACTACCATGTTTTCTAACCTTTCTTGCCATTGTTTACACTAATTTCATCCATTTCTGTAGGTCACTGCACAGATCACTATCCCACTTCTGATGTTATAAATAAATAACAAAAATGTTATTTAAATAATTTAAACTAATTTATTTAGTACTATAAGTCTTTATTCAAAACTTTACTCTAACAATATCAACCGATCGTTTTCAAAGTGTCAGGCACACTGCCGTTAAAACTAATGTGTCTACGTAGGTCCTCATTTGTTTATCTTCTCTTGCCCTTGGTATGCTCTTAAGTACCCTTTCGCTAACATATATAATTTAGTGATATTGAATACAAACTAATTATGTTTCTTTTTCTATGTCAAAAACTAGAATTACTTAGATAATATTTGGAAAAATGTGTTAACTTAACCTTACTTTTTTACTTTTTAATTATATTTCAATTATCCTAAGATTCACAAAATATTGTGTCACAAAATTTAGTACACTCTTTCACTTATATTTTCTTAATACCGTGCTAAAATTTCAATCCTATAACTCGAATACTTTTTAAGGACACTAAAACGTGTTTCTTAAAAAAAAGATTATTGACATTTCATTTTGTCGCAGTTAGCGGTGGAAAAAGTTCCAAAAAAGGCGGCGGTGGAGGTGGCTCAAGGTCAGGGACGCCTAGCAAACGTACAGGAGGAGGTAGGATACAAAATTATATACAGTGTGTCCCAAAATAATGGGAGCACTGTATGCCATTTATCTAAAACGTTTTTTTATAGGGGACAATAGATTGGGGGTAGCTGCTCAAAGAGAAACGCCAACATGGCAGAAACCAATCACCAATTTTTTTAATATGCCACCAAAAATTAAATTGGAGGGAGAAACCAGTGAAAATCAAGAGGTTCTTGGTGAAAATATGGAGGTTGTAAATGAAGTCACAATTAAAACCGAAGTGGATGAGGAAAACAAGGAAAATTGTGAAAATTGATATTTTTAAATTGTTCTGTACATAATTTAACGTTTAATAAAGTTTTTGTATAATTTTGTTTTTTGTATGTAACAATTTTGCACATTGAAGTGAACTAAATGGTAATATTTTTTAATAATATAAACTTAGTAATAATTCATGATTTTTGTAGATTATAAATTTTGTAAACTTTTAGCATTGAGTAAAGTGCAATGCTTTTAGTATATACATACTTAAATATTTAAAGTAAAGTTTGTTTATAATATTATCAAAAAACATTTACTGCAAAAAACAGCATTAATTGCTAAAAACTGATTATGATGCATTGTTATAACATATATAATTATAATTATGTCAAAATATTTAAAATTATGAAATGTACTTGATAAAATGTACCTACGTAAAATATTATACAATTTAGTTTGGAAAAAAAATATTGAAATAACCAAATTATTTTAGCACACAACAATCAGAAAGTTCAAGTGCCTATTAATTGTTTATTTTTAAGTTTAGGGTAGTCATGCAATAAAAATTTGTTGCTCCCACAGACCTGTGGTCTGTGGTTGTTCCAAATTAAATTGCATTTCTAAATTTAGATTAAATTGGTGAAAACCAATATTTCGGTAAGGCGACGTTCAATTGTTTCTCTGTTTTCACCAATTTAATCAAAAGAAAAAATGTCACCAATTCTTTAATTTAACCGACTTTGTAGCTCCAATAACAACGAAGTTAGTAATTATAATTATAATTAGGTATGTTTAATAACAAAACTATTTAAAAATGTAGGAAATCCAAAAGAAATATAAACGTTCAAAGTTTAATTTTGTTTTGCTGACATTTGGTAAATGTGCAATAGGGGACAAATCAACAAGCAAATATTTCCATAATAATTACATTTTACACATTTAAGAATTTTTGGTTGAACCGCTTAAAAGTTAAGTTAAATAAAAGAAATAATATATATTAAAGGAAAAAAAGTTCAAGATAATTGGTAATGTAAAGTTCAGTGGCATTTACTTATTTAAATAAATAAGAATTTAACATTGAAAGCAATTATTTCTTTGACCAAATTAAAAACTTTTGATTGATTATAAAAATAACTATAATTTTAATAAAATGTTTAAGTTTTATTAAAGAAGACAAATTTTAATAACTCCTACAAAATGACCCGAATTTGAGTGAAATTTTCAAGGTTTACTAAAAAAGACGAGCTCTTTTTAAAGGTGTTTTTGGATTTTACACCAAATACAAGGCAAAAGTTTTTCCAATAAGAAAAAATTCCCAAGTAACTCGAAAATTGAACAAACGTCGCTTGGTTTTCTAATTAGAGAACGCTCTTTCCAACTATGTAAACTATTTTTGCACCAAGATAAAAAGAACAATTTTCGCTCTATCTAAATAATCAAAAACTGTGCAAAAGGCCGCAGGGATCGCACTATAAAACGTTCCGCGGGCACACAGTGAACTTTAATCGTGGTCCAATCAGTAAACACACTCTATATAAGTGTCCGAGCAGCAGATTAAGCGGAACAGTACGTACGTCTCAGTCGTGTGTTAAAAACGATGGAAGTGGTACTGAACGAGGCGACGAACGGTGGTCATCACCGCCAACCGCAAAACTACAACGCGAATGGCAAAAGTGAAAGTGCACAGCAAGTTACTAACGGACACTCTAAAACGTTGAATATCGAAGATAATTTTGAAAATGACACCAAGTTCTCCCGGCAACCAGAGAAAGATCCCATCGACTTGCAGTTTAAAGATGTTACCTACACAGCCGCTATGGGAAATATTTTGACCAAAAGAGGTAGGAAAGATTTCTTTAGGACAAAGAACCGTGGGATTTGTAAACAAAACAATAGCAATATTAATTGTTCTCTCTGTAAACAAAAACTTCATTCATTGTTTACCAATAAATGGCAGTTTTTAACTTAAAGAAAAATACCTTATCTAGTGATATTAATTGAGTAATTACTTAATAATAAAATCTATTAAAACCCTATTTTTATCAATAATTATTATAGATTATAATCTAATCTTGAAAAATATTTCAAGGTATGAATAAAAATTACAATAAAAAAATTGGCATCCAATATTTTATTATATATAAAGTTTAAAAATATTTAGGTGCAAACTTGTTTTAAAGCTTAAAAACGGGTTTGCGACATTTTGCCATAAAGAAAGTTATTGTTGACGTATGAAGTTATATCGATGACTTTTTGCCAAAGTATCGCAAGCAACATAACCCAAATTTCGGGAATTGAAACATTTTGCTTGTCTGTATTAAATTAAATATAGCCTAAAGGTTTTATAATAAGTAATTCTTTAGCTTATAATTATAGCTTTTTACTTGTTATAAAACCTATAGGTGATATATAGTTTAAAACAGACTTTAAAACAAAAAATGTTTTCAATTCCCGAAATTTGAGTTATGTTGCTTGCGATACTTTGGCAGAAAGTCATCGATATGTTATGTGCATAAATTTATTCTACAGTGACCTGTAATAAAAGAGTTACCTACACTGATTTCGAGCTAAATCCGATAGATGGAACCACTGTTCTTATGTAATTTCAATGCATTTTTATTATTGTACGGTGTTTGCTTAATAATTTGACGTAAAAAGTTTTTCATGCTTGTAATGTTTTTTGTAGATACCTAAAAAATTCTTATAAATAATTTTTGTTGCTTTTAATAGTTTTTTTACAATAAAAATTAGTTTGTTCTCTATTGTAAATAAGGTATTTTTGCTTAAATAAATATTCCGATATAATTATATTATGAAATAATTAGTAAATTATTCGACTTAATTGCTATTGCAATAATGTTAACTGTCAATCTATTTGTCGTATGCCATAATATGTTTACAATTTTTTATGTAAAATTTAAACAAAGTTATACAAAGTAAGCCTTGTAAATTGGTAAAAATAGTAAAAATTAAAACATTCCGATAAAAAATTATAATTATTCAACATTAACATGCTTTTACGAATGGTTTTATTACGTACTCTTACGTACATAGTTAGGTACTTACTTCCTTTAAAAATATATTTGTAATTTCAATTAAGCAACACAACACCAATGTGAAAAAAGAAAATAAGAAAAACAGCATACCATGGTATAATAATTAATTTTTAAAATCATTTGTTTTACTTTCAATAATGTTATTGGCCTACTTACCTAGATAGAAAATCTTATGCAACGATGTTCGATTGTCAAGAAAATTTGTCAATTAAGATAAATCTGTATATTATTAATAATTATTTAGGATTCTGAAAAATCTAATTAGGTAGTAATTTTTTTTATATAAAAATTCGTTTATCATTTTAATTTTTGGGTCGTTTATCCAATACAAAATTCTCGAGTATTTTGTTTAGGTATATAGATATATTATTGGCAAAATAATTTTTAGTGCGCAAAACTACTGAAATGTAACCCTATTTTGTTATTTATTTAATAACTACTTGTTATCACCAAAGTTCTTCTTCTTCTTCTTAATTCTGAACAATGCTTGAAAAAAAATATTTCATGGTAAATTTGCATAAAAATAGCAAATCCGAGATACAAATTGATGAACTATAGAATTTTTTTTTAAATTAAATTTTAAAAATGTTGGAAAAAAAAATTTACAATACAACTTTTTTTTAGAAAAAAAGGAGATCCTGCACCAAGTAAATGGCAGGTTTCCCGCAGGACAACTGGTTGCAATTATGGGACCCTCAGGGGCGGGAAAAAGTACCCTTCTTGACGTGCTAAGTGGATACAGGATAAAAGGTGTGGATGGGCAAGTCTACATAAACGGCCAACCTAGAAACATGAAGTCCTTTAGGAAATTATCCTGCTACATCACGCAGGACGACAGGTTGCAGCCTTTACTGACTGTGCAGGAAAATATGTTGGTTGCAGCTGATTTGAAGCTGTCCTCAGATGTTAGTCGAAAGGATAAACAAGACATTGTAAGTTATGGTTTATTTTCTAAATTTTTATACAATTATTTTACTAAAAAAATGTATTTTTTTTTTAAATTACAATTTGAGCTTAAATTCATATTTTATTCATACAATGAGCAAAAGGGCTTTTTAAAGCCTATAATATATATATTTTGATATACAGGGTGTTTCAATAAAAACTCCCAGGCCAATTATTTCGAAAACTAAAAGTGACATTTAAATTCTGTAAACGCCAGTTTTTAGCCTCTATGATTGGCTTCACAACTGTGTGAAAAATGTTTTTGAATAATACAAGATGTAGGTGGCGCCACTGTGCAAAAAAATTTTTCGATGGCAGCTACTTTTAAATTAATTTTTGATCAAATTATGTCCCATACAAATTTTCGATAAATTCGACATGAACGGAGATATTTGGGGTTAAGTTTTTTTTAAATAATTTTAACGAGTATTTTAATTATAAATATTTTTAATATGCTTTAGCAGGTGATCATATAATTCTGTTAATCATAATTATAGTGATAAAACGCTAGTGTAGCGCTAACTAGATTAAAATTATTACGTCCAGTGACGCCTCAGGGGGCCCCTTAACAAATAATATTGGCAAAAAATAATACGCCACTGAGTTTTTGGTAATTTTTATATTTTTATTCGGACTAAGCAACTAAAAATATCCTTTTTTTGTCTGTTAAATTGTTTTCATATCTTCCTTCGTTTTCGAGAAATACAAATAAAACCATTTGGAAAACAAAAATCATTAAGAAACAAAACCATAAATTATTAATACGCTATATTTTTTGCTGTTTAAAAACAAAGGTAAAACATTAAAACATAATAAAATAAATTAAAGGATGTTTTAAATTTTATGAAAGAGTGGTGAGAAATTATAAAAAATTATTAAAGAAAATTAGAACAATACCAAAAACTAACTAATAAGGTCGAACGAGGTGTTTAAAATTATTGCCGTTTTTATACACACATATCAAATCGATATAATATTTCGGTTCTGCAAACTTTCAATAGTGTATTTTGATTAATAGCGGCTATAGTAACATATATTTTGTTGTACAGGTCAGCCATGTCTTCTATTGGTTCCTTGTATACAAGGAAAGAAGTCTATAGACTTCTTTTTGTAAGCCGCCCCATAAATAAAAGTCAGGGCACCTTGCTGGCCATCTAAGATCCCCATTTGTGCTGATCACTTTTCCTGAAAACGCCATTTAGATGATTCATAACGATATTGCTATTGTGTGCTGGGGCACCGTCTTGATGAAACCACATAGTATTTACGTCAATTCACAAATTTTGTAAAAGCAAAGTGAGATCGTTTTTCAGAAATTGTTAATAACGAACTGAAGTTAAATGTTCATGGTACAAATAGGGCCCAAATATGTAACCATTTACAATACCGCACCAAACATTTACCCCAAATCGTGTAAAATTTAGTCTGTCGTATCCAGTTAGGATTTTCCTGGGACCAACAGCGACAATTATGTTTATTAATTACTCCATTATTGTGAAACCGGGATTCGTCACTTCACATAATTTGGTTTAATAAATTTGGATTTTCTTCCAAAAGAATATGAAAATGTGTCAAAAAGTTTAATCTGCGCTGGTTATCTCCTTATTGTAGATGATGCACTAGATGAACCTTGTATGGAAAAAACATATTTCCTTTTAGGAACTTACTGAAATATTGGTTTCATCTTTTAATATTGAAATATTAGTTTCATCTTTTAATTTTTGTAATGACGATTGTGGGTTATGTTTTACTGATTGGAGGACTAAACCTACATTTTCGTCAGTCGTATCCCTCTTCCTTCTTGGAACCGTTTTCTTTTTAAAGCTACCATATGTAGCTAAGTGGTACACAAAGCTACAAAAGATTTGCGATCTGGCGTTGGTCTCGATAGCAGCGCACAGCTTCTGAAGCATTTTGATGTCATTCTCCATAAACTAAAACCATGTATGTTCAATTTGTCTTGATTTGTATGGTGAACCATTTTTATTTTAGAAATGTAGAAATTGAAAATTCTTACACTGACACTAAGTAAAGAAAAAATTACTTGATGTTTCTAAAATTCAATTGTTTTTATTTAATGATTATTGTTTTTCAGAGATATGCAGTGAAATGGTTTTATTTTTATTTTTCAAAAACGAAGCAAGATATGAAAACAATTCAACAGACAAAAAAGGATATTTTTAGTTGAATAATCCGAAAAATATATAAAAATTACCAGACACTCAGTGGCGTATTATTTTTTGCCAATATTATTTGTTAAGGGGCCCCCTGAGGCGTCACTGGACGTAATAATTTTAATCTAGTTAGCGCTACACGAGCGTTTAACACCATAATTATGATTACCAGAACTATATGATCATGTGCTAAAGCATATTAAAAATATTTATAATTAAAATACTCGTTAAAATTATTAAAAAAAAAACTTAACCCCAAATATCTCCGTTCATGTCGAATTTATCAAAAATTTGTATGGGACATAATTTGATCAAAAATTAATTTAAAAGTAGCTGCCATCCAAAAAATTCTTTGCACAGTGGCGCCACCTACATCTTGTATTATTTAAAAACATTTTTCACACAGTTGTGAAGCCAATCATAGAGGCTAAAAACTGGCGTTTACAGAATTTAAATGTCACTTTTAGTTTTCGAAATAATTGGCCTGGGAGTTTTTATTGAAACACCCTGTATATATTTTAAAAAATCAATAAAAAGTAGAAATTGAAATCACTTATAGGTCATTGAATTCTTTTAAATATGCAGAAACCGATTGCCAAGGTTAATTGTCATAAGAGCACGCGTTATTATTAGATTAACATGATAGAAGAGCATTTTCAGAATAGCAAAATTATTACAAAACTCGAATTTCACTCAAGATTAAATTTTTGCCTGTTTTTCACAAATTTTTAAGGTCACATTACATTATTTTCTCGGGTTATCTCCACATTTCTTAACATCATTTAGTTGAAGCGTGATCGAAGCTAAAAAAAACAGCGATTGTTGAGATGTTATATTGGTACGAATATTTATAATTAAAGAGCAATTAATAACAATTAATTGAGATCAAAGCAAGGTGATATTGGCCCTATCGCCGAATAAATAAAACTAATTATAAGGAGATATTCTTCAAAAGTCAATTATATGAGTCATGCTTTCAGATAAGTTTGACTCTTTGTTCAAGTTATAGCGGAGTTTCTTTGAAGAAATCTTCTTAGATTAAAATAAGCTTTTTTATAGATTTATAACGGAATGAATTCCCAATGTAGAAAAAACAAAAAACTTATTTCTCTCAGTGTAAAACAAAAACAAAATATTCCAAAATCCATAATTAACGTTATTATTGTTTTCTTAAAGATATTTTATGTATATTTATTATTATCATTTAAGGAACAAGAAAGCGTAATTTCTTTAACAAGCAAATAAATATTGTCCTAGTTGTTGTCATTGTTGGTAATAAAGATAAAATCACGGGTCACTTCGATTTGTGATAAGTGCCACGCGTACATATTTGCTTATCTTTTACAGGGCGATTTCACACATTTAGCAGAGTAATAATTATATACAGGGTTTTCAAAACCGTTTCTGGGATATGTGGGGGAATTGTTTTACCTCATTGGACAGCTCTTAAAAATTGCTATTTAACAATACCAAAAAAATACTTTTTAATAGTTTAAATTTATTTAAATTTAAAAAAAAAACGCAAAATAATTTTGTAGTTTTTTATTCAATTTCTCGTTATAGTATGCAAACTTTTCTAGACACTCGTTTTTACTAAACACTCGCTCGCAAGCTAATTAAACTCGTAACTTACATAAAGCACTTTTATATAAAATTAAAAGTATCTTACACTGAAAAAAATTTCCTTTTAAAAGAACAAAAACACTTGGTTGGAAGAAGAAACATTCAAGAAATTTTGTATTTGTTTTCAAGAGAACAGTACTTCTTCCACTAAGAACTTTTTTCTTTAGGCAATAAATAAATACTCTTTTATGCTAAAATATTGTTTCTTGCCGCTAATATTTTTTTATCAAGAGAGTTGACAACTTTAGTTTAACGGCACCTTTTTTCAATAATAATTAATAATATGTATACCCAATTTAATTAGAGTAATTATAAAAAATTAAATAATAATCCAGTTTTAATTTGTTTTAACTAGGTAAAATATGCAGAAAAAATTAACTTTGCTTTATACAAAATATTTTATGTGTATACAGAAAATATAATATACCTACTACTAATTACCTATTATAGGTAATTAGCAGAAAATAATATTTTTTATAGTTTTAATTTAATTAAATTAATAGGTTTTAAAAAACCTTTAAGAGGTAATTAAAACATATGGTATATTCTTATTTACGTACAAAATATTCAATAACATCAATTATACAAAATTTTAATAACCAATTACCATTATAATTAGTAAAATATTGAAATTGCATAGTTAAGTTAGAAATTAGGAAAATATGAAACGCTTTTAAACGTTATGATTATTTTTATTTACAGATAGACGAAATTTTACACACTCTTGGTCTGACGAAAACAAAAAATACAAAGGCGCAAGGACTGTCGGGAGGACAAAAGAAAAGACTGTCGATAGCCTTAGAATTGATAAACAACCCATTGGTGTTGTTTTTGGATGAACCAACCACGTAAGTCATATAAAACAAGCAAAAAAAATTATTAATTTATTTATAACTATTCAATATTTGGCGTACCTATATACTTATAATTTATACAATGAAATAAAAATGACGGTGCTCTCTATCTAAACCTTAAACTTTGCACCCATGAATTTTAAACGTTTTTTATCACTTTTATTAATGACTAATTTGTAGGAGATACGAAACAAATGTGTACTTTGTATGGATATAAAAATCTATCGTGCCATAAAAACTACTTATGTGAAGTGTTAATTATTGAGTTTTGATTATTTATTATTATATCTTATTATAAAATAAAAATTTATTATCTTATTATAAAATACGCAAATAATGTAAGAAAGAAAAGCTTTTGAGAACATCTGACCTTTGTACTGTCATAGGAGATAAGAGATAAAATTGAAATTTATTATTGCATATTTTAGCGGTTTTTTACTAAAATTGTGAATAACACTTTTCGATCTCAGAATTGCTCTATCGCGTCAGGTTTTTGAAAAATTCTTACCCAAAAGTGGTAAAAAAGATTTTTTATGTAATTAATGAAATTATGTACTATATAATTTGTAGATGTACTACATAAACTATTTAAGCGACCAAAAGAATAACGCAATAAAAACAGACATACCACATATTTACGTAAAAATAACGTTAAAATTACCTTATATCTGTTCTCTCTTTCTATATCTTTAAATTAATTTATATTTCAAAATTAATGAACTAACCAAAATTTACTATTTGAATTACAATAAGTGTTTGGAAATATACAAATCATTATTTATTTTTTACAACTTGTTTGCATTTTTACTATATATCATTTTAATCATGTACAATGTTAAAATTGTAAAATTACAATTACAAAACAAAGGATGAGTAAAATTACAAATCAGTGTATACCAATACAAAATTATAATACAATTTGAGTAATCTGCCAAGACATGTTGGGAAATCTACTAAGATAAATTGTAATTTTACAATCTATATCTATAAATCCTACACGCATTGTAATTTTACCAAACAGTTCGACATTTTGTAATAAAAAGCATCTTAGATTTACTAACGTTGTTTGTAATTTAATTTGCTATAATGTTATTTAAAATGCATAGTATGTACCGATTGCGGCAATCAAGTGATGTTCTTACATCTCGCCTCGGTTGACTTGGGTGGACAGTATAGCTCAGGTGTCTTTCGTTTTGGGTGTGTTCCAGTACACCAAATTGCCCGACATTGATAAAACCCAAAAATTATGTAAAAAAAAACAAATCTGGTTTCTGTTTTAAACAGCTAAATAAATTGAGAATTTTAAATCGTGTGTTATAGCAATTTCATGGAAATATTTTGTTATTGATTTATTAAACGTCCATGCATTCTGATAATTTATTTTGGAAAATTATTAAGATTATAAATGTTGTCTTTAACACAAAGAATTTTAAAACAGAAATGCCAAGGTCCAAATAAAAACATTATTTTGTAAATTTGCGATTAATAATATTTTTTGCAGTGGTTTGGACAGCTCCTCCTGCATGCAATGCGTAAAGCTCCTGCAAGTGCTCGCAAAACAAGGCAGGACCATCGTGTGTACAATCCATCAACCATCAGCTTCGTTATTCAAGCTCTTCGACCAGGTCTACGTACTCGCCAGTGGGAACTGCCTGTATCAAGGTAGCACTGAAAGACTTGTGCCGTTTTTGGAAGACGCAGGGTTCCCCTGTCCAATGTACCACAATCCTGCAGACTACGGTAAGAAATGCTGCCTCTTCATGATAGGATATTACATCTTCTTTTTCTTTTAGTTATTGAGTTGGCCTGTGGTGAATATGGACAGGAAAAAATAAATTCTATGATCAAGGCAACAGGCAATGGAAACGATATAAGGTACTTTAAGGAGCCAGAAAAGCTTTCAAATATCCAGTGTCAAAAAGGTAAAATTAAAAAAATCACAAAAATGTTTTATAAGTATATTTTTACTCTATAGGAGCTTCAAATGATGAAGATAATGAAGGCGGTCTTCAAGCCACATCATCCTGCAATCAACTGAAGGTACTCTTGAGAAGAGGCTTCATAAAAACAAAGAGAGACCAGGTAATGTAGATTTTTCAACTATGCTTGGAACGTTAAATGTTATTTTATATAATTTTTAGACCCTGACATACATGCGTATACTAGTGAACGCCCTAACAGGACTTATGTTGGGGACGCTGTACTGGAAAGCTGGGCAAGACGGATCAAAAGTTTTGGACAATTTTAATTTACTGTTTTCAATTTTAATGCACCATATGATGTCTACAATGATGCTCACCATATTGACTTGTAAGTATTTTATATTTTAAACCCTATTTTTCTAATTTTCTTTTTTGTTAGTCCCCAGTGAGATGTCGATATTAGTAAAAGAACATTTTAACAGATGGTATTCCCTCAAGATGTACTATACTTCTGTTACGCTGATTGATATACCCATATCGGTAGGTAGTTTTTTATTCTTATTATTATTATGTATCGGTAAGTATGATTGCTCCATCATGTAAGGTTTTTAAGAAATTCTCTTTAAAATCATTTTAAAAAAATTACAATTTCCCAAGTTCGCAATATCACCGTAAAATTTGAAATAAAATACCAAACAACTTTTATTAAAAATCATTTTTTAATATTCTCTATATTTCAAAAGTTAAATTCAATATTTCAAACTTATGGTAACGATAAATTATATAAAGGTTATATAAGATTTATAAAATTATATAAGAGTTTAACAAGGTTTTATAAAATCACCATTTAGTTTACTAGTTTTATAATGGTCATATAAGGTTAATGTAAACTCTAGGTATATAATAAGGTTATATGATTGTTTCTACAAACATTTTATATAACCTTTAGTTGCCATTACCAGTAGGAGTTTTATAAAGTTTGCGGTTACCTGTTTTATAAAACTATTGTGTCTTTAATTTTTTTAAATAAAAATTGTTATAATTATTTATGTGCTTAATAAACCAAAAATGTTTAGTAATTGAAACAAAAATTTAGCATAGTATTAGCTTTCAACGCAATACTTTTTCATAATTTTAATTAAAAATTGGTTGAAATGAAAATAGTTAGCATAGAATATATAAGAAATATAATATTATTAACATAAATATTTTAAAAGTGGATTTAATCGAATGTTTAGTGAAATAAATTGATTCCATTGCGTTAAAACCATTTTACTGCAGTCTGCAGTCTGCAGACTAAATGGCGAACCTCACAACAGTTTTATAACATCACTTTTAGTAACGTCAGTTACCACAATGCATATAAGAGTTTAAAAATTATATAACACTTTAAGTAACCCATAAAACTGAACTAGTACCTTAGGTTATATAAAATTACCATGAGCAATATAAGAGGGCCCAAAGTTGATACATTATTTCCGCCATTTTTGTTTTTTACATAAAATAAATGTTAATCGAATTGTATTACAAAAACAACTTAATTGACCAAACCAGGATAAAAAATTCACTACCTATTGAAAGCAAAAGAAAGATATTAATGTATTTATAAAAATAAATTTTCATATATTTTTAATAGTATAAAAAATATTTATGTTTTGGTATTTTTATGTCCTCTGATGTTTTTAGAAGTATTATGTACATATTTACAATAAATATTTACTTCGCACTTTAAGTTGTATTAATATTAACATATTTTCGCCAATTGACTTCTCAGAATATTCACGTTGTTTAAACAAGTTAATGAATAAGATGACAATAAGAAAGATAGCTTACCTATGAAGAAATATATATTTTAAATGTGCCTGAGGGAGAGAGAAATATTAAAAGAAGGAAAAAAAGCCAGTAGTAGTTCTTTAGGAAGTTATATAGCGGTTTCCATAATATTCCTGTTATGCCTAGTTATAAAACTTGGGTTTTATAGTGTTACTAAAATAGGTACCAATAACCTTCATAAACTTCCCAAATAAGCTCTTTAAGGGGTATAAAAGGGTGATATAAATGTTTCTGTAACCAAATTTAAAAAATTAGGTTTTATAATTTGCATGATTTATGGAAACCACTATAAAAACAAAAATGTTTATTGGGTTTTAGGTAATTTGCTGTGCGATATTCACTACAGTAATTTACTATATGACAGGACAACCCTTGGAGTGGGTTAGATTTATGATGTTCTTCGTGACAAGTTTGCTGGTAGTTTTCGTAGCCCAAAGTTTCGGACTAATGATTGGAGCTTATTTCAACGTCGTGGTAAGTTTTTTTTAAATCTCGAGAATAATAAAAAGGTTTTATAACTGTCTTGATGATCTTTTTTAGAACGGCACTTTCCTGGGCCCGACTCTTTCGGTACCGATGATGATGTTTGCCGGGTTTGGAGTGTCCCTCCAAGACCTGCCGCCTTACCTGTACTGGGGTAGCTACATCTCGTACCTGCGCTACGGCCTTGAAGGGATAGTGGGCGCCATCTACGGCTTGGATAGGCCGACTTTGGACTGCCCTGAAGACGCGTATTGCCACTACAAGTACCCGAAAAAGTTTCTGGAAGATGTCGCTGTAAAGGCCGACCAGTTCGACAACGACGTCATTGCGCTGTTGCTGTTTTTGTTCGTGCTCAGGATAGCCGCCTACGTCATTTTGAGGTGCAAACTGATGGCGCTGCGTTGATTTTTTTATGTTGGTAGTATTGCTATTCAACTGCCTTTTATAATGTATACGGTATGGTATGGTATGGTGTGTTCATACAATGGAAACTTGTGATTTTTAACTACATGTGAGTGTGTTTTATATTTAATTTTAATTTAAGGAACTAAACATTCCCACCGTTGTTTTTAAGATGTACATATATTATTATTATTATTATTACTATTTAATTGTAAACTTAATGCCATTGTGACTATTATTATTTTTTAGGCTGTGTGTATTAATTATTACCTATTTATTTAATAGATATATGTGTACCTAGTATATATTTTATTACATAATTTAAGTTTTAATTTATAATGATTTTAAAATGTTTTATGACAATCAATGCAATTGACTGATGTACCTTAAATAATAAAATAAAAATAATGAATTGTTTTATGGGATTTTTTGTTTTTTTTATATTTTTCCTTTTGCATAAGCTCAAGTAAATAATCATACACAAAATGTACGTGTTCATAAACTGTGTGTGTGGTGTATTCCTGGTTGCATAGTATATTACTTCAGTACATTGAAAAAAATAATCTCTTAAAAGATATGAAAATCACTTTGATTCAAAAGATTTGCGGTTTTGAGTAGTAGTTAGCATGTATTGCTTTATTCTGATCTTCACTGAAACTACCAGCGTTGTTAGTATTTAAGCTTAAATTCCCCTCACCACATAGGCCTTTTGATTTTAATTATTAAAACATGCATTTAACAATTAAAATCAAGGACCTTAGTAAGGGGAGTTTAACCCTATATATTGGCATCGTTGAAAACTAGAAGATTGACTGAAAAAAAGGTTTACAAAAAAATAAGACATTTATTGTTTGATATCAACAAAAGCGCAAGTTTTTTATACTCACACAAAAAAAACTAACATAAATATGATGTAACATACAAATTTTAATTCATACCTTACCTTCAAAAATATTAAACAAATTAATTAAATTTAATTAAAAAAAAAGAGTTTTAATGATTCCAACTCCACTGTGAAAGTTCATACAACACGAAACAACACAACACAACTAGCAAAATGTTTATTAGAAATAGCTATAATAGAATTATAATATTATATCACTGCCCCTAGAAAATTGACTTGCTATTGTGATATTTGTGATGTATCGAATAAATTGCGTAAATATAAATAATTTTCATAGCTTTTGAACTAAAAAACTTTGCACTTGGTTGAAAGAAGAAACATTCAAGAGATTTTGTATTTGTTTTCATAGAACTATAAACTATTTAAAGTAGATACATAATTTTACTATTTTCAATAAAGGGGCCCTCAATGCACCCAAACTCCGACCCTGTGCAGTCCAACCCTCACAGCTGATGCGCCCCTATTAGAAAATCGATAATACAAAAACCACAGATACCATAATATTTATAACCAACAAAACTTGGCGTTTAAGCCATATACATATAATATATACATACATAAATATATTATATGCATAAATATCCCAAAGGGTAAAAATACAACAAGTGTTTTTATGATGTTATATCATTGACAATTAAAAAGAACAATATGTAAGTTATTTTTATATTTATAAAATCTAATTGTCTAGTTTTTAACGTTATGCAAGCATTTAGATATGTTTTGTTTTTTGTACAAGGACTATGTCTATCTTAGTCAGGCCCGTCCGAAGGGGGTCAATCAGGCCCCCTATGCAGCATTTTATAAATAAAAAAGGTAAAATTTCTAAGAGACGCCATATTAAATTATTGAAGATGCCGATATTTAATAAAAATTTGTATAATAATTTTTTATAAATATTTTTTTGAATCATTACGACTGTTAATACAATACGTACGTCAGGGCCCCGCAAAACCTAGAGACGTGCCTGTACTTAGTAAGTAGGTACATATGCATTAATTATTTGTTGAAGAAAAAAATTATATGACGTACAGTTTGATACATTATCTAATGGATTTTTAATTTCGTTTTAAATAATAGGTACGAAAAAAAGAATGTTTTTATATTACAATGTGCGTCCATAAGCAATAGTTTTTATTACTTCAATTTGGATTTTTTAAATTTTTTTGTTAATATTAATTAACAAACAAATGTTAAAAATGTATTCATTGAAGTAGTTGAAGGGATATTCAGCTCGCCAAAAGTCAATTTTGTAAAATAAATCGCATAATAAAATTTTTATTTACCTACATTGAATAAATTTAAAAAAACGTTTTAAATAAATATGATTTAAATTATAAATTACAAAATTAGTAAACTTAAAGATGTTTCTTTAATTAAAAACAACTGAATTTTTTTTAATTTGTTTAGTTTAAAAAAATACTCTATTGGTCATATTATTTCTATTTATATATTTGATTGTTTTAATTATGATAATTAATTAATTATAACATTAGGATTAGATAATTAGGCAATTAAATATTGGGCATTATGCATTATAAGTAAAAACGCTGATAGAATGTATGAATTTTTTATTTAATACAATATTAATTATTATTATAATAATTATTATTACAATAATAAAAAAATCAATTAATCAAATAATCGATTAATTGAATAATTGATCATTTTGCCCACTCCCATTTAATATAGGCAAACGAACCCCTTAGAATTTCCGTTTTAGGTTCTCCTTTAAAATTCATTGGGGTCAATAAAATATTTTTAAGAAAGCCAAGCAGAATCCACCCAAGTAAACAAAGTGGGCAAAATCGCAAAAACGCAATTTTTTATGAACTATTAATTTAATAGTATTAAATTATTAAAAAAACATTATTAGTAAAATCCAAATACCAAGCAACATTTGAATTACACAATTTATTTTATTAAAAACATGGTCATGTTTTACATTTTTTGTTTTAGACTGTAAATCATATTTTAATTATTTGCATAATCATAAACTCAAATAAATATACCTAAATAATATTTACTAAATATCATTAATATTTTTCAAGTATATATTTAATGTATGTCAAGAACATTTCAAATTTAAATTTGCAAAAATTTAGATAAAACTAAATTTGATTTTTTTTTTAAATGTTTGCACATCTATCATTTTCTTGCTTTTACGAGTTTGTACAATCCTTACACTATTCGTTTGTATACAAATTTGTTTTTATTTTAATTAATGACCAATACTTTTTATTAGGGGTCAGCACATGTATGTTTGACTTTTTGCAAAATTATAAATGTAGCAAGGATTTTATGTCGAATATGTTTTTCATTAAAGAAATCTTAAACAATTTCAGGCTTACAAATGACTATAAATCTAAATCTAAAAAATCTGTGCTATAAGTTACGGTCCATAACACCTAAAGCTAAAGCAGCAACATTGATTTTTTACTTTTAAGTCAACAATATCTCAATATTTTTTTTATTCATATATTTATTTAAATTAAACTGGAAACTTATTACTTAAAATTAGTTAAAATAGGAAACGTAATTTTTTAGAAATTAGTAATTTAAATAATAAAAAATAATATAATCATTACTACTTTCTCATGTAATTGATTTAGTTAGCATGGTAAAAACTATTTTTATTTTATTTTAACATTTTAAAATTCGATGGTTATTTATAGTACTACTTAGCCAAATAACAACACATTTTCAGAATTTAATTTTAATCCTTCAGTAAATAATAATAACAAAATTTGTAGACACATATTTTTGTTTAGAGGTAGCAAAATATTTTTCAAATTAATTATGTGGTACGTAAAAAATACAATAAAACAAAATAAGAAAAAAATTAGGTACATTGCAAACTGCAAAGAAATTAAATAAAAAGTAAATAATAAAGTAATAGGACCTATAAAACATTAGTGGATATGTAATTTTAAAAAATGACATTGTAAACTTAAAAAAGATATATAATTGCAAAAAATAATAATGGGTTAATTATATTCCAGGTAACACTGAACCTATTTTTTTGTAAAACAATTAATTTAATAAATTGCACTGCTGTTAACTTTATAAAAGCAGTGCAGTAGGAATTTAAAAAAATTAAATCGTATATATGTATGTAAGTTTGTGATTAAATTTTTATCATACGTTTCTCGTAAAAAAAATTGACAACGCTACAGCATTTTAAAAACATCAAGTTTCAAAACGCTTTGAAAAGAGCGCGTGACGTCAGGATGTCATGTTTTAACAGATGTGTCAAGAATCTCGAGAAAAATTGGAAAATTTTCAGAAAAATTGAATTTTGCATTTTTTTATTTTATTTAAAGAATAATACGAAGTTTTTTTGTAAAATTTACAAATTTTTACCCATAATATCCGTACACTGATATCAAGAAAAAAGTGAATTTCCGATGCTGATTATAATCATATAATACGATATTATGATTATAATATTAATTAGTATTCCTTTTATTTTATTTCTTTTCTAAAACCAATTAAATTCAATTCAATGTTTAGTTTTATTTCTTTTTTTCTGTTTTTTGTTGACTATTTCCCTCGTCTTAATTTCCACCAATCACAAACGCGCAATTTTGAATTACAAATGGTTTCTAGGTGAAAAAACTGTGTGACAGCACCTGTCAGCAGTTTATTCCAGTTTACCCGCGGCAAAACTTGACAGCTGTTGTCACCAAAAATTGCAATTTAGATTTTAATTGTTAACTGTTACTCATGAAATAGTCTTATCAAATACCATTCGGGCATCTAATTTTTCCTGTGAAAAAATAATATTACTTAGCAACGTGTTTTTTCGATTTTTTTCGGAAAAATTAGATGCCCTTATGATATTACTTACGATTAAAATATTGTTAACAAAAAAATATTAATTTTTTCCCAAAAATGCAGTTTTTCTCAATTTTTTCAGTTTTTTTTTAAAACCTACTTACAGAGTAAGAACAATAATTTCTGTAGAAACATCTATGCTAAAGTTTTAAATAATGAACATTAAATCAGCTTAATTGAAGTAATTTTTATTAATAAATATCTTTTGTATTGTATTTTCTATTTTAATTTGTCAAAATTGGCGAAGAATTGTCTCTTCCTCTCTCGAAACAGTGGTGTACCCCAAGGGTCAGTTTTGGGCCCGATACTTTTTCTTTTGTGCAGGGCAGATCTATCACCGATGATAAAATCAAAATGTTAATTTTTGCGGATGACGCAGTTGTATGGAGATCCAATAACAAGCCTTGATATTGTACTAAATAATCTTTTTTGGAGGTTAGCACTAAATATTGATAAATGTGAAAATATAAATATAAAATTCGCAATGACAAAAAATCAAGGTCCCCAAATAAAATAATCTAAATCAAGATCAAAAAAACAGCAGTCGACTGCACACGCTATCTTCAAAACCAAAACCAAAACGCAGTGCACATATAAAACGTAAAAACGACACACCGGAACCAGCAGTAAGTCCGATCTAGCCGGCCTAGCAGTTGGCAGCGAACCGCGAGTCACTAGATTTCGAACGCTAAATTTAGAAACGCGCGTATTTTTAACTCAGCTTCTGTTTTCATTGCAGCATGAACAAAAAACTCTAAAAATGACAGTAATTGAGGAGTTGAACAAACCCAGGACTTCCGCTAGTCCCTTGAAGTGCTGCACGGGCGAAGAGGGGTCGTTGAGTTCGGATTTTCCCACCGAGGAAATTTTGAAGGAAAGTGCCGGGAAAAATTTTGACAGTTTGGCAGGTGCGAAGCGGCTCTACAGTTTTCCCAAGAAACTGGCCGTAGACGTGAAGTTCGAAGATGTCACCTTCGACTCGTGGGAGTGGAACTTCAGGAAGTTCAAAAGGGGTAAGTTTTTGGTTTTGATGAAATGTTAATAATTTTTTAAATTTTTAATATTTTTTTTATAAAATTTCTAATGGTATACCACGCTGTATTATTGATTATTTTAAGCAAAAAAAAATTCGAGTAATTTTTGAGTTAAAAGTAAAATTTTAATTGTTTTAAGACTGGATATTTATTGAAGGAAAGAACACAGTAAAAAATAACCAAATATAAACTAGATTTTATGTTAATCCAAGTCTACATAAGTTTACAACCAACTGTAATATCGGTACCTTAGTATAACAAGGTGCAGCTGAACTGTTAAGCGAAAATGACTTATCAACAATATTAAATATTGCAACAATATTAAATATTAAATATTGCAGATAAGCCATTTTTGCTTAACATGGCAACTGCACTTAGAACCCTCTCATCCTATGTCAATAATTTCCTATACAAAAAAATAAATGAACACAAAAATAACATACATACAATTAAATAATACACCATTCTGAAATCATTAAGAAATTTGGTACAACACTTACTTTATTTTTTAAACGTGTATAAATACATATTTTAATTGCGTTAAAATTTTAACCCAATAAAGAAGATACCTAAAACCTAAAAATTTTGAAAATTTCATTATAATCGGACAAAACTTTCGCTTGGTTAAAGTATTTTATTAAAATAAAATATTTGCGAAATTGATGTTTTAGCAAGATGTTGCTCATTTTTGAATTCAGCGAACCCAAATCTTTTAAATAATGCCATATCAAGACGAATAAAAAATGTTATTTTGGTTATAAAAAAATCTATTTTTATAACCTATTCTATCTATTATTATAATACTTTTATAACATTTAACATGTAAGTGTATTACATGAATTATTGTTACTAACCTTGAAAAATTGTATTCATGAGCTAATATTATATCAGCACATTGTTAATCATACTTTTTTATCTGGTTTTTAAAAATAATTGTTAATTTTTTTCAACGAACTGTTTAAAGTAATATAACTTTAGGACAAGTCATACATTTTTAGGAAAAATCAAATATTAAAAAATTATATTCAATTTATTGTTAGGTGTGATAAATATAAATATGTATATATTTTTTCTTGAATACCAACACAAAAAAATATACAAAGCAATGTTCGCTATTTTAAAAATATTTAAAACCTCATTTTATTACATCTTCACTTCTTTTGCAGTAAATATTGAAGATAAATAAGAATTGACCAACTCGCTTGAGAAATTGCAGATTCTTGCAACTTACTATAAAATAATTAGGAACAATTTTTTATTGCTATTGCTGTACTCAACAATTGTTTTAAATTAAAGAATAATTAGGAAACATGAAATAAAAAGCTGTTTTTTATTTTTTGATTTGCGATTTGGAAACATCACTTGGTTTTGCCTGAAGAATTCGGTTAAATTTCTAATGTTTGTATATTTATTTTTTTAATTTGAAGTTATAATAAATCCATCAAATGCCCAATAACTCAAAAAATACTTTTGTACCCTTAAATCGCGTTTCAGGACACAGTTGTTTGGTATGACCTTCCACAACAAAAAAATGTGTATAACATAAGATAAATATATTAGCATAAAATGCAGTTATTTATTTATAATTCTAACACTAAAGACAGGTTTTGATATAAGTGAAAGCATTTTTTGGATATACTGGAAATAATGTCCATTTTCAGATAATCGATTACTCGTATTAGATAACACTCTTGCATTTTGTTTTGAAATATTCCAACAAATTTTCATTTCTCAATAGGTAGGTAAGTATTCTTGTGATTCAAAAAATCTACTATTCTTTGATCTCATCAATAATTTGTTTTTTTGTACACTTCATATACTTTTTTATTGCATTTAATCCCTCAAATACTATTTTAGAAAAAAAACATGAAAATTTTCTTAATTAGTTTTAGCGGTTGGGGTCGACTAAGTAGAGTCGGCCAGTTTTTTAACTCCGGTTCTTATCGTTACTGCTGTCGATGATGACAACTGATAAAATAACACCCTGTATTTTAACATCGTCAGATTGTCCAAAGAATATTTGGTCTCCGTTTTTGGGTTTAGCTTTGGTACACCCTGTATATAAATATATTCTGTGTTTAATTTAATTTTAATAATTACAATTTGCAAACTTCGATAATTTGTATGCAAAAAGTGTGTGTATACTTACATATAAGTATTTTAACCTTAACAAGATAATTATTTATCAAAATAATAATATTAGTTAATTTCTCATGGTTAAGTTTGATAACAAAATTCTTGCGAGAAAACGTCTTATTTGCCAAAATTTTGAGAATAATAATGTCAAATTAACAATTTATATTGCGATTACGTATTTATTTTGCAGTTGGTAGTACTAAATGTCAACTTAACCTAAAACACAAATGGGCGCCATATAGGTGGTTAGAATTTAAATTAAAAAAAAAATTGACAGTGTTTTCTTTTTTTCAAATTTATATCAGATTTTAAAATTTAAACATGAAAAGTAAATACCCAGTTAACGGATATGGCTTTAATCTATCTATAACTTTCACTATCAAACAAATTAATAGTTTCATTTTCGTTTTTTTTAATCCAGAGTAGTTTTGAACAGTCAATACTTTCACTAAATTTCTTTTGAATATTGTTGGGTTGAAATATACATTAGAGAAACAAGGAAAATATAAATGTTAAAGGTTTAGAAATAGAGAACAGAGACGAGGTAATTTTAACGTAATTTATACGTAAATATGTGGTATTTGGTTTGATTTTATTACCTTAATTTTTTGATAGGGATAGTTATTATATAGTGATAATAACATATTTATTGCAAAAATAATTAAAATTATAAGTTAATAGTTATTTTATTATTGTGGTGAAAATAAAAGTGTGCAATTAACAAATAAACCTGTTTTATACCTACTTATTTTTTAAGTCAGTTTATTAACCTCTAAACGAGAAATAAACAAAAATAATTTATGCAGATAATTTATCTTGTTTAATCAAAATATTTTGATGAGAATTTGTTTTTGTTTTCTTTTCCATCAGGAAAATTTTGGTCGAATAATATTAGTTTAATAATAATTATTATTTGTATTGTAATTATTGGAAATAAATTTGCCATTATAGTAGTGCATTTATACATATACTTATTATTATCTAAAAATGATTTAAATTAAATATTTGTATTGACCGACACCTCTAAAACAATAGAGTAACCAACTTGAAAATCTGTATTATGTCAAATGTCAAGTTTGTATGTGTATTTTGATATAGCAGCAGTTTTTCACATTGAAAGTAAAGAAAATATTTTAACGGCACTCCACCCGAAATTAAGTTAAACATAGTTTACTGCCAGCGAAATTATAAGGTCAGTACAATGTTCATATAAACTAACTTCAGCCCGTGACTAAAGCGCCATAAAGCCACAACTTGTCAACGTCTATTTAAAAGGTCATGGAAACATGTACGATAATGGGCGCTTTAAAGGTTGGAGTTGAAAAAATATATTATTTAATTTTAATTTTGTTAAAAGCGAAAGTGCTTGTGCTTGTTAATTTTTTTTTTGATAAACTAGCATGCTAATTACCTTTTAATATTAAATAGGTGAAGGTAGAAAAACTAGTTTAATTTATCTAAAACAAAGTAACTTACATATGTATAATAGCAATTTAAAAAAAAATATTTTCATCTATTTTCACCTCATTTTCCAGACTTCAGACTTTTGCGTACGATTTTGTTAATGAAATTAATTAGGACAATACTATTATTTATACATATTATTATATCTATTTATAATACTGTAAAATTAAATTGGTATTACTTATTGTTGGTTAATAACAGTTTTTATCACTTTTAATAAACATCAAATTAAATTTAATTCGTACGACGATTACTGTTTAATTTTTAATTACTGCATTATTATTTTTATTAAGGATTCACGTGTTGTAAAAAACCATAATTTTCTTCAAAAAAATTATGTAATTATTTTTTCCAATTAACTTTAATTCTAGGTATATACAATGTTATAAAAATCAAATCAAAATTTTACTTAAGGAAAATATTTTATCGAAAGTTTTCTTCTAGATAATATGCAATTTTGTTATTTTACATTTTTCCGACTAAATTCAAATCTTTCAAATTATTAATCCAACTTTCTAAGCGTTTCGCGTTCACTTTTCCAATATGCCAACATGCATTTAATAAAAATATAAAAAAAATCGGACACATACCGTACCTATATTTATCTATCTAATGCTTAAAACCAATAAATAGCATTACCCCAATAATTGCAAAACTATAATAGGTACGCTAGACTTTTACTTTTTACTTGTCAGATTGTTATTCATTAATTACATTTAGATTTACTAACAGCGGAAAAATATAAAATTTTCAATAATAAATTGCTGACTATATAGGTTGATAAACAATATTATTAAATTATATGAAAATTTACATTTACTTACGATAGGCCTTCCTTATCTCAGAAACTAACAAATTTTCATGACCTAAAAGTTTTTAATTATCACGCTTTTTTTTACACAGGGTGTTTCACAGGACGAAGCAACTTTCTTTTTTTAATGCATTTTTGGATTTTACACGCTATTTAAGTATACTTTAAGTATATATGCTAATACTTTTTGAGTATCTATTTTTTAAATGTAGATCCAAATAAATTTTATATTATGCCAACAGATAGATATAGATATTTTATTGTGAAATTAAATTAAAATGAAATATTTACTTTTTCAATTACAAAACGGTTTTATTTCATAAAGATTTTCAAAATTGCAAATAAGTTTACACTGTTTTAGCGCCTAGTAAAGCAATAAATAAACATTAAAACGTGTGTGATTTTCTCTTTATATGTTTCTAATTATAAATATTATTGCATTTATTTGTGCTTGAGATTTCCAAACAATTTGATATCTAGGAAAACTATTCTTGACGTGTTCTCGTGATTATTTATTACGGGAACTAACCATATAGGATGTGTACAGAATTTTAATGAACTTAATGTTTAACTTAATTTAAAATCAAACGATTTGTTTATTTTTGACTCTTTGTCTTATTCAATGACAAAATTAAAACGTTGGTCACTATTTGCTAGGAATATACTTTTTGAATGTATTTAGTCAAATAAACTTTTTTAACAGAATTGAAATCAACGGTATTAGAAATTTCAATTCAACAATTATTTTATGAGTAATAATTAAAATTATACTAATACCTATGTACTTGCAAAACGCTGTAATAATAGACTGACTATTTGAATTTCAATTAACCCAATTTTTCAAAACAACGATTTTAAACAAATTAATGTTGGTATTTTAGGCAACATTAGAATTATTACAACAAATCTTGGCAATTTGCGGTACTAAAATAATTTTATTGTCACGCCAAGGTTAAGATTCATACACTGTAACATGTTATTAGAATGTTTTTGATCTAATTTTTTTAATGAAATTCTATTGCAATATTTGCAATGCAAATATCTGTTTAATGATAAATGAGATGATAGAAATCGAGTAATTATTGGAGTTGAGTTGTTATTGTATTAATAATTTTTATATGCTATTATTTTCTGGTTACTGATTGTAATTTTGGGAATTTTGAATACTTAGTAAATTTTGAAAATATTGTAAATTTTATTTTTTTTTAGATTTTTTACTTGTCAAACCCTCTTCTAAGCTTTTTTTAATATTTTTTTCCAGAAAATAAACGGATTTTACATGGAGTATCAGGAGAATTTCAATCTGGCGAACTATCAGTTATTATGGGGCCTTCTGGGGCAGGAAAAAGCACACTTCTTAATATACTGGCTGGATTCATGTAAGTTTAAAACTATTTCCTATTCAAATTTTAGACATTATCCAATGAGAATTTTATCCAATGGGAATTTTTATCTAATGAGAATTTTATACAATGGAAATTTTATTTAATGTGAATTTTATCCCATGGGAATTGTTTCCCATGGAAATTTTATCCAATGGAAATTTTATCCAATGGTAATTTTATCTAATGAGAATTTTATCCAATGAAAATTGTATTCAATGAGGATTTTATCCAACCTTAATTACATTTAATTTAATCCAATCATAAAATTCTACATCTTTAGGACAGTTCTAACCTCACTTTCTACTTTTAATATTTGAACGTGAAGATTTATCTTTGGCATTATGATAAAGTTAAAATTTACCGTCTCCAAATGGACGAGAAAGTGGTGTTTCTACAATACACTACATAAAATAGTTATTTTTGCATAGACCGTACTTAGGTAACTCAGCTAGTTTTTCCGGCAGGCGATCGGTTGAAGATCCGGTTTCATAAAACAACAACAGTTAGAACCAAGCAAGTCATCGTAGTGCATTGCTTCTAGAGTTTAATGCACTCTGAATATCGCGAAGAAATTGTGGAATTTCTTTTTATAAAATGACATTTATTTTATGAGGAACGTCGTACAAATACAATACAATTAATAAATGGGTTTGGCAGTGGCCTTAATTGGTTAAGTATGTTTTATGAACTTGCTAATGAATTAGTGTCAATATTATTAAGTTTGGATTTATCATAATATTTGCTTTAAGAATTTGTTGGTTGTCTTTAGTATGTAATTTATCTAAATAAATATTTTTAAGTTTTGTTTGATTTTGTTTAATGGACCACGAATATGAATGAATGAATTCCATGGTGACATCTTTAAATGCATTTTTTTTGTATTTCAATGCAACATTTTTTGCAATAATTCTTTACCTTAACCTTTCTTAATTAAATTATTTTTAAGAGCAAACATTTCTTAGTCTATATTATGTAGTCCTTGATAATCAAGCTTATTTTTATAATTACGAAAAATAAATAAATAAATAAAAAGTTCCAGTCTTCGTTTTATTAAGAAATAAGTTAAAAGGTGCGTTTTTGTAGTATACAGTCAGGCTTAACCGCTGGTTGATAACCAGTTCTATTTAAGTTTAAAAATAAGGATAATAATCAAGAATTAATGGACTTGAATGTTTTTGCCAAAAAAATAAAGTCAAGAATTCAGTTTTGATTTTATTTGTAAAACTGGATTTAAGTTCCTGCTTTATGCTTTGTGATCATTTCTGTGTGAGCTTTTTTATTGTTCCAATAGTTAAACAATATTTTCATTGCACAAACCTTGTGACAATAGTTTACTTTGTTAATTTTATTCGATCGTATAATTCTTATGAGTTTGAGAGCGAGTGCTTAATTCAATGAGTGTCTAGAAAAGTTTATAAACAAGTTGCATATATACCAGTATACTATATCTCTTTTTCTACGACATATAATTACTATCCAAAAATAATTTAAATTAAATATTTGTTTAGAGCGACATCTATAAAACAATAGAGTAACCAACTTGGGAATCTCAAATGTCAAACTTTTATGTATTGAGATAATAAAATAATTTTTGTTGTAGATAAAATATATTATGATTTTAAAGCTTGTCAATGTAATAATAATAGAAATATTTAACAAGGTATTATTAAATATTTAACAAGGTATCATTAAATACAATTTTTATGACAAATCATTATATGAAGATTTCAAAAATAATTATTATAATTATTAATAATAGTTCGGTTAGTAATATGTTATTTCTTGAATGTAAATTGCAAACTTGACCTGCTAAATTACTACTCTATAATAAAATATTACTTAATTCCACAAGTAATAAGCTTATAATTATAATTAAAACACTGCTTGACAAATAATACAGGGTTGTACATACATGAGACACCCTTTTTAAATTGTTATTGAGAGATATATGTAGGTAGAGAAAAAATTAAACTGTAAATTTATTTTTTTGTATACGAAGTAATGCTATGGTTTTCGTTTCCAAGTTACAGGGTGTTATTTTAAAAATACCAGATGCAATTTTTTTCAACAACTGTACTTTTTTATATTATAAAACAATGGCCTCCTCGATGGCCAGACCTCAGTGTGTTAATTTTCTTTAAGAAATATTAAAATGGAAAAAACGGACTATTAAAACACAGCTAAAGTTATATATAAAGTTTGTATTATAAAGTAATGGTACATGTTATACGTTGAACGTTTCTTCTTTTTGCAGAACTCGAGGAAGTGGCGGAACGGTCATGCTGAATGGCGAGGTACGTGACCAGAGCCCGCGCTATAGAAAGTTGTCCGCATACATCCCGCAAGACGAGGAACTTCGGCTGGCATTGACTGCCAAAGAAGCCATGACTTTTGCCGCTAACCTCAAATTGGGTTACGGAGTCACCGGCGAATACAAACAGCAACAGGTGAGATCTGAAAAATTAGGATTTTTTTATATCCTTTTTTTTTTAAACAAATCATAGTTGTATATACGTATACAGTGTGTATTAAAACGAATAGATACACTTAAATAAAACAAGTGCCAAACCCCGCCCACTGTGGTACGGATTGAAAAAGTTATGTTCGTTATTTTAGAAATATTTTTGTTTGAGAATTTATAGGTCTTATTTTTTTCGAATTCGTTTGTTTTGTTTTAATGCATTTCTGCAAATAAAAACCAAGTATTGTTTAAAATCCATTAAATTCCAGTTAATGGCGAAAATGTATTTCTTAAAAACTATACACATTTCCCTACGACAGCGTCGGAGCTACTGAACAAAGTAGATCAAACTGCTTGCCCTTGTATCTGGCTGCATGCCGCGCTATTGCCATATGCTATTATTGTTTCCTAAAAGGGTTGTTTTTCTTTTTTTTATATTAAAAGTAAGAAAATTAACTAAATGAAATTATTTTTGACATATTATTAATTTTTTTGTTATGTTTCAAACAAATAAAATTGAAATATTTATTAAATAATTATAATCGTTCTCTTCTGATTTAAAACAACCTGGCAACTATGGTTCGTAATTACGAATGGCTTGGTTTATACCACACCCAAGTTTGTTTCTTTTTCTCTGATCAGAATATAATTTGTCATCCTTGTCTCCAGCCTTACTTACTTGATTCTATACAGTCTGTATACATATATTCACAGAATATTCGGAAAAATAATATTCAATAATTACTCACCAGAAATGTGGTACTAACTTCACAATGATACACTTCCTAACACTAACTAAAACTGCAAACTGATGATGATGCAGATTGCAGTTGAGCGACCGGCCGGCGTCTTATTTCAAGCGGGAAATCATTTCATTGGTTATCTTAGGTGGTGTGATGCCTCACTCCCGAACAAATTGTCCAATATTGTAAAATTTATATTGTAACTCAAAGTTATACTATATTTATACGAATTATTTAAAAATTGTACAAATGAGTAACATTTATTTTTGAAATACTTTTAAAAACAGATTTCAACTCTTTTCTTGACAATATTGTGCAAATGGTTAAATATAAAATCTTACTGTTTCCAACAAATTATAGAAAATTGACTCTGCCATTAACTATTTCACACAAAAGTTGTAATTCCTACATCCTTTTAAGGATAAAAGCAAGGATAATGATGTAAACATAAAGGAAAAGACTTGAAAGTAATTTATTTATATTTTATACACACAAAACTAAATATAAAATAAATCAACTGATAATAAAAGTCTTAAGTTTGGTTCGATAACTAAAGAAAAGCGTTTCTATAAAACGATGTAAATGATTTTTAGGTGTTTGTTTACTACTAACAAATATTTTCTCAAGCTAAATTTCACAATTTATAATTTAATGCCTAGGTTTAGCTATGTATAGAATTTCTATTCTATAAATTCTTTGTTAAATGCCCAGGTTACAAGGACTAAAGTTATTAGTGGCTGCTTTTTCACTATTACAATTTTGACTAATTAATTTTAAAAGAGAACGTTAAACACGCATTAAACGGCTACAAAAACATGCGTTGCGGAAAAACAAACTGTTTTGCCTATTTATTAGCCTAAAGGCATACTTAAACGTGTATTTTCTAATGTAAATTCCACTTAACAAAACAATACCTACAAAGAAACATTTAAATATGCATGATCCTTGAATAAAGCATAAATAATTCAATTGCGCTATTTAATTTTAGAATTAAAATGGGCAGGTTTTATTACACAATTTGAGGACAATAATACAAACATCTGTTCTTTTTTTTGCCACCTTTAAAATTTAACTTTATGTCTTGTTAAAATATGTTGAACACAATTTATTTTACTAAAAACAAGGAAATATGGATTTAAATCAGCCTATGTGTTGCTGTTCTGACAGTGTTGCCAGATTTAAAATATCGGTTTGTTATTGCTGACAAAATTTGACAGTTTTTAATAAAGCTAAATTAATAATGACAGAATAATTTAATAAAAGCCGCCTTGGTTTACTTGCATATTATGTAAGACATAAAATCTAAAATGAATCATTAACTGTTAAAATGGTGTCAAGGAATGACTACAGTTCAAGTTCAAGTTAGAAGATTATTCAAATGGTCGCTATAAAATATACCTGCTTGAAATTCTAATAGAAAAAAAGTATAAAAAGTATGTTTAATTTATTGTAGCTTACATTGAAATTGAGTCAAGTTGAGTTGTCAAAATTCGTAGTTAAAAATGCAATTAATTTGGCTTTGGTGGTGCGTAGATGAGTAAAATCATATAAAAAAGTAGTTAAATATAGGTGACTACGGCCCAGGAGAGACAAAATATTCCTAGCGGATAACAATCTTCGCTTTGAAAATAATTTATATAAAAGAAATTAAAATTTTATGTGTACACACGTGAATGTTGTCCTTTTTTACTCCAAAAATGTCCGTTGAGGCATTTGGCATAACTTCACCGAAATTAAGTTTTCCCTTAAAAGTTCTTTTAATTTAGAATCTGATATTATTTTTGGCATGTTATCTTTTTATATCGATATTATATAATAATTAACACGTAAATTATCAATAATAAATATTACTGTCATTAAGTCCACTTTTTATAAACAATCAACATGATTCATGACCACAAAAAACTAATAATGACACAGAGTCCAGAATAATAAATATATTTTTTTTATAACAATTGATAAGTCATTTTAATATCCTTTGTATATGACTAACAAAAAACTATCATAAACACCTCTAGGAAACAATTATTTTAATAGTGTGTTAACAAAGTCTATATATAACGTTAAAAATGCCCCAGACAAAAAACGATTATTTTTATTACCATTATATTTTTCCAGGTAATCGAAATACTGGACCTACTCGGTTTGGGCGAGTGCCATCACACATTGACCTCAAGATTATCGGGAGGTCAACGAAAAAGACTTGCCGTGGCCTTAGAACTACTCAGCAACCCTCCAATATTATTTTTAGATGAACCCACCACGTAAGAATCTTCTTTTTCAAGGATAACTTTTTTGTGTGCAAATTAAATTTTTTTTGGACAGCATATTTGAAATTTCGAGCAAAATTTAGTCCAAATTGACACCAAGAACGCTTTTCTAGCCTTAAAATTAAGCATTTTTGGTTATTAGTATACAGGGTGTAACATATTCTCCGGTGCAAAATTGATATCCCTAAATATTGGTGTAAATTAATAATTCTTTTTTGCAAGGATTTTAAATCTATAATACTTTAAACATTAAACTAAAAATCCACCAAAACTTAAAACTAAAACTTCTCCTTGCAGTGGTTTGGACAGTTCCTCGTGCACCCAATGTATATCCCTATTCAAAAGGCTCGCACAGGAAGGTAGAACCGTCGTGTGTACAATTCATCAACCGTCAGCCCTGCTATTCGAAATGTTCGACAAATTATACGCGGTATCGTCCGGAAAATGTATTTATAACGGCACTATTAGTGGCTTGGTCCCTCATTTGGAAACGCTGAATTTGAAATGCCCGCCTTATCACAACCCGGCAGATTTTCGTAAGTAATGATATAGTATATTAGGCAACCCATCATACGTAGTACCATAGAAATAACACTGTAAATAACACTATAAAATGTATAGATGATACTATAAAGTATTAAAATTATTATTATATACTGAATATTAAATATTGTTTGAAAAGAATATTGTTGTTTAATTATTTGTATTTTTTAGTAATGGAGGTGGCTATAGGAGAGCATGGTACTGATGTAAATACTTTATCTACAGCTGCAGCTGCAAATTCACTAAGTATTGAATATAGTAAAGGTAAAAAACATGAAGCCATAAATCGAACTTTAAAAACCAAAAATAAATAATTTTAGGGGAAAAAATAAGAAAATACCCCACACCTATAGAAAAGTCTAGTTCCCATTCGTCCTCAGCTGCAATAATTATGCAATTTTTGCTCCTTTATAAAAGAAATTTATTGACGACTAAAAGAAACTATGTAAGTAATCGTTTTCAACACATCTTTCTAAAAACAAGACAGAAAATTGTTTAGGATAAAAATTTTAACATTTAAATATTTTTATAAAATACAAGGCCTACTATGTAAATTTTTACAAATTCATACCCCTCAAACGAAAAAATATTTGATTGATTTTGATTTAATATTTTTTTTAGATGTATTTGGTAAATAGACTTATAGCCCATATTGTAATAGGACTTATTTTTGGTTATTTATACAAGGATGTTGGTTCGACAGCCCATACTATTTTAGCTAATTATGTTTATTTATATGGTTCTTTGCTGCTTATAGTTTATACTGGAAAAATGTCTGTCACATTATCATGTAAGTAACCTTTATAATATAATAACTATTTTAATTATTAACATACATAGGATTTTTTATTATTCTTTTTTTTTGTAGTTCCTCTGGAAATGCGAATATTAACTAGGGAACATTTTAATAGATGGTACAAGCTGACCCCCTACTTACTTTCTGTGATATTAATTGAGATACCTTTTCAGGTAAGTTAATAATTATAATTAATAACCATAAATAAAATAAATTAATAAAAATTTTTGGCAAGTTTTTTAAATTATGCCACTGAGTTTATCCTAATATTTTTTAAATGTATGCCACTGTGCAAAATTGTCCTACCATTTTTTAATTTTAAACTAGTGTGCGATCTGTCCATACATACATGTATATGTATATACATATATACATCTATGTCAATTTTTCATTTATACAGTCCATGTAACCTTTACTTTTTTAGGTTATTTGTACGTGGTCCTACGTAATGATCTCCTATTGGCTTACTGGTCAACCAATGGACTTTAGGCTCTACCTGTTCCTATTGTTTTGCACATTGTTGACACTTTGTGCGCAGAGCATGGGGTACTTTATTGGAGCTACCACACCCATCAAGGTAAAATGTGTATTAAAAATATATCAATTTATTGGATGATTTTATCATTTGTACAACTTTTTAAAATTTAATCCCGGCGCATCCGCCATTTTTGCAAGTTTTTGATTTTCTTACCTTTCTCATGGGGTACTTTATTGGAGCTACCACACCCATCGAGGTAAAAAATGTGTATTAAAAATATATCAATTTATTGGATGATTATATCATTTGTACAACATTTTAAAATTTAATCCCGGCGCATCCGCCATTTTTGCAAGTTCTTGATTTTCTTACCTTTCTTACCTTAGATTGCTGTATTTGTGGGACCGGTAATAGCCTGCTTCTTCTCAGTCTTTGGGTTTTGTCTCCGTTATATCGACACCCCTGCCATATTTAAATGGCTCTTCAAAATTTCGTACTACAGGGCTGGATTTCAAAGTGTGGTGTTTTCAATATACGGCTTGAGCAGAAAGAATCTGATATGTCCCGAGGATATGGTGTACTGTCATTACCAGGACCCATCGAAATTTTTGAAGGAAATGGATATTACTAACGTCGACTTAGTATCAAATATTTCACTGATTGTTTTGATATGGTGCTTGATGCATGCCGCCACGTATTTAACACTTTGGTTAAAGTTAAATAAAAGATAAACTGTATTTTAAATCACAATCACACTGCTTTCCTTTTATTTGTATTAGAGTTAATTAAGTTTAGGTATTAAGGAAAGGGTAGCAGTTACATAATTATAATTTATTTTTTGTACTTTCTTCAAACCAAAGATTATTTTTATATTACATTTTGAACTAATACACTACAAAATGCTAAGGACGTTATTTATTATTTATAATAATAATCACAATTATATTTTTTTATTTTACACTTAATTATAAATATTATTTTATAGTTAAATATATTGCTAATGTATTAGTATACCTAGTTCAGTTAGAAAGAGTACTAGTCAATTTAGTAATGGTGAATACACGAAATACTGATATTTTATAAATAAAAAATATTTATCAAAAAAATGTTTTATTTTATAATACAATTTAAACAATCCCTATTCTTATTTTAAAAATTAACTGTATATTTTTGTAGAAAATTGTAAGCTCTACAAAAAAGATTATTTTTTTCGTGAAACCATCAAATTAAATGATATCGGAGGTCAAAGTTGAAAATTTATAAAATAATTAAAAATTAAAAGAATCATCATTTAGGCAGGGTTAAACGACATTGGAAAAAAATATTTTTGTTTCAAAATTATATTTACACTTTAAACAAATAATTTTAATGATACCAAAGTCAAAAAAGCCGCTTATAAATTCAGAAAAAAAAGATAATGACAATACTGATTTTTTTCAAATTTTGACCTTCGACTTTAAACAAATAATCACCAAGTAATAAATATCAACTGACACCAAAATACATATAGATGGATATTTGGTGCGCCTTGTATATAGGAGTAAAAAACCCGTTTTTTTCCCAATATTATTTTTAAAAACTTAAATTTAGACATTTAATCACCCATATTATTTAATAACAGTTCGTGGACTCTCCTTAATGGCAATTGAGATCTGCCCACTGACATGTCAAAAGTCAAATGCTTAGACGGTACCTGCTCTCCGTATTCCCATCTTCATCAGAGCCAGCTTTGCTTTTAAATCACATCAACAGTGCGGCGACTTATTGAATAGTTACCGGGTGGCTAGACCGAGAAGGCAAAGGCGTCGCTTAAGCTTTAAGGGTCAAGAGTGCCAAGATAAAAATGTTCTCAAGGATTTTTTTTAAGTAGCAATACTCCGAAATATTTGATTATTAAATTTTTGATTGGAGATACGCATAGATATAATATCATTTTAATATTGATGCTGAAAAGAGAAAATTATTCAATCCTTTGAACCTACTAATATAGTGTAGCCATATGAATGCATCCCTTGTTTGCAAGACGTTGTCAACACGTCGATTAGGACCACAATTTATGGCCCTCCGAAGTTATTTGTTTGTTTATGTCTGGCAGAGAGGCGGGCGACGTCGGCAAGTGTCGAATATACGTTTTTAAGAAAAGCAGGGCATTCAATTAGAACCTTTCGATAGATACACTAGACTTTAGTTTTTGTTTGATTGTTTTATTCTAAATAGTAATTAAAGCTTATTTTAAATCATAGTCTAATTTCCTTTATTTTAAATTAACATAGTTTACAGTTCAGGTGCGGGGTAAACTTACGTGAATTTACGGTTACCTGTGTTTTAGTTAAGTTAATTATTTAGTGATTAGTGTTAAGTTACGTGAGTGTAAAACAAAAAGAGAAACGATGGGCAAAGGAAAACGACGTTGTCGCCCTCGTAGCTCTAGCTCTTCGAGTAGTGATTCCAGCAGCGAATCGTCAAGCTCTACTGATAACAGATACAGACGTACGCGATCTGAACGGGGCTATACTCCACCGAGACGAGACAATAGGCCACCCTCTAAGGAAGGAGCCGGTACACGCAAGCGACAGTTACGCACGTCGCGAGAAAAGGTAGCATCAAGCACATCTCGCGGTTTGAGTTACGTATCAAACAAAAGCGATATTGAAGAAAATACTAGGTCCAGCCAATGTTCGAGCGATACATACGAGGCCAGGATAAAACAACTAGAAACAATAATAGCGGGAATGTCGAATCAAAATCACAATTCCGGAAATCGTAGGTTAGCAGTAAAGAGTGATTGTATTCCTGAATTTTGTCCCGAAAATGAAAATATGTCCGCCGTTAAGTGGCTAGAGAAAATTGAGGAGCTTAAACAAATTAACGATTGGGACGAAGTAACGACAATTTACCACATGCAAGCTCGATTTTCTGGAATGGCGAAATCTTGGTATCACAGTTTAAGTTCGATACGACATACCTGGCCCGAATGGAAAGTTTTAGTTGCCAAGACTTTTCCCGACCATGTCGATTACGCTAAGGCCCTTAGGAAAATGTTAAACAGAGAAAAACTGTTAACTGAAACAATGACAGCATATTATTTCGGCAAGATGGAATTATTAAGAACTTGTCAAGTAACAGGAAAGAATGCAGTTTCATGCATAATAGATGGTATTCCAAATGCCGCTATTCAAAATGCTGCTCGTGCGGGTCGTTATGACAAACCAGAGAAACTTTTTGAAGGATATTTATCAATGTTACGTGAGGAAAGTACCATTGAAGTATCGACACAAAAGACAGAGGGTTCGATAAGGCGACCCCCAAAAGTGGATTTACGTCATTCACTTACACGTAATAGTAAACCGTACGCAAAATCAGATGTTTTAAATGTGAGATGCTTTAACTGTAAAATGAAAGGTCATTTTCAGTCAAAGTGTCCGAAACCACGTGTTAGTTGTTCAAAATGCCATCTGTTAGGACACGAGGCCGATCGTTGCACTGTAAATGTGGGAAAACGACCAGCTGATCGACAAAATAAGGGTGAGTCGAAACCAATTTTAATATTGTCAAATAATCAGTTGTCTAGTACTTGTTATTTTATTGATTGTATAATCAACGATGAACCTATACGGGGCTTTGTAGATTCAGGTTGTGCCGCAGTCACAATTCGTGAATCGGATGCGCGTAAATTAAATTTACAGGGTGAACCTACACTAGTACGTTTGTGTGGTTATGCAGGAGGTTCTGTTGTAGCACGTTCAAAGGTTACAATAAAATTAAATGTTGATTTAGCTTTTGCTACCGTAGACGCACTCGTGGTACCTGATAATGTACAGGATGTTCCTATTATTATAGGCCAGCCATTTTTAAATAATGATAATGTCACAGTTTTAGTTAGGGGTCACCAGGTCCGACTTTTTAATCAAAATAACGTCAATATCACCAATATCGATGACTTTTTATCTAAGAAAATTGATTTATGTGTCGAGGAAACTGCTATTATCCCACCGAATTTTATAGGTCATATTTCGCTAATTAGACATGAAAACGTTAGGGATGTTTTTGTAGATCTAAAGTATCGAAATTGGAATAATAATTTTCACATTATTTTACCGTGCGTTATAAATATGAATAATAGTAGTAGCATCCCTGTTGCCAATATATCCGATAAGCCTGTTTGTTATGAAAAAGGCAGGGTACTTGCCAGAGGCTATACATGTAATGCAGATTCGAAAATACCATCTAAAACTTGCTTAACAACAAATATTGCTGATTTGCCACTTTTTACATTATTAGATATCGAAAGACAAACTAATTTAGAACTAGACAGCATTACACGTTCTAAATTACTTAAATTAACATAGTTTACAGTTCAGGTGTGGGGTTCAAACTAATTTAGAACTAGACAGCATTACACGTTCTAAATTACTTAAATTAATTAACGAATATAGGGATTGTTTTGCTACAAACTTAGGGGAGGTTGGTAAAACAAACGTAACGGAAATGTCGATCTCACTATCCGATAGTGAACCAGTAACGTATCGCCCTTACCGTATGCCTTTCACAAAACGCGAAAAAGTCCGCACAATAGTCCAAGACCTTATTGATCATGGTATAGTTCAAGAGTCAGAGTCTCCTTATGCTAGTCCTATACTGCTAGTAAAGAAAAAGAACGGCGAAGAAAGAATGTGCATAGATTATAGGGCCATAAATCGCAAAACTATTAAAAATAAATACCCACTGCCACGAATTGATGACCTTCTAGATAATCTAGAAGGAAATACTTATTATACAACGTTAGACCTCGCCTCTGGGTATCATCAAATCCCGATGGAAGAAAGTTCCATATCGAAAACTGCTTTTGTAACTCCAGATGGCCATTACGAATATTTAAGGATGCCTTTTGGGTTGGTAAATGCACCAGCAGTCTTCCAAAGGGCTATGAATAAAATATTAGGTCCTTTACGCTTTGACAGTGCGATGGCATATCTTGATGATGTACTTATACCGTCAGTGTCTCTAGAACAAGGCATGGAACGGCTCGAAAATGTCCTAAATCTTTTTAGAGATGCTGGATTGACATTAAGATTTAATAAGTGCCATTTTCTTCAGTCTAAAATTGAATACCTAGGTCACGAAATAACTGGAGGGGGTATTAGACCTGGTCGCGATAAAATAAAAGCCGTAGCAGATTTTGCAGCACCCAAGGATGTTCACGAAGTTAGGCGATTTTTAGGACTTGCCAGTTATTTTAGAAAATTTATCGAAGGATTCGCCGCCATCGCTAAGCCTTTAACTAAGCTAACATGCAAAAACACTCCCTTTGTATGGGAAGAACAACAGCAGAGTACGTTTGACAATTTAAAAAAGAAGCTAGTAGAACGGCCCATTCTGGCCATTTATAACAGAGAAGCGGAAACGGAAGTACATTGTGACGCCAGTAAGGTTGGGCTAGGGGGAATCCTTTTACAACGGCAAAAGGATAATATTCTTAAACCAGTGCAATATTTTAGTAGAGCCACCACCAAAGAAGAGCAACAATACCACTCTTATGAGCTTGAAACTTTAGCCGCTGTATGCGCTCTAAAGAAGTTCAGGATATATTTAATTGGTATAAAGTTTAAAATTGTTACCGACTGTAACTCACTACGTCACACCCTTATGAAACGAGACTTAGTTCCCCGTATTGCTAGGTGGTGGTTATCAATTCAAGAGTTTGACTTTGATATCGAATACCGTGCCGGAACTAAAATGAGCCATGTAGACGCATTGAGCCGAAGTACCATTATACCTACAGATCAATCACTTGACGTAATGATTGTAAATATTGAGGAGGATGACTGGGTGCTTTCAGCGCAACTCCAAGACAACACATGTAAAAACATTATAGATATTTTGTTAAGAGAACCTAAAGATAACGATGAACGAAGGATCCATAAGGATTATTGTTTAAGAGATAGACGACTTTATCGAAAAACAGAGAACGGAAAAAGATGGGTTATTCCAAGAACAGCTCGACGAAGAATACTTATGTACTATCATGATGATGCCGGTCATTTTGCAGTAGATAAAACTGTGGAATCGATAAGTTCAAGATATTGGTTTCCGTCGATGCGCCGATATGTTAAAAATTACATTAATTCTTGTTTGGGCTGTCTTTATAATAAAACCCCTTCTGGTAAAGTTCCCGGTAGTCTAAATCCTATAGAAAAACAGCCTAGACCTATGGATACATTACATTTGGATCATGTAGGCCCATTCATAAATAGTATTAGGAAAAACTCGTATCTTATAGTAGCAGTTGACGGCTTTACCAAATTTGTATTTTTAAAGGCGGTTCCTAATACAAAAACCGGCCCTGTATTGAAATTTCTAGATGAGGTAATAGAAATGTTCGGGGTTCCCCGCAGATTTATCTGCGACCGTGGCACGGCTTTTACAAGCAAGAATTTTAAAGAATACTGTTTAACTTTAGGTGTTAAACAAGTGTTGTGTGCCACCGCAACCCCTCGCGCCAACGGTCAGGTAGAACGAATGAATCGTTCCATTCTTTCGGCGATTATGGCTTCAACTAACGACGAAAATCGTTGGGACGAGGCAGTAGCAGCTGTAAAATGGGGAATTAATTCGACGGTTAATTCCACCACAGGGAAAAGTCCCTATGAATTATTTTTAGGATACCGTCCTAGAGGAGTTAACGATGCCTTTTTGACGGCTGAGGTCTGCGACGATAACGAACGTCCAGATTTAGAAACTTTCAGAGTTGAGGTCTCTGAAAAGATAAAAGATAAGCAAAGGTACCAAAAGACGTATTACGATAAAAAGCATGCTTCTCCAATTACGTTTGGAGTTGGACAACATGTGCTTGTCCGAAGGGCTAAGGGCTCTAATGATGGTCATAGCAGAAAGCTTGAACCTAAGTACAAAGGTCCCTTTGTCATTACGAAAGTACTCGATAATGACCGTTACGTGGTTGCAGAGTTGCCTGGCTCGAAACGTTCGAGAACAGTTTATACGGGGATTCGTCCCTCTGACCAAATGAAATTGTTCGTTACGAAAGTATCGTCAGACGATAGCAGTTCCTCTAACGAATAATTTCGTTTTCTGACTAAAAGTAGGCTAATTGTTTTTTGTGTGTGTTACAGGTTATTCTTCACGAGGACGTGAAGATTTGTCAGGTTAGCCGACTGTAGCCATATGAATGCATCCCTTGTTTGCAAGACGTTGTCAACACGTCGATTAGGACCACAATTTATGGCCCTCCGAAGTTATTTGTTTGTTTATGTCTGGCAGAGAGGCGGGCGACGTCGGCAAGTGTCGAATATACGTTTTTAAGAAAAGCAGGGCATTCAATTAGAACCTTTCGATAGATACACTAGACTTTAGTTTTTGTTTGATTGTTTTATTCTAAATAGTAATTAAAGCTTATTTTAAATCATAGTCTAATTTCCTTTATTTTAAATTAACATAGTTTACAATAGCTAACTAGTAATACAAATTTCTGCATTCTATTTTAATAGTAATAAAATGTCAACTGCTGTGTGTGTTTATTTATTGAATTTATTAACACCAGAAATGCCAATAACTTTATTATTCCTAATGTATAACTAGATAAAAAACAAACATTGTTTTTTGGGGTTTACGAATTTATTTTAATTTAATTGAGGCAATTAAGGTTAAAATGAATTACTTAGTAGTGCTTATCAAAATAATAAAATTTAAATTATACAACGCTTAAAAATAAAGTTTATTTTTAAATACATATATTGGTAATATTGATTCACACTGTTGTTTTTTAATATCGTATCCGGTATTTAAAAGGGATATCCTTTATGTACCTACCTAATATGTCATTATGTAAGTATACATGTTAAATATATGCACATATACCTACCTAGTTAATGAAATAAATTATACATATGTTGATGAGTAAAATCATATAAAAAAGGTAGTTAAATATAGGTGACTACGGACCAGAAGAGACAAAGTATTCCTAGCGGATAATAATCTTCGCTTTGAAAAGAATTTATACAAAATAAATTAAAATTTTATGTGAACACACGTGAATGTTGCCCAATCATTGGACTCCAATGGTGAATGGGTATTTTGTTAAAGCCACTGGACGTTAATACTTGTAGTGGCTTAATAATAATTATAATGTATTGTCCAGGACTATTAATGATTAGTAACTTTCAAATTAAAAGAAGAAAAAGTTTTGTGATTATTGTTAACTTTTTCAAATCAAGTGGATGCTATTTTCAAAGACAGGAAAATAACTACTAGATTTTCCACGAAAAGGTTGAACCTAACAACAAATAATTTTTATTATTTGTTTTTTTATTTCCCCTTATCTTTAAAATTTCAAAAAATTAATCATGTTATTGTTTACCAGACTATTTGTATGGAAATTAGAATAATAAATAACATACCTAAAATTTAAATTATAAATAAAATTATAATGCATTTTAGAGTATTCCAAAAACATAATTTAAATCCAAAAACAAATTATTCAAGAGACAATAATAATTATTATAATAAATATTGTAACAATACTAAAGGGATAAAGAAAAATAAACATAAAAAGATTAAAAAAACAGTTAAATTAAATTATTTTAAATAATTTTTTATACAAAGATTAATTTTTATTGTTATTATTGTAAACAAAACATTAAAAAGATATACAACAGAACGTGACCTAAACTGTTCCTGCAACAATCAGTAACTTGCTAATCTACAGCAGAAAAAAAAACAAAAATAAAACTTCCTGATTTCGTTTTGCAGCAGATAACCGCATTTTTGTACGCAAAAAAATATTGAACGCTCAGGTGCAACGCGTTGTCTACTTTATCAGGGTTGCCAGATTAAGTGGTACCGCTTTTAAAACTTTTGTTTTTCGAAAAATATTATTTTTCATACTGTATGATATGTTTTTTAAAAACAAATTCGTTTAATACGATGAACAAGATTAAAAAATGTATTTTTTATTTCGATAAAAAATTGTTTTTTAATGTAGAAAAATCGTCAATAATATAAAAAAATATTATAGAAAAATTATTAAGACAAAACAAAAATGACAAATGACAAAAATGACAAGTTAAATAAAGACAAGCTTAAATAATGACAAGCTTTAATGAAAAGCACAAAACCGCTATAACCATAAAATAAGGCTGGGAATTGCTACTCCATCCTCCATATTCTCCAGATTAGGCCTCCAGTGACTTTTTCCTTCTTCCAGAACTCAAAAATTGTGGGCTACAAGCCATGGCTAGGATATTCCTCAAATGCTTTAGATGCATCGAAGGGTTTTTTTCAGATTATTTGGTATGCTACACAACCCCTTTTTAATTTAATAAACACCTGCACCTTATCTATGTTTGTACATTAAACATATCAGCAATCATCACTATCTACTCCATCGCACTACAAACCTACCAGTAAACTTGGCAACACAGCGAACCCTTAGCCCATGATGATCCAACGAAACAAAAAAAGAAACAAAAACCCATCTGCACCGAGATGCCAGATAAAATCTAAACACAGCCTGAGTGACACAGCTTCGCACGTGGTCCTCAACCGAGTTGTCCCGATCTACGAGTCCAGTGTTGCCAGATTGGGCGACTTCTCGCAATTTTGGCAACTTTTTTGAAAAAGTCGCACTGCGCCTTATTAACAATTTGCAAATAAGGACAAAATATCTAATATTCAAATACCGTAACTTGTTAAATATTAAATGTGATAATGGGATTCCCACAGACACTAAAATCTTTAGTCAAAAAGTGGTGACAGTAAAAGACTAAAAGATTTTGAACCAAGTAAGAAAATGATATTAGTGACAATGATATGATATGTTTTGAAATATTGAATTTGTAAAATAAAATGTTTTTAAAACTTGCTGAAGCACTGGCAACACTGTTCGCGACCGATGTGCATGTATTCAGTAGCACATACACGCGTTTAGTAGTAAAGCGATTCCTGCAGTGTGATGGAGTCTCCCATCGCAGCTAGCGCAGTTAAAAACACGTCGAAGTTAAAGCAAAAACGACCCGATTCACTAAAGTTAGAGTTACTGACAATCCCGGAAAACGAAAGTGTTAAGTTCGGACCTGTAGAAAGTGCAGTTGACGTGTCATTCCAGGATTTAAGTTTCACTGTCAGGGAAGGATTATTCAGAAGAAGTAAGTGAAATGAAAAAAACCGCCATAGAAAACCAAATGAACATATCTTTAAAATGACTCAAGAAACCAGTTTAAAACACTTACCAGACCAATTATCCCAGATAACACTCTTAAATCATAGCAAGCAAACAGTGCCCAAAAGCAAATATTGTCAAGTTAAGTTCAAAAGTCGAAAAGTCGAATTTCAGACAAATTTTCTTTTTTGGAATTATTAAATTAAATTAATTTTCAAACTTCCTCGATACTTGTTTTGTTTGTAAACAAACAAGTGAGAGTTCGGGTTTCTTTCAAAATCATATGTTTCAATGCTGCGTTGCCGGACTGTTTTGCTGTGTAAATGTTTTTTTTATTTTAATTTAAATAGTATACTTTTATTTATTTGCATAAGAATACGTCGCCTTTTTTCTATTTCCACCCAAGTAATAAACATTATTATTTATAAATATTTTTTATAATGAAATTAGAAAAATATACAAAAAATAAACATCTTAAAAAAACATTACTCTCTAAAAATGAACTAGTCAAAAATGACTAATTTAACAGTTATATATTAAATTTTGTGATACCATGTTATTCCATGGTTAAGCATGGTACGTGAAAAAGCAGCCACTAATAACTATTAAATTAGTAATTTTTAGGGAGTAAATTTAATTTATTAATTTATTTTTTAGTCTCATTATTTAATTCAACATGCAGGCACTTCCTAACCATTAAAAATTCCATCGACTCTTTAGTTCATCATTTACACTTCTTCTTTGTTATATCCTCCAATGACTCATATCTATCAAACTGACGTACACTTGGCAACACTGGCTGGATTCCCGTATCTGCACAACAAAAGTTTTACCTGTTCTTCGGGTGAAACCGGTACAATTCGTGTAATCAACTCTTCACAGCCTCCTAATCATAATGACAATCTGTAATTGTATCGACCAAACATTTCTTTGTATTTCCTTTTTTGATAACAAATGATTTAAGTGACGCATTTTTAAATGCAAGATATTTAAATGAAATAAAATGTTTCTGTGGAATATGTACACAAGCTTTGTTCAAAGTTCTTTGTGATAAAGTATTACAATAACTTATATATTTAGGACAGCTGAGATATAATATCAAAAGAATGCATGAATAGAATTGGGTTAAAAGTTTATTACATGGTTAACCACGTAAGGTGGCCCATATATAAAAATTCATGAAGTAATTGTTTTTTATATTATATTTTTTCATTTTTGTATTCTATAAAGATACAAAGATACTTCGTAAATATATTAGTACAGAAAATTTAAAAATATTATTATTTATCTTTGGATGTATCATTTTGTTCTTTATTAACTAAGTTAAAAGTTGGTGATAATTTATTGCAAAATGTTTTCTACACCCCTTGAAAATGGCAATTTTGAAAGTTAAAAATCGCTCTTTTTAATGGAACATCCTATAAATTACTAAATATGAATTTACTTTCTTTTGATATATTTAAATAAAAGTTTAGTGTCAATAAATAAGTCACCAGGCAAGAGACGTAAATGTAAGTCTTTCTATATAGGCTTAGGAGTGTTATACTATGAAAATAGTTATACGCCAAAAAAAAATTATATTTAATATGTTGGCAAAAATAATTTAATTAATCAAAAATTTATAGTCAAATGTATTTCACTATTAGATATATTCTACACTTGACCCATACATATTATCATATATAAATAATAATAAAAGATAATTTGACACAAGCTTAATTAAATAAATATTTATCAAATAATGGAATCATTAACATTAACATTAATAAAAAAACTAGCAGCCTTTTCTATTTTTTTCTTTTAATTAATTGGACAAAACAACAGTCAAAAAAAATATGCGAGTTTTGACAAATTTCAGTTTTGAAGAGTGTTTTTAACGCGATGGATAATGTTATTTGATTTTTTAGAATGTTAATTTTAATATAATTAAAAAAAATCACTTTGTTCTTATAAAACACACTGTATTTGACGCCATTGATTGCATTAAAAAATTTAGAGGTGAAATCAAAATTAACCTTTGTTAGTCCAATAAAAAATGTCTATACCGTTATATATAATATAATGTTTTTAAATAGATTTATTGCTAAAAATATAACTTTAATTTATAATTTTTTTTATATAAAATTTAATTGTTATCGAAACGCGTTGTAAACATACTTCCTATTGAAGTATAACAACTCATATTGATAAAAAAATTACTTTTTATAAATTATACCTATAGTTGTTTTTTATCAGTTACATCGTTTATTAAAATTTTTTATCTACTACTATTGAATAATATAATATTATTAATATTGAGTTTTTCCGTATATAATGATAAACATTAACAATTACCTGCTTAACAACGGGAATAATAAACTCATTATTCACGTTGTTAGGCATCAGTGATTGGCTGATTTCAATACTCACCGTGATATGAAAAATAGCCTTCATTATCTCTCGTATAATAATATACTGCTTTAAAAATTTACACAAAAGTTAAAATTATAAAGATGCCTAAATTATTTTTATTGTAATTTTCTTCAAAGATAAGATATCTATTATTATTTTTAATAATTTGCCTTCCCTACGTTTAGATTATATTTTGGATATTTCAAAAATAATAATAGATATCTATACACACAGGTCTGTGTCTATACATATAAAAGAGTTTGCTTTCCTATAATAACATTGATAACCTCTAAGAAGGGATTTTTTAAATTTAACATTAAAATTTTTATTTTTATTATTTTACTGTTTTAACATTATGTTTTTTGTAATACTTATCTACGTAACATCTGTTAATGAAGATGAAATAACTAACAATTTAATGTTTATATTTTTTGAACAGTCATGCATAAAAAAATATTTTTATTCTTTGTTTTTTTTATTCATTGTTCCGAATCATTGACAAACTAAATATGCAAAACAATTAAAAATAGATTATACAGATGTAAATTAGTTCAACCTTTAACACCATTAGCGTAAATAAAAAAAATTATTGCAAAAAATGGCGAATGCACCGGGATTTTTTAGGTTACTTTTACCACCAAAAATACTACAAACAAGTTAAAACATACCTATTTTAAGTGATAGTTGGGAGCAAAGTTAAATATTTTACTTTCCAATATAAGATTATAAAATTTTAATTCAAAAAAAGCCGACTAATAAATTTACAAAAAACTGAGCAACCAAATTCATGCACTTTGGTATAATTAACAATCTTTAACTAAATAATTTTCGAAAAAGGCGACTTTTTTCAAAATAACCGAAATTTTGTTTACATTCTTTGAAAATACCTATTGGAATATACATATTTCCCTAAACGAATTACATGGAAGTCTTTAATTTTATTAACTATCTTTAAAATACTTACCTACTTCATAATTACACAAAAATTGTTTAACCCCTTACGTTGTTTTAACAAGAAATTAAACAGCTACTCTTTTGATTGATTACTAACTTCATAATTGATAATAAAATAAAAAATTAAACTTGACCTCAATATTCAATGCTATACTATACTATACTAAACATAAAAAATATCAAAAAATAAATTTAACTTATAAAGAACACTGTCAAATAAAAGATGCCCAATTATTTAATAAAACACAATATTTTTAATGCTATGATTACCATATCATATTAATTTTAAACCTTACATACAAACCTTAGTGCATTAGTACCGTAAAACGGGGTTATCAAGTTTTAAAGCCCTTCATCAGATTTTAGAAATTCGTTAACATTAATTGATTGAAGCTTCATTATCTTTATCAAGGTAATACTGAGTAATTGATACGTTTTTTCTTAATTTTTCGGGCTTAAAATACTTTTTAAAAAAATTCAGTCAAATTCTATATATAAAAATAATTTTAAATAAAATATTATTTTATATTTTGTTGTGAAAATTTTGAAGTTTCAGCTAAATTGAAAGGGTGGTCAAAAGTGGTTGATTTGGCGTAAAATTCCCCATATGTATAATAATAATTATTATTATTGTTACTATATATTATATTTACTTTTTTCGATATTTTTGAAAGGCCAAATTGCGTACGTCAAAATCACTATTGCTCAATTTTTAAGGATGTAAGATAAACTATGATATCTATTCAAATATTACTGTAAGTAAAATTTTGGAACATAAATGTATTAAAAATAAATCTTTGACTGAATAATAAGCACGTTTTGAGGTCAAATAAGTACATATTATGTACATTTGTACAAAATTTAAAGTAGTTGTTAATTAAAAACAAACATTTAAAAATAATTAAATCTATATTTCGTTGCCGCAAAAAAATCATTAATTGAATCGGTGAGATTAAGAACAGTACAAGTCCAAAAGATTTATTTTGACAAACCATTTTCTAAAATTAATTAAAATTTCAAAATGCCGTTTGTGAGAATTATTTTACAAAATATCTCTCTAAAAATTAATTAGTCAAAAATGACTGATTGTCATAGCGAAAAAGCAGCCACTAATAATTCTCGTAAACAGCAATTTGTGACTTATATAACTATAAAACGGATTTTATGAAATAATTGGACAAAGTTTTAACTTTTGGACTTGTACTGTTCTTAATCTCACCGACTCAATTAAAAATATTATAATTTAAAACATACAAAATTAAAACACAAAATAATTAAAATAATTTTCAATAAAAAAACTTTACATATTACAAAATAATAAAAAATAACAATTAATTGATAAAAATTTGCAGGTGTTTTTATAAGTACTATTAGATAAATTTAAAAAAATTATAAATATTACTAAGATGTAGTACATACTTAAAAATAAGATGACGTCAAAAATATAAATTTTGAATAAAATGTAAGACTTCCATGTAATTCCTGTATCCACTTATCTACGCCCCTGTACACATGAATGGCAGATCAGTCACAATCAAAATTTTAAATTGTGATAAGCATATACAATGTATATTATACATATGACTAGCAACTGTCCTGTAAACAATTTTTTTGTATTACTCTTTAGGGTTTAAGCTGTTAAATATTTAATATTATTTTATTTTTTTAGAACGACGGACAATTTTGAACAAAATAAATGGCGAATTTAATGCCGGCGAACTTACGGCCATTATGGGGCCATCAGGGTCTGGAAAATCAACATTAATGAATATATTAGCTGGTTACACGTAAGTTATATTTAATAAATATTTTGAGTCATGTTTCACATTATTAAAAATATTATAAAAAATTTGGTTTTAATACTAACTAAAAAAATGCGTATTTAGCTATTTGATGAACGAGATTATAAAAGTTAAATAGGGTGTTACTAACTCGAAAAAGATGTTAAATCTTAAAGCTAAATTAAAAACATATGTATGTACTTTATAAGTAGGTACAGTTGAATATTGTTATTTAAATATTGTTTATTAAAGGTAAACTTCAAAATATTAATGTTGTTTTTAAGGCCGCTACCTTGCTAATAAAATGAAATGGTTCGTGATGAACATTTTAAAATTTTATTTCATTAACATTATTTGGTTTTAAAACTTTTTCCTACGTTTCTATAACCATTTGTGAGAATGCTACAGCGTTTTAAAAACGCAAGATTGAAGAGAGCGCGTGACGTCAAAATTATATAACAAATGTGTCAAGAATTACGAATGAATCCAAAATTTGTTTCTAGTATGGTCTTACATTATTTATTAACAATTTCATTCCATTTTTTGCCCACTAGATATTAGTTAAATTAGTTATAAATGTAATTATAATGTAATTGTGGCTATGTTTAAATTGTTTTAGGTTACAGTTAAGTTGTCAAAATTCGTAGTTAAAATGCAATTAATTTGGCTTTGGTGGTGCGTAGATGAGTAAAATTATATAAAAAAAGTAGTTAAATATAGGTGACTACGGCCCAGGAGAGACCAAGTATTCCTAGCGGATAATTAATGTTATTAATTTAGTTAATAGTATATTAGGTATCAAGTTTTGTAAACGCCATTTTAGTTCCGAGTTTAATTAAGAACGAGCGAAGCTTGCGAGCGAGTTTCTAATAAAAACGAGTGTCTAAAGAAGTTTATAAAACGAGTTGCATACTATACTTTATCTACGACGAACATAAATAAGATTTTAAAGCCAATTTTATTTGTTAAACATTTGACATCCGTCAACTGTCAACGGATTTAACCTCACTTTTTCCCAATTAATATTAAAGCTAACTTCAGCCCGTGACTAAAATGACGAAAAGCCACTGTTGCTAACTTCAGCCCGTGACTAAAATGCCATAAAGTCACAGCTTATCAATGGTGGAGTAGATAAAGTTTATTAAATATATATTTTTAAAACATTTGTCCTGATTTTTGGGCAATTGTCAACTTTTGTTGTATATTTTAAAATATATTACATTTGCTAATTTCATGCCAAAATTATTTTTTATTTGAGAGTTGTTAGACAATTTAGACTATTTTAATAGAAAAAATATTTTTCCATGAAACAGATATCCCAATCAAAATGTATTACCTATATTATACAGAGTGTCCTATAATTAACTTGCAATACTTCTATGTACTAAAATAAGACTACTTTTTTTCCTATTTTTGTACTTGGAATCTGCTTATTATGAGACACCCTGTATAATTGTTTTATATAGTAAGTAAGTTACATATCTTTACTATTAAAAAATATCTAATAATTCTGTGAAAACAAAAAATGATTAACACAATGTTAATCATAGTTCAAACTACCAGATATACCTAGATATGTACATAGGTAAACAAATATCTACTTTAACACATCAAATGCACTCATCTCGGCAACGTTGAACGTTCTAGGTATATATAAAATTGCTGTCTTATTCTTTATTTCCGCTTTGGGTACATGTGCACCGAGATACGAAAGTTCGATCCACCCTGCGTTTGCCAACTTGGATCTCAGTGCACATGCACTCGACACAACCTCGATCGTTATTTCTTTTTGTACATCGAGTGCACTTGCACCTAAACGAACCCAGCGAAATTGTGCGAAGCACAGCTGATGTAACGCGGGATTTCGTTGAAAAATAATGACGACTTGTTTGTGTTTATTTATTTATTTTTATCTATTGTAAACCTTAAGTTTAAGGAACTGTTTACAAAACAGAACATGCTATAGTTGATCAACTATAGCATGTTCTGTTTTCAATTAAATAGGTGAGATTAAGAACTATGATGTTTACAGAAATTTACAAAGTAAAATTTTTTTAAACTTAAAACAATTTTGACCATCAACTTTTTTTAAATATAAAATACAATTGTAAAAACATTGATTTAAAAAAAAATTAGTACAAATATTTTATTCAACAAAATTATCGGTTTAAATTTTTAAAGAGTCATTTAAATTTTAAATTATAGTCGATAACTTACAATGAAAAAAATAATCTCTTAAAAGAAATGAAAATCACTTTGATTCAAAAGATTTGCGCTTTTAAATAGGAGCATGAACTATGTTTCTTAATCTAAATATTTTTTTTTAATTAAAACATGCATTTAACATTTAAGAAATGTCGTAACAAGTTTTTAAATAAATAAATGCAGTATTTTCAAAAAAATTAAATGAATGTAGAAACACAAAATTAACTTAATTAAACCCAATATTTATTTAAACGGATTTTCAAAACAAAAATATTTACTTTTGTATTATTTACCGCAAAAATAAATGACATTTTAGCTTATTTAACTAATATTTTATATTTTTATAGAACTCATGGAATTAAGGGAAAACTTTTAGTCAATAATGATGCTAGAGAGGAAAGCCTTTTTAGAAAACAATCCTGCTACATCATGCAGGACGACAACCTGCAACCATTATTAACAGTTGATGAAGCGATGACCATTGCAGCGAACTTAAAAATGAACTCGTCAATTACTTCCAAAGAAAAAAGAACTAGGGTACGTATGGATAAATATTTAAAAAACACGTTTTATTGCGTCTATTTTTTTAAAACTTTTAGTTAAAGGAAATTTTGGAATCTATGGGTCTGTGGGAGCATAGAGCAGTAAAAACTCAGGCTTTATCTGGTGGTCAGCTCAAAAGATTGTCCATAGCTTTGGAATTGATCAAAAATCCTCAAATTATGTTCTTTGACGAACCAACTAGGTAAGAAAAAATAATTAAAAATGAGTTTAAGATTTTTAGCGTGTATTTTTAGAATTGGGCTATTATTAATAGGTACTTGGAATAAACTTGCTATAACTATAATTTAAAACTAAAATATAATAATATAGCAGTCGTTTTTTTATATAAGTTATTAAAATTATAATTTTAAATAAACGATAAAAATAATTCAATTTAATAAAACATTATTGTATTTTTAGAGATAGATAAACATACGAGTCTAGATTCTAAAAATGATAAATAAATTAAATATTATAATCAAAATATTATAATCAAAATAAAACCTAAATGGTTTTATTTACTTTTCAGTATTATGGACATAAAATCTGTTATTATGTAATTTTTTTTAATAACTATAATTGTCTATCACAAAAACTTTTTAACAATACACCATTAGCATTTTTTTTCATTTTTGTTCTATGGTTAAATGCTTAGATGAATTTACAGACCTAGGGGTAATAAATCTTGAAGTACCTAGATTTGATCTCTATCTGATTAGTTTATGGCTTTCTATAGAAATCATTTTTTTATAGAAACTAAAGTCGCAGATTTCAAGATTAAAATAATTCATTTTTTTTAGCGGACTGGATAGCCTAACTTCGAAACAATGCATAATGCTTCTAAAACAAATTGCCGCTTCGGGCAGAACTGTGATATGTACCATCCACCAACCAAGTGCCATGATTTTCGAGATGTTCGATCATCTCTACGTATTATCTACAGGGTATTGCCTCTACCAGGGCTCAATAAAAGGCCTGCTGCCTTATTTGGACGAATCAAATTTGAGATGTCCGCCTTATCATAATCCAGCCGATTATTGTAAGCTTAATATTTTTTATTTTGGTTATTACAGAATAACTTATTACAAAATAACTTCTTACAAAATAACTTCTTACAAAATAACTTCTTACAAAATATCTTCTTACAAAATAACTTCTTACAAAATAACTTCTTACAAAATAACTTCTTACAAAATAACTTCTTACAAAATAACTTTTTTTAATTTTAGTACTGGAAGTAGCAAATGGGGAACACGGCAAAGAGTACCTAGAAATTCTCGCCAAAAAATCGGAAAATGGAAGGAACAACGAATGGAGGAGGAAACAACGCAACTCCCTCCAGTTCACCTCCATGGAGCATATCGACAAGATGATGTCTTCGGGTCGCATTACCCCCGTGAAAGCCCCCCCGATATTCTCCCCCAAATTGATGGGCTGCGAGAAGAATAAACCGCATAGGAGTAAATGTTGCTGCTACGGGCAGTACCCGACTTCCATAGTCTATCAATTTTATGTTCTATTGAAAAGAGCGTTTCTTATACTGAGTAGAGACAGAACTTTAACGTACTCAAGATTGGGGACGCACACCGGTATAGCGTTGATTTTGGGGACTCTATACCATGGTATAGGTACTGATGCGTCTAATATGCTCAACAACTTTAATTTCATGTTCTTTACCGTCATGTTTTTAATGATGACGGCTTTTAACTGCATGACTACAACTTGTAAGTCGATCGAACATTTAATATGAAGTCTTTTCACTAAAATATCATTATTTTTAGTTCCTTCGGAGTTACCTATAATATCGAGAGAACACTTCAACAAATGGTACTCTCTTAAGTCGTATTATCTTGCGATCTCTTTAGCAGACATACCAGTACAAGTAATTGAAAATGAAACAAAATAACCAAATTATTAATTACTTTTTTTTCTAGATGGCAGCTACTTTAATTTATGGTTTTGTTACTTATTTTTTGACGATGCAGCCATACGAGGCAACAAGATTAATGTCGTTTATTTTTATGTGTATTTTAATATCACTGGTTGCTCAGAGTTTTGGTCTGCTGATAGGTGCTTCAATGGATATAAAGGTAAGCAGTTAAATCTCATGATATCCATTTGATGTGACCACCCACATTTCTTTGTTCATTGTCTCTTTCAGAATGGAGTTATCTTTGGCCCTCTGTGTTTCCTCCCCTTCACAATATTCTCAGGGTTCTTCGTGCAAGAACACGACGCTCATCCCTACTTAAGATGGCTGTTCCACATCTCCTATTTGCGTTACGGGTTCGAGGGCCTAGTGCTATCGGTACTGGGCTACGACAGGGGAAAACTTCCCTGCAACGCAGAGTACTGTCATTTCGTCTATCCGGACAAATTCCTCACGGACATGGACATGGAGGAGTCGCACTACTCAACAGCGGTCATCTTCCTTGTGAGCCTGTTTCTGTTTCTGCGGATCGCGGCCTACTACGCCTTGAGCATCAAAATTAGAATGAAGAAATCATAGCGAAGTTTTGCCCAATGAATTTGTTTAATAAATGTGATATATAGCTATAGATATACCGCGCCATCTATCGACCGGTAGAGCTAAGAAGTAATAATTTTGTAAAGAGAGTTTAGAATGTTAAGTTTTATACTATTTATTGATACAAGCCGTGCATTTACTAGCCCTTAAGATTAATAATTAAAACGCAATATTACCTATAGTACTTTTAATAATAATTATTATATCTTATAAATAGGTCAAGTCAAGTAAATTTGTTATACAACCCGTCAATTTTTTTGACTTATACATACAATACTTTTAAATTAGTTTTAAAGAATGACCAAAGCTATTAACCAAAATAATTTCCCAAATAAGATAAATCGTCAAAGACTGAACCACTTCTCTCAACAACTTCTATCAAAACAAATAATCTGTATTATTGGTTGCCTATATTTTAGATTTCAACTTTGCCATTTTATTCATAAAATATTTTAGTGTTGGTATACTATAGTACCATTTTGAAGAACCATCAAGTAAATCAAATGTTTTATTTTTTACCTGATTATTATATCAAGTACAAAAAAGAATCGGAAAAAGTGTTTTAGGGGGTAGGGGGGTTCGATAATTTGTCACATAACACATTTTTGTATATTTATTAATTTTGTATTTTTAAATATTGGAAATATCAAGTATGTATACAGATACAGTGTGATTTTATATAACAGACATTATAAATGGTTTTGTTTTGTACATTCCATTTTGCACATTTTAATAGAATATGAAAAAATATATCGTATATTTTGAAGTATTTTAGTGTTTTATTTTTTGCTTAAAAAATTGTTTGGATTTATTTATTTAAACTATACGAAAGAAACATCATTAAATGAGGATCATGAAACAAAGATACTTGTTGGACGTATGCAACCAAGTTTACATAATACTTCTAAATAGAAATCAAAAAGTATAATTATTAATATTAATTTAAAGAGTACATATATTTCATATAAAATTTCGCTTTAAACAAATACTTTAATCAAAGATTTAAATGCAAAATATTCAGTAAATTGTGTTCAAGTATATAATATATTCTTCTCTATAATTAATTATGTTTATGGTTCAATTAACATAATCATGCAGTTGTGATGGGTGATTATAATGTATTCCATTTATTATACCAGAATTTAACCTTGACAATGAGGTAAATATTATTATTTATCAATAATTACATATAAGTTATAATTATTGTATTAGTTTTTATGTAGGTAACCATCATTTTATTTATTTTCTTTTTGCATATACAGATGTGTTTTATGTATATACATAAGGTTACTTTAATATATTTTTATTAATTAATATATTATTTTATAAAATCATTTTTATAGTGCAAAAAATCGTTTTTGTACATAAATATTAAGTTATATTTATAGAATTTATATCAACATAGAAATATGTGGTATACTATAGTAGCTTAGTTATACTTGCGTATATTAATATACGCAAGTATAACTAAGTATACCACATAGGTATTTAAATTTAAATAACCAAAACATTTCTTTTAATTTCTATTATTAAATAATAACTTATGACGTTTTTACTCCAAACCGCAGAAGTAAATTTATCATAAATTGTATTAATATCCTCATGATACAATAAGATAATACAGGGGTTTATTTCTTTAAATATTTCTGCTTATACGTGTATAGGTAGGTATACATATTTTGTTCATACAAAATTATTTAGAAATGGGTAATGCCAAACAAAATTTATTTGCTCTACTGAATTTTTAAACACCCTGTATACTAAAAACATCATAGATGACCAGTGTGAGTTGTGAGCTCATTATTATGTATAAATTCTAAGAAAAACGCATAAAATGATAAAAGTTTGTAATGTGAGCGTGCAAGATATTTATAGTTTTGTTATTTATTTTCAAAATTGTGCTTGAATGTAATTGAGTATTCCTGGCGTATCGATTGATCACATCCGCTTGAATGTATGCCAAAAACGTTTTTTTATATTATTTCAATACGAATATTTTTATATTTATTTATACTCCCGGGGTTTTGAAACACCCTGTATATTAATCATCCGCATTGTTGGCGATTTAAAAGAAAAAGAAGATTTGAAGCAGGTAGATGATTTCAAATAAAAAAAATAAAAAAGTGTAAAAAAGGATATTGGAAAGACTAAGTTTCACAAAAAATTACGAATGTTGAATTTAAAGTTATACCTATAACTTTTTTGACGATAATTAATTGTGCCAACCTAGTAACATGAGTTCATGTTACTAGATTGGCACAATTGTCAAAATTAAATGTTTGATGACAGTCAAAATTTTCTGTTTTCACCATATTAATAAAAAAAACTACCACCAATTTGCTCATTTAACCGACTCATAAAATCATGTTTATAACAAAATTATGTAATGGATTGATAACTAAGTATGTCTAGGCTAATAACCCAAAACAAAAACATATATTTCTGTAATTTTATCTTTAAAAAATTATATCAAGGATTGCTTTTAACAAAATTAGCAATAATATCGTGTATAATAATTTACATTTACAATAAATAAAATAAATAATTTCTACACGTTAATGTAATTTAAACTTATTTTTAAACATCGATTTTATTAGTTTTCACCTATTAAATTTACAATAAATAATATTTAATGGTTTAAAATGTTGAAAAGGTTGGACTCCTCTAACGCCTGAAAGTATAAAACCCGTAATACAATTTTGAAATTTAAAATAATATTTAATTTCGTTTGCTTAAATAAGGCAACTAAGTAAAGTTTTGCTACAGATATATGACATCTGGCGATGTCAATACTGATAAACAATCCACTTAAGATCTTTGGAATGCAAAAGGGACCCTTCCAAGTTCAATATTCAGGGGGTGTCAGGTTTTGAGATTCAAAATTAAATTAGTTAAATTATATAAATAATAAATCGGTAACTTATACGAAAATACTATTACACTGTACTACGAGTACACCCCGTATTATGTTTGCAAGAAGGTATACCTCTCTACGGGACGCCCTTTTGTTAGAGAATAAATAAACAGTTTATTGTAAATATTAAAATTTGTTATTTAAATCGTTAGTTAGTTAAATAATGTGAACTTGTTTAGTATTAAGTTAGTAATAGTTTTAATTGTTATGCTCAATACAATTGTTGTAATTTAGTTTTAAGTTTTCAGTACCTAATCTTATTATCGGTCAAAAAAACCGAATAGTTAAACTTGAATTTGTATGTATTATTTTCTAAAGTAGTACCGAAGTCGGTACTATACTAATTGTTAAAATATTTTATTGTAAAAAACCAATATTTCGGAAAAACCCAATCAACCAGTACAAATTTGACTAAGGGCACACTTAAAATTATTGATTATTTGACTGGGATACTAGACGGCAAAAATATCTATCCCAAATGTCTTTTCCACTTAAAAATGTTAAAGCACTATTTTATCTTAATTTTGCCATGTCACACATATGGTTGACTTTTTCCAACATTGGGGAAAGACAAAGAACGATATATGAGAAGGGGCTGATCGAAAGTTGCGTAAGTGGATTTAGACAGTCAGTTTCCAGTTCTGGTTGCGTGTGGACGTTTTTCCAAAACTCCGTTCTAGAATTCAAACTTGTGTGTAACGCCAGTTGTAGCCATCTTGTTTATTTGAATCCGACGCCGCGACATCGCGCCCTCTATCGTACGAACGCTTCAACTTTGTTTAAATTTCCCGCCGCGTGTATGTGCTGACACCTGCTGGACAATCAATTCATTGCAGTGACATTTAATTTCAAAGCCTATCGCCGTGAGTGCTGACACCTGTTAGTAGTTGTGTAGTAACAGTGAACAAGTAGTTTATTAAGTTTATTATTAATCATTTGAGGATCGTAATCAACAAGTAGACCCGAAACTACAGGTATGCCAAGACATGTTATCATTGTAATTGTTTTTCCAACGTAAAGAGAGTAAGAGCCATTTCATAAATACATTCATAAATAAATTAATTGAACCGGGATATCTACCTGCCTACAGTCCGATAAATCAGGTGACAACACTCTAGTACTACTAATGTTAAACTATTACATTTTCCAACAAATAAATACCACATCAGGCATATATTGACGCTATGATCTGCAACGGAAATCAATACAACATTTTCTTAAAAGTATAGAGACACCTTGCATTATTAATTGCTTGCATGTATACTAAACGCTAGTTGTGAGGCTGTCAATATACTGTTTAATCTCGTGCAACCTGGGAGTGTGATAATATTAAATTGAAAATACATCCTGTACCTTCCAATATCCTGTAGGATCAGCGGAAAAGGCGAGTCCCAACGATGGAACACCAACATTGAAACGATTCCCACCGAAAAGCTATAGGCAACCACAGAAAAGAGCCAACAAAGGCAATCCTTCCCAATATAAAAAAGAAAACTTCATAAATATTAACACACTTCCGCAGAGACTAGAGTTGATATGTGAGCTGATGATAAGGTACTAATAACCACACATCTACTTAAAAAAACAAAATATAAAAAAAAATAAATAGAGGCAACTCTCGATCGTAACGATCGCCAACAATATAAACAATAAAAGAGGCCCAAGCCCACTGGAAATCGAAATCGAATTACACCCGTTCATCGATTTGATTTTATAATAAAAAAAGGTTTTACCATCATCCTTTCCATAAAGCAGAGTACCTGTCACTTGATTTTATGACTGTCGGCACGCTTCTGGTAATCCTCCGGCTTAAATACCGACTAGGACGCCAGGTCAACGAACTTGGCAGTTTACTGTTAAAAAAAAAAAAGGGGTAGAAAACGAAATATTGGTTTCCGCAGTTGTTTTGGTTCTCTTTACTATAAATAAATAATATGGTTATAAATATTTGTTTGATTGTTTGTCACTCTTCCTACTTTATTATGACGAATCGGGGCTAGACGTATTCTAGGCCAAATTAAAGGTAAAAATAGGTATTAAAGGGTAAATTAATTAAACACAACGTAGACCGGGTCCTTTCCATTACAATGTTATTTTCAACCTTCTTTAATGTTTCAATGAAAAGTATTAAAATAATAAACTTTGATCAATCAATTTTCAGAAAAAGCAAATTATAAATATAATTACTTAGGTACGTAGGATTCTGATTAGAAAATAATCAATACTTATTTTTATTTTACTACCATTTTTAATGTGGAGAAGAATTTTGCCAAATGAGCCTACGAGTTTTGACGTTAAAAGTAAAATTAGAACTCGTTTCAACTTTAATGGAATGAAATGGTAAAATTCATTAAAAAAATCTAATAAAGATTTCATTATGAAATTTTAACACCATATTGGATGCTGTACAAATTTTAATTCAATTCGCTCATTATAAACATTATAAAGTTTTACCACAATTTTTAATAAATAATTTTAATTCTGCACATTTTAATGTAATTGGATCAGTAGCGTCGATTTTATTAAATAATTAAATAATAAAATCTTGTATTTTAATAAAATTTATTGTTGGTGAACATTTTTAAAATTTAAAATATACTTTTAGAATAATAATGTGAAACAATTTATTTTATTAAACACAAAATTTAAAATCAGCTATTTCCTGATAAACTAATATTTCTGCACACTGCGTATCAAAAACTCCTGTCAAAGAATGTCAACAAACCATCAAAGTTAAAAAAAAAATCAAAACAAACTTAAATTCGAACAGGTGGGAGTAGATTCGAGACCACAACTCTTTCCTGCTGGCAGAAAATTCGTGCCGCCTCTGTTTCCATTATGCTTCTTTCCTGCCGCTTTTAAATACGCTGACCGTGGCGCGTGTTTGCAGCAGTGCTTCGCAGGATTTCGCAGTGTCGAGTGTTGAAGATTTTTTTAAACTTTTTTAGTGTTTTTTATTCCTGCTGGCAGTATGAAGGGCAGCGTGGTTTTATGTCTGATGTTCGTTAGTGTTTTGCACGGATTGCCGGGTGAGTTTTGCAGGATGCCTATCCTGCTGGGGGTTCGGGAATTTTATTTTATTTATTTTTCATGTTATATTTTTTGATGATAAATCAATATGTAATTGACCGAATTTAATTAGTAAGTAATTATATATTTTTGCTTTCAAAATTTCCTGCTGATTTTACAAATTGTACTTATGCACTTTGGATATACGATGTAGAGTAATAAAAACTTGTTTTTGCGCTTAAAATATTCTAAAAAAGTGTTTTAAATTCAGAACTTTTCAAAATAGAACAATATACAAGGCTAAGCATTGGTATCTCTCAATGATAATAATAATAATAAGAAATTTGACTTTATTTATGGTTTTCGAGATATCTTAAAAACGATAATTTGTATTTTTATTTTATTCAAAAAACGAGATAAGATAATGTAGGCAATTAACAAGCTTCGCATTAGTTTTTAATATACTTTTTTTATCAAGCATTTAATTTAATTGTCACATCATTTTTAGGTTAGGTTCAACCAACATTTTAGCTTCATTTTTGTACGGAGGTTAATAATAATTTAACTTAACAAATCATTGCGAGCAGTGATTTGGTTGACACCCGGTATAATTAAAAACTCTTGCAAAATTGTTTTGCAAAATCGACTCAAAAGTTGCATTTGACCTGATTCACTAAAAACAACGGTATTTTTAGAACTTACTTATAAACATAAGTGCCTCATACGCCAAATATACCCATAGGATTTACATTTTACAATACTTTTACAACATTTTGAAAATACTTTTATTTCAAGCGTATAATAATTTTCATATTATAACACTCTATATAAAAAGACTAGTTCAAAAGTCAAATTATTAATATACTCTGTACAAAATGTCATCATGTCTGTTAAATTAAATGCTTGAAAAAAATTGTACTTAAAACCCATATTTGGCACATAATCTACTGCCTCGGCTATAATATGAGCTTTCTTCGCCTGGTTTAAAATGTACTATATCATTTCAACGACTTCCACTATTTGGTCTAAGGTCAATAAAAATTAAAAACGCATACAATATTGCAAAATTTATTTATTTTTAATTATTTTTTAACAATGTGTTGCTTTAGTAAGTGGCATGTTGTTTTAGTATAAAAATTATCGATGAAAACATAATGTCATCAATAAAAGGACTGACGTAATAAAAACTAAAACTAAAGAGATTGCAATGTTATAATAGTTTATTTTAAAAAAACTATTGTAATAAAACGTCATTTTGTCGCACGCGGACAATTTATAAAACGAGCGAAGAAGGAGCTATTTTATCTATTTTGCACCTTAAATTTAATTTGGTCGAATTTTACTTTAGATAGTTGGTATCAGTCATTGGTTTGACAGTTAATGTCAAAATCGATTCGCCATGCCGTCCTTATTGACTTATTTACAATAAACGGCTGTTAATGTTAAAGAAGACAATTTTTTTTAGTGTTAAATAAAATTTATTTCCAGAAAAGTCTCGTAAGTACTAGAAAAATCAAAAAAATATTATAACCAATATGCAAAATATTATGCATATTAAAGTATAGCCAACCTATAAAATCAAAATTTAGGGGCAATTTTTATTTTCTAGTACTACAAGTACCTAAATAATATGTTTGTTTGTTTGTGACATTTGATACATATCTTTTTATGTAAAATTGATTATATCAATTTAACAAATTAAAAATTAAATTTAATGTGGACTTTAATGGTTAATAGAATATACCATATATTTATAAATAAAATAATAAACAAAAACATGTCAATTTAATATAGCTTTCGTGTTCAAGGTAAATATAAATAATATCGACTATTCTTTAAAATAATTTCACATAAAATTGCTATTTTATTTCAATCAAATTTTATTTAAAACAATTATTATTTTCTGATATTTTTTTCTTGGAATAAACACTTCGAGAAAATAAATAAATACCCAAAAACGGATCTGATCAGAAATGCGTGCCATATCCTGAATATAAACTAACCATAGGTACCTACATTCTTTTTTGAAATGGGAAAATCCAAAATATATTTATAGGCACATATATAAGAGTAGATACGCCTTGACCTCTAAGGCAAAGTAAGCAAGGTGTTTTTATGCAATTTTACACCACAATGAGTCACCGAATGTTTGTAGTAAAGTACAGGGCGTGAAGAAAATACCCGCGAACTAATTTAAATTTACGATTCACAAGGTTTAAAATCCAGCTTTACTTGTTTGTTAGTTAAATTTATTTTCTTGGTTAATGTACCTTTTAGTTAAAGAGAAGTTAAAATTTGGTCGTTTTGATTATTTTAAATACTTTTTAACTGCAAAACTTTTAAAATAACCTACTTTTTAACTTATAAGTAATATTACCAACTTACCTTACCATTACCATTACCAAAAATTTGTTCGTAAGTTTCAAACAATATACGCGATTCTCACTGGTAAAAAACTTATTACATATTTTATTTTAATACCTATGCCATAAATATTTATGGGCATAGTTAATTTTAACTGTATTTTTTGCAAAAACAAAAGCGTTAGTCACGAAGGAAATTATGTGCCTGATAACGTGGACATACGTATAATTCCATTAATGATAATAATAAAGAGTTATTTTCACGACAGGTATAAATATACCCAAGGTAAAAAGTTATTAGTATTACTAATGAGTTAGATATTCCAGAAATTTCAATTAATTTTAATTGAAAACCCAGAACCCATTTTTTACAATTTTTAGTTTTTCGAATGAAGAAAACAATCACAAACAATATTTATAATATAAATTATAAATATAAATTTTATATACTTAAAATTAAATAATTATAAATCTAAATTAAATTCGTGACTAATTAAACTTGATACCTAATATACTATTATTTATGAAAATCATGTTGTGGAAAAAGTTATAACCCTGTCAATTCAATTTATAGCTGCACCATCAAAAAAAGACGAGGTGGAACTGGTTCCAAGAAAAGGTTCTCCATTTGGAGATCAACCAATCGTAGATACAGGAGCCCTTTTTCCAGAGGACGATGAAGGCCTTTTCGGTGGATTTCAATATTTCCAAAGTAAGTAAGAAACAGTGGCAACACTGTCTGAGAACAGCAACACTCTCAACTGATTCAAATTAATCTTTGACCTTACAAAAACGTTGTCTTTGATTTGGTATCGATGTTAAATTTTAAATTTAAGATGATTGAATTGGTCTTAAAAAAAGTTTTTAACTCGAGTTGTACAGGGTCTCCCAAACCATCTTCAATCCAGAAAATTGTTAAAAAGATCTTCATTATTTAACAAAAAATCAGAGGATGCTTTTGTTCTTTAAATGGCAACATTGCCTAATAATAAAGTGGTAGTTTTAATCCAAATCCCTTCCACCACTATTTAAAAAATGTTGCTGTTACTACTTATACCTTCGCTGTACATTTTTAGCTCAATATTGCAAAAATTATTCATTACATTCCTAACAAAGATAAATTGATTAATGGGCCGACAATAATTAGTAATACTAATCATGGGTTTAGCATGGATAATTTGGCATAAATATGCAATTAGAATGACATCAATCCATTTTTCTATTGCGATTTAAACCAATTAAAAAACGTATGATATCAATATACGTTGTAAGTTTTTTAATTATATTTAGTTATACTACTAGCACACTTAAAATACAAATTAAATATTAGGTAAACAAAAAATGTATATAATGTGTTAAACGATAACATAAATAACCATTTTCCTCATTTTCCTATATAATTTCAAGTCATGCCATTTGAATATTTATTTCAAATAAGGAAAATTATAATTTGTTGATTGCCTAATCACTAAAAATATTAATGTTAATTAATTAATGAAAAATACTCGTGTTTGTCTTTTGAGAATTTCAAAGGTAAATCGTAGGATTTTAAATTTTATTCCCACACGATGTTGTGGGTGCATTAGCTAGTTATATGAATAAAAAAGGCAGGAAATGTTTTTTTATTGTTTACTTCATTCTATGCTACAGCCAACACAGTGTAAAAGTTATCTGCTACTAATAAACTGTATTATACCGGCGTATATATATTATAATACGGGTACTTTCGTACTACCTATTATGAAATGTTCCATATGATAGTGCAGAAGATATGTGCAATAAAAAGTGGATTAGTGGTTAAAAATATAAAAAGTTATAAAATTAAAAAATAATTTTTTTTTAATTGTTTAGGTTTGATGACAAGGATTAGACAACAGATGGACGATTTACTTAAAACCCTACCATTCCACGGCTCATCTAACGAAACCGATTTTGGAGGTTTACCTATTGGAGGCGGTTTGCCCATTGTACCAAGGTTCCCGTCCGTAGATTTGGGTAAAGGAAACACCACTTCTGTTACCAAGGTATTTGTTATATTATTCTCAAAAATAATATCAGATTCTAAAGTAAAAGAACTTGGACCGTAGTCACCTATATTTAACTACTTTTTTATATGATATATCATCTACGCACCACCAAAGCTTAACTTGACTCAACTTGACTCAACCGTGACCTACAATAATTTAAACATAACCACACTTACATTATAATTACATTTATAACTATAGTTTAGTTTGTTTTAATCAATGCATAATTTCACTAAAAACTGTTTTTCAGGTAATAGACGGGCACAAGGTGGTGATTAACGAAACCGAGTACAAGAAGGAGGACGATTTTGGCGGGGCATACCTAAAAGTACGCATTGTGGACCTGCAACCCGATAGTTCTGAAGCAGTATCAGCAGAAGAAGACTCGTCTGAACCTTCGGCAGCTGCAGCTTTGGACAAGGAGGTGACAAAAGACAGGGAACCGATCGAAACCAACAGCTTCGAGAACGAAATTCCGAAAGGTCGCGAGGTTGGTAAAAGTTCAGTCCCAGAAAAACTGACACAAGCTGCTTAAATACATAAATATTCTGCATGATACATTTTATAATATTTTATTTACAAACAACAAACTTAATGCTAATTAATGATCGATATTGGTAGCATAGGTAGTATTATTTTTTGCTGTATTTTTATAGTTTTTATTGTAATGATGATATTGTAATATATATACCACTATACAAATAATAATAAACGATTTACCCGACCTTAATACTTAATACACCTAACATTTCGAGTATGTAAGTACTTACGCTGCTTTGCATGGTTTAATCATTATTAACAATAACTTAGTTTTAGAAAAAATCTGTTAACAATTTATTTAATTTTGGATATTAATAATACAAACAGTGGTGGTACACTTTTTAGACTAATAACTATAGTTTTTATTTGGTGAAATAATTAATTTTTGCAAAAAAGGAAAATTTTTGAATTAATTTTTTTTTGGTTTCTACGATTTCACACTATTCCTAATTTTCTCATCAGTTGTTTTCTTTACATGTTCTATTGTTTTTCCAAAATTATTTGATTTTTCAATTTATTAGTATACAAAAAAATTTCATATCGCATTATTTTCACAATTTTACAAGATTTTCTGTAATTTTCTAAAATCTTCTAATTTCATGATTTTTTTAGTTTTTATTAGTTTTAATAAAAAATATATATGTACATACATGGGTAATTTTTGAAATTTTTAATTGAATTTTAAAGATTTTTTATGATTTTTGTATATTTTTTGAATATTTTTCTTCCAAATTCCATCCACAAAATTTTGGACACCCCTTAAAATATTTAGATAAAATTTAGAGACCCCTATAAGTAGTTTTTATGAATTTCATCGTTTTATAAAATTGTTTTTATTTTCCTTTTTTTTTCTTCTTGATTTTATTTAAAAATATAATTTATGTATTATACAGTAGTGGCCATAATTAGAGCAACCACTGTAAAAAAATCAAACTCCAAAACGCCTTTATTAATCTTTAAGAAATTTTGGTTACTGTTCATTTGATTTGTACAAAATTTTTAGAGTATACTAACAAAAATACGGTCTTTAACAGAATATTTTTTATTAAAAAAAATGGGCTTTAAAAATATTTTCTCAAAAAAACCTCAAACACGTAAACTGAGATATAAGTTGAAGTATTTTTATCCAAAATTAATAAAGACGTTTTGGAGTTAGTTTTTTTTGACAGTGGTTGCTCTAATTATGGCCACTACTGTATATTATAATATTTTTGTAGTTAGGTAAAATGATTCCACAAAATGTTCTATTTCTCCAAAATTTTGTCACCTTTTTATGATTTTGTTCGTGTCCTAATTAGATTCAAATCAAGATCAAGAAATTAAAAATATTTTTTTAATTCGTGGTCAGTTAATTTTTTTTTAATGTATAAGGGGGTTATTTAAGATTATGCAAGGTTTTCTTACTTTTTACATATACTTCCAATATTTATTTAAATTTATTAATACCCCAAAAAAAAACAAAGCATGCAAAACCATAGCACGAAAAAGCACACCACAAATATTTCAAACCTTCTGCACTCTCATTTTCCCCGTCAGGAGTCAACCACAAGCCTTGAAACATTCGATGAAATCGACTCCTCCACCACCCCTCAAAAATTCCCAGAAGAACTACAATCTCACGACTTGAGGGGGGACACAAACGTGAACAAACTGGTATCAGACAAAAGCAAATATTACAACCCAGACGCCGAGTTTATCGATAAAGAACCCATAATTATACCCGTAGATTTAAATAGAGATACCTACATCAATGATCTAGCAGCAAGATTTGGAAAACCGATTAATCCAGATGCCGAGGTGTTTATTCCAGAAAAAAATGTAAGTAGAAAAACGATAACATTTTTGAAAAAAGAATTTTTTTTAAATTTGTCCCAAAATTTTTAAAATTTTCCCACTGTGCGAATTTGTCCTATCATTTTATAAATTTATCCCACTGTGCGAATTTATCCTACCATTTATTAAATTTGTCCTACTGTGCGATTTTTTTCATTCATCACATATCTTTAATCCATTATAGACTCTGGAAGATTTCGACGAGACAATCCAAAGACAACCAATAAGATATGACAACATCGAATCTTTTGATGATGAAGACAACACAGTTTATCCAACATACTACAAACCCGTTGATCTATCTCGTGATACCTTGGTAAACGAGTTGCTGGAAAATAAAATGCAAAGCTACAACAAGGACTCTGAGTTCATCCCGCCTTCGTTGCAATATCAACCGAAAAAAATCCAAAAACTCGAAAGCTTGGAAGATGAAGACAAAAACCCACCAAACCTTTCTGGTGACGTTTATGTCAACCAGTTGGCAGCAATGTCCGGAAGACCAACTGAAGAGTTGGCCGAGCTTGTGGATTTGGAGGGGAGGAGGATAGAACAGCCCAAGTATGAATATAGAAGATTTAGATGAGGATATGGATGTTGTAACATTTTTTTAATTGACTGAATACTCATTTTGCCAAAATTTACTTGTTAAAGCACACTGGAAAAAGTTTACATTTTAAAATTAATTTGACAAAAACTTTCTTTCAGTGTACAGTGTGATAATACTCATCATCTAATTTATTATTTATAATTACCCTATTTTTATAAAATAAACCACTAAGAAACAACCATGTTTTTTTGTTAATAACACAATAAATCATTCATTTATTATCTTTTTTATACAATAAAAATATGAAAAATTGGACTTCAATATATAAAAAATCGACTTAATCAACCAATTACTTTCTTAAAGTGCTTATGCATCCTGTCAAATTGCACCAAGCATTTTTTTATGCAAGCCAATTGGTAGTGATAATCCTCAACATCACTAAAATTCACATTAAAACCCAGAAAAACAAAAACATGCTTACTTACCTGACGATTTCATCTGTCTTATTTATCGACATAAACATCTCATTCACTGTTAGTTTCGTTTCCGTTATTTCCTCCAACTTCTCGCCAGCCACCCCGTATATATCCACAATTATGTTCTCATTCACGGTCGATTTATACCTCGAGTTTTCGTAACGTTCTTGCAAGTTGAAAATCCTCGTGTTTAACCCGAGAATAACCAACTTTGCTGCTTCAGTTTCTCTCATTAGGTCGGTTTTGAAGTTTTCTAAAGTCATGAGGATGTTATTTTGTCTTTCTAATAGCGTATGTCTTGTTTCAAGTAAAAGTTCGTATCTTTCCACTATTTCCCCTGGTTGTTTGAAAATATCTCCACAACATTTCATAAAAAAATTCTACATAATTGCTTATGTACAAGTCTAATATTAGTTTTTTACCTCATATATCTTGTGCTTTCTAATAGCATCATCAATGACATTTTTGATACTCTCCAATTTATCCAATAAACCTTTCAAATGGTTAGTCTTTTCCTCCCATTTTTTGATCGCTTCTTTTTCTTCCTTCATTTTAATCGCCCCTCTTTCACGTTTTTCACCATTTTCTTTAATAAACTAACGCAAAAATTACGTAAATTCAATAAAACAGAATGACAGCCATTTAAAAACAATCGCGAATCAACCGCGCACTACAAAATGAAGGGCGCTGATTGGTTGGCGGTTTACATGGCGCATGCGATTTGCACGTCTTTTAAATAAATGTTATTGGCTCATTTTAATTTAATTTAATGTTGTTTTATTTTGTACCTTATTAAATCTAAAAAAATTTTTTCGAAGTGCCGTCTCTTTTACTTCAAATGATGCATATTCTGCCATTATTTTTGTTTGCTCTTGGGCTTTATTTTTGCGCGCTTTTGCCAGCTGTTTTTCTATCTTTCTGAGTTTTTCTTTATAGTGCTCAATAAGGATATGAGGGTCTCCACAACGAATTGTGTTGCTTTTTTCATGATATTTACTGTAAAATTTATATTTATTTATGTAGGTATTGAACTTGTACTGTAATATTTTTGGGTGTTATGATAAAAAATATATGCATGACTTACCTGAGTACTACTTCAAAATTCTTTGACTTTATGTAGTCCAATACGTAATTATATAAAGGTTTTTGGTGGATTACCTCTACTTGTAATTGCATTTCAGTCAATGTATATTAGGTATGTCAAATTGACATGTAAAATAAATCTTACACACTGTAGGTACTGTGTTTACTTAACATAACAAGTAGGACTTTATATGAAGTTCTAATATAAATTAGATACTTTTTAGAGTTATAGCTATAGCTTATAAGTAGAGGACATTTCTAGAACTATAGTCTTTAATTTAGACATTTATAATTTAAGAATAATTTAGATACCTACCAAAAACTTTTTAGTTATAAGGTACCAGAAATAAATAAAATAAAACTAAATATTTTGAAAACTTATTGTATATTTACTTTACAAGTTTATTCGTCTTGTACAACAGTGGTCTTTTCAGAAACGTATAAACCATCCAAGAACTTACGGATATCCTTGTTTTTCACAGTTGTCGACTGTTGGATTAAAGCGGCTGATCTGGAAACATCCTCAAGAGAGTTACCTTCGAGGATCAGCTCGTCCTTTTGTTTTGTGGAGTTTACGACTGTAACACCTTGTGCCATTTTCACCCTAAAATTGTTGTATAGTAAAAATTGCATGAATAATAGTGAGGTTATGTTACCGTCTGATGAATTTTTCTCCCAAGAAATTCCTGATTTCAATGACGGAGTTGTTCTCTGTGGTGACACAGTTAATGGGGAAATGGGCGTATACAGCCCTCATTTTGTATTGGTATCCTTTGGTGACGCCCTTCAACATGTTTTCAACGTGAGAGCAGACTGTACGAACTGAGGCAAGTTCTTTTTTGGTGCCGAACCATTTCTCGACTTTCAAAAGTCTGGGGTTCATCATGCGGATGTCCAAAGCCAAATGTTTGAAGCTGCGTTTCAAGACGCCTCTTTGCCCCTTCACGGTGATCACACGGGATTTTGCGGTCACGGTAATCCCTTCTGGGATTTTAACCGTTTGGTTTGTAACGATTTGCTTCATTTTACTAAAACACCAAAATAAACCATCAACAACACTTAACTTCACTTTATCAACTAAAAATTACACCTATAAAGTGATATCATTGCTTCAAATCAAAGAAAAAACATAACATAACCTAACACATACGTTTTTAACAACTATGTTTTTCTTGGCGCATTTTCCACAAAAATATCACTTTATTTAGTTGCCCATTTATCTTAATCCATCACTGATTTACCCTAATTTTAATTAAAACTCACTATATCACCGATGATTCAAGATTTTAGGAAAAATTTACGTAAATACAAACCTTTCACGTTGACGTAAAGAAGCGGAAGAGAGTCGAACAAGTTGGCAACACTGGTCGCCAGATGTCCTAAGAATATAATTCTCAAAACCACACAAAATCGACTCTACATGTATAAAATATTAACAAAAACGTTATAATAAACATTTATTTTTCAATGCATTTAGTAAAATGGCCATGTTTAAAAAGAAAAACAACAAAATATTCAGAAATAATGACAGGACTCTGTAATTTGCAGCTATGGTTTTCAAAACATAGATGGCGATACCACAAATGCTCGAAAAGCGGTAAATTTAAAAATATTTTGTCTGTTTAATCGAACCTGCCAAAAGACAAGTGGAAATCTTTAAAAATAAAAATACCTTTAATTATATTAATAACATCCTTTGTGGTTAAATTTATAATTAAACAATTTTTTAAAAAAAATTTCAATTTGACAATGTCAAATAACTGCGCATGTCAAAAAAAAGAACCAAGGATACATTGAGCAGGATGACTCAAACTTTTTTATCTCTGCTTAGACTTGATGTCTGACAAAATAAATTATTTCAAAGAATAAATAAAATAAAAGACCAATTAAATAAAACATTTTTTTTAATGAATTGATCTATCCGGTAGATGGTATCGTTGATGATCAAATGTCACCGTTGACAGATAACGTCAAATTTTCAAAGTTGTGTATAAAATGGCGTAAAAGATTTGTTTAGAACTAACTAAATTGGGTGTGGCTGTTTTAATTAACTCTCATTAAACAACTTAATCAGTCCTAGCGGATATTTAAGTCGGCGAAACACCCCTGGGGCAAGAAAACTGGAATTATTTTTTTCGCTTTAGGTTAAGTCAGTGAATCATGAAATTCAGCCACAAATGATTGTTATTATTAATTAACATGCTCTTGTTAAGTAATAGGAGGAATTGTAGCATAAAGTTTTTGTAAGATGTCACGTCTAGCGGATTATTTTGTTGTTGTTGGGTATGATCATGATAAAGAACGTATGTACTTTGACCATCTCATTAATAACACTTCTACATTAATACTGTTTTTTTTAGGCAGTGGTATAAGCAATGGCATTATATTACAACGATTCCCTGAGAAAGACTGGAAAGATACACCATTTATAGAAGGAATAGAATGGGTATTTAGTTTTTTAGGGCAATTTAGACAGAGGGATGTTTTATTAATTTTAAACAGTGTTAGGGCATTTTTGTACAGTGTTGAAACATTTTAGAATGTTTTTATGTATTTTAAATAGTTTTTGGGATAGTTACAAGATAATTTAAAGAGTTCTAACATTGGACAATACTTTTTAGACAGTTTTAGGACATTTTAGACAGTTCTAAGACATTTTAAAACAGTTTGTATAGCTTATATAAATATAAGGATCCTTTTTGTAGTTCTGTCAGCCACAAGGATGGGCTTTGGGCACAGAAAGGCAAGAGCCGAGGTTTTTCGTATCCGTACTCACAGATATCGACGCAAACAGGCATTATTGTGCCTGCCTGTGCTTTAATGAGACTGTTTCAATAACTCCGAGTAAACCTGTGGATGAGGCAAGTTGATAATCTTTTTAGGTGATGGTAGTTTGTTAATAAAGTATTTTTTATCAAGGAGGAAGATACAGTGGATACAGATGCTCCTCTAGTGAGGCCAATACCATCTATAACGCATCATAGCATAATGTATGCCCCAAAATGTTTAGTTCTTGTTTCGAGGCTGGATTATATTGAAACTTTTAGAGTAAGTACTTTTTTTTTAAATTATATTGGTGTATTAAAATGTGGGAAAACTCATAAGGATCTTCTTTATTTTAAAAAGAAAATAATGGTATTTAAAAAATTATATCTTTATAATTAATTTGTTCATTTTAAATTGCTTAAACATTATTAGAAATGCCAGTAAATATAAAAAATTCAACAAGACAGTTTTAGGACACTTTCATACAATTTTTATTGTTTTTGAACAATTATTTAAGTTCTATGGCAGCTTTAAGACATTTTTATGACTTCTTAGTCATTTTAAAGATTTTAAGGCAGTTATATGGTTATACTTAACACTAGGACATTTTTAGACAGTTCTTATGAAGTTATAGTTACAGTTCTAAGGGAGTTTGGTACATTTTAAATTGCAGTTCTAAGAAAGTTATAGATACATACTTTCAAAACAGTATTCGAAAATTTTAAGAATGGTTACAAGACAGTTTTATGATATTTTAACAGTTTAGGCAGTTCTAAAAAAGTTACATAATTTAGATAAGACAGTAATACGACTTTTTTTGAATAGTTCTAAAATATATTTAGGCATTAGAATTATAAAACAGTTATTTTAAACAATTATTAGAGAGTTTTATGATATTTTAACATTTAAGTCAGTTCTAAGAAAGTTAGATAATTTTAAGGCAGTGATAGGATATTTTTAGAACACTTCTAAAATATATTTATCCGAATTATAAAACAGTTATTTAAATAGTTCTTAGAGAGTTTTAGGACTTTTTCAACAGTTTTAAGGCAGTTTTATGGGTATACACATGACTAGGACATTTTTAGACAGTTCTTATGGAGTTATAGAACATATTATACAGTTCTAAGGGAGTTTGGTACATTTTAAATGGCAGTTCTAAGAAAGTTAACATACATATTTTCAAAACAGTATTAGAAAATTTTAAGAATGATTACAAGACAGTTTTATGATATTTTAACATTTAAGGCAGTTCTAAGAAAGATAGATAATTTTAAGACAGTGATGGGACATTTTTTAGAACAGTTCTTAGGTTTATTTTAGGCATTAGAATTATAAAATAGGTATTTTAAACAATTCTTAGAGAGTTATAGGACATTTTCAACAGTCCTAAGACAATTTTAAAATATGTTAAACAGTTTTAATCCTTTCTTACGACTTCTGAGTTTAGACATCTTGTAGTTAGATTTTAAGACATTTAGATTAAGATAGTTTTAAGGTAGTTATATGGTTAATAACCATTGGTTATACTGTATATATAACTTATACACATGACTAGGACATTTTTAGACAGTTCTTATGGAGTTATATGACATATTACACAGTTCTAAGGGAGTTTGGTACATTTTAAATGGCAGTTCTAAGAAAGTTAGATAATTTAGTAACCGCCCTCGGTGGTGTATTAGTTAGCACTGCGGACTACAAGCCGAGAGGTCGTGGGTTCGAATCCCACCAGGGATATGGTTGTTTATTTGTGTTTGTCATTGTGTATTTCTGTAATTGGGCCTGGTGCCTGTTGAAAACACATTAAAAATAATAAAATAAAATACGACTTTTTTAGAATAGTTCTAAAATATATTTAGGCATCAGAATTATAAAACAGTTATTTTAAACAGTTATTAGAGATTTATAGGACGTTTTCAACAGTCCTAAGACAGTTTTAATTATGTTAAACAAGTTTAATCCTTTCTTAAGACTTCTGAGGCAGTTTAAAGACATCTTATAGTTAGATTTTAAGACATTTAGATAAGATAGTTTTTAGGCAGTTATACGGTTATACACAGGACTAGGACACTTTAGACAGTTCTTATGAAGTTATAGGACATATTATACAGTTTTAATGGAGTTTAGTACATTTTAAATAATAGTTCTAAGAAAGTTATAGATACCTACTTACTTTTAAAACAGTATTAGAAAATTTTAAGAATGGTTACTAGACTGTTTTATGATATTTTAACAGTTTAGGCAGTTCTAAGAGAGTTGGATAAGTTGGATAAGACAGTGATAGGACCTTTTAGAAAGTTCTAAAATATATTTTAGGCATTATAATTATAAAACAGTTCTTAGAGAGTTATATGACATTTTCAACCGTCCTAACAGTTTTAAAATATGTTTAAACAGTTTTTAGCCATTCTTACGACTTTTGAGGCAGTTTAAAGACATCTTATAGTTAGATTTTAAGACATCTAGATAAGTCTAAAACAGTTTTAAGGCAGTTATATGGTTATACACAGCACTAGGGCATTTTTAGACAGTTCTTATGAAGTTATAGGACATATTATACAGTTCTAAGGGAGTTTGGTACATTTTAAATGGCAGTTCCAAGAAAGTTCTAGATACATACTTTTTAAACAGTATTACAATATCTTGAGAAAGTTTACAAGACAGTTTTATGATATTTTAACAGTTCTTAGAGAGTTATAGGACATTTTCAACAGTTCTAAGATAGTTTTAAGAAAAAATACATCCTGTAATTTGCTTTTAAAATTATTTTTAGAACTGCCTGGGCATAATATACACAGTGTACATAGAAAACATGCCTGTCCCTCTGGAAACCCTGGTGGGCAACATACTGGGCTGCATACAGGTCCCGCCGCCGGGGGGGCCGCAAGTTCGCTTCAGCATAGGCGCGGGCGACAGGCAAGCGTTGCAGCCCCCTTTGAGCCCCTCCCTTCCCGTAACGTACACGTCGGTGAACCTGCTGTTCCATCAGCTCGGGATTCGCAACGTCCTCACGCTGTTCTGCGCCATCATGACCGAGCAGAAGATCCTCTTCCACTCGAAGAGCTACAACCGGCTGACGGAGGCGTGCAGGGCATTGACCGCGCTCATGTACCCCTTCAGGTACAGCCACGTTTACATCCCGCTGCTGCCGGCGCCGCTGGTCGAGGTGCTTTCCACGCCCACGCCCTTCATCATGGGCGTGCATTCCTCCTTGAAGACCGAAGTTGCCGAGCTGGTGAGTACTACTTTTCTATATATAGGTCATTCCACCAAATACTTTTTTTTTTAATTTTGCGGAGTTATTTTTTTTACTTTCTTCGTTAATTTAACAAAGCGCCCCTTAGAAATTCAGTGAAAAATCAAATTTGATATTTTTTTTTCACAGCTGAGAATGCTGTACACAAAATATGTCACAATGAGGTTAATTTTTGTTTGCTACAATTAAATAATAAATTAATAATTTTAAGTATTCTTTTTCAAATAATTGTGGTTATCTATCTGTCAGTTTAACACAAATTTTGTCTTAATTTTTGAACATAATATAATACTTATATGTATATTTATCTCCACGCGATCCTTAATTTAAACTTTATTGTTGTCAACATACGATAAAGAAATACCTTGTTATGGCCTAGGCCGATAAAAACTTTTATGAGGCAAGTAATTATTTCGATTTTTTCTCGCTAGGAGTATTGTTTTGACAAATTAATCCTTTTCTAAGAAATTAACGTACTAAACTGGTTTAATTTATTTATAATAACCACTAATTTGTTTGTTTTACTGATAATGTTTAATATTTTTCATTAAATTATTGTAAAATTAAATATGAATAATAAAACAAAAAACGATTTAAATTATCTTTAAGTTTTAATTTGCTTTAAGTTGTCAGTGAAATTAAATGTTAAACACAGCTTAAACATTCCAAACTACCTATTTTTTAAATAAAAATCCAAACAAATTGAAATTAGATACTTACCTACCTATTTATTAATCAATTAATTGAATTCAATGTAATAGCAAAAATCCATTTCTACTTAAATCATGTTGCTAGGTATTGTTAAACTATTACTGCTTCTAAAAGCAATAATAATTATTGTACATTTAATTTAATCTTTAGCTAATAAATAAATGAGATTCTAAAAAAGTGAGGTTAGGCCGCTTTGATGTTAAATTAAATTGACCTATATAAAGCGCATAATTTCGAGTGTAAGACTATTCTTTATCTACTTCAATAAGTAGATAATTAAATAATTTTAAACAATGATTAAATAAAATATGACATCTGTCAAATGGTAAACTTCACTTTTTACCAATTTTAAATAATTTTATAGTCGCCTTCTCCCAATTTAAAACTCGATTGGTTTAAATAACAGTGAATATTGAAATTATCCAATCACTGATGCCTAACAACGCGAATAAAGAGTTCATTATTTCCGTTGTTAGGAAGAGAATTTATGCAATATTAAGCAATATGAGTGCATAAATATTATATTATTTTTAGAAAATAAGACTTTTTTTCAAGTACCTACTTAAGGTTATTTATCTGTCAGTATAACAACAATTTCGTCTTATTTTTATTTTTTTGCGACCAAGAAAAATTGGAAATTTTTATAAAAATTGACTTAAATGCATTTTTTTCATTTTATAGGGTAATACGAAAAAAATTAAAAAGTCAAGTTGTCAGAAAACAAAAAAGTGAATATTCAACTGTGATGATATATTTATAATATTAACATGATTATAATAATTATTTCTATCAGTAAGAATCTTTCACCGAGTCGCAAAAAAAATTCGGTGCTGTATTTTACACATCGATTTATAAAATTTTGTAAATCATTCATTATTTTATAAATGGATATTTTCAATAAAATAAATTTAATATTTAGTTTTATTTGTTTTTTTTTGTAATAAATTCATTATTTTTTTAACAAAATAATATTAAATTGTTGATTGCCTTGTATATAAGTTATGTAATTAATGTAATATATTAAAATAAAATATTTTTTTTATTCCAAAGATTAAAAATAATTTATTATGTTAAGCAGCGTTTCCAGATTCTGTAAAAAAAGTTGCAAAATTTTGTTTAAATTTAGCTTAATTACAAAAATGACAAAATCAACAATGCAAATTGTTAATTTGGCGCTTTATTGTTTATTATGTCATTTTTGTAATGAAGGTAAATTTAAACAAAATCTGGCAACTTTTACGACAGAATCTAGTGCATTTGTTTCAAATTTTAGGTTTTAAGGCTCAAATTGTAAATATCTTACACCTTATGTAAAAAGGTATTCAGTATTTTAATATATTAAATTAATTACATAAAACTCTGTATATCATAGTATCATCGGCAAATAGACGAATTTCTGATTGCGATACAACATTAACAATATCGTTAATAAATATAGTAAATGGGCTTAGAACAGTTCCTTGAGGTACTCCATATCTTGTTTTAGTTTTTTGGGATATGATTTTACTTTTTGATATCAGTTAAGTAATCATCAAACCAATCTAACACAGTTTCTTTTTTCCAATTTTTTGATCAACAATTCTCTATCGTCTGTTTCAAAGGCCCTTTAAAAGTCCAAGAATTATTAAGTTTTTTTAAAGCTAAAATATTTAGTTTGAGTCATTTTTATCTTGTCATTTTTTCTCGAGATGGACGTCATAGTAGCCGACCTGGACGGCGGCTCCATAACGATCCCCGACGGAGTCTCGCTCCCCCTGCTACCCGAACCGCTCCTCAGCCAAACTCAGGAAGCGCTCAGCATCATCCTGCAGCCGGAGTTGTGCTGCGCGGACCACGCGTTCCCCCCTCTGGCGGTGCGCGCGCCGCAACCCGTGATGCTCGACAAGGAGATCCGCGCCATCTTCATGCGCACGTTCGCCCAACTCCTCCAAGGCTACCGCAGCTGCCTGACCTTGATACGCGTGCACCCCAAGCCTGTTATCACGTTTCATAAAGCTGCATTCCTCGGCGAAAGGAACTTGAAAGAGTGCGATTTCACCACGCGAGTGCTCGACTGCATGTTCTTCACCTCGTTCGTGTCGGAAAGGGGCCCACCGTGGCGCCCCTGCGACGTGTGGGACGAGCTGTACAGCAACTTGGGAGAGTTGCACAAGTGCGAGGTGCAAGAGCCTCGATTGGTTTTGGCGCACATACAGGAACTAGCTCAACAGTTGTACACCAACGAGACGCCCAATCCGCAGTCGTACGCGCAGAAGATATTGGTGCCGTCGGAGGGCGCTTTCGCCAGGATCCATCAGCCACCTTTGCCGAAAGTCTGCCCCGAACAAGTGCAAGCCATCATCGACGATGGGTTTTTGAAGGACAACATTAAATCCAGGTAGGATTGTTCAATTACTTTTATCATACGCTAAAGAAGTATCGCTAGCAGCGCCACCACTCGGCTGTTATCATCAGCTATAAAACGCTTATGGTACAAACGGGTAGGGTTGGGAAAATTTAACTTTTTGCTTGTACTTGAAATTTTCATGACATTTATGAAATTTATTGAAACTTTCAATAAATTTCAATCACTTTAAGTGTAATATATTAATATTGAAATAAGCCCACTAGGGGACCATGAAAAATTGCCTCTCTTACCTCCTACCCCTCTGTGGGCCCCTGCACCAATAATATAAATAGTAAATACCTATGTTTACCACAAATTTCTTGAGATTTCCTTTTAAAATATTTTTAAAATTACTAAAACTAAAAGAGATATAGCACTTTTGGTAAGCTAATGAGATTGTGCCACTTTCATTGTTTTATATTTATACATTGTTTTATATTTATTATTTTTAAATATTTTACTGAAATTTTACGAAAATTGAAGAAACTTTATCAAAATTTTATGAGCCAAAGGCATTTTTTATCCGTTTTCCGATGCAATTATAGCAAAAGTAAAAGTTTAAATTAATCATGACTTTTAAAAAAAAAATTAAGTATGATTTAATTTACAAATTAAATTGGTAACTGAATTAAATTATTTAAATTAATTTATGCATATAAGTAACAATAATTACTTATAGTGTATTCAAATCCAAGCCGAACTAAACAAAAACGCCCAGACGCTTGATAACTCGTTCTTATTGGTCGATTCGGAATCTGTTGTTAATTATTATTAAAGGTCCCAGAGGAGGCCGCATGTGAAATTTATGCGAAATTTTCAGTAAATTGCGAAACTTTCAATGAAATTTCTGAAACTTTCACAGGCAATGTTGAAATTTTCGGATTGAAAATTTCATTTGAAATTTTTAAAAATTTCACTTTTCCAACTAAATGAAATATTTCAAGTTTGAAACTTTCATAGTTGAAATTTTCATTTGAAAATTTCAACTGTCCCAACCCTACAAACGGGTGTTTTTGAGAATAAAGCCGAAAAATGTTAAAAAAACATCGGAAAAAAACCGTGGCTCGATTTGTTGGGTGTATTTCGAGAGGAAATCCTGGGTTGAGTTTTTACCAGTTTCCCAATAAACAGTGTTAATCTGAATGAAGAAATAAATTTTATACACTCTCTGTAAATATAAATTGTACCTATTAGATACAATAAATACACATTTTAGTAGTGATTAACGTGAAAAGTGTAAACATTTCAATTCAGTAAAAATCGTCAAACAAACAAGTTGTCTAAATTTAAACAGCATTTAGCATTATTATATATACCATTATATTATGTATTATATATAATATTATGTTGCCATGAATTCGTAGGTATATTTTGTTGTTTAAAATGCAGTTGTCGGCATTTTTTTAAAAACCCAAATATAAAAATGGTTGATTTTAAGGTTATGTTTGTGCAAAAATTATTTTTTACTAATTTCTTAAAAATGTCCAAACTTAAATATAAATTATATTAGATAAAGTTATCATTAGTTAATTCTGCACCAACTTACCGAATTGGATCCTTTGGCAAAACATGAAAATGCAACGATTTAGTTCTTGAATTTTATTTACAATTAAAAACGCAATAATTCACCATGATCCCTTAGATAAAATACACACACTAACGTAACTATATAAGCATTTAAGCGTTGAGTTTCTTAATCAATGATATAAGGAATAATCAATCGAAATCGAGTACTAAAAAAGTTTTTTAATTTTTCCCTTGCAACGCGTTGCGAGAACCCGATACTTCTTTAGCGTATGGGTACCTCTTTATTTTCAAAGAGTTATAATAAATATCGTTAGTTACAGTCTTTTCCCGTGCTCGCACAGGAAAAGCCTGTTCACCGAACTCTAGTATATAATTTTATTTAAAACCGCAATTTTTTCTCTACCATTCTAGTGGAGATTATTCCTGGTAAGTTCTATAAATGTTGTAAAAACGAAATAAACAAAAGTGTAATGATAAAATATCTGCAATATTACTCAAGCATATGATTAATAATTCTTTGAATAATATTACTATTTTTAACTTTGCTTTTTGAGTATTGCATTTTGATGAGCATGTTTGTGTCATTATTTCTATCAATATTTTTGTTGTCGTTAATTTATACTTGTTTTTTTTAGGTTGTCCTCATTGAGGCCCATACAGCCCAGGATTGTTCCTATGGGTCCTCATATATCAAATTTAAACGAAAATAAGAATATCGTTAGTAATTCTGCTAGAAGACTAGAGGTTAGTAATTTTTTTTAATTTATTTATGGGAAAAAAATTTCATGTTCACTTTTCCCATATTTTTTAAATTTTACTAAATTGTGGTACCTACTACCTATTAACTATTAATCTTTCAGTTTTCAGTTTTTCTTTGATTAAAAAAAAATGATTTTGTAGCTTTTTAAAAATGTTCAAAAAATCATTAAAAAAATATACTTTCTAATGAGCATGATTTTTTCAAAAAATAATTTAATTTAAATGTTTTTGCACAAAATTTGATACCTATTTGGGTTTTTACAGGATGGGAAAATTAAATTACTTAAAAAATTAGTGTAGGTTGTAGAGGGCGCTGTCTGCGATGCTTTGCATACGTTTAAATGGTCTCATCTTTTTTTGCGCCTTAGTGTATTTACGTTTTAATAAAATAATTAATTTTTTCATCTTTTTTGCGCAAAAAAGGTACACTGTATATGTCGCTCCCAGTAACCGTTTTCGAGATATGTGCGCATGCGTTTATAGTATATTATGTATCAAGCTTGCGTGCGAGTGTTTAATAAACATTTTCAAATTTCTTGTACATTTGCTGTCCCTCAACAATATTTTATAAAAAAATGAGTTTAACGCCATTTGGAACTTTACTAAGCAAATTCAATTAGTTTAAGTGTTTTTAGAAACTATATATTAGCAAAATTATAAAATTTTTAACTTTCCCCAACAGTTCAGAAAAGGAGCTGTCTCATTTGCAATAATATTCACTACTTAATGCTATTTAAACATTCCCCTTTTTTTTATATAGTTGAGAATATATTCAAAATATTACAGAAAAAGCCCATTTGTGGTAATATTTAAAAATACAATTGGTTAAATAACCCCTAAAGATTGTCCCTTATTTTTGGTCCCCTAGGTCACGTCTCCTGGGTCACAACTTTTATAAATGACCTTTTAAATTTGACGCACATTTTTTGGTGCCTCCCCCTTGCGGCAATGTATTTGGCAACGGATTTTAGTAGGAAATGGTGTTTTGAACTATCTTGAAGCCACAACACGTTTTTTTGTATTTTTTATACCAGCGTGGCAAAACTGTGCATTCTCCTGTGTCACAGTAATAAATAGTAGTAAAGGTACCAGTTGGACTTTCTTTGATTTTCAAAAGAGAGTATCAGTAATTTTAAGGGCAAAAATACAATTTTTTATCTTTAAAACAGTAAAGAGGTTATGTTCAAAAACATACATTTTTTGTATTTCCTACTAGGTACTGCGCAACTGCGTAAACTGCATCTTCGACAACAAAATTTCGGACGCCCGAAAAACCTTCCCGGCCGTTCTAAGAGCTTTACAGTCCAAACAAGCGCGTCTTGCTCTCTGCAACGAGCTATCCCAACACGTCAGCGGCACCAAAGCCATGCTGGAGCACCAACAGTTCGACCTGGTGGTACGTAAAACCAGGTGTAAAAAATCATTTTATCTATTTTGCGTTCATAAAGACTTCATTTCGGTGCTTTAATGAGATACTTTATCCCACCCAAAATTTTGATTTTATACGTTGGCTATACTTTAAACAGCACAATATTTTGCATATTGGTTATAATATTTTTATGATTTTTCCAAATTAAATTTAAGGTATAATAAAATTAATTGTTTTTATGGAATTTTTGCAAAATAGATAAAATAGCATAAAGAACTCATGTCATAAGACTTTTTGTCGACAAAATGACGTCTTATGACATTAGTTCTTTAACATACTATTGAAGAATAGAAAACGGAGAAAAATTGAGGTTTTTTTTCGGCAACTCAGGTGAGGCTCATGAACTGCGCGTTGCAAGATGCGTCTTCGATGGACGAGCACGGGGTGGCGGCCGCGCTGTTGCCGTTAGCAACGATCTTTTGCAGGAAGTTGTGCACCGGCATCATCCAGTTCGCGTACACGTGCATACAAGAGCACCCCGTGTGGCAGAATCAACAGTTTTGGGAGGCTGCGTTCTACATGGACGTGCAGAAGGACATCAAGTCGCTGTACGCCAGCAGGGTCGATAGTTTGTCGCCCAGGTAAGATGTTGTCTCTAAAAACTTCTAGAGAAATTTTTTTACAGCTTCTCCAGCGAAAAATTGACAGAAACATCGATTTTTCTCTTTTTACGAGTGACATTTTTTATTGAAAATGCGATAACTTTCGTTACAATTTTTTTTATTTATAGGTTAAATGTTTACTACATACAAAAAAAAATTAAGTGAATTTGCTCAATTTTTTTTATTGTTTTTTCTAAAAAAGGCAAAAAATTGAGGTCAACATTTTTTTCATTGCCACATTTTTGTGTTTTATATTTTTTTCGTTTGATGTTGATAATATCAACAACTTTCACCAAAAGTCCCAAGTTAAGTAAATTCGTCATTTATATATATTTTTATCTAGGGTCATGAAACTGAGGTACCTACATATATGAAGTATAATTTAGAACTTTTTGTATTTAACATATTTCTGGAAATGGTATGGCACGCCGTTTTAACATTTATTAAATAATTTTTTAATTTAAAATATTATTGGTTTAAAATTTTCCTAACTAAAAATTTTAGGTTTACATTTATAAATATATAATATTATAACTATCATGTTATTCAAAGACCAAATTTACTAACCAACAGTTCACTTCTGTATTAAACAATATTATTTTCTATCAATTTTTGCAAAAAATTTTAACCACAATTTTTTAATAAAAATAATTGCCCAAGTATAATTTATTTAGGTGGCATTTTGTTAACTTAAATAAATATTTTATAAAATTATTGAGATTAATTTGGTAAAGTTAAAGTTTTTAGTATTTAAAAATAGTATCAAGCCATTTAAAATAAAAACACATATAAAACATTTTCTACCAAAATAGTTTAAAAAGTTAAATTTTTGTAAACTCAAAACTATTGATAATCAAAAAATATTTTAAATATAAAATGCAACTGTAAAAGTTTAAGATTAAAAATATTAATTTAAAATTTTATTATTCAAAATTATTGGTTTGAATTTGTAAAGGGTCATTTAAATGATAGTCGATAAATTTTCAATACAAAAATTTGAACATTACATTTAAATGTTAGTTTTAAATTTTAAAGTGGTAATTTTTGCATTAAAAATCTATCGACTAAATGACTCTTTATAAATTTAAACCATTAACTTTTATTTTTAACAATTTTAAAGTGATATATTTTTAAGACAAAATTTATAACTTTACATTTAAATGTAAGTCGATAATTTTTAAATTACAAAGTGTAAACGTAGCTTTAGTAGAAGGCACAAGAGTCTGGGATCGGAGTCACACAATTTAAAAATTATCGATTTACATTTAAATGTAAAGTTATAAATTTTGTCTTAAAAATATATCACTTTAAAATTGTTAAAAATAAAAAAATTTGGTTTCAATTTGTAGTCATTTAAATGATAGTCAATAAATTTTTAATCCAAAAATTACTACTTTAAAATTTAAAACTTACATTTAATGTAATATGAGAATTTTTGTATTAAAAATTTATCAACCAGGTATCATGACTATAAAAATTTAAACCAATAATTTTTTAGAATAAAATATTACAACCAAAACTAAATATTTTTAAACATATATTTTTACTGTTGCATTTTATATTTAAAATATTTTTTGACTATCAATTGTTTTGAGTTTAAAAAAATTTAACTTTATAAATTTCTGTTAAAACATAATTTAAGTGCTAAACTTTAATCTTTAAACTTTTATCCAATAAATGCTAAAACGGCGTGCCATAAAATGGCCTTAACTTTTTATTTTTTAATGAAAAACCCTATGCATTTTTACATATTTTGATTTAAAATAAAATTCTGAATACATACATATGTCATTTGTCAATTTTTGACAGCTCAAATATGTTTTCATGGTAAAATAAAATAATATTTACTTACCAGCAAAACAAACTAAAGAACTGTCAAATCTGATACTTTTTTTGAACGCAAAGGTTTCAAAGCCTTCTTTGTTTATCTACACACTTAAACTTATTTAAAAGTTTGTATACCTACAATAATTTAAGTTGCGTCGTTAATATATTTTTCTGTGTTTGGAACCAAAGATTTATAAAAGTTTTATGATAAAACATGATCTACAAACAGAAATGTTATTTTTTCCGTATTAAGACTAAACAACGATTCTATGGTGAGTCCTACGTCGCCGCGCGACAGCAAGGACTTCACGTGGCAACGCCGCTCGACGATGCTGAACCGCGTGCAAGAGGCCACAGCTCTGGAGATCGCGGCGGAGCAGATGCGCATCTGGAACTCGATCGAGCAGGAAAAGCAGAAGGATCTGGTCACGTGCGAGGAGAACACGATGTACAGCCAGGCGATACACTACGCCAACAGGATGGTCTACCTGCTCATACCGCTCGACATCGGCAGCAAGCACGCGCACAGGCACGACAGCAACTACGACGACGAGCGCGCCAGCAACAGCATTGCCAACAGGTGAGCGAAAAAGTCCCCGAGTCCCCACTTGAACTTTTCCTTCCCTTCCATACAAAGCGGAGTTTTTTCATCCGCCATGTTTGATACCCACCCAGAAATGCGATTCTCTTCAAAGAAATTTCTTTGCTTATCTATTTTTGACAGAACGTATTATACCTTTGTTAATACTGCAAAGTGTCGTATGTTATTTTTTTTACTCCCATTGAATATTATTTACATTATTTAGGTTTTTTCGTCTATAATGGTGACCAATAAAACCTCACTGCATAACAGCGGGAATAATGAACTCATTATTCAAGTTGTTAGGCATCAGTGATTGGTTAATTTCTTTTATATTCTATAAATTATAGACTATAATATTCTTTTTAAATTAAACCAAAATTGCGTAATTACAAGTCTATTAAAATCGCATTCAAAAAGTGGAAAAAAAAATCAGCGCGATCGAAGTGATGTAAATTTAAAAATTGTTTTTTAAACGAAAAAATTGGAAATATTCAGAAAAATTAACTTTTGCTTTTTTTGTTTTATTCAAAGAGTAATTACTCTAATTACATTAATTTTGTTGATATTTACAGGTATTTGGAAATTGTTAGAAAATTTGACTTTTTTATTTTTATATTCTTTTTTAAATTAAACCAAAATTGCGTAATTACAAGTCTATTAAAATCGCATTCAAAAAGTGGAAGAAAAAAAATCAGCGCGATCCAAGTGATGTAAATTTAAAATAAATAAATAAAAAATTAATGTCGTTAAAATTGTTTTTTTAATTAAATTAAAAATTAATCTCCTTAAAATTGTTTTTTAAACGAAAAAATTGGAAATATTCAGAAAAATTAACTTTTGCTTTTTTTGTTTTATTCAAAGAGTAATTACTCTAATTACAATAATTTTGTTGATATTTACAGGTATTTTGAAATTGTTAGAAAAATTGACTTTTTTATTTTTTGTATTAACACAAAAAAATAAAAAAGTCAATTTTTCTAACAATTTCCAAATACCTGCATCAACAAAATTATTATTTTATTCAATGATTGATTTATAAAATTATAATTTTATAATTTAACTTTATAAATTATTTATTATGTTGTAAATAAATATTTTCAATTAATTTTAATTTAATGTTCAGTTTTATTTGTTTTTTCTGTAATAAATTTAATTTAAACTTAAGGACATTTTTATTATTATATATTATTTCAGAAAAAATAAATCATTTTTTTTCAAAAAAGACAATTTTACCGAGGCCTGTGAAAAAAACGAAAAAAAAACAGATGTTTCCAATTTTTCCTTTTTTTCGACTCTTTAAAACCATAGCTTAAAAAGAATTTAAAGTAAATTTCAAGTTTTTCTTACTTTTTATGTAAAACTATCTGATTTATTACAAAATGTCATAGGATTGTTTGTAGATAATTTTATTTTACATAAAAATGTTATTTTATAATTTTTTTAACTATATAGTTCAACATTTACTGGTTCTCATTAAAATTGTTTTTTTATTAAATTAAATTAAAAATTCATCTCGTTAAAATTGTTATTTAAACGAAAAAATTGGAAATATTCAGAAAAATTAACTTCTGCTTTTTTTGTTTTATTCAAAGAGTAAGACAAAAAACTAAAAAAGTCAATTTTTCTAACAATTTCCAAATATCTGTAAATATGCTTTATCAACAAAATTATTGTTTTATTCAATGATTGATTTATAAAATTATAATTTTGTAATTTAACTTTATAAATTATTTATTATTTTGTAAATAAATATTTTCAAATATTTTCTTAAAACAATTAATTTTAATTTAATGTTAAGTTTTATTTGTTTTTTCTGTAATAAATTTATTATCCTTAAGGAAATTTTTATTATTATATAATATTTCAGAAAAAAAATCAATTTTTCCAAAAAACAGAATTTTTCCAAGGCCTGTGAAAAAAAACGAAAAAAACAGGTTTTTTCCAATTTTTCCGTTTTTAAGACACTTTAAAACCCCAACCTTAAAAGAATTTATAATAAATTTCAAATTTTTCTTACTTTTTATGTAAAACTATCGGATTTATTACAAAATGTCATAGGTAGGATTTTTTTGGAGATCATTTTATTTTACATAAAAATGTTATTTTATATTTTTTTAATTATATTTACATTAACTGGTTTTACAAATTATTATTTTTGGTTAGAATAACAATTAATACAAGAAAATAGCAATTTTATTCCAAACAATTACAACTAGTAAATTTAATAAATTTTAAATTACATATTTTAAAAAAGAACAACTTTGGTTTTGAAAACTGGACTTCAAAATTCCTTTAAGTTCAAGCAGTAAAGTGTGTTACTGCTTCAGACCCCAAAGCTTAGATTCCTAAAATTGAAAAGTCGAGGATCTACGAAATAAACTGTTTATACATCTATAAGAATAGAAAGGATTTGGGTTTTAAAAGGTTTTTAGTTTTTTTCAATTTTTTTCTGAACCGCTGTTTTTTTTCAATTTATAAATTTTATTTTATCCGACCTTGTAGAGAAATAGAATAGATATGAGGAGCGACCAAAATGATTACTTAATTGGAGTAGAAAAAGCGTAGTATTACACTCGACAAAAACGAAGTGTTTTTTTTGTGTCAACACGTTGTTCTTTGCAGTGTTGCCGAGAGCGACAGCGCAGACGCGGAATCGGGCTTCGAAGACCAAGACCCGAGCGAAACCGGTTTGAACGTGATTCGGATAGTTTCGCGTTTCATCGACAAAGTCTGCAACGAAGGCGGAGTTACGCGAGAGCACATTCGCAATTTGCACGCCATGATACCAGGAGTCGTTCACATGCACATAGAAACCCTAGAGGCAGTACACAGGTAAATATGTATATTTTTACTTGTTTTAGAAACACTTTAACCACCGTTTGTACCAAAATTGGTGCACAACTGCAGTTTATAAAGGAACTATGTCCATATTTGGTGCAAAGTTTCTATGGTGTTTTATGTGGGTAAAATTTAGAGTTTTTAGTTCAAATTTTCATCAAATGAAGTCAGTAAAAGTGTTAAAAAGTAGAAACATTTTTTTGTTTGACAAAACCATATTTAAGAATGTCAAAACTAAATGAATGATATACAAGGTGTTAATACTAACCAATCAAAGTTAAAAGTTCGTTTTCGATTTGATTAAATAACTAACTTTGATTTTTGGGGATTTTTCAGGCCTGAAAAATTAAATTTCTTAAAAAATTATTGTAGGCTATCTTTTAGTGATATCGCATTATTTTGTGGTATTATTTTAGAGAGTCCAAGAGACTTCCTCCGATTCAGAAACCGAAAATTTTGTCCCCCAACATGTTGGTGGGCGAGGAGTGCATCATGGAGGGGCTAAGAGTGTACCTGTTACCCGATGGAAGGGAGGAAAGTGGACTTTTGGGGGGGCCGCCTCTATTGCCGGCGGAGGGAGCCATTTTCCTCACCAATTACAGGATCATCTTCAAGGGGATTCCTTGCGATTCGTTCGGTAAGTAACTTGAAATGTTTGGTTTTACTTTTTCAGGATTTGTATGTTTTTTTTTGAAAAATTCTTTCAATTATTGTTGAATTAGTATTTTACCACTGTATAGTGTCAAAACCCATTTGACATGTCAAAAACACATTTTAGAAAGTAAAAATCATATTTTAACTGCAGTTTTAGTGATTTTTTACACTTTTCAAAGCTTTTAAACATACGAATTTTTGAATTAAAAAAATAATCCTAGTATAGATTCTTTGGGAAATTTTATGCTCTACAAGAATCCGCGACGTAAATTTTATCTCAAACGGTTCAAAAGTTATAGTCTTTTTAATGAAAAAAGATTTTTGTGTTATTTCAATGGAAAACTTAAAATGCTCACCGACACCTTTTAAAATTGAGCAAAAAATTTTGCCTTGCAGGGAAATTTTTTGCTCGGTATGTAGGTTCATTTTAACCCATAAATCCGATAGGTTAGTTTTTTTGGCTCACCCTACAAAACACATTTTAGAAAGTCAAAATTATATTTTAGACATTAATTAAAAAATTGCAATAATTAAAAAAATAAGGAAGTTAACTTAAAATGTTTGATTTAACTTTTTAGGATTTGTATGTTTTTTTTTGAAAAATTCTTTCAATAAAAAACAATTGTCCAATTAGTATTTTACTACTGTATAGCGTCAAAACCCTTTTGAAATGTCAAAAACACATTTCAGAAAGTCAAAATTATATTTTAGACATTAATTAAAAAATTTAAAAAACGTAATAATTAAAAAAATTAAAAAATCGTAATAAAAATAAAAAAAAATCAAAAAATCATTTTTTGTTGATTTTTTTGATTTTTATTGCGATTTTTTTAATTTTGAATATTGTCATATTTTTGTTTTATATTTCTTTATTATTTTATTTAATATTTAATAAAGAGGTTTTCTATGCATATGCATTTATTTAAATAGTGTATTATTGTGCTTTAACTGCAGGTGTAAAAAATTGTTTTTAATGATAAAAAAAATTTAAATCAATAATTTTTATAAAAAAAAATTACCAAAACATGATTTTTTTTATTTTTTTAATTTTTATTACGATTTTTTTAATTTTGAACATTGTAATGTGGACTACATCATGTGGTATATTTAAGGTATTAAAAAAAAATAATAATAAATACTCGTTTAGGGTAACCTTTTTTACCCTTTTTATTTCAATTTTTTTCAATATTTAACATATTAACATTTTCAAGACTACACACACCTTTTTAACCTTTTTAAAAAATTTCCCAGGGAGGAAAACACTGGTCATGACCTAAAAAATTCAAAATTATAAGCTTTTTTAATAAAGTGTACTATATATAGTAATAGTTATTATTACTTAATTTCATTGCTGAGGACTGGCATAAAATTATTATAGGAACAACACATCTTCAAAAATTTGCATAAAACATTTTGGTTTGTTTTGCTTGTCCCGTTAGTAATCATGGAATCGCCCTATAGTCAAGTTATTTTTAGTATTTTTTTAATAGTTTTTAATATATTTACATTTTTAAAAATAAGCAGTTTTTCTATGCATATGAATTTATTTAAATAGTGTCAAGATATTATTGTGCTTTAGTTTTAGATCTAGTGTTTTTTTAGATTTCATAAACTGCTATAAATCATTGATTAAAATTAAAAATCACTTGATTTAAATCGTAAATAAATAAACCCTGGTTATGTGGGACTTTTTTAGCATGCGAGCAGGTGATCGTGCGGTCGTTCCCCGTGACCTCCGTCACGAAGGAGAAGAAGGTGGCCGTGCACCTGGCCCACCTCGACCAGCTGCTGCAGGAGGGCCTGCAGCTGCGCTCGTGCGGCTTCCAGCTGATGAAGCTGGCGTTCGACGAGGAGGTGACGGCGGAAAACGTCGACACGCTCAGGAAGCTGATCCACAAGATAAGGCATCCGCCCGACGTGTTCCATCATTTCGCGTTCACCGGGCAGGTGGCGGTCATCCAGACGCCGCTGCACAAGAACAAGGAGAAGAACGCGACGTTGCGCGGTTTCGCCAAGAAGACGCTGCTGAAGACCGCGCGCAAAGCCGGCTTCAAGCAGAAGTCGAGCAGCAAGAGGCAGAAGTACGTCTTGCAGAACATCAGCGGAAACGGGGAAAGGTGAGTTTTTTATTTTATCTAAATATACCTACATTAGTCATTATAAAAATCAATATTTTATGGTCAAATTTGGTATGTATATTACCTGAAACCTTTGGTTATTATATTCTTCAGAAGTTGGGAATCTCGATAAAAATATACTTTCTTAAAGCACAAAACATTGTTTTATAGTTATCTTAAATGCAGTAAAATTTTTACTGTAAAAATGACGCAAAAAAGTAAATAACAATGGAAATAATATTATTTTGCTTTTTATTTCACATAGTGTTTCCTTATAAACCAAAACGACCACTTTTTGATTTGGCTGAAATTTTGTTTTATTTTTCTACCCCACAAAAAATGTCTCAGATTTATATAATTTCTTTTACCCAACCAAAAATTTTTTTATAAAAAGGCTCTATTTTTTCTCTTACTTTTTAAAAAATCGACTAAATGTGACATTTTTTTGATTTAATATACGTTGAGAAAAAAATACAAAAAAATATTCAGTTTTGTAGAAGAACCATACATTTTTTAAATTTGCCATTTTTTATTTTTTTATAAAAACAACTTTTATTCTGTGATTAATGCCGACTTTTCTTTCCATTTTTTTCATTTTTCAAATACTTTTAAAAAATTCGACTAAATGTGACATTTTTTTTGATTTAATATACTTTTCAGAAAAAAATACCAAAAAAAATTTTCAGTTTTGTAGAAGAACCATACATTTTTTAAATTTGCCATTTTTTTTTTTTTTTTTTTAAAACAACTTTTATTCTGTGATTAATGCCGACTTTTTTTTCCATTTTTTCAAATACTTTTAAAAAAATCGACTAAATGTAACATTTTTTTTGATTTAATATACTTTTCAGAAAAAAATACAAAAAATTTTCAGTTTTGTAGAAGAACCTAAAATTTTTTAAATTTGCCATTTTTAATTTTTTTTTATAAAAACAACTTTTATTCTGTGATTAATGCCGACTTTTATTTCTATATTTTTCACTTAATTTATAATCTAACCTAATGGTTATTTTTGTCCGAAATTTTTCGAATTTAAATGAGTATAAAATATGTAAATTATTTAAACGCCAAAGTAAATAGTTATTTATTAGTGGCAAATAAAATATAAATAAATAAATACGAGTGAATTCTGACGTATTTTGTTTTATTAATTGTCATAAAACACTAGAGTATCTTTTTTATTGAAAGAGCTACAAGGTCCGTTACAGATTGGAAAAAAATCAGCGCTTCTCAAATAATTTGAGGGAAAAAAACTGGAAATCTGTCAAAATCAAAAATCGTTATAACCAAAGATATTATTATCTTTGGTTATAATTCGTTATTCCTAGGAATTTTGAGAAGTTTCACATGTAAACATACACATTTTTCTATTATTTCATCCAATGTTCGGTTTTTCCTATGGTCGTCATATTGAAATTTTACGTTGTTCAATCAAGAAATCCAAAGATGTATTAAACTACATAAGTTAGGTATGCATTATATTATATTTAATAAAAACAAAAGATGGTGATGGTAGCTCAAAATATAGTAGCAAAAAAATTGAATGAAAATGTGTTTTGGGATTTGGGTTTTCGTAGTATTTTAAATAAAAAAAAACTGCTGGCTTTTTTAATTTATACATTTCATCTTGATAGGCTTGAAACAACGCAACTTTTGTTTAATTTAACGAACCTCGAAGCTTTTTAAATAAAAAACATACTTAAAAATATACTTGGTATTGTATAAATTGTTTGAATATTTACATATTGTTTTAACCTCAAAATTATTGCTTGGAAGAGCTGAAATTTCATTGAATGTTTAACAAAGTTAAATGCGGTTTCCACAAACGTGTAACGTTCCAAATCTTATAAAACTTCCATTAAACATTTTTGTTTAGTTAAAAGCCTATTTTAAAGGGTTTTTGGTGTCTTTAAATGTACCAAAACTCGAATATATAAAAATGGAAAACTGTGATGAGGATCTTCCTATTAATATTAAGAGCTCAAATTTGGTGAACACTTTCTGGAGGTACCTAAGAACCAATGGGGTAGTTAATTTTTTTTTTACCTATACTTTTTATGGTTTTATTCAAGGCGTTTTGTAATTTTAAACATTTCTGTGAAATCGGAATTTCAATTGAGTTTGCCGTTTTCGAGATATTTACAAAAAAAATCTCCAAATTACGTCACTAGGCTATTGACAACGTTGCCAGCTTTTTCTATGGTTGCCAGTGTGTTTGGTTTAAGATTCTTACGATAGATGGCGCCACGTTATAATATTTTAGTTTTAAAACCACTTGATCTATCATTTTAGTTGAGAAGAAGAAGAATTGATTTTTTGACGTTTCTTTTTTTTTGGGTTATGTTTTTTTAAATTTAGATTATTGAAAATCAAAGTTATTGTTATGTTATTTGTAATTGATATTAGATAAGTGATTTATTAATAACGGACTCCAAAGCATAGGAATCTTGTGGAATAGTTGGTTACATTGAACATTGGAGCTTTTAAACAAATAATTATAATCATATTTTGTCGTATATGCATTTCATTAGTATAATGCCTAGTTCTTTATATTCTTTTAAATATATATAAATTATAAATAAGGAAGATAGGTACCTACTTAATGAATTTGGTGACCATCTTTCACTCAACTGACAGTGACAGTATTTGTACATAACCTCTTCGGGTATTTTCTGACATAACCGAATAAAATCATTAACAAGACAACTTGACAACAGGGTAATTTTCAACCTATAGAAATCTTAGAATGTTGGTCACATGGCGAGGTTTGTGACGTCATAAAAATTTATATTTTTTGTAAATATCTCGAAAACGGTAAACTCAATTGAAATTCCGATTTCACAGAAATGTTTAATATTACAAAACGCCTTGAATCAAACCATAAAAAGTATAGGTCAGAAAAAATTTAACTACCCCATTGTTCAGTGTCGGAAGTAAAAAAAAATATATTGGATTTTTTTAAATAACCCCAACGGTTTTCGGAGTTTAGTGGTGACTGGCATTATTTCCAGCAACAAATATCTTACGTCGCCCGGGCGCATGAGCCTCCCCGTGGACGACTTCAATCACCACCACCTTCACCACCACCACCACGACGACGAAGCGTCCATGGACGACTTCGAATCGGGACCGCCGTCGATGGTGCAGGCGCCAACTGACGCCAAAACGCTGGAGCGCCTCGCCGAGAGGAGTTACGTGCGCGACTGGCAACGTCTGGGACTCTGCGGGCACGGTTCCTCCTCCTCCTCCTCCGCCGCCGGCAGCAAAACCTCGCCCGACCACTTCAGACTCACCTCCGTCAACTCCATCTACATGATGTGCAGAAGGTAAGATATATCCTGAAAACTTATACCGCCCTCGGTGGTGTAGTAGTTAGCACTGCGGACTACAAGCCGAGTGGTCGTGGGTACGAATCCCACCAGGGGTATGGCTGTTTATTTGTGTTTGTCATTTTGTACTTCTGTAATTGGGCCTGGTGCCGGTGAAAGCACATTAAAAAAAAAATAAAATAAAATAAAACTGTTAAAGTTTGGACTTAAACTTCTTTGTAGTTATCCAGCATTACTGGTGGTTCCTGCAGCCGTAACCGACGAGAGCATAAGACGTTTCTGTAGGTGCTACAGGCAGGGCCGTATCCCCACCATAACCTGGCGCCACTCGCGCACCAAGGCGCTACTGATAAGGGGCGCAGGTCATCACGGCAAAAGCGTCATGGGCATGCTCAAAAGTCATCCGGCGCCGAATGCCTCCACCGAAACGACTTCCTCCTTCGAGCAAGAAAGGTAAGTGGTTTTAGTGCGAAAATCAAATGAAACCAAAACTTTGCGTTGCAAAAGAGGAAACGGAACTAAATACAACATGAAAAGTAACGATTACGTTATGCAGTTCAATGATTATATCTTTTAAACAAAAAATACCCACACTTTCAAATTGTTTTTTTTTAGCAATATTGCCATTTATTAGTGTTTAATTTAATATTAATAATTAGCCAAAAAAATACTGTCAATTATATCGAAATTGATTAATATTTTTATGACCATTATTAATAATTATGGAATCAGCTGCTTCTAATTTTTTTATGGTGTTACCCTGTGATATTTAATATATATTCACCCATTTAGATCTTTATATAAAAAATTACTTATTATCCAAATATTTTCTATTCTAAAAATAATATTTTTTAGTTTAGTACTAAGTTAATATTAGTATTTAGTATTTAGAAAAAAGTATTTTTAACTATTTAAAAATGTAGTATTTAAAAAAAAGCTAATTTTTTAAATTTTTAATATTTTTACTGTTAATTATTAAATATCCAACTAATATTATTTTTGAAATCATTACTAAATTTATAACTACTTTGCAATAATAATTCAAATTAATAATCATTTTTTTATTCAACATTATTTAAATAATACAAAATTATTTTATCTTGAAGAACAAGAACCACCATTTTTTGTTGATACGTTTTACAAAATCTGACTCATATTTTTTACATTTTGCTATCGTAAATATAATTTTTAATGCGTTCGGTTGTTTTTAAACAAAATTTTCCAAACTTCATTAAAATTGCACAAAATATGTATGTATTAAATACAGCACTATGAATAAGTTGAATAAGAGTACATGTTTTTTTTCTTCTCTATTTAGATATTTGTCGGCTTTGGTAGCGGCAACTCCAGTTTTTTCCATGAGGCCCACTTCCACCTGGGGCATGTATGATAGTTCTCTGAGTATAGACTCCTTGCTCATTGCAGCAGATGATGGTTTGGCTTGCACGACTCTCACGCCGGAAGTTGCTAGAAGATCAAATCCGTTCAACAAAGCCATTGGAACATTGGGGTGAGAAATGTTAAAATTATTATAACAGTTTAATAATGACGTGGAATTAAACTACTCTAATACAGTACAGAATGTTATTCTTTAGCTGTTTTATCGTCAAAATAAAATGCACCTCTAGTGAAAAATTAATTTTTCCCAAAAAAGACAATTTTTCCAAGGTCTGAAAAAAAACAGTTTTTTCCCAAATTTTTCCGTTAAAAAAAGCATACTATCCAATTTTTTTTATAAACGTCTCTGAAAGAAATCGACCAAAATTCCGTTTATAACTTTAAAATATACTACAAAGTTCAGCAAATTACTTAAAAAAAGTGGTGGAGTATAACTACCAACTACTTAATTAAAAAAGTTGTTTAACTACCTAGTAGTTTAACTACTGAGTCGAAAAAGTAGTTAGATTACTTACTACGAAAAGTTGGTAGTTAAAAATTTAAGTACTTTTTTAACTACTCTCTGACATATTACAGCTACCAAAATGGAAAAATTACTCAAAGCTACAAAATTTAATAAAACACAGGAAATACTCATTATTATTATTTTAATTTTATTTTAAAGTAAATGTTAAAAAATAATAAATATTTCTGCTTACAATTTAATTTTTTAATTAAAAAACACAAACAAAACATTAATAATAGATTAAGAATTTTAATTAACATTGTAATATACCTATTAAGTATTTTTATTTGCCTTTAAAAAAACAATTGCTCAAAAAAATAGAGACCTAAAATAATCGAGTATAACTTAGAATACGATTATTTTTACAAGAAAAGTAGTTAAGGGCAATTCCATGATAACTCACGGGACATTCAGATGACAGAAATAAAATTTAACTTGGTTTACCAGAATACCTATATTTATTAGGAATGTATAAAATGTTTAAACTTTAAAGGATAGGCCAATGTACATTTTTAACATTTTTGAATAAGTTCACCAATTGATCTCTAGACAAAATGCAGACAAAACGTGTGATAACTCAACGGACACGAAAAACTTTCTTTAAAAAATTGGTTAAATGAAGCAACCTTTTTCTCTGAATCCTAAACTGTATGAAACATAATCTTATTTTAAAAATATACTTTGCCTATAGTGTATTAAAAAAACATTCAACTTAACTGCTTTGATTGTGTGAGGTTTTAAAAAAATTGGTTAATATGATAACTCATGGGACAACATATTTTTAGTGCAGAATTCAAAAGCAGTTAAGACTTTTTAATTATTTAAAATTTTATGGAATATTGGGTTAAATAAATGAAGTAATAATTTTCTAGGCACAAGTAGACATATATGCTCCTAGTTTAATAACATTTGGAACATTTCGATTGATATAAATTTGAAGAAAATTACGCTATTACGCATGGAATTGCCCTTAACTAAGTATTTAACTATTTCTTTCTTTAGCGTGTTTCCGCGCTCGTCGGGCGGCAAGGGGCCGAAGAACTTCGGCCGCTGGGGCTCGCTGAAAGACAAGCGCCAGAGTTCGCAGGCGTCCCTGGCGGCCGCGCCGCAGAGCCGCCCGCATCCGCACCACAACCGCCACTCGAGCGACGCGGACAACGGCGCGGACGGCGGCGGAGGCGGCGGCAACGTGCACACGCTGCAGAAGGCCGCCCTCTACATCCTGGGCGAGAAGGCGCAGATGAAGGGCGTGAAGGTGGAGTCGGCGCCCAAGGCGGACTTCATCCCCGTCGATTACTACGACATCAGGCACACTAAAGCGGCGTTCAAGAAGCTGATGAGGGCCTGCGTGCCCAGCTCCTTGAACGTGGAGCCCGAGCATAGTTTTCACAAGTGAGTGCCCCATATTTTTATTAGTTTTTTCTTATAGTTTTCTTAGGATTTTTCGGATATAAAATAGTATTACTAATGGTATTTAAATTTAAGAAGTACCAATTACTAAAATAAAAATATAGAAAAAACACCAATATAAGTTTTTAAACATTGTCTGATGCTAATAATTCTTTTAGCTTTTTTGAAAGAACAAATTATTTTTTCAAACTATTCTTATTTGATAAACTAAACATTTTAAAAATATTCATAAAACTGTTGAAATCTTCCAATCCCTGTATTAAGAACGTCTTAATAAATGTTTGTAACAATTAAGGGGTATAAATACAACTACCCTATTAAGCAAAAATGCCTTATCCACAATATTGAGTAATAAAGGACCAATCATCATTTTTATTGTTTTTAACAATAAAAATTATTTTTTGTTATTGTAGATGAGGCATTTTTGCCTAACATGACAGCTGTACTTTTACAACACTACGCTATTAGCATTAGTGAAGGGACTATTCGAATACAAATAATCGAAGTATTCGATTCTGGCGTGCATTCGAATGCATTCGATTCTCAACAAAGTATTCGAATAGTTCGAACTATTCGAATCGAATCGAAAGCGCTTGCGTGTCATCGAGCGGAAGGTGGGAGACGAGAGATTTCTCTGCATTCGAATTCACGCCAAAGTTGATTTTTTGTATCGCATGGACTAGCACTGCTTGTGTTAATTTTAATATGTACTAAAATCTAGTATATATAACAAACCAAATTAAAAATAAAGAATATTGAATTTTGGTGACTATTTCCTTAAGGATTTTAATTTTGAATCAAAAGGTATTATTTTATTAAAAATAAAGAGCATACATTTTTACTTTATTAAAATAGGCCATAAATTTTCACCTATTTACAAAACCTGAAAAATAATATGGTTTATGTTTTATGACAAAAATAAAGAAAGCATGTCATAAATCAATTAGTAGGTATATTAGCCGGTTTAGAATTTATATTGCACCCAGTGCGACGCCAACCCGCTTAGCCCATAACGAATTGTAAACAAGAAATAAAATGACCATTAGAATACAGAGAATCGAATAGTTTGTTCCGAAAACATTCATTCAATAAATGTTTTCGGCTATTATCGGTTCTGATTCGGAACAAACTATTCGATTCTCTGCATTCGAATGATCATTCGATTCTTTAGACTATTCGAATGCAAAGTATTCGATTCTTAAAATCATTCGATTCTCCCTTCACTAATTAGCATTAAAAATTAAGAAATACCAATTACTAAAATAAAAATTTAAAAAAAAACACCAATACAAGTTTTTACACATTGTAAGCATTTTCTGATGACAATAATTCTTTTAGCTTGTTTGGAAGAACAAATTATTTTTTGAACTATTCTTATTTGATAAACTAAAAATTTTTAAAGTAGTCATAAAACTTTAAATTTTCCAATCCCAGTATAAAGAACGTCTTAAAAAATGTTTGTAACAATTAAGGGGTTTAAATACAGCTACCCTGTTAATCAAAAATGCCTTATCCACAATATTAAGGACAAAACATAATTTTTATTGTTTTATAGGACACCTAATTAAAAATGTCCTAAAAATTTTAATTTTAAAATTTTAATTTAAAACTGTTTTAGAACATAAACTTTGGGAATGTTTAGAACAACTGTCTATAATACTAAAATCTAAAACTGTTCAGAAAGTAGTAAAATGTACTAAAACTTTAAACTATCCTAAAACAGCCAAAAATATTTTAAAATAATCCAAATTGTCCAAAAGATTTGTAAACTCGTCCAAAACATGTTCTATAGCCATTTTTGTTACAGCATTTTATAACAGTGATTCACTGCCCAAAACGCGCGTGGCGCGTTTACAAGTACTGCGGCCATATGCCCACACCGCGCTAGGCGCGTTCTTAATAATAAATAACATTATTTTACAAGATTTTCCCATTTTATTAACAAGAACGCGTGGGGCGCCTTTATAGGCACTGAACATGGTTTATCACTCAACCAGTGCCCACAACGCACCTGGTCGTTTTTTGTTTTTTTCAAAAAATAAAATTGAAAACCTATACTAAAATTTATTTGAAACAAGATGCACTTATTTAAATTAAAAAATATGAAGAAAAACTTAGGTGGTACATGAAGCAATACTGTTTTTTTGGGGTGGGCAGTGAATGTGTTAATACTGGTTGCTATAAAAAACATTTTTTTTTATTTATTTTAAGGTAAATTTTCAAATAAAATGTTAAAAAACAACGTTGTAACAAAAAATCTTGAATGTAATTCTTTGCAACCTATTGCATCAATAGCTGTCTTAAAATATATAAAAGTGCTACAACATTCTTCTTTAACACTGAATAACTAAAATGAATATTGTAAAACTGCCTCGGTAAAAACAAAAACATTGATCGTTGCAGACTAATCGAAAACTCCGAATGGCTGCAGCAGATCCAAAACATAATGCAGCTGTCGGGGGCGGTGGTCGACCTGCTCGACCTGCAAGGCTCCTCGGTGTCGATAAACCTCGAAGACGGCTGGGACACGACCGCGCAAGTCTCCAGCGTGGCGCAAATATGCCTCGATCCGTACTACAGAACGCTCGAAGGGTTTCGGATACTGGTGGAGAAGGAGTGGATCGGTTTCGGGCACCGGTTCAGTCACAGGAGCAACCTGAACAGCAACTCCCAAACGTCCGGGTTCGCTCCGACGTTCTTGCAGTTTCTGGACGTGGTGCACCAGATACAGAACCAATACCCGATGGCGTTCGAGTTCAACGACTACTATTTGAGATTTCTGGCGTACCATTCGGTATCGTGCCGGTTCAGAACCTTTCTGTTCGACTGCGAGCTGGAAAGAGTGGAATCGGGAGTGGCAGCGATAGAAGACAAGCGCGGTTCTTTGACCTCGCACCACAAATCCGTGGACACGATATCCGACGACGAGAACATATATCCGGGCGGCCGTTGTGCCACGACCACTCAGGGCGCGAACCTCGGCCAGTCGGTGTTCGACTACGTGGAGAAGCAGCACGCGCGCACCCCGCTCTTCTTCAACTTCATGTACACCCCTGACTTCGAGCATCCGGTTTTGCGGCCGCAAAACCACCTGCCCAGTCTCGAGGTGTGGCAGTACTACTTGGATGAGGATCTGAAGCACGGGCCTTGCTACGATCCGGAGATTATCCAGATGGATAGTCAGCAAGAGGAAGAAGCTGAAGCTGCCGATGGCGTGGGCAATAAGAGCACCAGGAAGATTGTCACGTTCGGGTGAGTCAATTTTTTTATGAAAGTTTTCGATTATTAAGGAAACATTTTGAAATGTGAACAACAAATTTTGAAGTGTCAACTATAAATAGAATGTTGACAGTTCTGACATTCTAAGATGTTTTTGTAATACGATTTTTTAAATTTTTCAACAATATTTAACGATAAAAGGCTAGGTTAGTAATATTCAAAAACTTTTCAACTTTACATTTTTATTTGATAAAATTTCCATTAGATAAAATTTCCATTGGATAAAATTCCATTAGATAAAATTCCCATTGGGTAAAATTCCCATAGGATAAAATTCCCATTGGATAAAATTCCCATAGGATAAAATTTCCATTAGATAAAATTTCCATTGGATAAAATTCCCATTAGATAAAATTTTCACTGGATAAAATTTCCATTGGATAAAATTCCCATAGGATAAAATTTCCATTAGATAAAATTTCCATTAGATAAAAATTTCCGCTGGATAAAATTTCCATTAGATAAAATTTCCATAGGATAAAATTCCCATAGGATAAAATTTCCATAGGATAAAATTCCCATTGGATAAAATTCCCATTGGATAAAATTCCCATTGGATAAAATTCCCATTGGATAAAATTTTCACTGGATAAAATTTTCACTGGATAAAATTACCATTGGATAAAATTCCCATTAGATAAAATTTTCACTGGATAAAATTCCCAAAATTTCCATTAGATAAATTTTGATATAATTTAGAACTATCTAAAATGTTTAAAACAACTGTCTTAAAAGCGCTTTAACTGTCAAAAATTTGAAAAACAAATATAAAAAGAAAATTAGAAAGCATTAATGTTAAAAAAGGATTTTTAAAACCTATTTTTTTTTTATATTTTTGGCATTTTTTACATTCTACAAAAAATGGCATTTCTTGCTTTTTAGATATGACTGTATAAACAACACAGTCCCAGACGCGTTTAGTCACCTTTTAGAAGAAATCCACAAACTGGAAACAGAACTGGGACACTTGCCGCAAAAATGGAAAGTCCTGTGGGACAAACTCGAACTACCAATGACAGACTCTTTAACGGTAAACAAGAAAAAAATGATTCTACACAGTTAAACTTAAATATTATTTTTGTAGCGGCATGCCTCCTTCAGCACCGCTTTAGTGCGCTCCCACGGCAGACTGGTACACAAACGGTCCACCTTGGAAATTCTGATGCGCGGGAAAATGGTGGGCGCGACGGAATCTTCGATGGTGTACTCGCACCCGCACAGATTCGACAGATACAACCACACGACGCCGACTTATTGCGACTATTGCTCCAGCCTTTTGTGGGGACCAGTCAAGGTAAGACCATGCTTGATTTTTTTATTTTAGCCAGGTTTTTTAACTTTCTTAGCGGAAAACCCCATCTAAAAAATAAATTTAAAATTTCAGTCTTAAAACTTTCATCAAGACCATAAAGAATAATTGTTATCATTGTAAAGTTTTTAAAGAAAAAAGGTCAAAGGTTATATATAGGACAGTGCTTGAGCACAATTCCGCGCGCGCGTTGTTGCAAATATAACAGTATTACTGCATTAAATGCAAAATGCATTTAAATGGGACTTTGTGGCATTTCAGACTGGAATGCGATGCGTGGACTGCGGCTACAGCTGCCACGAGAAGTGCATCGACAACGTGCCCAAAAACTGCACGAAATACAAGACGGCGTGCGACAGCAGCGCCACGCAAACGATGTCGGGAAACGCCGGCGACAACGGCTCGGTTTCGTCCGGCTCGGCTCGGCAGACCACCTCGAACCAGCAGTACTACGAGCAGTTCTCGTCGAACGTGGCCGAGAACAGGACGCACGAGGGCCACCTGTACAAGAGGGGCGCGCTTCTCAAGGGCTGGAAGCAGCGCTGGTTCGTCTTGGACTCCATCAAGCACCAGCTGAGGTACTACGACGCCGTGGAGGATTCCCATTGCAAAGGGTACATAGGTAAGTGTTATTTTTTTTAATCCAACAGAATTACCAGAATATATTTTTTAAATGTTTGACCGGAAGTGGCATGAACTTAGTTATTTCAAATAGTACACCCCATATATTTTTGCATTTTCAAATGTGGAAAAATGTAAAAATAAATCGGATATATTTTAAACAAAATACCACTTCCGGTTTAACCGGACGTGACGTGAACTTTATTTCAAATAAATTTTTAAATGTAGTAAAATGTAACAATAAATCGGAAATGCTTTGAACAAAATGCCACTTCCGGTTTAACCGGAAGTGACATGAACTTTGTTTTTTTCAAATAGTACACCCCCTATATTTTTACATTTTCAAATGTAGAAAAATTAAAAATAAATCGGATATAATAAAATGCCACTTCCGGTTAAACCGGCATCAACTTTGTTATTTTTAAATGTGGTACAGTAGAAAAAATAAATCGGATATTCTATTTGAAATTGATGTCACTTCCGGTTAAACCGGAAGTGACATTTTGTTCAAAATATTTCATAAAAATGGACTTAAACGCTTTTTAAATTTAAAATCGATATCTAATAGAAAGTCTAATGGACCACGAAAGTGAACCACCCTGTATAATAAAACTTTTTTCTCAGATCTGGCGGAGGTGATGTCAGTTAATCCAGCCGCGCCGGCCCCAGGGCCGCCAAAAAAAACCGACGACAAATCGTTTTTTGACGTAAGTAACTTTTCGCCGCGTTCTAGCGACATTTCTCGATACTCAGGGTTTTTTGTTTTGTCCCTGCAGCTGCGCACAAGTCGAAGGAACTACAACTTCTGCGCGACGGACAGCGCCACCGCGCAAGAATGGCTGGAAAAATTGCAGGCGTGTCTCCAATAAATAAATTAATGAATTAATTAACAATACTCATGATGTAATGTAATCCCAAAGTTAGTCGCAATTAGGTTGTCGACAATAATTTTTTTAATAGTCATTTTTATCATTACCCATTATTTATATTTTTATATATTACGTGTATTGCACAAACTATTATTATTATTATAAATGTTTATTTAAAAAATGAAAGAAAATTAATACAAACGCTCCTTCTCGGTGTATTATAATAGCGAAATGTTACATATATTTACAAATGTATATTATAGTTTTAATGAAAAAGTACAGCTCAAATAGATAGATAATATTGCAATTCCGCGGCGCACTGTTTTTCGTCACAATATTCACATTATCTTTTTTACAAAACTACAAAAATTTATATCAAATCTACTGGTGAAAATGTTGTAGTCTCAAAAAAATAAAACGTGAATATTTTCTGGAATTTACGATTTGACTTATTTGGAAAGTAATCTCCATAGAAAGCAATTAACTAATCAGCACACTAGGTGCTTTCTATGAAGATAATTTTCTATGGAAAGTAAAGTCGAAAATTTCAAGGGACTACTTATTTTAATTATTGTGCGTTAAAAAAATGCAAACCCTATTTAAGTGGTGGCAAAAATATGTTTATATCCTTTTTTTAGTTTTTATAAAAAAATATCAAAAAAGCAACTATATTATCCCCAAAATATCGTCGTAGTATTACTTTTAACATTCCAGAATTATCTGATGTTAACCTTATAACAGCCATCCACAGTAAAAATTATTTGGGTGTGATAATATAAAAAATTCGTTCATTTTACTAACCTGCAAAGTTGTTATATATTTGTGATATATTAATTGTTATTTGTTAGGTTCCTAACTACGTTAATATGTACTATTTTCCTGCTTTAACCGCAATATGGTAACTGCCAAAGTAAATAAATAAATCAACACAAATTCCCGCAAAATGTGTTTTATTTCATTTGGTCTAAGGTCAATAAAATAAGAACGCGTAGAGGATTGCAATTTTTTTTATTTGGTATTTTTTGACAACACTTAGTAGGTGTCAAAAGGAGGTACTCCATAATCGTTGAAAAGTTTTGTGTAAAAGTCAAAACTTACCTTTGTTGGATAATTTTTCACTTTTAAGTCTGTGTCTATGTTCAAATAAGACATTTCATTGTCTTTTGACATTGGTTTCCAAATAACGTTTCCCAGGAGGGGGTTTTCAGTTGGTGTGGGGTTTCTACAATAAAAAAATAATTTTTTATTTATATTTTTATGTGTTGAAATATATACCCTGTAACGGCAAAGTTTACCCACAACCTCACCATTCTTTGCCTAACAATTAAACCATGTTCAGGTAATTCTTTAACTTGGACTATGTAAGGCAACTCCTCAAAGTGGCCAACCCCTACAAACAAATATGCCGAAAATGCTCATAACATGAAAAAAATTAATTACCGTTTCTCTTGAAAGATTTCGGTAATATTCCTTCATAAGAGAAAATATAGAAATACGTGTTGGCATATTTTGATAATAAACTACCCATCTCAGTGATTGCTCTACTAAATTGGTCGTCACTGATGAACTAAGAACAAAAAAAATTATATGAAACAAAAAATTAAAATAGCTGTACCTGTAATAAATCTGAGTTGGGGCTTAAAGAAGCAAAACCAAGTCCAAAATACTTTAACTTAATTTTTAGTCCTGCAATCATTTTTGTTATTGACTCGGTTACGTTCATACCAGCCGGTACTAGATTCTCCGGATATTCGTATTTTTGTAAAACTTCGGTTGCCATTTCTTAAAAATTAGAAAAAATATTGTACTTTTCTGAAAAGTTCAGCATGTGAAGATACCAACCTGGCAGAATATCAGCACTTTTGGCTTCTAGGGAGTTATAGCCTACTATGGTTGGTATTCTGTGATGTCTACCTTCCAAAAGCAATTGATGACTTTTTTCCGTGAAAAACGCTGTTTCCGATTCGGGTTCGATTACAGGCACAAAAAGGTGTCCATTTAGAATATTAGAAGCAATAGTATCCTATAAAAAATATCATAAGAAAAATTTACTTTATATTTTATTATTTCTCACTGTTAAGTACACACTAGCTGATTGCTTTTGCAAATCTACAGCGGATAAAGCTCTTAAATCTTCTACTAACAAATCCGAAGATTCTGTGTTCAACTGTAATTTTTCTCCTAGATACTTGGCCTGTTCCCCGGCATTTCTATATAAAGCCCAAGCACATAAAGATGAACCACTCTGCATTATAGCCCTATGGAAGAGTCCTAAAAATATTTGATTTAGTCAATAGACTGAAAAAACTAATCTCTTAAAAGAAATGAAAATCACTTTGATCAAAAGATTGACTGACTGACTGAAAAATCCCGGAATACAATACACAATAGGCTTATATTTATTAGACTGGGCCAAAAAAAAATTATGGTGAAATTTTGAGTCCATAATAAGTATCAGAAATTTTAATTTTTTTTTCCTCAGCAAGTTTTAGTCTCAGAACTCCCAAACTATTGAGTTTAGCAAAATTGACTCGGAAATATTTTTTTAAGAAAATTGAATGCTCTACAAAAAAGGTTAAAATGAAATTTTCCGTCAGATGAACCGTTTCCTTAAAATCATGCCTTAAAAATTGGGATAGTTTTACATTTTTGGAATTTTGTAATTCATGTAAAAATCAGTACCCATAAAAAACCGATGAATATTCTCATGGAAAATCAAATGCTTTACAAAAAAGCCTCTTAACATTTTTGGCTAAATTCACTCAATCAAAAGTTATTCAAGGTTAAAGTTGAAGTCAAAACGAAATTCTTGTTTTTTCCTCTGTAGATTTATGTTTTATGGGTGATAATTTGTTTTTTTCTTTATAAATGTGTATTATATAACTAATTAACAATTTTTAATAAAAAAACAACATGATTGTTATTATTTAAACATTTACAATTCTCATATAAATATTTTAATTAATTAACTAAGAATCAAAATTTCAAACTACATACCTTCAGATTTGGGGCTCTGCATTAAATAGGAGACGGAAGCTGCTCCAGCGCTTTGTCCGAAAATGGTGACTTTATTGGGGTCGCCCCCGAAATTTTCGATATTTTTTTGTACCCATTTCAACGCCAAAAGTTGGTCCTTCAATCCCATGTTGCCCGGTACGACGCTGTCTCCCGTGGACAAAAATCCAAACACGTTCAAACGGTAGTTCAGCGTCACTACCATTACTTCCCCCGTTTCCATCAAATATTTTGGCGAAAATTCCGAGGAGGAACCGTAAATAAAGGCTCCACCGTGTAACCATACCATCACAGGGAGATTTTTTTTGGAAAGCTGTTAAAGAAATAATTCCATACTTCTTATATGTAGATTTGTTGACATTTACTTACATCTGGCGAAAACACGTTCACAAAAAGACAATCCTCAGACCCCCCTTCAGATTTTTGCATACACATAGCAGCATTGAAGGGACTTTTCCTGATCCCTTCCCATTTGTCATTCGCAAGTGGTTCCTAAAATGAAAACAACAGTAGTTTGAATTCAGGGCTGAAAATAGCACTTGCCTTGAATCTGAGGTCTCCTATTGGCGGTTTGGCGTAAGGTATCTCGATAAAACCATAATACTTTCTTTCTTCATCTATGGGAAATTCTCTTCCCTCAATTTGTCCATCTGAAAGTTCTACTATTGGTAAATTAGTTTCCTAGAATTAAAGATTAAGTAAAGAATGTGCAATTTGAATAAAAATTATACTTCTGCTATAGCAGCACTATAATATAATATAAAAACTGTTAAAACCGTCAAGACACCCACTAGTTTAACCATTTTTGTTGAATTTGTAATAGTGAGTCTCAATTTTGTTTATTTATAGCAGAATTATTCCATATATGCATATAAAGAAAATTTTAAATGTAATTAATATTTTTTATTATAGGTATGTATGTGCTTAATCAATAGTGGTTAATAACACGTTTAACAAATTAACAATAATTAGTTACAGATTTTTTATTTAAGTAACTTTTTTAGGGTTACACTGTAATTTTAATATCTTTGTCTCGATTTCTATTTATTATTCTGTGTTATGTAATTAATGTATTATATTAAAATGGGTAGTCCATAAAGAAGCACCTGAAAGTAAGACTACAAATAATTTATAATAACCTTTATCCTAACAAAAAGTACGTCACTGATCGAATAGGAACTTTAGGCTAATATGGTTGCCTAATTTAATTTATTATGTTATGGTTTTTAACAACCAGCGTTTTCAAATTCTGTCAAAAAAGTTGCAAAATTTTGTTTAAATTTAGCTTAATTACAAAAATGACAAAATCAAGCAAATTGCTAATTTGGCGTTTTATTAATTGTTGATTGTGTCATTTTTGTAATGAAGGTAAATTCAAACAAAATCTGTCAACTTATGACAGAATCTAGTGCATTTCTTTCAAATTTTAGGTTATGGGCCCAAATTGTAAATATCTTAACTAAGGGAAGTGCTTTTGGATTTATTTACACAGATTGAATGTTTAAAGTTTAACCTGTTAACTTGTCCTAATTTCATCTGAGTAAACAAAGAAAAAACCGATGAAAAAATTAATGTTGTGGTTAAGGAGTTTTTAAAATAGGTACTAAATTTTGTAATCATTGCTTAAGCTAATAGCTGGATGAGTAAATAAATACAGAAGGGTATTAGAGCTTTAAGGGCCTAAAACTTTTGTATTTATTAAAATAAATAATAAAATAAAAACAACTTGAATTATAGTTCTTTAATGATCAATAAAAAAACAATATAAATTAATTAAACATTAATAACCTCCCCTATTTGTGGAACAGCCTTTTTTTCTTCTTATAATATAAAAAATATTCAAGTATGTACAATGATATGCAAAATAAACACATCAATTATTCTAATTTATTATGATTCTTTAAGTGCTTATTTAAACTACTTCTGTACAAGGTTTTAAAATGGCAAATTTCACATTTAAAACATTTGACACCTTTCAAACATAATTTATTATGATTTTCATAAGCTGACTTATAAAGAGTCGAGTATAAACATTTGCGGCACCGGTAAATTTCGCTTATTATTTTACGTTTAAGTTTTTCTTTATTTTCCAACTCATGGTTAGTTGAAATGTGTACATCTAAAGTCTGTAATCCTGCAGCCATAAACGGACAAAAGTGGCATTTTAAATAACTCTTTTTATTGTGAGTTTTTAAATGATTATCTAAGTCAATTTTTCTTACAGCCACAAAGTTACATTTGTTGCATAAATGTAGGAAATTTTCACTCCCATCAGAATTGTCAGTTTCTTCATTGATTCTGTTGATTTTGGATCTAAAATTATGGATGGATACATTAAATTTGTGTATTAAATATTTTTATACTGACAATGCTTACCCCATGTCTTCATCATCCTCCAATTCTTCTTTAATTTCCTGTTTTATTGCTACCCCAGAGGTTGAAGGCATTTCGTGGTCGGCAGAGGTACTTGGTTTATGGTAATTCATCAAAATATCACCTTTGCAATCGTCGACTAGTTCTTTAGGTTCCTTTTTAACAACTATTTGCTCCATTTTGTTTGGACACTACTACACAGTGCTCTACTATTTATATTTAATCAGAATAGTTGTATTAACTCTAAAATACTTTGCCATGCTCTAAAAAACATTTATAAACCCTCATAGAACAAATTAAACGTATATTTACTTACCTGAACAGTGTGTTTACAACGAAAAATAAAGAACTCGTAGCCCTATGTTTGTTGCTTAGCCTACTTTGCAAACTATTGTGTTGCAAACCATAGAAAAAGTATATGATATGTGTTTGCAACACTCAAGAACTCTTGAGAACACTTTCTTTGGTCCCTACAGAAACACAGACTTCTTGGAAACACTCCACAGAACAAACACTCTAACTAATCCAAAATCTGATCCAATATTTGCAAAAAATGGGCTCCACAGAAGGTAAATAAAATATGGGCGCCTAGGGTTTGTTGCCAACTGCTAAACGCCAAACGCGTTACCACGCAACCCAGATTACACAATCAGGGTTGTTCCTGGCTGATTTTTCAAAGTGTAGAACTCGATAATGAAATTGTGTAGCATTGTGCAGTTTTAAAATAGGGCGTCAGATTGGCGAATTCGAAAAATTCAATTCGTTTTGGTGGTTATTAGAATATATATCTATATAGATGCGACTCGTGCAGTTTTACACCTATACCTATAACTAGTTATAAGTTATAGGTATATGGTTTTACCAGAGTTCTACAGTAGTTTTACACTATAGGGACCATAGATGGAAGACTGATAGGGACTCTATTTTACACACGCTTCAGCAAGGCCTTATATTATTATATTACCGTGCGTTTTATATTTTTTACCATTATGTTGCAATAAAAAAAGAATGGATATGCACCTTAGATCATACAAGGGATGATCTAAGATATGCACGTTAAAAAAAAGAAAATTTTCAAAATATTCAATTTTTAATAAAAAATAAACCTTCAGAAAAAATATAAAATTATTAAAATAAGAGTCCCTATAAGGACTCTACTCAAGATGGTTTCTTGTAGAAAGAAAAGTTTTTTTATTGATTGCTTATAATAGTGTAGTTTTTTGTTTACTTTATCAAAAAAGTGTAGCAAAACAATAAAATTTTCCATTGGGGTGCCCCGGTGTAGCTACTTGTTAAAAAGTGTAGCATTTTGCACAATTGTGTAGCTTGGAACAACCCTGTACACAATTCTTTAACAAACGCAGTTGGCAATAATGTTTCTTGACATATTTCGAAAATATGCCCATTTGAAAGGCATTTAACAATGTAAATTACGTATACTGCCCGAATCCAGAATGGCATTTGTGGTGAAGACCGCGAAAACGGTGAGAACGCACTGGAAAAAGTCCACGTTCGGGGCTGTATGCTTTTATTACGGCGCTTGCTACACGAAAAATTACATCGAGTAAGAACATAACCTCTCAAAAACATCCCGTCCGAACTTTTTACATTCCAGGACTCAAAATTTGATGAGAGTGTACTGTGAGAAGGCTGCGCGATACGGAAGAGAACCGATACCTATAAATGTGAATCCCAGGAGTATAACGGTGGTTTTAAATCCAAATGCCAATAAGAGGGGTGCTAGCGACGATTTCAACAAATATTGCGCACCTTTGCTGCATTTAGCAGGAATTTTAGTTGAGGTTGTTAAAACCGAGTCTGAAGGTCATGCGAGGGAGTTAATGGATGGTATAATTAACACAGACGCTATAGTAGTGGCGGGTGGTGATGGTACATTATCTGAGGTTGTAACGGGGTTATTAAGAAGGACTCAGGAGAATACTAATGAGTTGGTGCCTATTGGTGAGTATTTTAGGGGTTTAAGTCGTTTTTCTCCAATGGGAATGTCTTAGGAGTGTTGCCATTGGGTAAAACAAATTCGGTGGCAAAAAGTTTATTTCCTGTTGGGGCAAAGGCAGAAAATATTAGGTGTATAGTGGACGCAACAATAGCGGTTATAGAGGAAGTTGTGAAACCTGTGGATGTAATGAAAATAGAGGTTTTTGAGAAGGAAACGGGAAATATTGTTGGGAAACCTGTGTATGCTTTGAATAGCATCAAATGGGGTGCTTTTAGAGATGCGGAAGTTAAAAAGGAGAATTACTGGTATTTTGGGAAATTGCAGAAATATACTACATATTTGTTTAATGGGTAAATGCTTTATACATTTTAAAAAATGTTTTCCAAATTTTTTTTTTTAGTTATAAAAACAGTTTATCATGGAACTGTGCAGCTCAGGTTAACTACAGTATCCCTTGCGAGGGTTGTTCGAATTGCGTACAAATTCATGAAGATAAAAATAGCAAAAAGTGGTATCAAAAGCTCAAAAAAGAAGTACATCCAAAAGCGAAATACCTCTCGATAAATAACCCGGCTTGCCAAGAGGTTCACGAAAAGCAAATAGCAACCTCCGATTTCTCGCTCCTAACCTCAAATTCGATTCCCTCCTCGATATCCCAAAAACCGGGCATACCAAAGTTGGAAATTAAAATCGGGCCCGAAAATCCCGAGTACATAGACTTTGTGCGGCAGGGTTGGCTGTACGAAAAGGGGGAAACAAAAGAGGTCAAGGAGGTTATAGAGGCTAAAACAATCCAAATTAACCCGGAGGTTGTGTCCAAGGAGGAGAAGGAATATTGGTTTTCAATTGATAACGAGAATTACGAGGTTAAGCCTATTAAAATTACGCTGTTACCGAAAGTTATCAACATGTTTTGTACAAAAGAAGCTGTATAAATTTTATTTAGTTTTTGTTTGTTTTATTTATGGTACCTAAATTTATTCAGTCAAATTATAATAAATAACTTTTACAGTATTTACATTAATAATATTTTAAATCTTAATTTAACTTAAAATAACATACAAAATTATCACAAAGTTTGTTCTAAAATTTAACGAAGTAAAAAAATTTTAAATTGTTAAAACACGTAAAATCAATCCTTGGCCTTGGTTATAGTGTGATTCTTAACCTTAAAATACCTGAGGAGGGGACTTTTCGGGGAAGCACCCCTCAGCCGTCTAGTAGGCGTTGCATCGAGGCGGGGCATCTTATCTACGCCCTCCGATTGGTCGACGTCAAGGTCGCGCCTCTTGCGTCTCTCTTGACGCAGCCTGGTCAGCCAATCGCAGTCGCGCTTTTTGGCGGGAGAGAGGTTCAAGTGCGGCGCCACGCCATCTATGACGTAGTTCGGCAGGTTTACCGTTGGAGAGGCGGGGATAAAGGTTCTCCCCATTTTAGGCGACGTTTGGTTGTTTGGGGACAAGGGGGCGACGAACAGACGTTTAGGGCCGAACTCGCCGCTTATTTTTTTGGCCGGGGGGTTTTCGCTTCCCGGGGGTAACTTTCTCTTTTTGTTACGGCACGTTTCGCAGCGCGTCAAGCCGTTCACGGGGTTTTTACAGGTGGTGCATTCGGTTATGAACTTTTTGGGGCTGTCATATTCCTTTATGGTTTTAAGGAATCGTTTTTGGTGACTTTTCTTTTCGATCGGCAATAATTCTGCGTGACCTTTACCGTTTATGTTCCAATCCTCGGGTTTCTCCTCCAAACCAACTGTCCAGAGTTTATGCGTCATATCATCCGAACAGGTCATTAAATAATTACGATTTTTACACCAAGCCACACTGGTGACCTCGGCATTATGCCCCACAAGTTTAACTATGGGCTTGCCATACTTGGTATTCCAAATATAAGCAAATTCATCACTGCTACCGGAAATCAAATACTTGCCATCCTCCGTCAAAGAAGATTTTATGTAAAAACTACTATTCTGATGCCCTGTATACGTCATTACCGGCTTCTTACTATAAGAACCAATATTATAGCAATAAATACTATTATCCAAGCAATTGGCGTACAATTTCAACCCCTGCCTATCAATCATCAAACTACTAAAACCATTCTTTAGCGTACTGCCAGCATAAGGCAACATGTACAAAGGAACAGGGCTATTTTTACTGTGAGTATAAGTCCTCCGCAAATCCCACACTTTAATAAAGCCATCCCCAGCCCCGCAGGATATCAAAGTGTTTTCATTCTGAAACACCAGACCTGTAACCGACTTGACCCCCGATCTGGTTGAAGTCATGCATTTTTTGCGTCTGCTGGGTGTGTGATGATGCGTTTTGGCTACATGAGCACTGTGTATTACTTTATCTGGATGCCCCATTACCTCCGTAGAAGTGCGAACATCCCACAGAATAATATCCCCATCCCTGCCTCCTGTAGCAAAGTTGCTTTTACAGTTATCCTTAAAAGCCACGGTTTTGATGGAACGAGTGTGTCCGAAGAATGTCAGACTCTCAACAATGTCGCCTTGTCCAAAGTCGAGGAGTTTTATTGTGTGATCCCCAGAGGCTGTAACAAGTTGCACTTCATTTGTCATCCAAGCCAAATCAAATATGGCGTTGTGATGGGGTTGTCCACCTACTCTGGTGTTTGTTTTGCAGTTTAAAATAGCCAATTTACCATCTTCGTTAGCCAAGGCAGACAAGTGTTCATAACCTTGCTTTTGGGCGAATTTACACGCAAAAATCGGCGTATCACGGTTTAAATCCTGTTGTTCCGTGTTCACCTCGTATATTTTATCATAGGAATTCTTTTCTGTACACAAAAACCTCCCCAATATAACCTCATAGTTGTTCAATGCCCCTACAATTCAAAAACATCAGTAAAACGTCAAAAAATAAACAAAAAACACTCACGAAATCCACCCTGCTGTCTGTAGAACGAATTAACAACATTTCCTTGCATTTTAATTGTTTGTACATTTGCAATAACGAAATAAATAAATAAAAGCGCGAAACGTTACTTCGTAATTTAACCGTTTGCAACACAGCAAAACAAATTGTCTCTTTCTTTTTATTAACACGAGAGCGACAAGGAAGCAAGACTGCGTCGGTATGGCAGATTCCTTTATGTGCTTGTGCGACGCTTGTTGGGGTATTACAGGGAGCTGGAATTACCTGTGGAGTTGACGTCGACTGTCAATAGATGGCGGTAGCTATAAAAATGTAGATTTTGATAAAATTGTTTAATAAATTTTAAAATAACTTTTATGATGTGTGAAAATAACGCTGAATATTATATAAATGGTAAAAGAAGTGAAAAGTCTTGTAAAAAGTAATAAAATATGGTAATTAAACGGAAAATCTATATAAAATATAAACAAACATAAACTAAAGCACAAATTCCTTTATTTTTATCATGGCAAAGGTGCAAATCGTATTTATTTTATGCATTAAGTTACATCCTAACAAGTTGGGAAATTGTGTTGTGTTTCTATAACAAGAGACGCTCGTTATGTCCAGTTGTGAACAAATGAAGGTAATTTGAGGAAACTGGACGTTATAACGTAACGTGCAAAACAAATAACAAGTTGCTCGAACTAAGCAGTGGTTGGAAAATATATAAATAAAATAAAAAAACTTTCTAGTTGTATTTTCGTGCATGGATGTTGAATAATAAAAGTAATAAAATTTACGATTTGTTTTTACGTTGACAATAGGGTTCTTGATTTTCTTGGCTTGTACTTCAGGGCAATAAGTTTTATTATTTTGGGTAAAAATGTGACCACTCTTAGAATACAATTTTATTGATATTTATGACGTCAGCTACGAAGAGATGCACTTGCGGTACTACAAATAATTGAGGTTATCTATCTGTCTTTTCGTCTTTTTTTTAAATAATACAATCCATGTAGGTATATTTTGTGTTCTAAATGAACACCGAAATGACTTTGTAAATTTGAAATGTTCTTATTGGTAAACCATTTAGATTAAAAAAACAGTAAAAACATAAAAATCTTTAAATTAAATAAAACATTTGACTCGTAAAAAATATCTCAAAAAGGTTTTTCCTTCGTTGTAGGTGGTTTACAACAGTCCGTATAATAAAAAAATCATTAAGACAAAAGTATTTAAACCAACAAATTTCTGTGCACTTTGCTGTCAAGTTTATGATGCCCCATAAATTTCACTGCAATAAAATAATGTGTAAGGATAGTTTAAAATTCAAAAACCTGCCCATCAATAAATTGAAAAAAATCATCTTAGACAAAATTAAATTAACCAAGTAGGTATTTTAATGGCTGAGAGAAAAAACAGTAGTAAATTTTATTGATGTGTAAATCAATTGTTAAGAAATACATCTGCTACTTAATATAACGAATTCTTTACATTTTAAATTATATTATTGGTTATAAGTGAAACATCATTTGAAGCTCGTTTTCAATTATTTTATAATAAAGTTAAAGAAGCATCGCTACTAGCGCCACTAACGGTATCGTAACAAAACTACAATTTTTAATTATCAGCTGTCAAAAGCGTGTTACAAACGAGTGTTTTTGAGAATAATGTTAAAAATATTGAGAAAAAAACCTGGTACAATTTGTTGTGTTGTTGAGTTTTTACCAGTGGATATTGGAATGAAGAAATAAATTGCATACCTACCTACATACAGTTCCTGTAAATATAAATTTAACCTATAAGATATATTTTAGTAATGATTTACGTGAAAACTAAATATTTAAGTTCAGTAAAAATAGGCATCTATAGTTTAAGCATTCTTTAGACAGTTAGGTTGTATTGGTTTTAGGTTATACCTACCTAAATGTCTAAATGACTTTTGAATCTTAAAATGTAAATAATCCTTTAGAAATTGAAGTTTTTTAAAACCAAGTTTATTTTTGTTTCTAAGTTTAAGCATTCTTTAGACAGTTAGGTTGTATTGGTTTTAGGTTATACCTGCCTAACTGTCTAAATGACTTTTGAATCTTAAAATGTAAATAATCCTTTAGAAATTGAAGTTTTTTAAAACCAAGTTTATTTTTGTTTCTAAGAACGTAGGTATTTATAAATAACATAGGAAACATAGGATTATAAGATTTGTATAAATAACGTTCCTAAAACCACTAAACATATATCTTGAAACCCAATATCTACTAAACATGGACAAATTCCAAAAGATGTTCCAAGTTACAAATTATGATAAATTTTGTGAAATTGGGGCAATAAATTTTCGTAGGAACCACGGAACTTTATTATCTGGGTCAGTTGTAAACTTTTATTATTTTTGCCTATTGAAAAGTCTTTGACAGTTCTGAAAAGTTGACAATCGCTGGTCAGCGTGCGGTTGACCAAAATATTGAACCATAAATTAAAAAATATAGCTGAGTAGTTTCTAAAATTTAAATCCCAGAAAGCAGTATTTAATTTTTTTTTATTTCTATATACAATGCGTTTAACCAAGTAAAAACCAAAAACCCAATCCACCCATTCCGTCCTCTAGGCGTACTATTTATAAAAATCAACATAACCGTGATTTGGAATAATGACTCTCCGCGTTTGGCGATTGTTTGTCATTACCAGACCAGAAATGCACACGCGAACCGAAAACAAAACACAATCGTCCCGCAGAGGCCACTCGATCGTGCCAAATACGCAAGCAGAAAGAATAAACGCGCTTGTTGGGATGTAAGTGAGTGCAGAAGGGGTGCAAATAACATTTTAATCTGGGGTTTTCGATATGATTTTTGTGTTGTGGGAAATTTGATGTTAGGGGTTAATGGTGAGAGTTTGCACTCCATTTCAGAAGTTAATCAGTTGAAAATATAGGAAATTCGTTTAATTTGTTGAGAAAATAGGGTTTTTAGGTCCGCTATTACTTTTTGTTATGGCCTAAGTACTAAACAGGTTCCAATTTTACAATGTTTTTGTTTTTCAATTTTGTATTGTAGATTTGAATTTGAAATTTTGTAAAATTTCTATACATATTCGGAATTTAATTTTACTAAGATAATCAATAAAATTACTAACCAAAATCATTATTTATTTTATACAACTTCTGTTTGCATTTACTATATATCATTTTAATCATTTTTTGTAAAATTGTAATTGTTTTGCAATCCAAATAACAAATCAGTGTATACCAATACAAAATTATAATACTTACAATTTGAGTAATCTTCCAAGACATGTTAGAAAATCTACTAAGATAAGTTGTAATTTTACAATCTATATAAAGAAACTAAGAAAATTGAATGTTTAAAATGTCATGAGTTACTATATTGTATATTATATTTAAATATATTGTTTATTTACCTTAAAAATACAAGTATCTTCATTTTTACTATATTTTTTATTAATGTGTAATATATTATAATATTAGATGTACACCTTACATTTGATTAAATCATATAGTAAATATTACTATTTGTAGATAGTAAAATCAATTTACTATACGAACATATTAAAAATTACAATATATATTATACATTTATGATTTAGTAATATTGGGGTTGTATAGATTATAATCTTTACTAAAATTGTATAATAAAAAATAGTATTTTGTATTACAATCTTAATATTGTATTAACGAATATACAATATTGTTACCCTAAAAATTTGTTAAAGTAAATTTTACTATTTTTTTTATTTACTATACATTTCTCTCCGTGTATCTGTCTAGCTGTCTGTAGGTATTTGAAGTTGGTGGAACGCACTTAAAACAAAAACTCTGGCGAGGTGAAGGTTCAATTTTTTTATCTTTACAGTAATGGGTCAAGAAAGTCTTGAAGAAACTAAGAAAATTGCAGGTTTTTTTTTGTAGTATAATTACAATACCATCATTCGTAAATTACTAAATATTTTTAGTGTAATTTGTTGTGCAAAATAACAATATTTGTATTGTAATATTGCGAAACGAATTTTCTTCAGTTCAGTAAAACCGTTTTTTTTAATCAAAATAGTAATGTTACCAAACAAATGTGTAAAAACTTCCTTAACATGTTTAGTAAAATTACAATAGAAATTTTGAACACTGCAGTGTTGCCAGATTTTCCATAAATATTCTCTAAAAACAATTGTTTTCTTTATATTATTTTGACTTCCCTCATTCCAATTAGCATTTCCTTCTTATGTATTATTAGTTACACCCGCATAAGTTTTGGTCCATTTCCTTTATTTTTTGTGGTCTATAGCCCCAAAGTGTATTTTGGATGCACCCCTATTTATTTTTCCACATTAATTAACCAAAACAATTGGGAGCGCTTATTCCTAATTAAGCAACTGTTTGTTCTACAGAACACGGCATTTTTACATTTGTACGAATGTAAAACACCCTGTAAAGAGAAAATGAAGACGTCCAAATACATGTTTAAATGTTTTGCAAATTTCGACAGGTATTGTAGGCGTACCACCGACAACATAATTGTCGCAAAGTCATCTGTTTTCTGGGCAGCATTCTTCCGCAAAGAAAGAAAAACATAAAGTGACAATGGCGAAAATCAATTGCACAACATCTGCCCTTACAGGAAACTTAACTTTGTGCGTCCACAATGCACCCGCTAATCTAGTTCGGCACGAACCTAGCCGAAAAAAAACCAACCACATGTCCGAGTTCTGCGTCCACTTTTGTGTTACAGTTTCCGAAAAATAAAGATGTCTTGGGCACAATTATCTCGTGTCAAAGGCCCTATTGTCCTTTTAAATGTTCCTAGAAACGTATAAAGTCGCTTAAATGCGATTTAACAGTCGTTTTCAAGTTGTTTGTGTAGCAACGTATGGTTTGTTTCAATGTAGATACTTTTTATTTGAAGGATATAGAAGAACTAACCCATACTTATTTGGGTGTAATTTCAATGTTAAGTGCAAGGGTAAAGTTATTAATATTTATCATATTATTTAAAATGCAAGCACCCTCAAATAAAATATACACTATGCTTAATTTAAGAAGTATTTTTTGATACAAATATTATAATTCTTGGCGATGCAATATTTACTTTTAGATTAAATACACGGAGAGAAAAGTATAATGCTGATTACCATAATTATAATACCCTTTACTATAATTTATATTACTATTTGGGACAACTATCTTGTATATTGCCAGT